AAGTGGTGAAATGCCCAGGTGATCATCTTTGTGTAGGAATCGCTGGACATTTAAAGCATATTTTGTATGAAATGAGTGACAAACTTGTTTCTGTCATTGTGCAAAACATACAAACAACAAGCTATAATCTGAGATGATAACTATTACACTCTCCGAGGATAACCAGAAGGGGACCAGCCAGCAGCAGCCTATAAAATGCTTTGCACAGTCACAGCAGCCTGCTGTGAGAGATGGACTGAAGGAGACAGAAATTCCAGAGAGTCCAGTGGCAAAAGTGACAAAAATCTGCAATTTACTTCTTTTCACTTGTGGGCGACAGAAAGCAGTTGAGGCAGCTTTTGGAGCCAATTGCAGCTTCCCTGCTGCTTTATTGACAACAGAGCGCTCTGTTTTGTAGTGGCAATCACTAACCTGACCCCCAAAGCTTCAATACTCTCCTGAAGGCCCAAGGTCACAAAAGCCTGTGGTTAGCACCCAGAGAATTGAGTCAGCTGAAAGAGCTCGTGAAAGTCTTCCTCCCCATTTCTCCAAGCAACAGAACTCACACAAGGAGAGAAAGTCGTGACTCTTTGTGCAGCCCTCCCTCTCATGCTCTCGCTCTACTGCCACCTGATCAGTGTGCCGAATTTAACTGGTCACCTGGTGAGTTTGAGCGCTGCAGGTGTCACTTCAACAGTGTTTTCAGGGGATCTTTGCAAATGCCAGGATGGATGACTGAGCCGGACGCACAGTGGATCTTCAATTTGGAGATACGGTTAATATGATGCCATCATTCTGGCTAGAGTGAGCTGAAAAGAGATGATATCGAGTCAGATACAACATCCAATTCTTGCTTTTTTAATAGTGCTGTTAGTGATATTTTCAAGACATGGCTGAGGCTCAGGAAGTCGCTATATCAGAGAGTAGTAGTTGAGGCAAGGAGGCCACCTGCTACCAAAAACAAAAACAAAAATAAGAAGAGAGACCATGATTCATCAGTGAGCTCATTTGTTGCATCCAGTCCACAAAAAAAAAGGAGTGAACTGGCTGGATTTTCTGCGCAGGAATGTAAAGACTTCCCCAAGGCTGGCTCTCGTGGCTTTCTGCCTCTGCCACCGGTGCACCAGTGGAGAGGATTTCCAGTCACAGAGGATTTGTGATGCAGCCTCACTGAGTTCAAAGTCACTGTCAAACCTAATCTTTTTTTAATGTGACCATTTCGTTCCCTAAAACTCCACCACTCCCAAGGCCACAGGAGGACACCTAGTTTGACTGATTCTCTAAAAGTGAGAAAAATCAGAAATGGTTCGTCCCCTGCTGTGATTTGAGGTCTAAATAACAATTATGACTGTTTCTATTTGTAAATTCATGGTGAGTTACTCGTTAACAGTTTAACCATTTCTCTAAATGAGGTATCAGCCTGAACGTGTGCTTACCTCTCCATCATGTTTGTTTTGCTTCCTCGTCAGGACCGGTGAGAGTGCATCTACTGGCTGTTGACGATGCTCACAGCCTGGACAGCTGCTGGACAGTTAAGGGAATATTTATTTATCTGAATCATCACACACACACACACACACACACACACACACACACACACACACACACACACACACACACTCACACACACACAACGGAAACTAGGGCCCAGGCTAAAAATACCAGCCCCCCTTTAAAGGGATATTCCGGCATAAAATTAATTTAGGGTCAAACACACCATAACACCGAGTTAGACACCCCCTCGAGAGATGAATGTTGCCGACCGCTTGCTTCTCTAGTTTTACCAACTTTGGTAATGACCGCAGGATAGCAATACACAGCGGTCTGTTCGCTACAAACAAACAGCTGCTGAAAGAGAGTGGGTGAGTTGTGTTTGGTCTCTTTGCTAAAGAAATTAGGCAAAGCTAAAAAGATGTTTGGTGGCTAGTGCTGTGGCTAGGACCCTAGGTTGAGGTTTGTTTATGGCGCTTCAGACTGCTGTGTATTGCTAACCTGTGGTCGTTACTCAAGTTGGTATTAGAGAAGCAAGAGGTCAGCAACATTCATCTCTTGAGGGGTTGTCTACCTCAGTGTTACGGTGTGTTTGACCCTAACTAATATTTATGTTGGAATATCCCTCTAAGCAAAAAAAAGTGCTGTACCACAGACTCATGATTTGAAAATGTGAACAGAAAATATATAATGTTGGGTAGAGGGGTTTTGCCGTGTGCTAGTCAAGGCAGATAGATGTCCGTGAAGAAAAAGGAGAAGAGGATCTCTGACACTTCTTTATGACCTGAGGTCCTGCATCTTATTTTCCATTCATGGTGAAATCTTTGGTTTAAAGGTCCAGATTCAGCTAAAGGACAGAAAGTAAGAGCTGAGCCTGAAGACTGAGAAGTCCAGCACTCCTGAATAAACAACTTCAATTTCTGTTTTATCTGTCAAGCAGCGAGCTCTTCAATTATAAGTTGCAACACTTTTATCAATGTCAGCACTTAGCCCCTATTGTCCGCCTTTTCCTTGATGACATACTGAAAAACCAAGCAGAATATTTGTTTTTTTTAAGTACTTCAAGCTTTGTCAAATTACTCCAAACAACAAATGAAATTAGGTTATAAATATTAACAAATAGCAGAAATAGCCGGTTGAGTCTGAGGGAACAAATGATTTTCAAGAGTTGGTTATAAATATGTAAAACAGTCACTTCTCACCCTGTCAGGAGATTGTCACTATGTAAATGTGGCATTTAAAGATCTGGCTGAAGGCGTCCGTATCGGTCACAATGGTTATTATGAGAACATGATAATATAATCTCAAGTGCATTCGAGGAACACGATGCAGCCGATGATGAAGCAGACACTGATGCCAACCAAGCACACTGAATCAGTGGGAGCTGTTGGGATATGTCTCAGTTTTTAATTACAAGTGCACAGCGAGGTTTTTGATCAAACAGGTCACAGATAAAAGAAAAAAAAAACATTTAAACCAGGGGTGTCCCGATACGATATTGGTATTGAATATTGGTCCGATATCAACAAAAAACAAATGTCGGATTATATCAGCCTGCATCTAAAATCTCAGATATCAGCACTCCGATACAAGCAGTCCATTCTAGACTCCGCTCCGGCACTTCTATCCAGCAGGGCCCTGATCCAGCAAAGTGAGCCCACAAAATCACAACAACAGTTTGTACTAAAGGTACTGACAAAGTAGCGAGGAGTAGGAGTGGCGTTGGCCCAGTGGCACTATTTTTTGTTACACTACACCGGGGGCCGACACGAATATAGAAGCGAAATTACAAACTATTCGGAGGAGAATTTTGACTCGCCTGATTATACACATCAAGCCTGATGTAATTTTGCAACTTTCCAGAGGGAAAAAGACGAATCCCGGGGAAGATCATTCCTGGGGAAAGTCCTGCCTCCTTCGCCTCTGATTGGCTAGAAAAGCTGGAAACGTCATCACACGCTCTAGCCAAATGGTCAGCACTTGTAGCCAATCAGGGGCGAAGGAGGGCGGGACCTTCCCTTACATCCTGCAACGTTCTTCAGTTCTGATTAGACACTAGTGTTGAGATGTCTGTCTGTCATGATAGCATGTACTGAGTCGGGGCCAGTACCAGATAAGCACATGAAACTATGGTAACAACCGTTAGCTTACGTTAGCACAGATGAAGTTAAAACAAAGATGTTTAGCAAACTGTTAAAGCACACAAACCATGTCATATGAGAAATCCAACGCTATGACTCTCCACAAGTCGTCCTTCAGGTTGTTATCTTTGTAATGTTTGTGTCTTTTATCAAAAAGCACTCTGTTCTCCAACACGTAAACAATCAGCTGGTCGGCCATGTTGGATATACTGGTGAATCAGACATCGCAACAACACGCAATGTGATTGGTCAGAAGTCAACACAGTATGCGAAACTTTAGAAAAATCAACTGTGATCCGAAAAAATAAATGCCGTAATATCGCAGGACAGGAAAACGTTCAGGACACGGGTTTGAAATAAAATATTGACGTCCGAAATAATCGCACGAAAAAAATGGTCCCGATGTGTCAGATCCTTAAGTCCGAAAAAGACATTGCAGCTAAGTGAAAAACTTGTTATGCACAATATCGGATCAATATCGGTATCGGTCAATACTGAAGGTTAAGATATCGGTATTGTATCGGAAGTCAAAAAGTTGTATCGGGACACCCCTAATTTGAACAATTACAGTATTGTACTGTAGATGCCTTTGGGTTCTGTACATACCTTAGACACAGCAGTGTTAAAGGCTATATACCATATCATACATTCTTTAATTTACAATATTACAATTACAGCCATGAAGAACATCCCTGGAATGTGAAATATTTGAACCGACCCTAAAACTCCACAGAAAAAAACAGGGTCCCTTTGGAGCTTTGACCTGTTTTTAAACTGATGTGTTTGGTTTTTCGGTGAAAGCATACCCAACACCGACACAGAGAACCACTTAGAAACATTTAACATCAGCAGGAAACTGTGGATCCAGTACAAGGTTTGCAAAACAGGCATCAACAACTCATTTCAATCCCCCCGGTTTGACAGTTTACATCTTGTTCTCTGATCTTACTTCGCTCGCTCTTGACAGGACAGAAAAACATCACAATAATGCCCTACGGACCAGATACAGAGAGGACACTACGAATTTTGGTGAACGTAACATTGATAATGCTCAGAGTCTTTGCATGCCAAATAAGAAAGCCTGCATGCAAGAATTTATTGATTTTGGATATCAAAAAGTTGAGAGCATCATTTTTTCACTGAGTCATTGTGTACAATTTAAATCCTCACCTGTACCCATGATTATTTTGATCCAAATAAAGGAGTAATTCACCTCTTCCAGACTGAGAAGGTATTGCATTTGGGAGATTTCTTGATTTAAAAAAAAATGAGAAGAAAATAACAACAGATCAATTTTAAATTAATTTCATTTGGTCCATTTCTGAGCCAATAGTTTCTTCAAGAGAAAAGTACATTTCTTGCGTCATGGTACACTGTTGTGGCTCTTCCCTAGCTGCTGATCTTGGTCAGCATCTTGTTGATGGCCTGTTTGACGTGCGTGGTGGAGCTGCGGCGCCTGGCCTTCCCCTGCACAGCCTTGCGGCGCCTCACCTCCCGGCACAGCTCGTGGAACGCCTCAGCAACGGCGCCGCCCTCGTTCGCACATGCCGAACACTCGTAGAAGGCGCACGCCATTTCAGCTGCCAGCCGCTCGCCTTCCTCTGTGGCGACCTGCCGGATGTGGTCCAGATCTGACTTATTGCCCACGAGGACCAAAGGGACATTTTTTGGTTTCTTCACCTCTTCTAGTAAACTTCGTAGAGGTCCCACCTCCTCAAAGCTTCCTCGATCTGTGATGTCGTACACGATGACGAATCCGTCTCCCCAGCGCACGTGACCCTCTTTCTGCTGGATGTCCTCCTGAGATAAAGACACAAAATGGAGACAAATGCAAATTCATGTACCTCTAGTTTCACAGATTCCTTAAACAACAAACCTGCTTTTGCTTGCTCTGAATAAAATCAGCGCCATTTTCATATCTTTTAAAAAAGAGCTTGATGACTCCAAATCTAAATTATTGTAGTAACTCCCCCTGCACTCACTCCTAACTACATTCATAATCTGTCCCCATGCCTGGGTGTCCACACTGGACGACTGTAATGGACTTTATTCAAGGGCTGGGCGATAAACCGAAAATTTACCAATACCAATCATTTTGCCCATGTCAATATATTAGGTGTCAAAAATTGGATATGTGTAGGTAGGCTATGGTCTCATGTCCCTTTAAGACGCTGTCCTACGTCTGAGACGTGACTCCACCCCATCCAGTCCGTAACAAAGAGGGAAAGACAGGTGAGGAGATGGAGGACGGTTCAAAAGTTGTAGCAGCTGGAGCGAAGGCTGAAGTAGACAAAGTTAATGTAGGAGGGGGTGAGCAGCTTGTGGAGTAGTTAACGTCCATATATTGTTATCGATGTAAACTGCTTAATATATTGTGATATTAATTTGAGGCCATATCACCCAATCCTACTTTATTCTGGTATTAGTGAGGGTGCTGCCAGACTTCTAGGAGACCAGGTTCTTGCTGCTCTTTCACAGGCTACCGGCAACTTTAAGAATATGTTGCAAGATTTTACTGCCTGTTTTTTAAAGCATTAAAAAGCCAGGCTCCAGCTCGTATCTGTGAGCGGCTAACTCCCTGTGAGGTCACAGGAGGTAAATGACCGTCTGCAGTTCATGATCCACAGCTGTGAAACTCCCTGCGTAAAGACGTCAGAGAGGCAAACTCAGTGTCCTCTTTTGGCTTGTTCGTGGCTTTGCTATACGAAAAGTTTCATTTCTGACTAGTCTTTGTGCAAAGTTGTACTAGTTTCAGTACCATAACGTTCTGCCATGACAAGGATTTTGCCATGTGGTCATCACTGGTAAAAAAATGTAATGGAGTGATTTGTGACTGAAAAAACATCGACTGAATCCAGTTGTACTCAGAAGACGGACTTTCCAAGCTCCAAGTCGGAAATTCATCTGGAATGATCCTCACCAACCCGACTTGATGGCAATCCAAGTTGGCAGCGCAGTGCATCAACAGTTAAGAGTAACTTCTGAGGTAACTGGAACGCACCATCACACTTTCTCCGCTTGGACTCAACCAATGACAGCTGTATTAAGCCCTCAACAACTAAAACAAGCCCTAACCCGAACATCTGACATCGCTAAATTTCACTAAGACTCAGTTGATACAATAAAGACAAACATCTCTACTAAATACTTCACATCGAACGTCTTCAGTTGTAACAACAGCCAGAAGTTAACCAACACGACTTTCACAGTTGCTACACTAATTTAATCAAGTCAAGCAGAAAAAGTCAGTCCAGCTCTTCTAGGACTTTCCTGTGTTGCAGACTTTAAATCATGATGTAGCTGAGAGGAGCTTTTAAGATCTTAAACTCACAGTTATTGAGGGAGGAAGCTTAAGAAAACACCACAACCCTCAAAAGACTGAAGAAAAGTTAACCTTTGTATATCTGCCCAGTGTTTGAACTCAGGATTTATGAGCGACAGAGAGGATTCAGCCTCCACAAATCATTACAGGAATAGCACAAAGCTTTGATACAGGCACATTCAAGAGAGGCCAAACAGCCAACGCAGCCGCGTCTGGAATCAGTCATACCTTGTCCGAGCCTGTAGAAAATAGACTACAATGTAATGATAGAGAGATGACTGGCTTAAGTGTCGCGGGGGAAATCAGCCGTGAGAAGAACACCTACACAGCAGCACTGCGGTCTATTTATCTTCAGCTGGAGGACTTACACAAGCTCTCCCTCATGGCCAGGACCTTGAATGCTTCTGTCGGTCTACAGGAAATTAACATCTGAAAGTGCCGTCCAGTCTGAAGTCCTACAATTCTTAAAACAAGAGCATTCCCAAATATAACAGGCAGCAAAAGAAAATCATCTCCTGTAGATGAAAAATTAATCAGCATGTGTATAAGGGGGTTATGGCAGGTCTTGATTATGTCATCTGGACAATGTCAAGAAGGAACAATTAAGTAAAAATAAAGCTCTTTATAAGCGTAGACTCTGACCCTAGTGTAATTAGTCCAGCACTATACGCTACACTCTTTAAGTACTTGGCTTTATCCGTTCTCTATTATCAGTGTGTATTAACCTATGGGTAATTTGACATATGCTTGCCTACAAGTGTAACTGGTCTCACCTGGCCTGCAGTGTCCAGAATCTCCATGGTGACAACCTCATCATCGATGTTCGCTTGGTGACGATATGTTGATTCTGTACGACCACAAGAGCACGGAGAGACAAATATGGTATTTAGAGTTAAATCAGCTGTGAATCATGAGTTTATAAAAGTGACACGTGGGAGTGAAACTAATTACATTGCATAAAATATCATGTCCACAAAGAGCCCGTGTTTGGAAGAATTACTGTCAGGGATGTTCAAATGCCAGGTCCTGATCCGAGTTTATTTTCTTATGTAATGGAGCAACACAGCACAAACCACAAGTAAACTCTGTATATATTTATGTCGACTGAGTGCCACTTTGATCCAAAAATTGCCCGTATTCAAGCCATTCTGCGCTCTTTGTAGGTTTTTATGCTCTCTCTCCGTCATGTTGTCGTAGCTGTCTTGAAGGATTTTGTCTGACCTTATCTGACTGCGTCTGTTGCATCAGAGCACAAATAGCCTCGTACAGCTGTTATAGTGTTTCGTATTTTGCTGCAGGTAGGGCATAGTGTTCACAAAAGACATGCTCAGAACAAGAAGAAGAACAGGGAGTTCACCTCATCTGCTCCCAGTGAAGTGTGCTGGATAAGAAGTTTAGCAAAAGCACCTGGTTTGGCAGCAAGTTTAATGCAAATGAAATATTACTCGATCAGCCTTCATTGATTCAGCTCTGCTTTAAAACAGTTATTTTGCAGCATGATCATTGTAGACCTTAAGCTTAATAGCATGTGGCTGCTGGTGCCAGTATTTCAGAAGAAGGTGTTGGTTGCAATGAGGCTCATTTGCATGTCAAGGTTACTACTTAGCTCTAAATTAATGCCTAACAGCTGATTAAAATGTATGCAGACCACCCCCGCAAAAGGTGATGCTATCTGCTCTGCAGCACTCTTCGTGAGGCAGTTTACCCTTTGAATGAGCTTGAAGTTAGATGATGTGGTTTTTGGAGTATTTATACAGATTTTTGCATAAAAACCACTAAAAGTCCAAGTTCGATTGTTTTTCTTATACTATTTAAAGTTTTCTCAGTTGGTTTTTAAATTGTGGTTATGAAGTTTTTAGCATTACTTGTGTCATTTTCAAGGACTTTTCCTCTGCAGAGCTCCAGTAGCTCATTAGCAATTTACTTCTGAGTTGTGGGTAGAGACAGCGCTGCTCTGCACACCCGTCTTCATGCTAGCTTGCAGCCTAACATTGCTGGTGTAGTAGAAGTGGCAGGTAACAGAGGAGTTATTCAGACACTAATGTCTTTAGGGACAAGATGACAGCTAATACTATAATTAGCTTTCTTACGAGCATTGCAATCCGCCAACACACACGCTTGTTCCATGATTGTCTTCTCTATTTTTTAGAGTGTGGCCTGCATAGCGGGGCTCCGGGGGCGGAGCTTGGAATTGTGACATAAGAAATCTCACTGTTGCTAACCCTGCCATTTGGGTCTGCCAGAGATTCACAGCGATTTGAATACAGAAATACTCAGATATGCAATTTCGCAATAAGTTTTCTTATGATGTCAGCTAGCTTTAAATAATGCCATATGAACATGTAGGTGACAAGAAAAACATGATTTTCATTGGAGCGGGTCTTTAACCCTTTTGAGAATCAGGCCCTGAATCTGCTAACATTGTACGTCTTCTGAGGCTGTGGCGGTAAGGCTCATGAGTAATTTTGGAAATGAAGGCGGCAAGAATATATAGACTTTTCTTTTTTAAATCACTGAGTCTGCACGCCGACAGGTAAATGAACAGCTCAGGTGACGACCATCTGGAGCTAAACTCGCTGAAGACTGTGGCATTGACTGCGCACTTACTTCCCCAGCCTCACACCTCTAACAGTGACTGTACAGCGGACACCTGCAGGGCCCCAAATGAATCCTTTATCTAGACACTGTGGGAACAGAAAACCCAGCAGGGGATGTACTTCCTGCACCAGCTCAGAACAGGAGCTATCTTCGAAGTTCAATCTCTTGTATGTGCAAACAAATTTGGTCAATACAGCTGCGTCTGATTTTGATCAGTTCTTATGATGGTAGTGATTAGTTTCCATGCTGCAGACACACTCCATGAACTTTGCCCTCTGTTTTGACTGCCTGTTCTTTTCTTTTGCCAACTACAGCGTCACCTGAAACAGCCACAGAAGATAGTTTAGCAATGAAATTTCACTTCAGACCTGCACCACTGACCTCCATAATTGGTTGATTCACTGGTTGGTTGTATCCCAGAAGCGAGACGCTTTAATAAGCCATCACATTATGAAGACATGCTGGTTCACTGCCTGGTTCAGACAGACATGTTTTCATCCTTCTTAGTATCTTATTATATTTTTTACTTTTTAACAGGATCATTCTCCTGGATGATGGCTGACTCCTTCAGTGACCTGAAACATCCCAAGAGTCACCTCTTGATGTTCTGAAAGCCGGGATAACAGCGTCTTATCCTCGGCGCAGGAACACAGGTGTGAACTGTGACCCCGACCTTTCATTCTACCTTAGAGAGCGCAGAAGTTATCTGCCTGGATTGCCCCCTTGTAAAAACTCCATCTGTGTAAACACCTCAGAGAGAGAGCGCCAAAGCCCCTCAAACCTTTGTTGAAAATAGAGATTCTGCTGGATTTTGCCCTCAGCTCGACCGAGGGGCTTAAGCTGGCACTTTCTCAAAGCTTTTGTTCTTTGTGAATCTAGTCTCACAATTGCTTTCAGCTTGTGACTCATCTCCTGTCTGTGCTTTTCTATGATGCATGTTTTTTTTTTCTGGTGAAAGGAGAATATTAGAAAGCTTAGTCAGGAAAAAAAAACATTGATTTTTGAAAAACACCAGCTTACTTTTTCCTGTGGGGAGATTACATCACCTCTCTCTGATTTATTATAGGCTTAATAACTTTTTAAGTTATAAGTTTTGCAATCCATGCAACAAACTTTGAGGCTTGTAATAAACTAAAATGCAGCTAAAGATTCATAGTTTTTTCTGTCAAGTTTGGCTAGAGCTGGGCGATAAAACAATTATATATATATTGAAAAATTGATTTCCCTCAATAACGATATAGAAAATGGTCAATATGCTTTTCGATAGTCGACATTCTGCCGTGTTTTGGTAGACTATACGAATAGCCAATGAAAAGGGGAGTTGCTCTGGGTCAGCTTCGCACTGAACCAACCATGTGCAAACAACTTTGTAGTAGTAGCAGACTGCAGCTACACGCAACCATAGCACTTTGACACGCGAAGCCGACAACACTGTTGGTGAGAAAAAAAGAAAATGAGTGCTACCCCCGGCAGAAAGGCAGATGAAAGCTCAACAGATAACATCGACGACAACACTGGCATGAAAATGTCGGTGGTGTGGTATTTTGGTTTTTTGAGGTCAGACATGTAGCAGAGTAATGTGCACTGCAAATTATGTCGAGTACATGTTCTCGCAAAGTCGGGGTATACCTCAAATCTTTTTCACCACCTGAAGCAGTGCCACACGGCAGCGCACGCCCAATTCCGTCCGCTTTCTCCAGCGCAACGCCTTACGAAAAACATCGAAGAGGCAGTAGCTTATTGTATTGCAAAGGACATGCTACCAATAAACACTGTTACATTTCATTTAAGCATAACAGGGATCATTTAAGATTGACAAGTGATTTATTTTTATCGTGATATATATCGATATCAACTGATATGTAAAGAAAATATATTGTGATACATTTTTTCCCATATTGCCCAGCCCTGAGTTTAGCGAACAAAAGCTGCTGTAAAACATTCCTCTGTTTAATGTTGAAGAAAACAGAAACAAACTTTAACTTCTGTTTCAGAAAGACAGTAAAACAGCAACAGTCGTACTGAGAGGAGGAGGATTTAACCAAATAAAACAGCATTCCTCCATAATTTAAAAAACCATTATGTGTTTAATGGAGCCTTCAGTTCAAAGACAGAATTTCAGTTTGTTGATCTGTATTTCCAAGAAGCATATTTACATATTAACTCTAAAGTGTATTTAGAGTTTTCACTAAGTTTGTTTTATTCTCAATGATAGAAGGTTAAAAATAGCTGCCCTGGAATGAGACGTCACTGCAGCCTCTGCGTGGTGTCCCAGGTGCGCTCACCTCTCTGGGGGATAAAAATGCATCCTGTGGCGTAAATGAAAAGTCGCAGGGAGCCTGAGGCGCAAGCAGAGGGGCGATTTATAGCAGTTGGCTGGAGGCATGAAGAGCATCTGTGAGGAGGAGAACCAGAGTCTGACACACAGACCCTGGGGACAGCCTATTTCAGGAGTCATCACTCTGTTTGCTGCACCCAATCTGTCCACGTCCACCCTTCTGTGTATTTGTTGCTAAATGCACTGACAGGGGGGGCAATGCTGGGATGATTAACAAGCCCAAACATCTCATCTGCAGCCCTTGGAGAGGAACAAAAGCAGTAATTTTCTGGCAGCAAACAATTCTTTCCTCATAATTCAAACCCCCTCACTGCTCCGGGGACGTTTTAGCAGAAGGGTGAAGGAGAAGGTGTCAAACTAGAGTCCAAATGTCAACACTGGAAACTTACTCCAGATTGGTTTCCATTCTTAGGTGATCAATTCGACCCCTGATCTATCCCAGTTACCAAAAACATGTTCATTTATTACCTTAATTTATAACCAAAATGTTCATACCAGAAACTCCCTCTGCTCTTTATTATCCAACAGCAAGCCCAGAATCGAAGTAAAGTCTGTTAAACACTTTGCAATGAAAGGAAAATTTGTGAGAGACAGCATGAAAATGAGATTAACGGCAATCAAGACTCAAACAATCGTAAAAAAGAATTCAAGCCTCTCTGAAATCATAAAGAATGATCAATCAGGCCACATTTATGTCATCCAAAACTTCTGGAACTGTTTGATGCACTTTCACTGGCTAAGAGGTGTAGAAAGTGTGCACTGAATAATGTGCAAAGTGCAGGAGGTTGAATGAGGATTCCCGATCATACAAAGCCCTCAGCCCTCTATCCCATTAAAAACCTAATCTGGTTTTTATCAGCAAGAGCACTGATGTTAAATTAGGACTCGGAGCTCTACTGTGCAGCTCAGCATGTGTGTAATGAGCAGAGTGGAAATGCGCTATAAACATGTCCATTCATGCCAGTCTAATATTCTTTTTAATGCTCACTAATCAGGACTGCTTGGAGATAGGCTGTTTAATCGCGCTAAGTGATGGCATTTTGACATAATTAGCATCAGTTTAAGCTAGCGCAAGGTTTGTCTGCAGACACTGCAGGCAGCCTCACCAGTGGCACACACACGTTTCCCACTCTGAAAGACAGCAGCTTCAGTCTAAAACAGTGACTTGCAAACGCTTATTAAATAAGTTCTGTTATTGTGTGTAGAATAATGAAATTTATTTTCAAGACACTTTGGTCATATATTGTAACTTCAGTCCATAAGTGAATCTCCAGAGCTTGCCCTGAGTAGTGATGGAAAGAACAGTTCTTTTGACTGTACTGAATCTTTAGAATTCGTTAATTGAAATGATTCATTCAAAAGATTTGTTCACTGAATCAGTCAGTGCATTGGAGCCCCGTCCTACCAGGTGCAGTACATGAGAGGGTGACGCAGTGGCGCTGATTGGGATTTTGGGAGAAGTCGCATTGACGTTCACTGGGTGACACATGTCGTTCATTCGCCAAGTTGTGAAGGAAGAATCACTCCCATGCCCTGAAAAACTCACTTGTCTGTGAGCCGTCGAATGTTTGCATCATGACGCAAGTGAAAACAATGCAGTAACAAGCAGCACGCCCACTTAACGAGCAAGAGTCTTCGTTCTTTTATATTGTGGAAAAGTGGAGAGATTAAAAATAAATACACAGTAAATGAACCGGTCCTCAGCCGTTCGTGAACGACGCTACGCTCCTCCGTCCTCTGCCTGCCTCAAGTCGTTCAGAAGTTGTTCGTTTTGTTCACAGTCTGACTGATACATGTCGTTTATTTGCTGAGAGCAAATCACGAGACTCTACCTGTCTGTTCGCTTGCTGGCTGGCTGTGTGTCGTTCACCAAAGAGTCAAAGGCGGCAGTTTTACTCCTAACCGACCTGAGAGCAGAACGAATCAGGTCTTTGAGTGATTCCATTCATGTTCACTCAGCAGTTCCGTTCTTTTGAACAAATCGTTCATGAATGACACAACACTAGCACTGAGTGGTATGGATCTTACTATCCATGAGTCTTACTATCGATTGACACGGTTTAACTGTTAAATTGCAACATCCATTTCTATTGTTTCTCACGTGTCGGCCTTGTATGCTTTTCAAAACCAAACAGTTTTCAAGAACGTACATCTGTACAGAATCCCGGTGATGCAATCAGCTGCAAACACAATGACTCAAACCTGCCTCTAATTTGGCTGCACTGATTGTTTTTCTTCTTGTGAGTCACAAGGAGAATAACTGGAAGTTTTCTGAGCAGAAATCAAACTTTATTCCAAAAAACAACACCCAAGCAAGATAATAAGTCTGTCTGGATTCTTATCAGTGAGAGGTTCTGTCTGATTTGAGACTTGAAAGTCCCGTCAGGGTCATTTGTTTGGGAAATAGTGAACATAGCGTGCGAGAGGATGTGCTTCCCTTTGGGAGTGTATGAAAAACACTTTCACAAGACCCATGATGTGCAAAAATGTGTGCAAGTTCCTCATGAATATGTGCTAATCGTCTAAATCATAGAATCAAACCCCAGGATAACACTTGGTGATTTGTAATCATAGTAGAGAACATCTGAGCTCATTCATGGCCCTGATCAAACTCAACAGGTGCATATTAAATGTTTAATCAATGATGAATGGTGAGCTGTACGCACTAATGTGCATATTGAGATAGATGAAAAGCAGCTCTGCGACCAGCACCCTGCATGCTCACCCCTGTGTACCTGTGTGATACACCCATAATAGGGTTTTGATGATGTGCTGAACACTTCATGGATAATACGAGCTGAGCAGTCTGATTGGACGCAAACATCCTCCTGTGTTGCATGTATGCGTGATTATGCATTATGACGATGGTGGAGCCAACTCTTATTGTTAACCACGGAGGCAGATTTCAATCTTCTGTTATTTTCTACCTGTTATTTATGCTAAATCACGTCTGTAGAGAAAAAAGGAAACAACGACACAAAGTGAATTTTCTGAGCGTTGTTTAAATTCAAATTTAAAGACGACTACAGGAAAGTTTCCGGAGTAGTTATGTCCTAAAAAAAAGACAGGATGTGCTCCTAAATGTGAACCGTTTATGCTGGTGATTACGTCTCATATCACTAAAAACAGACACTGCGTTGAAATAACACCAAGTGAACAACACGAGGGGCTTTGACCCGCCATGCGCAGCCAGGAAATAAAAAGCCCCTTACAGAAGAGACGTGATGCAGCTCTGCTCTGTAATTATAGCGTAGGGAATTGGCTCTAAATGCACAAGTTTATAAAACGCCTGTGCTATGTTTCTCACTGAGAAATAACATCAGTTTTTAACCTGACTGCACACCAGAGCACATTTTACCAGAACGGATTATTGCATTTATTGTTTTTTGAGATGTTTTAACTTGATAAATCACCCACAGAGCCGCTGTCAGGGTGCTGCAGTGAAAGCAGTGAGAGGCTGTCTAAACCGCTGATAATGGATGGTCGACGATTATACTGAAGTGTCTGGAAATATAATTGAGCAGCCGGCCCAGATTTCAACCGTTTGGCAAAAATCACAGTTATGTCACAACCCAACATGAACTTAAAAACTGTAGATGTTCATAAAACAGGAGTGAAATGTCTCCAAACTACTGAACGGTGCAACCTACCTATGCTGACACAGTACAGACATGTGGTTGGTGTAATATGTGCATCACTTTGAACTCCTGATTTTACCAAATGCTTATTTTCATCATGATATCAGGATTTTATTTCATTAAAATGACTCCTTTGCAACAAAAAAGGTGAACACAAAATGTCAAAATAAATCTCTACCTCTAATAAGACTGTAAAATTATTACACAAGAATAAAAGTGTTAGTAAAGTCGTTTTTACAGAAGTGACACAATTTGTTTTAGCCACAGAAATAGTGACACACATTGTTAAAAGCAACAGCAGTGCAGTTAGAAATCCAGTTTATTGAGCAGTGGCAATTAACAGAGGGTGTTTTTACCTAGTGTCGGGTCGTACTCCCAGATGAAGCGTCTTGTCAGGAATCTCACCACCAAAGCTGCAGAGAACGACAGAAAGAGTTCAAGATGTTAAAACAGCAACAAAATTACGCAACATGACTCTGTTCTACTTAATGCAATGTTTTAAATCTGGATTTCAGTACATGGAAAATCAACCAGGAGGACATGCTGATGAGTTAATAACAATTCTGATCGGATCAGGCATGGTTCCATATTTGCACATCCACAGGGAATATTTCCACTCTAACAGCTTATCAGCTGTGGCAAATGTTAGGCCACAATCCAAACTACTTTAATACTCTTCTCATCTAAATGCTAATTTAACGGAGAACGTTCCAACAGCCTTCAGGATGAAACATCAGCTCTCAAAGTTCATTCGCTGCCTCTCTAAAGCAGGATGTAAGTCTGCTTTTTTTTTTCCAGCTTTAACCTTCGTCACAAAGGCGAAAAACATCTCCAGTGACTCACTCTTCGAGCAGCGATGTGCCAAAGAAGAATATTTGCGGTTCTTTAGATGGCCTTCTATGAAGGAGTTAGAAGATCATTACCTGTTTAGAGACTTATTCAAGACTTATTAATTTGCAGACGAACAAGCAGCTCAACCACCATACGATTGAAAACAGGAAGAATTTAACTGTGAGAAGTCTGGTAGCTGCACCGAGCACCCTTCAACCACAGCCTCATGCTTCTGTTAACTCCTTTGGGAGTCACTGCAGGAGGTGTGAGTCTCAGCTCTGCAGCAGCTTGTCTAAACCAGAGATGAGCATGCTCAGTAGACCTGCTGGTTGGACAAATTATTTCAGTTTTGAGGGCCTGAAATGTTGTGACTTAAGACGTATCTGACCACCTCCAACAAGCTGAGATTGAAGAACATGCATGGTTAATAATTCTGTGATGCGCTACTATAGGGATGGACGATATGGGCTAAAAAAATGATCATTATAAAATTTGCCAATCTGCCGATAGTGATAAAAGTCCCGATAAAAAAAATTGTAATTCCAATCTATATTTTTGACTCATTTTGTCTTGAGAACACCAGTTGGAGTAGTCAAATAAGATACTTAACCACAAGTTTGAGTGGTAGGTTATGGAGAGAACTACCGACATCAAACAAGTCTCAAATGTGAAAACATTTTCAACACTTGTTGAGTATTTATTGCACAGAGTGAACAACAGCAGATCCACTGTCTGATGTCTGGCATACCTGATTGCGCTCATCTAAACCCCAATCTTGAAGGAAATCCCTTGTTCAGTAACGAGCTGCTCAGAAACGTCTTCTTCATTACCTTCGGCCATGTTTGTTTGTTATTCTGCTCTGTGTGGTCTATGGCTGCGAGTCCGTCGCTCGCGCTTACGTCATCAACTTGCATTTATCTTATTTATCATGAGATGGCAAATATTTATCATGGAGGGTTTTTCTGACAATATATCATGAACGATAATTTATCGCCCATTCCTCCTCTACTACCTGCATGTGAACAAGCACAGATGGCATCTCAAAGCATTAGTGAGTAATTGCATTATGCCGTCCATAGCTGAGTGACGGCTAAATTCCACAAGACACAGAACGGCAGCCTGATCAAATACACAAGCATTATAATCAATGTGCATGATTCCGCACAATGCAGCGGAACCGCTCTGGCGCCGGATAAGATACGCAAGGCTTCTATTTTTGCCAGACACCGCAGAACAGCACACGTGGCAGTGAAAGTTCTATGTCGTTACAGAGTAAAATATCTGTTTAATTTTCAAAATCAAATAAAGTCAATACGTTAAACTGTTCCTCACGTGATAATGGGAGGGGCCAGCGTTGTGGGATGTGGGTGTTTGTATACACTGCCAATCTCATTCAATGTCTCACGGTGAAACACTTGAGATCTCGTGAGATCTTGTGCAGTCTCGTGAGAAATATTGGTAATATTGCAAGTGCTTCTCCTCCGCTTGCGACAGCGGATCGGATCCAGTGGGCGCTGTAGGCTTGCGTTTTTGATCCACCCAGAACAGATCTGGATGTGGTGATATCCCGGCTTAACCATGTCCAAAGAAGAAAACTGGACCGTCCTTTATTTCTTGATAAATCACTCCTTCTTTCTCTACTTTAGAAACTCGCTCTGATTGATAACAAACCCCTGTAGAAACTCTGTTTTGCTTTTTTTTTTAACAAACTCTACAACCAAGTGCTCACCATCACGGCGAGCTTTTCAGCTGTCATGTGCCTGAGCGACTCCCAATAGACCTGAGTGCTCCACTTGAGTCCAGGCAGGGATCTGTGCTCGAGCCAGCTGACTGAGGTGCTGCTCGTATTAAAGAGACAATGAAGAAACAGCCCTGCCTTTGAACCGGCAGAAAAACCATCCTTCTCTAGCAGGCCTGCTTTTCAGCTCATAATTAGCCATGACAAGGAGAGGAAAGAAAACCCATTATGGCGGCTTAAGTGTCACTGCAACGTTTCATTACGTTTCCAAAGGACTCGAGTCCTGCTGCTGCTGAGCTCTGGGCAGCGTTTGATGATGATTGAGAGTCTGCTGCAAAACTTTCTGTTTGTCTTTAACATTTGCAGAGTAGCTGTGGAAACTTCACATCAGTTTGTCTATTTATTAGCATGAGCCCAGGAAACAGACTCAATACAGCCTGCGCAGAGAGACAGGAAGCTCTTTTCTGTGAAATAGCGTGCTGTAACCTTGGGATGCTGATCGAGCTCCTCGCTGAGCCTCATTTCTCTTTCTTTCTTGTCTAACACATTTAATGTGTTTCCAGCCCGAGGAGGAGTGTGTCATGCAACTTTCAATTACTCCCTGCGAGCACCGAGAGCGGAGAGGCAGCAGATAATTTGTCATGTTGCACAGAAGGCAGACCGGCACGCATGCTTCTTCTTTCAGGGCACATTCACTTCTCCTGTCAAGCGCTCGCTTTCCCACTGAGATTATTCAGCGAAGCTCGGGCCACAGTGTCCTGGATTCCAGGTAGAAAGTACAACCAATGGGGTGTGAAGTCCATTTTCTCATTAGAGGTAACTGTATCTCCTGCCTTTCACCGCTGCCACGAGAAATGCACAAAGAAGAGAGAGGGGCCTTTGTTAGCAAGCGTCAATATGGACATTGTGACCCAAATTCACTGAAGGTTTGCAGGGGGAATCATGTGCACTGTATCACGGAGCTGACCCGATCACAAAAGGAGGCAATTCAGAGCAGTGACAGGAAAGCTGATAACTCTACCCACTGAATGGAAAAAGGAGACCTCGATGCATCTGTCACTATCATAAACATAACTGCTGTGGAAAAAGCTCAAACAAGCAGGATTCTGATACAGTTTGTAATGAATTAAAGCTCCTAAATGTACATATCGTTGATCTAAGGCAGAAACATTGTGAGAGCAGGGAGAGCACACCTCTCCTCAGTTTCATATGCAGACCTGAGAAGTCGAGGCAGGAGGAGCAGCAGCAAAAAAAAAACCAGAACAAAACAGAGAAGTCAGGCTGGAGCAGTTTAAATCGAAGGCCCTTTCTGACATTTGCCAACTGGATGTGAGGACGGTTATCAGCTGAGCTATCAGCTGCCATGGGCTGGCGTTAAGATCAGCTGATGTAGTCTGGGCTGAGCTTGACTTTCATGTTCCTGTCTGAACTACTGCGATGCTAAATGTGTTGCTCTGCTTGTTTTCCCACCTCCTCTTGTGTCTCTTCTTCTGAATGTTGGTGTCAGAGTTGCGGTCAGGGCCAAACAGTGTGTTATATGAGTGGGAGGGAGACTTAAAGATCCAGCTTATATAGAAATAATTGTGTTGTTGAAGTTTTGATTGTTTCTATTAGGGGTGGGCAATAAACCGGAAATTTCACCGATACTGAAATTTACGACAATACGACAATAACAGACCCAAATCAGTATATTCGGTGTCAAAACAATAATACATAAAGTTGGTTTTGGATGTGTGTAGTAAGGCTATGGTCTCATGTCCCTTTTAGACGCTGTCCTTCGTCGGAGATTTGACTCCACCCCATCCAGTCAGTAACAAAGAGGGAAAGCCGGGTGAGGAGATGAAGGACAGGTAAGGATGGTTGGAGCATCTGCCATTTGTTGTTGCTGTGTGCTGTGATAGTATGGGTCATGGATCAAGATGTGTTGTTTATTGTGTACTGTATCAGTACGGGTAATTGATTGATTGATTGATTGATTGATTTTTATGCTCCGGTGTACTGTAACAGTACAGGTAACTGATCGGTTGACATTTATTGTTTGCTGACGTGGGCGACCGATACTTGTTGCTGTTGTGTACTTTTCTTGCATGTGTGACGTGTGTCAACTGGTGCAACCACTTAATGTTTCTGTTCTTTTACTGCAAACTGTAGACCATTAGAGAGTGCACGACAAATTTCCCTACGGGGACAATTAAAGTTTATGAAATGAAAGAAGGGTTCAGAAGTTGTAGTGGCTGGAGCGGCAGCTGAAGTAGACGGAGTTAATGTTGGAGGGGGTGAGTAGCTTGTGGAGTAGTTATCACCCATTTATCGTTATCGGGGTGAACTGTTCAATATATCGGATATTGATTTGAGGCCATATCGCCCAGCCCTAGTCCAGTAAAAACGTCTGATATTTAAAATCACAACAGTCATATCTGAGATTTAGAAATATCTAATGGCTTCACTTCGCCGTCAGTAAGCCCAGTTGTTTTTACACTTTTCCAGTACATACCACTTGAATGTTCTTCCACCTACAGCGCATTAATCAGCTTTTTCAGTCTTTGCTGCATGTTTACAGTTTAAGAGGCAGTTTTTAATGAAGGACATTCAGGAGGCTGTCTTTAAGAAACAGACTGTACTGTACTGGTATCTTGCGGCACTTACATTTACGATTTCAACTCTCCTCAAATACAAGATGCATGTATCCCAACAGACTCGGAAAATAGAGGGATGTTGCAGAGGAAGCTGTTGGTGTGTACTCCCAGATGATGCTTCCCCAACATGACTCATGCTGTGTGCTACTTGCTGCGTGAAAAATTCCCTGCTACGTTCACAAGAAATGTCACTGTATAACATCTGGTATGTAGCTTTTTCAGAAAAACAACAGGGCTTCTAAAAATGGGATACTTCTCATTTTGTAGGTCAGTCTTCCTCTTTACTCCTAATGCAGCGGAAACCAGAGCAACAAGTGATCCAATTTGATTAAATTATCAATGCAGCTATGAGTCTCCAAATGAACATCAAACATAACATCCATGGGGGGGCATTTGCAGAGAGCTGCTTTTGTCCAAAGTGACCTAATCACTATAATGGCAGAATGTTGGATTACTAGCAAACAAAGAAGGAGCAATTAGCGGCGCCCATGCTCCTTTTCTGAGTCGTTACCATGTTACTGATTGAACAGTCTCCATTGATTCCCCACGGCGATCAGACGGACACCCACTGCTCTTTGGTTCCCTTCAGCCACAAAAACACCTCCTTCACAGGCTAAAAAGGAGAGCTCTTTCTGTGCCGTGCAGCTGCAGTCAAGTCTTTAAGCCTACCTATTGTGTTCGTGTCAAGTCTGTTCATATCACAATGGCCAGCTGCGCAGACAAGTCTGAGACTCACTCAAAAATATAACACCGGAAAAAATATATTCCTGCATTCAAATGGAAATATTTTCAACCCTGAAAAGTCTTCAATAGTGACATCTGTGCCAAAAGTTTACAGATTTAAAGTCGTGTCTCTGGATATTTCCCTCAAATTTGAGTGACTCTTGCTACTTTGGATGTTGCTACGAGACTAACAGGGTGAACGCAAAAGCTGCTGCAGGCAAAAAAAGGGAGAAAGCATAAATAAAGTAACATAAAAGCTCATAGTAGTAGAATTTAAACGCATTTAGCAGGTTGAAATAGGAGAATAATATTAAACTAGTGTATAATAGGGCTGGGTGATAAACCGAATTATCGATACTGACATTTCAGGCAATAACAGACGTCATTTTGCCCATGTTAATATATTCAGTGTCAAAAAAATGAATAAATAAAAGTTGGTTTTGGATGTGTGTAGTTAGGCTATGGTCTCATGTCCCTTTAAGACGCTGTCCTACGCCGTAACAAGGAGGGAAAGACAAGTGAGGAGATGGAGGACGGTTCAAAACTTTTAGCGGCTGAAGTAGATGAAGTTTACGTGGAAGTGGGTGAGCAGCTTGTGGAGTAGTTATCGTCCATTTATCGTTATCGAGGTAACTGCTCATTATATCGTGATATTGATTTGAGGCCATATCACCCAGCCCTAGTATACAATCACCTGAGCATGAATATAGCTTTGTTGACTTGTTCATGTTCTTATATCTCACACCTTAGCTTATCTGCCCTTTCTTCCACTCAATTTGATAAGACATTGACTAAATCCAGGTGATTTTTTAATTGTTAACTTTACAAATAAATATTGGCGCATGTTTAATCGACAGTTTAGGTATAATTAAGTATGAAAAATAAGTGGTACCTCAATAGATACAATGCTAGAAACAGCGACAGCAAACAAACAGACATTTTCAGATCACAAACAGAGTACATTATCTGCACAGCTGCAACTTTGGTCTCCATATCCGCACTTATGTTCTCACCGTCTCTTTTACTCCATCTTGAAGGAGTTTAGAAATATCAACAAGGGCATTAATTGTTCAACACATATCGATAGACATGATTCACAGTAAAAATTCAGGTTTTTTTTCTTTTTTATGATAACTCGTGCCAATCGATGTCGTCTGTTCTGACTCATATCTCATCTTCTCTGCAGGCGGGGAATGCTGCTTTTCTTGTGTGTTTGCGTAAACTGAAAGGCGGTGACTCATTAACCAGCTGTTTCCAGGGTTTTTATTGCGGTTCCGTCGGGAGGACTGCAGACAGTCATTGGCCTGCTGCTGTGGTGGCAGACAAGAAGCTGCTCTATTCACACAATATGCCCCCAAACGCTTGTAAATGGCTCAACGGTTAAGATCTATTGGCGACAGGGCTCTTCCATCTTTAAATCCATGCCATGAATACACCCTGTATCTTCTTCCCTCGACTACAAAACACATCTGACATTTACTCTCCAATTATGTCAAGTACGTTGAAGTTTGTGAGAGTCAAAACGGGTTCAAACGACAATGCAATAACTATTTTTGCAGCAGGCCTCTCCTGAAATCAATATCCTTGCTATTCTTACCGGGGATTTCGAGCACAGACTAATAGATTAGAGAGCTCGGTGCAGCGAGAATCGATTTGTGATTTCCTGCAAATCCACTCAGCAATCCAATGGAAACGGAGAAAATTAGCAGAACATTTAGTCTGGCCTGTTTGCACATCAGGTTTGCTGAGGCTCAAGGATAAATCATGAACATCCATTTCATAGATAAAATTATAACTTCTATAAAAGGTTACATGTGTCATTAAATGGAAGGATAGGAAATAGGCATTTGTTGCTTCTGCAGACATTTGTACAACCCCTTTATTAATGGAGCACTTCCTTCATTGTGCTGTGACAAATCTATTGAAACGCCTGCAGTAGCATATTCTTGTTTTTCTCGACAAGAGGGAGCAGATGGAAACACATTTTTATAGCTCAACCGCATTATTCTTTTTCAAATAGAAATACAAGACAGTATGAATATCCCTCTCCATGCTCAGCTGTGACTGACAGCCAATATGCTCCAAAAAAAGGCAAACGAATTAGCTACAAAAGCACCAAAACCACTTCCTGAACAGGAGGTCAGGCCAGAGCTTTCCCAGAGTCCCTTTCACCACCACTCACTCCCTTGGGCACCTCTTCATCCCAAAACCGAGTCTCTCTGGAAACCCTGGATTGACATAAAGCCTGAGGAAGTGCATGCATGTGTGTGGCACAGGGACTCCCTTAGGTGCCAGAGGAAATATTCAATCTTTGTCCGCTGCCAAAAATACACGACAACACGTCAGACATCTCATCATCTCAAGCCCTGTCCAGATCAGATTACAGCTCCCCAATCAGACTCCATTCATATTTATTCTTGGATTTAACACATGCCCTTTAAGAAAGGATGTGGGAAGGTTTAAGTGAGAGTAGTAATGATAACACACAAGGCAGCCGTAAACATGTCTTATCCCACGGGTGATGAGGTCACTGTCTGGACAATCAGACAAATACAAAAATTTCTCTTTGCGTAAGCGAGGGTTCAGTGGTGCTTTACTTTGGAGCCGGGCTTTGGTTTTAAATGGATAAATGAGGTGGATAAACAACCATTAGGCAGTTTTAATGATAATATTGATTGAAAACCCTAAGCTGAATGATTATCATGGGAAATTTGGAAGTAAAAGCAACTGAGCACCGCAAATGGAATTTAAATTTAAAAGCAATATAACAAGAGCCATAAGTGAGGAATTACTTCAATTCTCTGTGCATCCTGATAAAAGCTACAACAAGAGCGTTATTGGGCAACCAAAACCAAACCAAAACTTGGTCGATTACTTGATCGTGATTGGTCAAAACATTGTGGCGGCAGTGATTAACTGAACAATACATTTGAAGCCTGACCACACAAACGTCATTTTAAATCTGTCTGCAGAAATAAGGAACATTTCACCTCTGCCTGTTGACACTGTGGCAAAAACATCAGTTTCTGTCATAGGCTGGTCTTCAGGGTCAGACTGTATCCCCTGGAGAGGTCGAAGTGGGCTCACAAGACACTCAAAGGGCTGATTCTGTTCACAGCAAAGGGGTAGAGATGACTCATTTTCTTTAGTAGTGGACATGCTGAGGCAGAGGCATTGCCTGTCCCTCTCTCGCTGGCTGCATTTACATGGACACAAATAATCAGAAGAAAGGCCCTAGCAGAATAAAAATGTGTGTAAACATGTCGATCGTAATATTCTGACCTGATTCGGCCCACTTGGAAAGATATTCCGATCGAGAGAGGCGATTTACGCCGATTGTTATTCCGAGCTGCGTCCATGTAAACACTTATTCTGAGCGTGACTGTCTGTTGGGGCAAAACGAACTGACTGTGCATGTGTACGCTACATCAATGCAAAGCATTTTCGCCATTAATGACAAGACGTAAACATGGCGGGGTCCAAGAGCGATTGGTCTGTGTCTGACACGACTTTCTTGCTGGATACAGTTTCCTCATGTGACACAGGATCAGCATGTGTTGCTGGGCCTGCTTAAAAATTATGTTCGCTAGGAGCAATACAACCACTCTCAGAACCTGGATCAGGTCCATTCTGAGTAGAGGGAAAAATCCTGAACTGGATGAAGTGAGCCAATACCGATTGTTTGGTTTGTTGATCGCACAGGCGCAAATACAACTCTTCTTCTGCGCTTGTTTTAGTGAAATTAGACAACTCTGCACAAGTCCAAATGCCTCTTGTCTGAATAAAACTTGGCGCATGTATATACCTCATTATCGGATTATTTGATTTTGCACCCAGATAAACAGTCGATTCAGATTTTCTGATCCCTCAAATTTTTAATCGGATGAAGAAATTTTGCATATAAGCAGCTAATATAAGGAAGGGCTTATGTCAGATGCGAACAGACATACTTCCCCTAAGCAATGACACTCTGACGTCACACTCTCGTTGTTTGCCACTTTCGATGGAAAACGTTCAGATCATTGTAGCTTATCATGAAAAGAGAGGCTAACAACCTCAAACTGAACTGAACTAGCCACAGCTGATTCCAGAAAAGGGAGACATGATGAGCAAGGCCAGTTTTTCCTTATAATGAGGTGTAAAACTGAACTGGAAAACATGACATCCGTATAGCAACAGTGACTAAAGAAGAAAAGGGCTTAGCAAATGACCAACAGAGACATGAGCTATCCTCTGTTGTGAGTCATTGCTTTCGTGCTGCTTGACTACGCCTCAGAAATTTGATTATCAATGCGATCAAGAAGGGCAAAAAGAAAACAATAACCCACACCGAGGAGAGAGTAGAGATGAGTTACATGTATCCATGAGGCACAATATCTTTGTCTAAAATATGAAATCATTATATCAAGAAATGTCATCACCTCTTATTCACCAGATAAGATTCAAGCCGGCAAATTATCATTACGTGACTCATCATTTATCCGGCGGCCTGTAAACTCATCACTTATTAGAGCTTTGCAGATACTTGGTTTTCATACATCATTTAAATTAATGAGATATTGAGCACATTCAGTGAAGCTGCTCCTCGGAGAACGCCGGGCATACTTTCATTTTCATCCACACTTAATTAGTCATTAGCTTTGAGAAAGTTCACAGTGAGACCTGATTTGTGCAAAAGAAAGTCAATTATTTTGTTCTATATTGGATGCTTCACCTCAGTGTTGTGAGGGTTTGCATGGGCCCCCATTGATTACTTATTCCTAATTTCCAACCGTTATCTCCACCTGATTAAAACAGACAAAAGAAAAAGCGATTGTATAAAAAAGCCACTGAAACAAATGGCCGTCTGAAACTCGTAATAAGCATGATCGCCCCAGCGCGGCCCGCGAGGACACCAGCAGAGAAAATGAATCCATCTCCGTAAATATCAAAGTGAACAGCCTCCAGTTTGTGGTTTTGGCAGACAGCCTAACATTTAATTTGTTGTGCAGTGAACACAATCCCTGTGTCACAATTTGGCATTTTGAAAGCTGGATTGGTTTTGTTGCCTCAAGCCAAGTTCTCATAATAAATCAAGCTGCAATTAAACCATCAGACGCAATGTTTTCTCTCCCGAGCCATTAAATCATTTCCTCTCTAATCTCTAATGCAGAGGGATTTGCTGCCATCATGTGCGTCGTAATTAGCTTTGAAGGTAATGTTGGTGAAACAGGGAGCGGTGATCTGCATTATTTTGAGTGAATGTTTGAGGATTAACAAAGTCCTGTTTGAGGAATTCAGCTTTTGTCTGACAAACACAGACATGGGATCACCAAAGCCTTATAAAAAAAGCAGCAATTTAACAATGTGTCACATAAACCATGGACTTTATTGTGGCTTTTCAGAGCTCATGTTTGGACAGTCGTCATTTCTATCTAGGTCTTGGTCTTTTTTAACTTCAGGGGAACATTAACAACACGTTTTAAAACACCAAAATGCAAGATAAAAATGTGCAATTCTGTTGGTATGAAACTTCGAGATATCTTTGGTGGTCTGTGTTGACTCGTAAAAATCCCTATCTTGCAACATCATTAGTTATTATTGAACAAAAACTCAATCTAGTTTATTTTAATCAGCAGCTGAATCACTTATACAGATTCTTAGGAGATTATAGTTAAAAGGCTGTTAAGACAGCGTGTAGTTTATCACATGTCTGACACCTTCTTCATGGTGGCAGCGGTTTCAGACATAAAAAATAAGAGTTAATAGTCTGTCATTTCTCTGGTGGTCTTGTTTGTTTTTATTAGCAATTAAGGGATATTAATTTTCATGTTAAGTCAGTTTCATAAGTTACCAAAAACTCCTCATAGAAGCCTCTCATTTGATTAAAACTTTGCTATCGTGCTTATGCTAACCTTGGACAAATCTTGAAAAATAACACAGGAAATAAAGGAGAGCTAGAGCGAGGGCGTGAAAGAGGTGATCTCATCAGACCTCTGGTTCCTGCCACTCATCTCTGCTCAAGGCTACATTAGTCATCGTTAACCAAACACACTCTGAGGGAGATCCCTGTGACACATGTGGGTGCTTTAGCTGTGCAGAGCACTTGCTGATAACTAGGCCTCAAAACTTTTTGAGTCTGGATTTGCTGGTGCACTTTTTTGATTAAGACGTCCTGCTGAGAGCCAATCAGAGCCTCGAACCAAAACCTCCTTGGTTGATTCATTTGTACCGATATTAAGCTCTACTGATTGAGTTTCTGTCTGCAGCTCCATCTCATGGAAATGGCTTTTTCAAGTCATCTTTGGGAAATGGTGATTTGACCACAGGGGCTAGAAAAGATAATGTAAACACATTATGGAAAAAGATGCAATCTCAAGTAACTGTATTACAGCCCTACAAGGATCGATTAGCATTTAGATTAGCATTTAGCCTCAGTCAGTTTGGCCATCAGCTTTATGTTCAGCTCTGTTATCCTTTCATATGGGACCATTTATCTTAACTACGCAATTGCAATTTTCTTCTTCCAACTTTATCAGTTTATATGGAAAGAAAAGATCTTGAAAAAGCATAAAAACAAATGCTACATAGAGATAAACTCCAATCGTGCTTTGATCATGCTCTGACTACACAATACAGCTTTTTGCCTGCTTTTTTTTACCTGCAAAATATGGATACAGATGAAGAAAAAAGACTTTTGCATTGAATCATTACAGCGGAATATAAAAGTCATAATTAACTAAGAATACATAGTTAACCACAGAGGTGTGCTAGCATTAAATCACTCTTTTCTATTTGTACACAATCACCTGATTTTGTCTTCTTTGCATAGAGCTGCGTTGAATCATTTAAGTTGGCACACGACCAGTAAAGGACCAATATTAATTTAACCTTACATATAGATTGCCCTGGCTTTTAAAGAAAAAACAGATGACACAGTATGTATTTAGATTCTGCTGGGAATAAAGTTCTTTTCTAGTTCCTATTTTATATATTTAAAATGCTCTTGATAGGTGATGAGAAAAATGCATTTTCAATTGGATTACCAATTACATCAAAATGCTAATAAATGGCCTGATTGTCTAGTCTGTCTCTTCTGCATTGTTCACAGTCTAGTTAGAAACCTTTATATATTTTACTGCATTTATTAAGATACACAGAAATTTTACTCAAGCTTATGTCAGTGATACAAACCCAGAAAAATAATGTGTGATTGAAACCATGACTCAAGATGATGGAAAGTGCTCAAAGACAGAAGGCAAAACTTATTAAACATAAAAGCAGGTTTGACTTAAAGCTGCAGTTTTTGGACATTTATGAAACAGAATGAAATTATAATGACGCTTTTTTATAACAATAGAGCATCAGCAACAAGATTGACAAATTTACATGATAAATTTTATTGCCTGAAGTCGGTGAGGCCAAGCAGCTAAAGAAACAGTTCAATTGATTTGTGAAGGTCTACATTTTCACCAGCCGACTCCACACACTCTTTCCTCTCTCCTTTCACTCTTGTGGTGATTTTCTTGTCTTTATTTGTCTGCTTTTGCCTGGCTTTTGCTTTAAAATACACCAGCCTGAGAGACACTCAGACGCTGAGCCAAGTCTGAGCATGCTCCTCAAGTGTGATGACAACACTGGCAGCAGGCGAAGGTGGCTGAGGCAGCTCCTATCAAGTTTTCTCACACACGCAAATGCAGGCAGGTATTAAATGTTGGTGCTTTATCTGTAATTAAGGAGAATATGAAGGAGAATATGAATGTGATCAGTAGGCCAGAAGTCTGTTAATCCATAGGAAAGTCCAGTATGTGGATAAAAGGAGGGGGACTTATTTTCCCTCTTGAGTTCTGAAGAGTGCTCAACATATCAAGTTCACTTTGAGTGACTGTAAAGGTCAGAAAAACTCCCCTCTGCTGCACTTTGGACGAGCTCGGCTCAAACACAATGGCAGAGAGAGAGGCAGTCATTCTCCTCAGGGCCCTGCGGCTCCGTTAAATGGGACGCCAGAGAGGCTTTGATTTCACATATCTGAAGATGCAAAAAGACAGGAGCCTGCAGTCGCCGGGCCAGGACGGGAAGGGCGTGGGGATCCTTCCACCGCATTCATCCCTTTAATTTAGTCTCTAACAATAGCACTGCAGCTCTATTCATCTAAAGCCATGAGAGAGGCAGAGGAGGGCAACCACACCTTGAGGAGCGATTTTCAGTGTGATTACACACAAAAAAAGGTGAGTCATTGTGTACAAAAGAAGCTGAGGACAAGGAAAGTACCTATTTTTACACTTGAGACTTTCAACCTGTGTATTATCCTTTGAACACAATGGCCTCCTCCCAAAATGACGGATTTGCAGAATTGGATCTATGCTCGCTCAAGGAGAGGACTCGGGGTCCGTGAAGCAGGTGAGAATGATGACAAATAAATAACAAATGTGTTGTCTGGGCCTAGAGCGGCTAATCAGGACAACAAGGAGATTTCCCCAGTGGGCCGGGCCGGGCTGGTTGCAGTACCGCCAGGGCTCGTTAACAATGACAGTATCACACAGGCTGCACTTGTGAAGGGAGGGTACGAGTAACCTGCTCATTATTGGAGTGGAGTTTCACTTGACAGTAAATTTCCATAGGGAGAAGACAGGGGCGTGTGGTCCAATTTTTTTTACTCATTTAGAGCCCTGACATGAAAATCTACCTGGAGTGATGCAAGAGGACGGAGAAAATATCAAGCTTTTTATGGAGTAGTTATCCCTGCAGCTCACTAGGGGTGGGAGAAAAAAATCAATATGGCATAGTAGGGCCCGACCAATATGGATATTTTGGGGCCGATACCAATTATTGGGGGGGGAGGGGGGTCCGATTACCGATTGATCGGACGATTTTTAAAATTTTTTATGAAGTTATAAAAAATAAACAGTATATCTGTAGATATACTGTGATCAAACAGTATATCTACAGTAAACTGACTGATCAAACTCGGACCAGAAAAGCGTTTTCAACACACATCCTCCCGCCAATCGGTGCCTCCGCGTCTTAACTCACGTTGCTCATTTCCGGTCTCATCAGGTCTCATCTCAGTAAGAGGAGTAGCTCGATCACGTAATGTGTACTGTTGTTTATTCTACCGTTACTGTCACGGCTAACAGTGTAGCAAGGCTAATAGCAGGTGGCTAACTCTAACTTTAGCTTGCATATTACATGGTGCTTCACCATTTACCCGGCATGACGGAGACCAGCACAGCGGGGAACATCGTGAAGTGGTTTGAACTAAAACTTGCTAACTTATTGTCTACTTCACAAACTGGTTTATTTACCGTTGAGGCGGACCACTCTCCTCCGTGCGTCCCTGAGCTGTCTGCTTCAGATCCGTCACTCTGCTGTGCTGTGAGGTAACTAGTGGATGAGGTCGCTGCGCCATCTACAGGATAAGTCGGGGAACTTTTCAAATAGTGGAACATTTTCAAAGTGAAACCAAATCTTATTCTCCGCATTTTATTTTGGAGTTTTGGCCGATTACGATTAGTCTCAAATGGGCTTAAATTGGCTGATTTAACTGGCTCGCCGATAAATCGGTTGGGCCCTGTAGCATAGAAACGCAATATTTTTGTGGTGATATATCGTCTCATTTACCAAGTATCGATTTTTTTCAAATTAATTATTAATATGAAGTAAAAATCTATGCTAATAACAGTTGGAAAAATTGTTTAAATCACAGCATATTGTATTGCAATACTCACTGTATTGTAAATTGTTAAAAATCACAGTAATATTGCATTGTGGCCGAAGTATCGTGATGATATCGTATCGTGGGGCCGCTAGTGATTCCCACCCCTATAGCTCACAGTGATTGTGTAATGTGTTACATAACAATAATCACGATGCGCAACAATAATAACAGTAAAAAAGGAAAATCTGAGAGCAACTGACTAATCCTGGATAAATGTATGCAGGGTTAAGCTCAAAGTTTGGCAGTAATTTACATAAAAGTTGAAAATATTATATAACTGATCTGAGAAAAGGTTTTGAGGTGGGAGGGAGCGGTGATGAATAAATCAAATATGGCTGAAAGTGGAGCTGAATATTAAACATTAACCCGGGTAACAGCATTTGGCTTCAGCTGTGAAAATTGCAGCTTAATGGATCTATCATGAAATGTTAAAAGTGCTGCTAAAATCCGGCTAGTAAAAAAGCTGGTAAAAGCAAAGAGGAAATAACCAGAGATGACTCACTCTGGTCAAGGACAGCAGCGGCAGTCAGACAATGGACGATACGTGGAGGCGTAGAGAAGTCAGAGGTGTGCTCTAAAATTAGTCTAACAGTAGGAATACGCATGAGTACGGGAGACGCCCACCTTCCTGTGACACCATCATTACCCTTTATAGATCCACTCTGTCTTTGCGGATGTAAACGGAACATTGATTAATTTGCTATTTATGCAGTCAAGAGGCACACAACAATAAACATGCGGCTCTTCAGTCCAGAATGAAATCCTCTTTTTAGCTTAAGCTGCATGAGTGTGCATACAGTGAATAGGTGTGAATAGTGGTGTAGGTAAGCACATTGAAACAGACAGATTGGCCCTCAGAGAGTTACAAGAGATGAGGTGGGCGGCAGAGACTCCCTGTTCCTTTCTGAGGAGAAAGGATGGCCTAAGGTGGCAGATAATAAGTTCAAGAGTGACGGAAGCGAAGGAAGGTGGAGGAAGGCGAGCTGAGAGTGTGAACATCGAGGGAATTCAGGTTCTTTGACACTTTAATAAAGCCGCAGGCTGCAGAAACAGAGGGACTGGTATGGTGCTCAATATGACGGATGAAGAGTGTGCATCACTTCAGGTGACATACAAACAAATATGCTTTTTTCATTTCTACTCGAGGACACTTGAACAATACATGATGTTGTCTGCTACGCTACATGAACATAACAACTGTAAAGTAGAGGTGAGGACATTTGAGGAGCAGCGAGGGCAGCTTTTATCATCTGCTGTGCTACTGTAGTGCTCTACTCCCTGGATTTTTCAGAGTAAGTATTTAGATCTACATCTGCTACCAGTTTTTTTTCTTTTAAAGTGGTCCATTTCAAAGAAAAAAAAGAGCAACAAAAGCTTTAACAGGCTTTAGCCAATCAGCAGGTTCCTTTCAGACCAAACAGGTGTCAAAATCGTCATTTGGGGTTGGAATCACCAGTGGCCCCCACAATACGATATTGGGTCACGATACGATATTTTTGCGATTTTCAACATTTTGCAGTACAGTGAGTATTGGGATACAATATATTGCAATTCATTCCATTTTTTTCAACTATTTAGCTAATTTAGAATTCGGCTTTCCTTTACGTTCGTCTTATTTACACAAAATTTTATTTTCATGTAGCACATCTTGCTAATTTTATATATTTTTGTTGTACTAACTCTCTCCTGCTCTATGATGTCCACTCTGCAAACCTCACTGGACAAACAGTGGATTTTATTTTTCCATTTTCACAGATTTGACTTCATATTGGCAACTAATTTGAAAAATCCATACTTAGTAAATGAGACGATACGATATATCACCAGAGAAAATGTCACGATACTATGCTGTATCGATTTTGTCTCCTACTCCATGTCAGTAAAGCAACTGTGTAAATGCAAATGCTGAGTTTTGGTGCATTTTAATGTAGTAGCAACTCCTTTCTCATACCCTGCTGTCTGCATGTCAATGCTAACTCATGCGCACAAACACACACAAAAAAGGATTCAAACTCTGTATGTTTTCAGGTAATTTGCAAAGAAAGTCACTGCACTAAAACAAATCACTAACCCAGAATTTGATTTGTGATGTATTCAGATTTTGCAAAATGGGTTGTTGAAATATTGTGAAAACATTGTCAAAAGATAATTAAGATTTTAACTTCGATGGCATATATCTCACAGCCGGTATTTCTCCTCCATTTTCATTAGTTTTCACAGCACACTGACAGCTGTCACAGCAATGGAAGTGGGCAAGTGAGCTGGTTCAGAAAAAGACTCAATCGAATTAACATGTCTTAAACTAGGAGTGGACATCATAACAAGGCAGCAAGTAACAGGAGCTCGTTTATGACGTGAGCTTATCAACACGCTTGACTGTTTACATGGGTCTGTAGAGAAAAACGGCTCTTTTCCATTGTTTTGATGTGGACTGCAATACCAGTTTTAAACACAGGGTGTCAGACTGATCTATTGCTCCTTTAAAAGTTGGGACAATTGTCTTGTATGACAGCCCTTAAACTACACATTATTTCTTTCCTAGACACTTCTGCCTCTTACCTCCTATCATTCAAATAATTATGTCACTGTAAGAATCACCATTAAACGTAAAGTTGTATCATTGTTGACACCCACTGTGTTAGCGTGTTAGTAGTGTTTCCGGACAAAAACCTCATCCTGTTGTAAAGCGTTTTCTTCAGAGTTCTGTCAATCATCTTGTCTGACATCTAGCCATTGAAAATTACAACAGAGGGTCTGTCATCCTTGTTGCTGATGGTCTAAAGGTCAAATAGAGATGGTCATATCAGTTTCAGTCTGTAATTCAATCAGTTAAAAACTTCCCATTGTGCCTTTAATCGTTTCATATGAACAAAAGTCATTGTGTTACTACTGATGGGTGTACTTGATCTAATCAGAGGAAGTTTAAGGTCAGTGATCTGCTGTCTCTGTTCAAGGTTTGATTGCATTGTCTTAAAAGGTGATAATGAAGGAAAACTTTGAGTCAATCTATTTAAACACCTCTAACAGCAAAAGGTAGGCAGTCACAAACAGCCACAAACGCTTAAAATGCAAACCAAACCTCCCTAAAATGTTAACATACAGTATCCCTTCAGTAATAGAAGCCACAAGCTCTGAGTCTGAGCGAGTATTTAACAGATACTCGTAATTAAAGAGAAAAAAGGCTTTGGGAAAGTCTTACATAACACTATCTGGTACATAAAAGTCACTGAAGTCACTGAGGTACCTCGTCTCAAAGAGTAAAATCTACCTCTGACACGCTTACGCTGCAGCATAATGCTTTTGATGAGTCACATCTAACGGCTGCTAACTCGGTCCCACACGGACAATGTAACCGTGGGAGTCAAACAGGCAGCCAACTTCACAGCTGAGCGCTCTTCCTGCTGTCAAAGGCCAACCGTGCGCCTGGAAACCCGAGCAGCGGTCTATCTCTGTGCCTCTGCGTCCCGTTAATTGCCTGGCCGTTGAGAGCGAGGATCTCCGCGCAGAGGGCCCTGATGGATGTTATTTGATTATTTTCCAGGACTTTCATTTCCTCCGGCAGGCATCACAGGAAGTTGATTTTGGAAACAGCATGATCAGTGCGACAGTAATTTGAGTGTAAAAGGTTGGCGGTGCCATTTTTCTGCAGGAAGCCTATTTCAAAGCCGTTATCATGAGCACACAAAGTAATATTGACAGAATCATTCACAGACGCGCAGTTATCTTGTACGTTGTCTTCGTCTTTCACTGTTACACGTTAAAAACACTCAAAGGCCTTCAATAAGTTGAATTATTGTGATACTTGACACGTATAAACACGACTGCGTATGCTTACCTGTGAACCAAGCTCAGTCTGAGCAATAAGTATGAGATCACACCTGATCTGCAGCTTAATGGGGAAGATTTTTAACCTGAATGTGAACACTTGACCTCATTAGAGTGGCGGCTTATGGGACTTGCTCCACAGAGTTCAAGTACCATCAAGCGGATGCAGATGAACAGGTAGGAAAAGCAAAACAGCATGGTGATTACAATTGTATTAACTGTGGTGGTGGAGTGTCTTTTGCAAAGTATATTTATTCCTAACTTCAAGATTCAATCAATCTTTATGTAGCGCCGACTCAAAACAAATGTTGTCTCAAGATGCTTCACAAAAAGATACAACATCAAGATAAAGCTAAGTCTAAACTAGTAAGATCAGATCCATTTAAATCCATCTTAATCCACCATGAGCGAAACGCTTCACAGCATCCAGAAAGTTACAGAAATAAGACTTCCATTTAGAAGGCAGAAACCTTGAGCAGGACCAAACTCTTGTTAGACAGCTATCTGCCCAGACTGTGAGTGTGAACTCTGTGGACAAGAGTTCACACCCAAAAGTGTCAACAATAATAGACAAGTATGTGCGCTATTTACAGGAACAGTATGATAATGATAAAAGGTTTAGCTTAATTCAAGGCAGTTGAAGTTAAAACAGCAGAAATAGGTTTTTGTAATGAATTTGAAGATAATAATAGCAATTGGAATTACTTAAATTGACTGAAGCAGAAGGGGTTAAATGTTAGCTTTTTATAGTGATAATGATAGTAAGACTGGTACTAATTGTTGTCGCTGCAATCAGTCAAATAATAATTGAAATAACAGACCTGACCATGTCATTAAATCATTGTATTTCGAATTATCTTAGTATATGTATTAGTAAATGTAGAAAGACAACACCCCTGCCTCCACTTCGGAACAACTAGAGCAAAAACAAAAATATGAATTATGAGATGTGCACCACCCACTGACAACATTTTCAGACGCACCAGAAATTCATCCAGACCATCAGAAGCAGCTGGTCAGGACATGATTGGTTCCAGACCTCAACTTGCTCAGTGCATGCCAGGCCTAAAACAGTCTCACTTCAGCATCTGAAAAGGACATACAGTAAGTCCACGTTTTCTAGAGGAAGCAAAGACGTGTCACTCTGATCTTAACCCCAAATGACTTTGTGAACCCAGATTTCCCAGATGTAACCAACTGGTGAAAACTGCTCAGATTGTGGTCTACATCAAGCTTTCAGAGTATGCATGAAATACTGATGGGCTCCGAGCCAGAAAGTCGAATATTGATAGAGAGGCACTGTCAAACTGAAAGATGACTTGTTGCCTTTCCACAGCTGACGAAACATTAACTCGACAACAGAAAAATGCAAATGAGATGCGCCGAGGTAGAGACAAAATATTGTTTTCCACCAGAAAGAGATTAGATTGATAAAATACAAACAGATATTTTAAATTACAAACAGGAGGAAAGGGCAAATCCAGCGGCTCCTAACAGAATTAAATCACTTCAGAAAACCTCAGCTAAGACGGTTTATTCTCACAGAAAATGGAGACAGATGCTTCTTCTTAGAGTTTAAAAATAACTTCTTAGTTCAACACAGTAGCTGTACTTCTTTCTGTCCAGTATTGTGTTTGTTTTTATGGCTCTGTGCCCTCTGAATGACTGTTTACATCATACTTCAGTCCCACATGTACTTTTGGCTGATTCATTGTCCCTTCACTGCGTTGGAGGTGGTAAACAGTAGTATTTCTGAGGCCGACTCATGCTGGCTCGGGTTTTTGTTATTGTTGTATTTTCTGGCTGTCAGGAAGACTGAGGGGAGGAGGAGGAGGAGGAGGAGGAGAGCAGAGGAGGAGAGGAGGGGTGTTTTAGGAGCGACCAGACAAGATGTTTATGAGCCAGAGATTCACACCCAATAAAGTTAATTTTCCCATCACATCCACCAGCCAAACAATGTCTGAGGCTCTCTATTCTCTGTATGTGATTGTACATGTTTTCAAAGTAATAAAAAGGCATTATGGACCATACGTTCCTTTTGAATTCTATAAATATACTCAAAAAGGATGTGTGCATTTGCTCCGCTAAATAATACATATATTGCTCTACTACCAGTATGTAAACAGGCACAGATGTACCTTGCAGCTAGGGCAGGGCAATAAAATAACAACACAGCACTTTAACAGGTGAAGCCAACAGCAGTGTCGGTGAGAAAAAAAGAACACATGAGCGCTACCCCCAGCAGAAATGCAGATGAAGGCTCAACAGATGATGACATTGTCGACAAAACTGGCACAAAAATGTCGATTGTGTGGAGGTTTTTGGTTTTTTGAGGTTGGACATGAAGCAGAATAATGTGCATGGCAAATTACTCCAAATTCACCACCTGAAGCAGTGCCACGCGGCAGAACACGTGTAATGCAAAAGGTTACAAACCCCAAGCGGAGCAAGGAGCCCATGGTGCCTGTGCAGCCGAAACAGCCGACCATTCAGTTTGCTTTCTCTTGCCCCTTACGACAAAACGTCAGAGAAACACAAAGACCACAGAGATGCAGTAGCTTATTGTATTGCAAAAGACATACTACCAATAAGCAGTGTTAAATTTAATTTTTTATATCATGATATATATCGATTTCGACTGAGATGAAAAAAAAATATTGTGATAAACTTTTTCCCATATCGCCCAGCCCTACTTGCAGCGCAGCATGATCTGACTACATCCGCTGAAACTAGATAACTGACTAGAGCAGCATGTAAACAAAACAGACATAACTTACAATGAGGACTAAAGGCTGGTGATCCACTCAGCAAACCAGTTTGACATTGTTTACCCACAGACCTTGCGGGCTAGCATTTAGTTCTGAGTGTTTTCTAACCTAAGACGAATCAGTTAGACCAAGGACTAGAAAATCTGTCATTTTGAACATTTTTAATCTACGTTAGCCCTGTCAATGCAAGATCATCCCTGATAGAGCATCACCTTATCAGTCAGGCTTTATAAATGTTAAATGAACATGACAATTTTCAGTTTTCTGGTGCTAAATCAGCAAAAGAAAGTGTAAAATCTCTTAATTCAAATGTTGTGTCGGTAGCAGTCAATGAATCATCTGTTTCCAATGTGCCTTTAGGACAGAGTTTTCACTCTGCTGTCTCCTAAAAGTTTTCTTTTACTGTGAGTTTATGCTCATAAAAAAGTCTGTAGGGCCAAGTTGAGGTAAAGCAAATAAGATAATTTATCTGATTTCCTAGCCCCCTGTTTCCCTCCTCTGAGTCAACAAACCAAAGGCTGCAGAGTGCCAGAAGAGACACGCTCTCAGTAGTGTACTCTGCTCTTCATTAGAGCTGGAAGGCTCTGCAGGAGTCCAGGTCAGACCATCATCTGGGCTCCAGCAAACCCCCATCAGTGCCAAAACACCCAGCAGGTCGTCTTGTTACAAACACATTTTTCCATTCAGCAGAGTTACAAGCAGCTGGATGTGAATTATCTTTTCAAGCACAAATACACCGAGGTCCACTTAAAATATTGTTGGCCTCACATGAACGCTAACGCTAGTGTGCAACACCAAAACAAAGACACTGGAGCGTTAAAAATCGGGGAAATGAAGTCTTGCTAAGCGGGTATATTTGTTTTATTAAAGACTGTAGGGATGAGATTGGCTGATGAATCTTGTACAGACTGATAAAGTGCTGTTAAACTTCTCTGTGACTAAATGTAGGGGGCCAGCTTTTAAAATCTAAAATAAAATCCAGATGGTTTTGCATTTATTTAACAGCTCAAAACACTATGTTAGCTAAAACAGTAAGGAACAATTAATTAGCGCCTGTAGACTGTCTCTCACTATAGACCTATTTTTAGATGCTCATTGTTAAAGAGCTCACCAGGTCCACTTAAAGCTTTAGATACAACAACAATGACTACTGTCCTGCTGTTCTCATGTACTGTCTGTTTTTGTGTATCAAAGAGAACAAGGGGAAGCACGCCGCGTGAATCGAGTGTTAGCATGTGAAATCCAAATGTCCACGTGAAGAGCTGGTGTTTAAAGGGATTATTTTAGGCAGGAAGATAAAAGCGTCACTCAACAGAGCTCGATCATTAGTTGGTTAAATACTTGAACATTGATGTCAAGGCTGTGCTCAGATAATCAGGAGACAGTGTGAGTGGTTGGGAGTGTTTTCACTTTCAACTTACTAGGTATGGCATCAAGAAGATACTTCACAATTTATCTGCCAGGAAGGGAATGAAGAGGGCACTTTTTATTTTGTATCCACCTGGAAAGGCATCTAGAGGGCTCATTTTTTCATTTTTACCAACTAGGAAGGACATTTACAGGGTATTTTTACTGTTAATCTACTGGGATGAGAATCCAAGGGACACTTTTTTACCTTTTATCCACAGGGGAGGGCATCCAGAGGTAACTCTTTCAAGTTATTCTTTTCCTCTTGTTTTTTAAGGGGCATCCAGAGTAAGGTGACCAGACATTCCCGATGTCCGGGGACAGTCCTCGTATTGGATGACCTGTTCCCAGCGAAAGCTGTCCCCGGAAACGTCCCCCAGATTTAAGTGTTTCATGAATGAGAACAGAAATGTTGCGTGTAGACTAGTACAACGGTTATTACGGTAGCTGAGGAGATAGGAAGCATGAGTAAGCATGTTGCACGCAGTCCTGAACAACAGTTTTTCTGGGGGGTTATTACGGCTGTGCGCTGCTACTAAGTAGTGCCGAGCAGCCCATGCCTCCGCTACTGTCCTGCTCCAGATGTCCCCGGATTTCATTACAGAAATCTGGTCACTTTAATCCAGAGGGCATTTCTTTTTTATTTACCCTTCCGGTAGGGCATCCAAAAGGGTTAGAGTGTGGGTTAAGGGGGTTAGGGTTTTACACTTGATCCACTGGGGAGGATATCCACAGGGCTTTTTTTTTATCATTCATCAACAGGAAGGAGCATCGACCAGGCCTTTTTTTTTTTTACTGTTTATTCATAAGGAAGAGCATCCAGATGCCACATTTTTACTTTTTTCCTATTAGAAAAGGCACCCAGTGAGGTGGCTTCTTGACAACAAATACATCTCAACAGCAGTATACAACCCTGTTACCCTGAATTATACTCAGACAGTTTTTGTCCCCAGAGGATACACCTTTATGTCTTTGGCCAAACATAAACTTTCCACAGCTGTCACTAATGGCAAATAAACAATGCTTTGAAGGGACACCTGTTATGATGCAAAAACTCAAAGTCAAGTTTTAACTTTTAGCTTACATTTATATGAATAATATTACCTTTGTAAGTAGTACCAAGATTAGATGTAAGGTTGTGTCAAGCCATTTCCCAGTACACCTGCAAAATAAAACACTCAAAGCACTCAACTCTTTGTATTGTAAATGGGGTTGGAGGTTCGAGGTGGTCCAGGTTAGAAGCCATCTGAATGAGTGGATGACCTTTGTTACATCAGAAAGAGATAAGTGGACCCAACAGCAGCCTTTTTATACCAGAGGAGGCCGAAGCAGGAAGGTCTGTAATCCTTGAACAAGTTTTCCACATGCATGTAAAACACTGTCAGTCTCACCACCATGTTTTACAACCGCACTCTTCAGCTGAAGGTTATGAACTCCTCACTCAGTATACTTTTCTGTATGGTACTCGAGCTGACCTCCTCAGGCATTTTAATCACCTCTTTCGACATGGAAGAGATCCCAAAGCATGCTTTCGAACAGCTGATTGCTACAAAGAGGCAATCTTTCTTGATTTGTAGTCACCAGGAAACATATGGTCTGGGTTATTGTGTTAGCTACTGGAGAAAAACATACAGTACTCCGGCTGAGGCCGAGCTGCTGCAGCTTACAGAGAGCCAGAGGTGGTGAAACCGAATGATAATAACCCGAATGACTTATCTGTGGGAGTGATGATCTTTAAGCAAGATCAAAAACAACCTCCTACTTTTGTGTTGACTACGAAAACAAAACAGAGAAGGAGGAGAAATTACAGGGAGTACGAAAGTACTGACAGGATGATGGAGGACAACATTAGAAAGCAGACGATGTGATGAGAACTCAGCAGCGTCATAAATGAGGCAGAAAATGTGAAAGAGAAAAAAACACACACACATCTGCAAATCTGTGGCCTGGATTTGGATTTGATTTAATGCTCTAAACAATCCAGTATCCATTAAATCAGCCTGTTTCTTTTTTTATTTTGGAACTTTAGGAAAAAATCTGTTTTCTAGCTTTTCGATCTCGCATGAGAGATAGTCAAACACACACAAACACACACACACACACGGCAATTTACCTGACTTTCCCACTCCTGCTCTGCCGAAGACGGCGAGCTTCACCTCCGGGCTTTTGGCCATGACAGCAGCTGTGGACTGGTGAGGATCGAGGAACCAATCAGAAAGCTCCAAGGTTAGCCATCCATCCTCTTGTTTAAGCAGAAAGAAGCAGCTTCTGGGGAAACATGTAAGAGCAGTCCTTGAGTTATATAAATGTTTTTTAATGTTGACACTTGATTGTCAGACTAAGATTCAACCTTGGACGCTGTATTTTCCTCCTTGTTCGGTTACATCATGTCAGTGATTTCCTTCTCCAGTTACTGTTTATTGGTTATTCAATGATTATTAGCTTTTCAGATTAAGTCTAAGGAAAAAAGAGGACGTCATGTGGTTCAATGTTACACTGACTCCCATCTCTCTGCACTCCTGTGATTGAACATAATGTTCCCAGAATGCATTATGCCTTTTTGTTGTTCCAAATGCCCTCAAAAGAACTATTGGAGGTGAGCCTTCAGGTATCAGGCCCCCCAGAATTATCTATCCATCAGAGTCCAGGAGGCAGACCATGACCCCGTAGATGGCAAAGGTAGACTTGACTCGTGAGTCACAGCAGATGGTTGTTACCTCCGCCAAGGAGGTTATGTTTTCAGTAGCGTTGGTTTGTTTATTTGTCTGTTAGCAACTTTACGGAGAAAGTAACAGACGGATTGACCTGAAATTTTCACCAGAGGTGCGTCTCAGCCCCAGGAGGATCCCATTACATATTGGTGGTGATCCGGACAAAATTCTGGATACTGTGATCCAGAACACACAAAAATAAGGGTGAAAGATAACCAATGGGCGGCACAGTGGTGTAGTGGTTAGCACTGTCACCTCACAACCAGAGGGTCCTGGGTTCAAATCCTGTTCAGGGCATTTCTTTTTTAAGGGGGGGACATGAGCTGCTTGGCGGAGGTCTGCGCTCTCCGAGTGCTTTTCTACTTTATTATGAGTCTGGTTCTGTACAGGAATTCTAGCTGTTAAGAGCTGGCTGCTAAATGCTGAAAAGGGAATTGCTCAAGGTGAATAAATATGTGCTTTTTGTACATAATAGAACAGAAAGGCCGTCTAAACCTTGTTTTTAATAGAGTCTAGGGATAATAGTGACTTAAATTGGTGTAATATAATTAATAGTTACACTTAAACAGGCCCAAAGTGTTATGTAATGAATTAGGACGAAGCTAAAGTGGCTATTGGTGACATTTCTTTCTAAAACCGGCATGTTTTGAATTAATCCTATACCTTTTAAAGTCGGTTCAACAGGAACAAAAATGTGGGTGCTTTCCTGGCATCTGTGAGACCCAATGTATAGACGGCAGAAATATCTCAGCTATTTGAAGGGATAATCTATCATCAGTAGTCGTTACTGAAAACAAACAGCACATGAAAACTCCTCCACTCATCCTTCTGTGAAAGGCCGAAATGAAATATAGAAAGAAAAATGTGAGAAAACTAAAAACAGACGTTCAGTACACCCTGTATGGAAGAAGCTGAGAAATGTGTTTGTGTGTGGCAGTGCCAGAAAAATGTTCGCCAGCCTCAGACTGGTTGGAGTTATGAAGTGGCAAACTTCCAACTTTTCCCCTCCTCATCCACAGCAGCACGAACACACACCACATTCAGGGTTTAAGCTAACCTTTTCCCTTTTGTACCAACACACACATGCCCATATAAGGTGTTACTGCGTGCCGCTTGGTGTGGCTCATGTGGAGGTCGACCATCCATCACTGTGTCTCTCTCGGCGAGGAAGCTGTTTGAGTCTTTAAATATTATTAATGAGGACTTAGTGCCACAAATCAGACAGGACTGTCAAAACAGTGCATGACATTGAAGTAATGTCATAATGGCGAAAACAGTGACGACAGGAACATTTTGTTCCATCTCGCCAGTTTGGTTTGGAGGTGTTTCGAGTACTTATCAGACCTGTTTTTTTTTCTCCATCTACGGATAACCACTGTGTGCTGTTGTAGAGTGAAGGCCTCTCGTAATTTAGTAGTTTAGTCTTTGGAATTACCATTAATTAAAAACCTGACATTAATCGCACCCTTTATTCTGGTTCCCTGTAATTACAATCTGCAATGGCAGGTAATTTTGTGTGCATTCTTAATGCAACGATATATATATTTCCAAAAATATAACATCAATCAAAATAATAATGAATATATTGTCATATTACATCATATATTCAGTATGAGGTAGGGCTGGGCGATAAACCGAAAATTTACAGATACTGAAATTTACGACAATGACCGGTAATTTTGCCAATATCGGTTTATTCTGTGTCAAAAAATAAATAAAAGTTAGTTTTGGATGTGTGTAGGTAGGCTATGGTCTCATGTCCTACGTTGGAAATTTGACTCCACCCAATCCAGTCCATAACAAAGAGGGAAAGACAGGTGAGGAGACGGAGGCCATATCTCAGCCCTAGTATGAGGGGCTGCATCTTTTTTGTTTTGCAGCTTTCTCTTATTTCTTAACAAACTTCTTTTTTTCACATTCTGCATCTGCAGCTTGGAAAGGTTTAGCCAATCTGCTTCGTACAAGACTCCATTAAATACTTTAATTACCAATGGCCGCTCCCCTGTGATTAGAAATGAACCAGACTAACTGCTAAATGCCAGTGCGTGTGCAATAACATTAAAATTCATGAACCCTAATCAAACTGTTATTCCAGCAGCAGTCGTGTACACGCATGTGTTTCCCGTTTACTTCAGCTGAATCAAACTCGTTTAAATGGAGTAGAAGCAGCCAGTCTTAACAGCTTGTATGGCTCCTGTATATCACCACAGATTTTATATTTCAGGTCCACATCACTGCAAAGCTGCCCAACTCTCACCCACGCAACAGACGGGAAACACCAGGGAGAAAGGAGCTTAGCAGTGTCTCCCTACTGATGTGGTCATTTCTCTTCGGATTTTGCCATTTATGGCCTCCACCCACTCCACCCACCACCATGACACTCAGTGTGCAGCGGCTAACATCAACACATTTAAACCCTCCTCTTGAGAACGGTGTGATGACGGTCTAAAAAGTGTTGCACATACACCAGACAACAAATCAATAAAGCACCGTCCATACACTTGTGCATACGTTTCTGAACATGCAGAGATTTAGAGAGTAAGAAAACAACCAGTGAACAGTTCAACGCATAAAGGGAGAGTCCTTTCCATGGTCTGGATAATCACAATCCCTGCTGTCTCAACTGCATGCACATAGACATGCAATACCCTGTTTACCAAAGCATGACACCAAGACTGGAATCAGGAACAGAATCTTGGCTTTAGCTCCGTCAAAAATGAAAACACCTGGATGTGTTGTGTCTTGTAGCAACACCTAAGCAAGCAAACAGATATCGATCTCCTCTGCTGACTCAAGCGGCAAGTTCAACCAACTCCAAGGGGAGTGTCTCACTGCTGCTGGATGCTTTTGCAAATTTGCTAGTTTCTAACTTCAGTTTATAAACTTGTGCAGGGGAGACTGATCTGTAAGACTCACTATATCCACCTTTGGAAATACTGAGCAGCTCCGAGAATACATTTAACTCCGTTCTGATTGGTCGCAGCCCCATGGCAACAGTTATTACAGTAATTCTCAACATCAAATGTGATGCCCGGGTCAAACTTATCAAACATGTCACCCCGGATCAATCTGTGGAGAGCAGCCCCCACACACTTCACCTCTGCCTTTTGACACTGGAGAGCAGAATAAGGACGGATATGTCAACATAAATGTACCTGCAGAAGTCCTGTTCACCCTCGTCTTACGTTCACTTTATTGGAAATGTTCAGTTTGATGTTATTGACCATGAGTTAAAACAGGCAGTTTGATGTTAAATTGGTGTTGCAAATAGGGAGCTGTTACTGTGACAGCATTGTGACCATGAAACTGGAAGGATTCAGGATTTCATTGTAATCAATACAATCATCTTCTGCATCGGTCCTGCTCACACTGTCATTATTCTAGGATGCATAATCACCAGCTCCCATTGTATTGTACTTGGTGAAATGCATAACAGTCTCAGACCACTTGTAGCACTTGTCTGTTAAAGAAAGTAAAGCTAATTTTACACACTAAGTCTGATACACACCAAAAAAAACACTAGTTCTCAATTTCTTATTGGTCAAAACAATGAAAATATTCTGCTTGGCTTCAGTTAAAAGACAGACCTCAGGACAACACTGCTGAAAAAAACAAATTCCAACTTTTCCAAATGGCATTTCATTTTTGGTCATGAAAAACACACAAAGAGTACAGTACTTGAACTGCCTCCCCAGACCAAAGCAAAAAGGTCAAAACCAACTACGGCATGAAGCAAAAGGTGCACAACCTGCTTCTGATTTCATCCTCTTTTTTTACTTTCACAAAGCTCCAGTTTTTTTTTAGCCAGAAGCTGTAAAATGGATCAAATAAACACATAAATGAGATTGATGGTCTAATGAACCCTGCGCCCTCTCTGTAATATCCACATTTCAGCTATTTTCACTCCTAAATCTCTGCTCTACAGGGACTCCTTCCAAACTGTAATACTAGGCACATGTCTATTTTTCCCACAGTGTGCCCAGCTGCTTTTTGTGTCATTTTTAACCTGAGAAATGAATCTGGGTGGTGGTGCTGTGGTTCACAGAGATTATAGACCTCTGAGCTCCAAACCGAGGGAGGAGACCTGCTACGCCACAGGGCTATAGAAAGACTACAAACCACAGGCCTGTCATCAAGATACATACAGTGGACTGGTGCACTGCCTTTGAGGGAAACCAGTGAAACCAGTAGAGGGGGAAAAAAGTTTGAACATCCTACTCATACAGAGGGAAGTATATTTTAGTCACCTGACAGAAACTGTTCCAGAAAGAGTCACGAACTAAATTTAAGAAGTCACCAAAAAGGGTTTTGACGTTGTTTCATCAGCTGAGCAAGAACCTGGCCTCTGGATAACTACTGTTGTGTCGTTTATGAACATTTCTTTCAAAAGACTGGAACTGCTGAGTGAACAACGTGAATGGAATCACCCGAGACCTGATTCGTTCCTTTCTCAATTTAGTTGAGCTCAGCCGCGAGCCTGGCGTGCCGATCGAAAGTGGAACTTCCTCCTTTGACGAACGACACACAGCGGGAGGGCAGGCGGCGTCTCGTGATTTGCTCACAGCGAATGAACGATACGTAACAGTCAGACCGTGAACAAAATGAACGACTTCCGAATGACTTGATGCAGACAGAGGAGGAAGAGATGTAGCGTCATTCACGAACTGCCGAGCACCAATTCGTTCACTGAGGCTAAGATAGAACAGTGCATTATGGTGCCTTTACATGAATACACATGTGTAAACTTTCCTGCAAGAAGGATTTAATTTCAGCCAATTTAAAGCAATACGCCATTTGATATCTTTAAAAGTATCAAAATCCCTACTACAGCTGCGATGTTTATTTATTTCTAAACTCTCCACTTTTCCATGATATAAAAGAATGACGACTTGCACTCGTTTAGTGGGCGTGCTGCTTGCTGCTGTGTTGTTTCCGCCAACAGCGACACACAGAGAGGTGAGTTTTTCAGGGCAGGGAAGTGATTCTTCCTTCACAACTTGGCAAATGAACGACATGTGTCACCCAGTGAACGACGCTGTGACTTCAGCAGCAGGGGAGGGGAGGGGCTTGTTCAATGAGGCTCCGAAGTACTGACTGATTTAGTGAACGAATCTTTTGAACGAATCGTTTTAATGAATGGATTCAAAAGATCTATTATAGTCAAAAGAACTGTTCTTCCCATCACTATGGATAACGCTACACACTGTACCTTTAATGTCCAACACTGACACATCATAATTCTCATTGTCAACTATTAAACAGAATTAAAATATTAAGAAATAAGTTAGAGTTGGAGCTGCCATCCATGAGCTCAGCATACAGGCGCTACTTTTGAGTGTGTGACTTGTAGATGAAACTAAAATTAAAGAAGTGAACGACAGTGCTTTCTAAATGGGTGTCAACTCAACATTGTGGAAGTCACAGGTCTTACAGACGTCCTCAGGTTGGCATGTCGTGTCTCTGTATGAAATCGAGAAAGCAACCAACCTGGAACTCCTGAAAAGTGCAAAAGCTGTCCCATCAACAGGGAATCGCTGGACATCAGAAAGAAACCAAAGAGTTGGCTCTTACTGGACATGTTGTGCTTACACTCCTGCAATAATGTGTGTCCCCTTATTTCACAGAATAGCCACGGTGAAGCTGTCTACTACCACTGAGTCATGGTTTTCACTGAGGTAGCGGTGAAGCAGCACGGCATTAACTTGAATAAAAAATGCAAAGTTGAGGTCATAAAGCGTATTTTATTGCATTCCTGTTGGGTCCTGTTTTACTGTAAGGCTATAAAGCCATATTTAATTTGTTACCCATACATTTAATAACTTTCATCATATATAAATTTGAGCTAATAGCAGCCCCAATTTCTTTCTGTATGATGTTAAAGCTTCTTCTCTAAAACTCATATAGCTGTTCTCATTTCAGCTGCTATCACCCCCAGAGTTTCTTCAGGCACCCCTGGGATTTCCCTGGACCCTGGTTTGGCAAGCACCAGTGAAGGACGTGCTGACTGATCCTGTAAACCCCACTGAGATGTGGACTATTATGCAACACTCAGAGCAGCTCGTGAATGCCAATTACGTCCACGAGCCCTACGGGAGGAGGATGACGTAGATGATGCACCAAAGTGCAATAAAACTGTACATTCAAGGAGACTTTGAATACAACTTTAACCTGCACTTTTTTAAAAGTAATAACCCAAATGACTGATTATAAATTTAAGACTGCTGTTAAAAATAGAACAACTGAACAAGAATGCAACAAACAGGATTATTTCCATGTGAAAAATGTCCCACACTTCAAAACATCACATGAAAATACAGCTCCAGCAAAACCGCACAGGTACATGTACTGGAAAAATATGAATCCTCCTGGCCTGACCACATGTTTAATTTCCACTCCTCAATATTGCAGTGCTGCTGTCTAAAAGAGAATGTACACCTTACATGAAAACACCGGTGGGGAAACTCACCAACAGCCGCTGAATGTGGTGATAATCTCCCAGTGAATCTGCGCTGATCAGGAAGAGAGGAAATTGGATGAAGTTGCCAGGTCCGCTAAATAAAAAATGATCCGTCTGACCTTCCCAGATGCGGACGCACGGACAGCTGGATGTAGAGCTGAATGAACAGGCGGGTGGATGGACGGAGACTCGGTCTGGACTGACGCTGCAGCTCCTGAGTCCCTGAATGAATCCCTGAAACTGACGGTCAGTGGGAATATAAGGAGCGGAGCTGCGGGAGTTCCTGACACTCTGCTGCCTCTGACCGGGCTGCTGCTGCTGCATGCCGCTGCATGTTCACTCTGTATAGCAGGACAGCGCCCTCTTGTGGCAATACAACATAATTAACGCATGCTCCAGACTTTCTGAGTATCCAGATCCATGTCGAGGATCAGGGGAAATATTACTTTATTTGTACCCTCAGGTAAATTTAGTTTGCAGTGAATCACATGTATGGCAGTAGACGAACAAACAGCACAATACATGCAACAGGGCATACATGTAAAGTGACAACAGTACTCAGTGGTAAGAGGTTAAAATGAATCATATAAGACCAAATAAAACTCAGTAAAACCAACAGCTCTCAAAGTTTCCTCCACGTGTTAATTATGGCTCATGGCTGATGGAATAAAACTATTTTTGTTCCGCTTGGTTTTACAGGCTGGTACCTTGAGCCTCCTGCCTGATGGGAGCAGCTGAAATTCAGCATTGGAGCCTTTAAATGATGGCTCCCACCCTCACCAAGTTAGACACCCCCTTGAGAGATGAATGTTGCTGACCACTTGCTTCTCTAGTTATACCAACTTTAGTAACGACTGCACAATAGCAATACACAGCAGTCTATAGAGCCATACTCACACCTCAACCAAAATGCCACTCTGTAGCCACAGATTATACTCAGAACAGCACCTAACCTAACGTCATCAACAGTACATATAGGGTCCCAGCCACCAAACATCTTTTTAACTTTGCCTGATTTCTTAAGCAAAGACACTAAACACAACTCACCTACTCTCTTCCAGCAGCCGCTTGTTTGTAGCGAGACTTCAGATGAGTCGATCACCGGTTGCAGCTCAAGGAAGAACATTTAGGAACATTACTTTATCATTTCCTTGAAGTAAATATCATCATAATAATCATTTTGCACTGCAGACGCGGTAGTACTTCTGTCTTAGTGTTTCAGTCCGATTACATTTCCATGAAGAAGTTATCATAAATGTTGTTACTTGAGCTGGGTAACCCCGCTGCACTTCGTGATTGACTCGTCAGAACTCTCCCTACAAACAGAGAAGTTAAACCTGGTCAAAACAATAACAGAGACAGTGACAGCAGTCACAGGCATTATAATGTGAAGCACATGAATGTGACACTTCAGAGGCAATGGGAGTAGGTTAGACCAGGTGTCAGGGCCCCCTAGAGGCGGTGGGGCCTTAAGCATGAAGGCCCTTAAGTTGCCTATGCTGAATTGACTAATGTAATGCTCCTATTTCTAGAGCAATATTCAGCTACTCCAAAAGTCACCTGCAAGAATGCTGACTAAGACCAGAAGGAGAGTCCACATCACACCCACTGATCTTGCACCAACCCATTTATCAGATTAGCTTTTATCATATGAGAGGCTCTCACAGACTGACTGGCAGAGGCTTCATGTTAGTGCAGAGGTTGTGCTTTGCAGACGTCGTAGTGCTACTGTAGCCTATATTGTACTGTTTTTCTGGTCATTATCATCAGGATTTAAGACCCTGTTGGTTTTGCATTTGAAATAAAAATGGACTAAAGCCAGGACTTTGTTCCGTGTTGTCAGACTTTTGCGCTCTACATAACTATTTACACGAACTGTGGTTCAACTTTGTGGCGCTTAGGGGAAATGTGGTGAAAGTGCCAAACACCTGAACAGTCTCAGAAGTATCTGAGTTCGGTTTCGTTCAGCGCACGCCCTCCCACTTTCTGCACTTCTCTATTCAGCTTTTACGCACGACTCCAGAGCCAGAGGTTCCTGTGAGCCATCAGAGAATGAGTGATGGTTTGCCGTCTCTGCACGAAGATGTTCCTGCTGCCTGCTCTGTTGTTCATTCTCTGGGGAGGAACAGGTCTGTGTCTGGAGGAGGACGGAGGGTTCCACTTCAAGGGAGACATCCGCCACTACGCCGTAACCAATGGCACGGTTTATATCGCAACTGAAGAGATGCTGTACCAGCTGAGTCACGACCTGACTCTGGTCCAGAGTCTGACCCAGAGGGGGATCTTGGAAGACGCTCTTCAGTCGTTTAACGCAACTTTCAGTGTTAACGTGTTGTTGCCGCTTGTTGCCGATAACAATCTGATAACATGTGGTTTGACCGATAACGGGTGTGGTTACTGTGAGCTGCTGGACTTGAAGAACATTTCCAACGTGCTGTACCGGGAACTCATCCAGGTGGGGTCTCTGAGGCGCAGCAGCGCGTCCGTGAGTTTCCTGGTGAATGTGGAGACTCAAACCCGGACAGAGACTTACATTCTGGCTGCTGTTCAGCAACACAGAGTCGAACCGACAAAGGACATCTGTCCCTCTGTGTCAGCGGCAGTGAGCCTTCATAACACCAATAACGATCAGATAGGACAAATTTTTTCTATTAGGAGCGAGGACAGAAATCCTGAGATCAAACTTGAGGGCGATGCGGAGTTTGTGGATGGATTTCAGATTAACTCCATCATTTATCTCTTTTCTAATCTGCCCTCAAAATATGAAAGAAACAAAGTCCGTCTGCTTTGGCTAGATGGCAAAGGAGGTAAAGGTAGGACTGTTCGGTCGTTGCGGGGCGCGACCCTCAGTGTCTCTGATGGAGGTGAAGACCGCAGACTGATCGCCTCCTCGGTGATCCCTGGCGGTCCGCCGGTGCTCTGGAGCGGTGTGTTCAGTGTGGGCGAAGGACAAACAAACACCGAGCTGGTGGTGTTTGACATCAGTCCTGATCTTAGAGGAAGGACCGATGTGGACCCGGACTTCTGCTTTGACTGTGTTGCCAGGAACAGACCAACGGTGGGTGGTCGTCAAATTATGTTGCTTTAATGAGCACTTGTGTCCACATCCATCTTTACCTCAAACATATCATTTGTTTAAGAGTTGATTCAACTTTAAAACAGCTCTCTAAAAGAAAACAAGATTATATTATTTGGATAAAGAGTCTTCTTTTCTCCCAGGGAGGTTTTGCCTCAATTCTAAAATTGTTTACAATTAGTAGAAAATCAAAAGTATTTAAACTAGTTCAAAGTGCAGTCTTGTCTCCCCTGACAGCTTTATATATATATATATATATATATATATATATATATATATATATATATATATATATAGCAGTGGCGGCTGCTGGTCTTTCAATGAGGGGAAGCTCATTTTTCTGGCCTACATCATAATTGTATTTGTTTATTAGTATGTAACAGAACAGAGTCGCCAAACACAACGGCAGTCGTTTTTAATAAAGACAGAAGTCGCTGAGGATCGGTAAAGTCTCCGGAGCAGTTAAGAACAACGGAATGAATGACTTGGAAAATGCTCTGGTAGATGTTTTATTCTTCAAGATCGCTGATTCGCTTGTTTAGCTGTCAATCAAAAAAGGATTTCGCCTCAGACAGCTCATCCAATCATGGATGCAGAAGCTTGGAGTCCGGGAGAAAGTCGGGACCGCCCTCTCGCCATAGAACTCCAGTGAAGCTAAGCTTCCGATGGGCGGGACAAAGCCCAGCATTTATCCAATGAGCGTCTAGTTTCGCTGCTGGAACAACCCAGTTTTAACTTCCACATTGAAGTCAGCAGAAGCCCAGCGTCCGGCTGTTTAAAGCGCTGAGGCGCTGCGAGGATGAATGAGAACGAAGTTATGCCGGTAACCTGTAATTATCAGCTTCTTATCACAGTGTCTGAACAAAAGATGAAGGCTCTCTAGTGCATATTTAGTTAATGAAATGTACACACAGCAGTACGTATTTCACCACTTTTTCTTTTTTTTGGGGGGTGACATTTAAAGGGAAGCCGAGCTTCCCTTGCAGTCTTAGAGCAATCGCCACTGATATATATATATATATATATGTATATATATATATATATATATATATATATATATATATATATGTTTTTGTTTTGTTTTAGGAACTAAGTTTTACTAACTGAAGCTGAACTTATTAAACAATCAATTCAGTTCATGAAGTTCAATAAAAGATAATGAGTCAGTTTATGAAGCAGGTTTAGAGTTGGAGCCAAAGTATAATTCATCACCTTTACATCTGTACTTATACAATCAAAACAAAAATTTGGCGTCTAATTATGAATTTATTGTTTCTCAGCCAAATATTCTGAAGCCAAAGGCAGTGATCTTCAGGCAGAACTACATGACCTCTGTGCTGGCAGTGAGACAAAAGGCCTGGATAGTTTTCTTCATCGGGACAGGAGATGGACAGCTTATTAAGGTGAGTGTACAAAGGGACATGCAGCATGGGAACAGCTGCTTTGAAAGTAGGCTTAGTAGGCTACCTTGAAGTAATAACCACTTTACAGCAGTAGGCTTTTCATTCTCTTAACTAAAATTATGGTGATGAATGCTCGTCAGCGACCGCTCTTTTCCACACCATTTATTTTTTGGTTTGAACATTATTGTTGCTGTCTGAAAGTCATTCAAATCAAAAAGTTTTAATGTTTTTAAATGTAGGAATAATAGATTTGCATCGTCCTGATACGCAGCGTTGTGTGTGAGTATATGATCATGACTTTTTATTAGATGAAACCAGTGACATAAAACCTGTTTTGCTTTGTAAAACGCTGCAACAGAGTCCTCAATGTTACATAAATAATAAGTGATAATAAGTGATTCTCATAGGACGGTGTGCATATTTTGTACAGCTGTTCAGCTAATTTGAGGGCCAGTCAGGCAGCTGCACGGGCTGAAAATTTCTGAAACATTTCCTGCTCTCAGTAATTCAAAACATGGTGTTAATTTTAAAGACACTTCTTTTATCACATTATGGACAATATCTTTGAACTTTTTCATATTCAGTTTTATGGTGAAAATTTAGCTAAAAGAAATTTATGTCAAATTTAACTGTTAAATATTAAATCCAAACACTGAGAACACATCTTACTTGGCTTAAAGTATATTTTTAAAGCACGAATAATGAGCTACAAGTGTGCATTTAAAACAGCTGATTATTGTACAAAATGATCTGTCATAGCATAATAGTAAATGACTAGTTACTTTTTGCCGTGCACTGGACTTGAATTACCATCTGGACCTTTTCCTATTGGAAGTGTGCAGGAAACTCACCTTTATGACACTGAAAACACACAGAGATAGAACAGGCATATAAAGAATCATAAAAAGTAAAAGTACTTTTAAAGCAGTGCAAGCATAATACGGTTCAAAATGGTTTCAGTTGATCCATGAGAGCAGGAATACATTTAAGTATATTGAAAAAGCTCAAAGCTGAACTTCAGCCTTTCTTTAAGAATGTTTAACATACTAAAAGTTTTCTAAAGGAACACACCCAATATGCACCTAGTTTAACACAAAAAGAATGTGTCCGGTCCACCAGGAGTTAAATGAACTCAAGCATACTTTTTGTTCACCTCAGCAATGATCATGTAGCTTTCAGTCTAGTTCATTGCAGTCAGCCACAATCATGGTGGGGGAGGTTGTCGATGTCGCACCTTCACCGTGGAAGGTACGCCACAGAAGATAGTTGCTGACAAGGCGGACTGTTCTCACAGCTCTATAAATAGTGTATCAGTGGAAAGTCAAGTGTGATATAGTTGTGCAACAGATATGGCCATCTATGTCCAGAGTCCTTCAAAAAAAATGTAAGTCAGATGTTGTATCTCATTTGGGGATCAAGATCCTTGAGTCTGAAGGAAGAGTGGGGAAACACAGAATCTAAACAAATCGAAGTCCAGCATCAAGTTTCTGCTGTCTGTGATAATTTGTGGTGCAATCCCTCACCAAAAGAAGTATGTTGAAGTGTACTTCAAGTATACTCTTTTTAAACTTAGTATGCTTTCAGTTTACTTTTGATGGACTTTTCAAAGATATCCTTAACAGTTAATGTTAAGTATACTTGGCTTGTACTAAGAATTATACGAAGTACATAAAAGATATAAATAAATAAAGGTATGCTTCAGAGTGTACATTTATAAACTAAAAAGGGGACTAGAGGTTTATTACTGGTAAACTAATAGTTTACCAGGAAGTTTACATTAATTATGCTTCAAATGTACTTATATAAACTATATTGGGCCAATTTAGTCCCAAGAATTTTACTTATTACACTGGTACACTGGTACACTGGTAGTATATTTGTATCAGTGTACAAAGTATACTTTGGGAAGTATACTAGAATGAACTTCAGTATACTTCATAAAATATACTTGAGGTGTACTTTTTTTTGGTAAGGGATGTTATCTGTTACTGTTAACTTACTGTGTTTTATCAACTCCAAAGTCAACTAAACAGTCTACCAGGAGATTGTAGAGCATTTCATGCTTCCATCTTCCATCAAGTACCTCATAAAACTGCACTTCAAAACAGTTTATTGAGTGTTGTTACAAGGAAAGGTGATGTAACACAGTGGTAAACATGCCCCTGTCCCAACTACTTTGGCACATGTTGCAGCCATGAAATTCAGTGGAGGCTCTTGAATACCACAGACTCAAGTGTTGCTAAATATGTGTGTAGCTACTCAGTCTCTGAGAAACATAACGAAACCGCGTTTTTGTTTTCAGCTTGCTGTGGACAAGAACTACCAGACCATCTGTCCAAAGGTGCTCTACAAAACCAGTGATGACCGTCAAGTGTTTTCAAAACTACGTCTGGATCAGGTGGATCTGAAACATGTGTATGTGCCATTTCAAAACCAGGTAATGTTGTATTTATATATCAAACAAAAGATGTGATGAAAATTGAAATACATGAAGATATTCTGGCTTTTTTTTTTTTTGCTAATCTTTAACACATGTTTTCTGTATTTTAAATTATTGCCACATTGATTTTATTTATTTAGATCAATCGTGTTCCTGTGTCAAAGTGCAGCACATATAAAACTGTGCAGGATTGTTTGTCTGCACAGGATCCATACTGTGTCTGGTGTGGCCCTGAAAGAAGGTTAGAAACATCATCTGCAGTGAACATCAGTGAAGGAATTTAAAACTTGGATTAGACTTACCTTTTTTCTTCTCCTAGCTGTACATTTGAAGAAAACTGCCAAGGCTCAGACTGGTTGTCCATTCCTGATGATTCTCAGCACAAAATGGTTTCCTATCAAGTTACACAGGACCAGACTGGACAGGTAGAGATTAGGGTTAAGTTCTGAGTTATGATGAGTTGTGGCACTCTGATAGTATATTATTTATTTACTCCTATCTGGATATGTTTCAGAACACACTTAACATCCAGGTGCATGTGACTGGAGGTGAAATGGCGCTCTCTAACTTTGCCTGTCACTTCTCTACAAGTTCCACTGAGCGCTTTAAAATGGAAAACCCGCGTCCACAGTTTCCACATTGTTCTTCCACCCTTGAAGCAAGCACACTTCCTGCTGGAGGTCAATCATTTATGATGGATAATATATAATATGATAACATTTTAAAAATGTATAATTGTTATATTTAGTATATATTTTTTTATTAAAAAAGGACTGCCTATTGTTGTAAAGATCAGACTTGGTTCATCACAGTTGATTGAGAGGCTGAACCTGCTCAACTGTACGGACATCAGCGGACCATCAACACCTGTCCAGTAAGTCCTCCACTGTTTTCTACTAATCTAAAGTCCTTATTTTGACCAGACTGGGAGAGCTATCAAGAGAACAAAATCTGGTTCCATGTAATACAAGGTGCAAAACGAATACAGACGGTTACCACTCTACCCCTCCATACACTCTCACACTCTCACACTCTCTCTCTCTCTCTCTCTCTCTCACACACACACACACATACACACACACACACACACACACACACACACACACTCTCTCACACTCTCTCACACACACACAAACTTTATTGTGTTTTCATTTTTAATTTTGTGGATTGCAGTGTTTCCCCTCTTTCTTTAATTGTATTCTTACTTGTTGACCACATGTCTGCGTTGCTATCTTATTTTATCTCATAATAATAGATAAAATCTTAACCTTATTTGTAAAGTACCTTTAAAAACAAATGCTTACAAGGTGTTCCCATCTGTGATGAGACCAATTAGGAATCATTCATTCATTCAAAGTTTTCTCAGAGTTTATCAGCACATGAACACAGGAGATATCTTTTGACATCCCGCGTGAAAGTCCACCGAGTAGTTCACTAAGATTTCCAACTCAAAAAATTGAACTTTTACTCAACCAAATGATGATGCTGCTGCTCAAAAACTTCATGTAAACTCTTCATGTAAAAACTGTTTTGCTTTCAGGTGTCAAAAGTGTATTAATGCTGGATGTGCCTGGAACACAAGCGGCTGCTTTTGGGCAAATCAAGGCGTCAGGAATGTAATTATGCATGTTTTTATTCACTGGTATAAAAATGGCTTTTACTTGGTTTAGATAAAATGCCACTTTTATGACTATTTTTCTTTCAAGCTGCTGAACTTACTCCTCACTGCTCTTTCTGCAGGACAGTGTTTGCCAAATGATGGAGTCATCGATGGACTTCCCTGTGAGTCCACCATTTTTGCTTTGCAGGCCTCAATTACCTTCAGTATATCCAAATATTTGCAGATTGTAGTGTATAAAATCTAAATAAAACTGTTACCTTTTGTTGGTTTGACTGTCAGAGACCACAGATCTCCTCCATCACTCCCAGTGTTGTGTCTTTCCACGGCAAAAACCACGCAGTGTTGTCTGGTCGTAACCTTAGTTCTGTGATCAGAGTAAGAATCCAGGCAGACCTGGAATGCACACAACAGGAGTAAGTCAGTTTATGGGTATACTAAAACGCTGGACTCCAATAACTGAATTTGACATATTTTAAAATATTCTTTGTCCAGAAAAGTAAATTGTAATCTCTGTGAATCTCACCGCATAAGTTTCTCTTTGTCTCACTCTGTGCACTCTGGTTAGGTCTCCTGTTTGGAGCAACACTGGTGAAACTCTGATGTTCCACATACCCAGTGCAAAATTTAAAGGTGTGGCCAAAGTATGTGCTCTTCTCCCAGATGGTAGTTGCCATGGTAACACATTTATCACCTATCGCTCAGCACCATCCTGCCCCAGCATTTCACCTGAAAGCACCTGGTTCAGGTATGACTGTTTTAGGACTATAGAAACTATAGAAATATTAACATATAGACTTGGATAAACTAGACTTTACTTAGGATAAGACTGATGGAGTTTAGTGACAAAAAAAAACAACCTTTGCAATGACTTGGCATGGAGGCAGTGCAGATTCTGCTTTAGTAATACCTGTTGAAACAAAAGAAAAGTAACCAAGCAAACATAACTGAGGAGATTCTGGGAGGGGCTGATCCCACTACAGAGGCCTTTTTATATTTTCATATGAAACATTGTACAGGTGCAAGAACAAACATTTCAAGTTGATCAGACCAGGTGAAAGTTTTTAGGATCTGCTGCTGGTCTGATCTGGTCTGATGACTGCCAGAGGTCTTAGTAATCAATGGGAATCTTTGAGGTGCAAGAAGACTCTGTGAGAACAAATACTCAGATGACACCCCTAGTCATACCTGACGTTACATCTGTAGCTCTTTTCTTTAGGGCAATGAATGAATGAATTACACTGTTATTTGCATTTGTAGGTAATCCTGATATTGAAGTGTTAGCCACTGTTGTATGTTTAACACAAAATTCATTCTCTGATATCCAGAGTGTGAAAATGTTTGTTTTTGTTTGATTGTATGCTGCTATGTGTACTGTAGTGGGAAAAGAAAGATCACGATCAGTGGATCTCACCTGGAGTTTGTAGAAGCGGTCATACACAGCAAAGTCCTGCAGGAGGTCAGACTGGCAGGAAACGACAATAACCAGGTGAATCTATGGAAACAGACAATGTCCCGTCATACTTTGATAACCATAACATGCTGCACTTTTGTACATTTACAAATTTTACAAGTTTGAGCATTAGCATCAACATTAGCCTATCAGAGACAGCAGTTAGAGAGCCTCATGGCAGTTTTTTCTCGAGAATTTAACATTAAATAAAATAATATTCAGAAGTCAAACACGAGCAGAAAGAAAAAGGCATAAACTGGCATAAACTGCAGTCTGTGGTGAGAGTAGCACAACATGGAGTCTCATATGAAATCAGAGAGCCTCCATCTAGCGGTGCTAGTCGGTACTGCTGTAACATTACATTTAAAAGACTGTTCCTGCAGGCCTGAGGTCATATCAGGGCTTGTACAACAAATATAACAGAACATATGTCTATTATTCATGCCTCAGAAATTTTTGACGCAAAGAGAAATTGTCTTTAACGCATCAACTTTGACAGTCCCAGTTTCCATAGTTTATATAGTGACATGACTGCAGGTTCGCTGAGTTTACAAGCTCCACAATGTCATATCATGAAACACTATAAAGACTTTACAGTGATTGTAACACAGAATTGTTTTTACAGGGGCTAAAGACTCTCACCTACGACTCACCTGCAGCTGAAAATGCTCATGCGGCTTTTTCCAGCACTCTGACCCTGAAAGTAGCCAATGAGAGCTTGATCTGTCCCACATAAATAACCTACTACCCAGACCCTGAGTTTACAAGCTTCACGTCCACAAAAGCAGGAGACAGTGTCCACATCACTATACAGGTACACTTTAAGCACACATGTACAAATATAGGACATGAATGCATAAATGATCAGCATTTGTCTATGTTTTGATTTCAGAAAAAGGAAGATAAACTGGAGATGACCAAAGCAGAGTTGTCTGTGTGGGGTGTTCATGAGGGAAAGAAGTACCCCTGCATCATGACAAATATGCCTTAGAAGATGGATTTAATCCTCTGTGAGATTCAAAACACACAAGATGTTACTGATACATTTGAGGAGCTGATGGTAAATCTTTAAGACACAATATGCCAGAAATACTGTGTAAAACGAAAATGAAAATAGTGAATTTAGAAGCAAACAATTCTTCACTTAGTTGTCTCTTAACTTCTTTACAATCCAAAAAAAATACATACATTTCTTTTTGACAGATACAGTATGGAGGCCAAACAGTAAACCTTAAATTTTCATTACATACATATACTGTGATGCTGCTACGCCTTCTGATAATACCTTTCATTATTCTAGGTGAGTACTCACAGTGGGACCGAGTGATTAAACTTATTTCAACACTAGTTTTAAATGAAAAACGGTCAAACCTAAATACGAATAATATCTATTTCCTATTTTGAATAAACCTCACGTGTTCTTGATTTGTCTTTTAGCTTTGTTGATCATCTGTTGGTGGCATCATAAGAGGTTCACTCCAAGGGTGACCAAGGCGGTGGAAGACCTGGAGCTCAGGGAAGGTCAGCGTACAGGCTTTAGTAAAATAAGAAGTTGCAGTAGTGTTTTCTGTAGATTTGTCCTGTGAGTATTAGCTGTGTGAAAAAGTGATAATGATCATGTCTCTTTTTTTGGTTTACAGACTTCTGCAGAAGATCCACCGGTGCATCCTTCCTCTGAGCTCCAGAGGTAAAATGCAAAGATCTTCCACCATCTCAAGTGGATGGTAGTAGAAAGGGCGTGGGAGGACACATTTTTGTCGTCGTCCTCTGGAAAGTCTTGTTATTTTTATAAAGACAACGAAAACTTTGTACACAGAACTTTTTTTAATCAGAATTATTTTTACATTTAAAGCTGAACTGCTGATAAAATACCTGACTGACAATTGCACCGAAAAGTGTGGCCACCTAAATATTACTAAATTATAGCGACTTTTTAATAGACTAAGTTACACCTGTTGATAACAGTTAACTCAGATTGGGGGATCTAATTCAGGCACTTAGACATGAAGTTCTCTTGCTTACATCCGACCCAACAGTGATTGTAATATTGCAAATTTTGAAATAGTCATGATGAAGGTTTAATAATAATAATGCATCAGATTTTTATAGCGCTTTATATCAGTGACCGTAAAGCACTTTACATTGGATACATTATTCATTCACCCATACAGTCATAGACTGGTGGTGGTAAACTACCCTAGTAGTCACAGCCACCCTGGGGCAGACTGATGGAAAGGTAGCTGCCAGTGTGCGCCTATGGCCTCTCCGACCACCACCACAACATTCACATTAATACACAAGTAGGGGACACACACTGGTTGCAAGGTGGGTTAAGTGTCTTGCCCAAGGACAGGACAGACTAGGGATAGGGTGTTATTGAACTGCCAACCTTCCAATTATTGGCCAACTGCTCTACCTCCTGCTGCCATGGTTTAGTTTGTCTCCTAGATAATGGCAGCCTCAACCTGCGCTGTGCATACTTAGATAAACCCGTATGTCTGCTGTTCTTACAGCAACTAGGGCAGCACCACATATCGTTTGAGCATCGTCATCGAGATGTACTTATGCACGATAGTGGCATTGCTGAGACTACGATGTCGAAGGCGAAAGAACTCCTCTAATTTGAAGGGTTGCTGACTGAGATACATTGCATGTGACTCTGCATGTGCTGTGCAGCGATCCACCAATCACATTCGTTCTTTACTCAGCTGCCAATCAGACTACCCTGCCAGCCGTCAATCAAAATCAGAGAGGAGGAAACCACGCCCCTGCACATGGAGCGAGTCGATGGTGCTGGTGCATGTACCGAGAATTACTTTCGGAACATTACTTATCACTGTTTAGCCCAACAAGTAAGAATCCTATGGGGTTTAAATTGTACATTTTCGTGAACCATTCTACTGTGACCGGTGCGCGTTTTGCGAGGTGCATGCAGGCTGACATGCGTTTAATTCTCGGCACAACACCGGTTACAACAACGATTCCAAAATGAGAAACGAACGAAAAGAACCGAAAATGAAGACTTGTCGGCAAAAAGAAAAGCAACGTCACTTCTCGACGAAGATGAAGACTTGTCGGCAAGAAGAAAAGCAAGGTCACTTACCACCGAAGATCTTATCGGCAAAAAGAAAAGCAAAGTCACTTATCTGCAATTATTTCTGTTACTAGAAGGACGGCGTCACCAAACACTTGTCTGTGTCGCAGTGCCTTTCATCTGTTGCCACAATAACGTCCCAGCACAATAAAAGCTAAAAATATCTCTGAGACAGACAGAAGCCATTCTACTAACATTCACAAAAAGAGGTAAGATCAGTGCAGGTTAGTTGTCCTCAAGATTTCAGTATTGCAGTATAGCATAAAGTGCTATTCAGGTAATCTGGTGAAAATTCCTCTATTTTTTGATATCACTATATATATCGTAGTGTTGAAAAAAGTTGCCATGTTAGGTTTTTCCAATATCGTGCAACAGCATGATATCAACAGCAACCGATTATAATCTTTGTTGTGCTTTGGGGACATATTTCTCCTCTAACTTTTAATCTTGTGTAAACTCCTGTTCAGCAACAATTTTCATCAGTGTTTTGCAGTTATAGTGTCACAAACATTGGCATTATTAGTTTGGCTATATATTTTTTAGATTTTCTTTGTGACTCAGTATTGTTGACATCTTCCTAAAAGAGAAGATTTCTCAGCTTCAGCTACTCCAAAACTCACCTGCAAGAATGCTGACTAAGACCAGAAAGAGAGTCTACATCACACTAATTGATCTTGCACCAACCCATTTATCAGATTAGCTTTTATCATACGATCCTGAGAGAGCTCTGAGAGGCTCTAATAGACCGACTGGCAGAGGCTTCATGTTAGTGCAGAGGGTTGAATCTGAGTATTGCTAAGAGGTTGTGCTTTGCAGACGTGGTAGTGCTACTGTAGCCCATACTGTAATGTTTTTCTGGTCATAATCATCAGGATTTAAGACCCTGTTGGTGTTGTATTTGAAATAAAAATGGACTAAAGCCAGGACTTTGTTCCGTGTTGTCAGTTTTTGTAATCGAGCAAACAGATCACATCCTGTTATGTGCGCTCTACCCACTTACACGAACTGTGGTTTAACTTCGTGACGCTTCGGGGAAATGTGGTTAAAGTGCTAAACACCTCAACAGTCTCAGAAGTATCTGTGTTCGGTTTCGTTCCGCGCACGCCCTCCCACTGTCTGCACTTCTCTATTCAGCTTTTACGCACGAATCCAGAGCCGCTTTAGGTCAGCAGAGGCTCCTGTGAGCCATCAGAGAATGAGTGATGGTTTGCCGTCTCTGCACGAAGATGCTCCTGCTGTCTGCTCTGTTGTTCATTCTCTGGGGAGGAACAGGTCTGTGTCTGGAGGAGGACGGAGGGTTCCACTTCGAGGGAGACATCCGCCACTACGCCGTAACCAATGGCACGATTTATATCGCCACTGAAGAGATGCTGTACCAGCTGAGTCACGACCTGACTCTGGTCCAGAGTCTGACCCAGAGGGGGATCTTGGAAGACGCTCTTCGGCCGACTGACGCGCAGTTCAAGCGAGTTTCTGGCACGGATAAGTTTAACGCAACTTTCAGTGTCAACGTGTTGTCGCCGCTTGTCGCTGATAACAATCTGATAACATGTGGTGTGACTGATAACGGGTGTGGTTACTGTGAGCTGCTGGACTTGAAGAACATTTCCAACGTGCTGTACCGGGAACTCATCCAGGTGGGGTCTCTGTGGCGCAGCAGCGCGTCCGTGAGTTTCCTGGTGAATGTGGAGACTCAAACCCGGACAGAGACTTACATTGTGGCTGCTGTTCAGCAATACAAAGACGAACCGAAAAAGGGCATCTGTCCCTCTGCGTCAGATGCAGTGAGCCTTCATAACACCAATAACGATCAGATAGGACAAATATTTTCTGTTAACAGCGAGGACAGAAATCCTGTGATCGAACTTGAGGACGATGGGGAGTTTGTGGATGGATTTCAGATTAACTCCATCATTTATCTTTTCTCCAATCTGCCCTCAAAATATGAAAGCAACAAAGTCCGTCTGCTTTGGGTTGTTGGCAAAGGAGGTAAACTTAAAACTGTTCAGTCGTTGCGGGGCGCGACCCTCAGTGTCTCTGATGGAGGTGAAGACCGCAGACTGATCGCCTCCTCGGTGATCCCTGGCGGTCCGCCGGTGCTCTGGAGCGGTGTGTTCAGTGTGGGCGAAGGACAAACAAACACCGAGCTGGTGGTGTTTGACATCAGTCCTGATCTTAGTGGAAGGACCGATGTGGACCCGGACTTCTGCTCTGACTGTGGTGCCAGGAACAGACCAACGGTGGGTGGTCGTCAAATTATGTTGCTTTAATGAGCACTTAAAGAGTTAATCCATTTTAAAACAGCTCTCTAAAAGAAAATAAGATTATATCACTTGAATAAAGAGTTTTTTTTTCTCCCAGGGAGGTTTCAGCTCAATTCTAAAATTGTTTAAAATTAGTAGAAAATCAAAAGCATTCAAACTTCAAAGTGCAGTCTTGTGTCTCCTGACATTTTTTATATATTTTTTTGTTTTGTTTTAGGAACTAAGTTTAACTGAAGCTGAACTTATTAAACAATCAATTCAGTTCATGAAGTTCCATAAAAGATAATGAGTCCGTTTATGAGGCAGGTTTAGAGTTGGAGCCAAAGTATAATTCATCACCTTTACATCAACACTTTACCCGTTAACAATACAGAAATACTAATTATGAATTTATTGTGTTTCTCAGCCAAAGACACTGAAGCCAAAGACGGTGATCTTAAGACGGAACTACATGACCTCTGTGCTGGCAGTGAGACAAAAGGCCTGGATAGTTTTTTTCATTGGGACAGGAGATGGACAGCTTATTAAGGTGAGTGTACAAAGGGACATGCAGCATGGGGACAGCTGCTTTGAGCTAAGACTAACCAGCTTTTTATCACCCCGACTCTACAGCAGTAGGCTGTTCATTCTCTTAACTAAAATTATGGTGATGAATGCTCGTCAGCGACCGCTCTTTTCCACACCATTTATTTTTTGGTTTGAACATTATTGTTGCTGTCTAAAAGTATATCAAATTAAATTTTTTTTTTTTTTTTTTTAAATGTAGGAATAATACATTTGCATTGTCCTGATACGCAGCGTTGTGGATGAACCTCTGATCAGTAACTTAAATAAGATGAAACCAGTGAAGGGATGTGAAGTGAGTTTTGATATAAAACCTGTTTTGCTTTATAAAATGCTGCAACAGAGTCCTCAATGTTGCATAAATAATAAGTGATAATAAGTGATTTTCATAGGACGGTGTGCATATTTTGTACAGCTGTTCAGCTAATTTGAGGGCCAGTCAGGCAGCTGCGCGGGCTGAAAATTTCTGAAACATTTCCTGCTCTCAGTAATTCAAAACATGGTGTTAATTTTAAAGACACTTCTTTTATCACATTATGGACAATATCTTTGAACTTTTTCATATTCAGTTTTATGGTGAAAATTTAGCTAAAAGAAATTGATGTCAAATTTAACTTTTAAATATTAAATCCAAACACTGAGAACACATCTTACTTGGCTTAAAGTATATTTTCAAAGCACAAATAATGAGCTACAAGTGTGCATTAAAAACAATTGATTATTGTACAAAATGTTCTGTCATAGCATAATAGTAAAAGACTTTAGTTACTTTTTCCCGTGCACTGGACTTGAATTACCATCTGGACCTTTTCCTATTGGAAGTGTGCAGGAAACTCACCTTTATGACACTGAAAACACACAGAGATAGAACAGGCATATAAAGAATCGTAAAAAGTAAAAGTACTTTTAAAGCAGTGCAAGCATAATACGGTTCAAAATGGTTTCAGTTGATCCGTGAGAGCAGGAATACATTTAAGTATATTGAAAAAGCTCAAAGCTGAACTTCAGCCTTTCTTTAAGAACGTTTAACATACTAAAAGTTTTCTAAAGGAACACACCCAATATGCACCTAGTTTAACACAAAAAGAATGTGTCCGGTCCACCAGGAGTTAAATGAACTCAAGCATACTTTTTGTTCACCTCAGCAATGATCGTGTAGCTTTCAGTCTAGTTCATTGCAGTCAGCCACAATCATGGTGGGGGAGGTTGTCGATGTCGCACCTTCACCATGGAAGGTACGCCACAGAAGATAGTTGCTGACAAGGCGGACTGTTCTCACAGCTCTATAAATAGTGTATCAGTGGAAAGTCAAATGTGTTATAGTTGTGCAACAGATATGGCCACCTATGTCCAGAGTCCTTTAAAAAATCTAAGTCAGATGTTGTATCTCATTTGGGGATCAAGATCCTTGAGTCTGAAGGAAGAGTGGGGAAACACAGAGTCTAAACAAATCGAAGTCCAGCATCAAGTTTCTGCTGTCTGTGATAATTTGTGGTGCAATCCCTCACCAAAAGAAGTATGTTGAAGTGTACTTCAAGTATACTCTTTTTAAACTTAGTATGCTTTCAGTTTACTTTTGATGGACTTTTCAGAGATATCCTTAACAGTTAATGTTAAGTATACTTGGCTTGTACTAAGAATTATACTAAGTATATAAAAGGTATAAATAAATAAAGGTATGCTTCAGAGTGTACATTTATAAACTAAAAAGGGGACTAGAAGTTTATTACTGGTAAACTAATAGTATACCAGGAAGTTAACATTAATTATGCTTCAAATGTACTTATACATACTAAATTGGGCCAATTTAGTTCCAAGAATTTTACTTATTACACAGGTACACTGGTACACTGGTAGTATATTTGTATCAGTGTACAAAGTATACTTTGGGAAGTATACTAGAATGAACTTCAGTATACTTCATAAAATATACTTGAGGTGAACTTTTTTTTGGTAAGGGATGTTATCTGTTACTGTTAACTTACTGTGTTTTATCAACTCCAAAGTCAACTAAACAGTCTACCAGGAGATTGTAGAGCATTTCATGCTTCCATCTTCCATCAAGTACCTCATAAAACTGCACTTCAAAACAGAATTTAAAAAAAGCAAAGGAAAAAATGATTCAAAAACATGTCTGAAGGATGTTTGGAACATGTTTTACCACAGTGGAGGCTCTTGAATACCACAGACTCAAGTGTTGCTAAACGTGTGTAGCTACTCAGTCTCTGAAAAACATAACGAAACTGCGTTTTTGTTTTCAGCTTGCTGTGAACAAGAACTACCAGACCACCTGTCCCAAAGTGCTCTACAAAACTAGCAGTGACCATAAAGTGTTTTCAAAACTACATCTGGATCAGGTGGATCTGAAACATGTGTATGTGCCATTTCAAAACCAGGTAATGTTGTATTTATATATCAAACAAAAGATGTGATGAAAATTGAAATACATGAAGATATTCTGGCTTTTTTTTTTTTTGCTAATCTTTAACACATGTTTTCTGTATTTTAAATTATTGCCACATTGATCAGTTTCTTCTTTATTTATTTAGATCAATCATGTTCCTGTATCAAAGTGCAGCACATACAAAACTCTGCAGGATTGTTGGTCTGCACAGGATCCATACTGTGTCTGGTGTGGCCCTGAAAACAGGTTAGAAACATCATCTGCAGTGAACATCAGTGAAGGAATTTAAAACTTGGATTAGACTTACCTTTTTTCTTCTCCTAGCTGTACATTTGAAGAAAACTGCCAAGGCTCAGACTGGTTGTCCATTCCTGATGATTCTCAGCACAAAATGGTTTCCTATCAAGTTACGCAGGACCAGACTGGACAGGTAGAGATTAGGGTTAGGTTCTGAGCTATGATGAGTTGTGGCTCTCTGATAGTCGATTGTTTATTTACTCCAATCTGGATATGTTTCAGATCAAACTTAAACTCCACGTGCATGTGACAGGGGGCAAAATGGCGCTCTCTAACTTTGCCTGTCACTTCTCTACAAGTTCCACTGAGCACTTTGAAATGAAAATTCAGCGTCCACATTTTCCACATTGTTCTTCCACCCTTGAATCAAGCACACTTCCTGCTGGAGGTCAGTCATGATAGATAATAATAATATAATAAAAATTATTTTAATATAAAGGTCTCATATTTAATGAATCTATATCATGTCAGAGATCTTAAAATTCTGTCAAATTTTCAAAAATGATAAAAATTGTAATACTCACAGATTTTTTTCATTAAAAAAGGACTGCCTATTGTTGTAAAGATCAGACTTGGTTCATCACAGTTGACTGAGAGGCTGAACCTGCTCAACTGTACGGACATCAGAGAACCATCAACACCTGTCCTGTAAGTCCTCCACTGTTTTCTACTAATCTAAAGTCCTTATTTTGACCAGACTGGGAGAGCTATCAAGAGAACAAAATCTGGTTTCATGTAATACAAGGTGCAAAACAAATACAGACTGTCACCACACTACCCCTCCACACTCTCTCTCTCTCTCTCTCTCTCTCTCTCTCTCTCTCTCTCTCTCTCCTCTCTCTCTCTCTCTCTCTCTCTCTCACACACACACACACACACACACACGCACGCACACACACACGCACACACACACACCTTATTGTGTTTTCATTTTCATTTTTAATTTTGTGGATTGCAGTGTTTCCCCTCTTTCTTTAATTGTATTCTTACTTGTTGACCACATGTCTGCGTTGCTATCTTATTTTATCTCATAATAATAGTTAATATGTAAACCTTATTTTTAAAGTACCTTTAAAAACAAATGCTTACAAGGTGTTCCCATCTGTGATGAGACCAATTAGGAATCATTCATTCATTCAAGGTTTTCTCAGAGTTTATTAGCACATGAACACAGGTGGGATCTTTTGACATCCTGCATGAAAGTCCACAGAGTAGTTCACTGAGATTTCCAACTCAAAAAATTGTACTTGAACTCGACCAAATGATGATGCTGCTGCTCAAAAACTTCATGTAAACTCGTCATGTAAAAACTGTTTTGCTTTCAGGTGCCAAAAGTGTATTAATGCTGGATGTGCCTGGACCGCAAGCGGCTGTTTTTGGGGAAATCAAGGCGTCAGGAATGTAATTATGCATGTTTTTATTCACTAGTATAAAAATGGCTTTTACTTGGTTTAGATAAAATGCCACTTTAAACTATAATTCAACAATATCAGCAGTACTACTTTGACTACCACCACTAATAAGAAGTAGCAGCAGTAGTAGTTGTGTATTTCTTTACTAGTAAAAGAAAAAGTCACTTTTGAGAATAACCAATCAGTCAATCTTTTGTTTATATTCATGATATTATTTGCCGTTATCTCAAGACATTTTTCAAAGGAGCAAATCTTGACCATACTTTGTCTTGTGTTATGTACAAAGATCCAGCTCACTGTACGCGGAGTTCTGTGCAGCACTTAGCAACTAACAAATACAAGAAAAATTTCATTTTCATGGAAAGATACCTAAAGTACAACAGGACTGATCCAATGACCCTAACCTAGCATATTTATACCATAGATGAAGAGGTGAAGCTGAGGTGGTCATACCCACCTACATATTAACACAGGTGTTAAAGGAATTTCATGGACTTTTTTTAAGCCAGCTTCTAGTAGACACTTGAGGAACTGCAGTTTTTAACACTTCTGATCTGGCTTCATAATAAGATGCCAGCGGTTGCTGCTTTTTCTTTTCTCTGCCTGGGTTTGGTTTAGTTCAGATCATAGGGGGCACAAGATATAGCAGGACACTTTGTAGCACAAGGCTGAAGCTGATGGCATGTCTCTACCCTGCTGTTGCTTATTAGTATATTCAGCTAACTCTATGCAAAATGTGACAACAGCATGTCAGCATGTTTGAAACATGGACAGTTAAAGACTGCATGATACCTGGTTGAATATTTTTAAGACAACTGAAGACACTATTATAGTTTTATGACTATTTCTCTCTCAAGCCACTGAACTTACTCCTCACTGCTCTTTCTGCAGGACAGTGTTTGCCAAATGATGAAGTCATTCATGGACTTCCCCGTGAGTCCACCATTTTTGCTTGCAGACCTCATTCACATTCAGGAAATCCAAATATTAGCAGGTGGTAGTGTATAAAATCTAAATAAAACTGTTACCTTTTGTTGGTTTGACTGTCAGAGACCACAGATATCCTCTATCACTCCCAGTGTTGTGTCTTTCCACGGCAAAAACCATGCAGTGTTGTCTGGTAGTAACCTCAGTTCTGTGATCAGAGTGAGGATCCAGGCAGACCTGGACTTCACACCACAAGAGTGAGTCAGGTTATGGGTGTATTAAAACGTTGGACTCCAATAACTGAATTTTACATATTATAAAATGTTTTTTATGAATCTCACTGCTTCAGTTTGTCTTTGTCTCACTCTGTGCACTCTGGTTAGGTCTCCTGTTTGGAGCAACACTGGTGAAACTCTGACGTTCCACATACCCAGTGCGAAATTTAAAGGTGTGGCCAAAGTATGTGCTCTCCTTCCAGATGGTAGTTGCCATGGTAACACATTTATCACCTATCGCTCAGCACCATCCTGCCCCAGCATTTCACCTGAAAGCACCTGGTTCAGGTATGACTGTTTTAGGACTATAGAAACTATAAAAATATTAACATGTAGACTTTGATAAACTAGACTTTTCTGAGGATAAGACTGATGGAGTTTAATGACAAAAAAAAAAAAAACTTTGCAATGACTTGGCAAGGAGGCAGTGCAGATTCTGCTTTAGTAATACCCAGTGGTACAAATGAAAAGTTACCAAGCAAACATAACAGGAGATTCTGGGAGGGGCTGATCCCACTACAGAGGCCTTTTTATATTTTCATATAAAACATCGTACAGGTGCAAGAACAAACATTTCAAGTTGATCAGACCAGGTGAAAGTTTTTAGGATCTGCTGCTGGTCTAATCTGGTCTGATGACTGCCAAAGGTCTTAGTAATCAATGAGAATCTTTGAGGATCTTCAAGGTGCATGAAGACTCCGTGAGAAGAAATACTCAGATGACACCCCTAGTCATACCTGACGTTACATCTGTAGCTCTTTTCTTTAGGGCAATGACTGAAAGAATTACACTGTTATTTGCATTTGTAGGTAATCCTGATATTGAAGTGTTAGCCACTGTTGTGTGTTTAACACATTATACATTCTCTGATATCCAGAGTGTGAAAATGTTTGTTTTCATTTGATTGTATGCTGGTATGTGTCCTGTAGTGGGAAAAGAAAGATCACAATCAGTGGATCCCACCTGGAGTTTGTAGAAGCGGTCATACACAGCGAAGTCCTGCAGGAGGTCAGACTGGCAGGAAACGACAATAACCAGGTGAATCTATGGAAACAGACAATATCCTGTCATACTTTGATAACCATGACATGCTGCACAATAGTGCATTTACAAATTTTACAATCTTGAGCATTAGCATCAACATTAGCCTATCATAGACAACAGTTAGAGAGCCTCATGGCAGTTTTTTCTCGAGAATTTAACATGAAATAAAATAATATTCAGAGGTCAAACACAAGCAGAAAGAAAAAGGCATAAACTGGCATAAACTGCAGTCTGTGGTGAGAGTAGCACAACATGGAGTCTCATATGAAATCAGAGAGCCTCCATCTAGCGGTTCTAGTCGGTACTGCAGTTACATTACATTTAAAAGACTGTTCCTGCAGGCCTGAGGTCATATCAGGGCTTGTACAACAAATATAACAGAACATATGTCTATTATTCATGCCTCAGAAATTTTTTGACGCAAAGAGAAATTGTCTTTAACGCATCAACTTTGACAGTCCCAGTTTTTATAGTTTATCATCATAGTGACATGACTGCAGGTTCGCTGAGTTTACAAGCTCCACAATGTCATATCATGAAACACTATAAAGACTTTACAGTGATTGTAACACAGAATTGTTTTTACAGGGGCTAAAGACTCTCACCTATGACTCACCTGCAGCTGAAAATGCTCATGCGGCTTTTTCCAGCACTCTGACCCTGAAAGTAGCCAATAAGAGCTTGATCTGTCCCACAAAAATAACCTACTACCCAGACCCTGAGTTTACAAGCTTCACATCCACAAAAGCAGGAGACAGTGTCCACATCACTATACAGGTAGACTTTATGCACACATGTACAAATATAGGACATGAATGCATAAATGATCAGCATTTGTCTATGTTTTGATTTCAGAAAAAGGAAGATAAACTGGAGATGACCAAAGCAGAGTTGTCTGTGTGGGGTGTTCATGAGGGAAAGAAGTACCCCTGCATCATGACAAATATGCCTGAGAAGATGGATTTAATCCTCTGTGAGATTCAAAACACACAAGATGTTACTGATACATTTGAGGAGCTGATGGTAAATCTTTAAGACACAATATGCCAGAAATACTGTGTAAAACGAAAATGAAAATAGTGAATTTAGAAGCAAACAATTCTTCACTTAGTTGTCTCTAAACTTATTTACAATCCCCAAAAAATAAATACATTTCTTTTTGACAGATACAGTATGGAGGCCAAACAGTAAACCTTAAATTTTCATTACATACCTATACTGTGATGCTGCTACGCCTTCTGATAATACCTTTCATTATTCTAGGTGAGTACTCACAGTGGGACCGAGTGATTAAACTTATTTCAACACTAGTTTTAAATGAAAAACAGTCAAACCTAAATACGAATAATATCTATTTCCTATTTTGAATAAACCTCACGTGTTCTTGATTTGTCTTTTAGCTATGTTGATCATCTGTTGGTGGCATCATAAGAGGTTCACTCCAAGGGTGACCAAGGCGGTGGAAGACCTGGAGCTCAGGGAAGGTCAGCGTACAGGCTTTAGTAAAATTGTTGCAGTAGTGTTTTCTGTAGATTTGGACTGTGAGTATTAGCTGTGTGAAAAAGTAATAATGATCATGTCTCTTTTTGGTTTACAGACTTCTGCAGAAGATCCACCGGTGCATCCTTCCTCTGAGCTCCAGAGGTAAAATGCAAAGATCTTCCACCATCTCAAGAGGATGGTAGTAGAAAGGACGTGGGAGGACACATTTTTGTCATCGTCCTCTGGAAAGTCTTATTATTTTTATAAAGATGACCAAAACTTTGTACTCAGAACTTTCTTATCAGAATTATTCTTACATTTAAAGCTGAACTGCTGATAAAATACCTGACTGACAAATGCACCGAAAGTGTGGCCACCTAAATATTACATAGACTAAGTTACACCTGTTGATAACAGTTAACTCAGATTGGGGGATCTAATTCAGGCACTTAGACATGAAGTTCTCTTGCTTACATCCGACCCAACAGTGATTGTAATATTGCAAATTTTGAAATAGTCATGATGAAGGTTTAATAATAATAATGCATCAGATTTTTATAGCGCTTTATGTCAGTGACCTGAAAGTGCCTTACATTGGATACATTATTCATTCACCCATACAGTCATAGACTGGTGGTGGTAAACGACCCTTGTAGTCACAGCCACCCTGGGGCAGACTGATGGAAAGGTAGCTGCCAGTGTGCGCCTATGGTCTCTCCGACCACCACCACAACATTCACATTTATACACAAGTAGGGGACACCCACTGGGTGAAAGGTGGGTTAAGAGTCTTGCCCAAGGACAGGACAGACTAGGGATAGTGGGGAATTGAACCACCAACCTTCCAATTATTGGCCAACTGCTCTACCCCCTGCTGCCATGGTTTAGTTTGTCTCCTAGATAATGGCAGCCTCAACCTGCGCTGTGCATACTTAGATAAACCCGTATGTCTGCTGTTCTTACAGCAACTAGGGCAGCACCACATATCGTTTGAGCATCGTTATCAAGATGTACTTATGCACGATAGTGGCATTGCAGAGCCTATGATGTCGAAGGCGAAAGAACTCCTCTAATTTCAAGGGTTGCTGACTGAGATACACTGCATGTGACTCTGCATGTGCTGTGCAGCGATCCACCAATCAGATTCATTCGTTACTCAGCTGCCAATCAGACTACGCTTTTAGCCATCAATCAAAATCAGCGAGAAGGAAACCGCGCCCCTGCAAATGGCCTGCACATGGAGCGAGTCGCTGGTGCTGGTGCGTGTACCGAGAATTAATTTTGGAACGTTACTTATTACTGTTTTGCCCAACAAGTAAGAATCCTATAGGTTTTAAATTGTACATTTTCGTAAACCATTCTACTATGAGCGGTGCGCGTTTTGCGATGTGCATGCAGGCTGACGTGCGTTTAATTCTCCGCACAACACCGGTTACAACAACAACGATTCCAAAATAAGAAACGAACAAAAAGAACCGAAAATGAAGACTTGTCGGCAAGAACAAAAAGCAATGTCACTTACCGTCAAAGATGAAGACTTGTCGGCAAGAAGGAAAGCAACGTCACTTACCGCCGAAGATCTTGTTGGCAAAAAGAAAAGCAACGTCACTTACCGCCGAAGATCTTGTCGGCAAAAAGAAATGCAACGTCACTTACCACCGAAGATCTTGTCGGCAAAAAGAAAAGCAACGTCACTTACCGCCGAAGATCTTGTCGGCAAAAAGAAATGCAACGTCACTTACCACCGAAGATCTTGTCGGCAAAAAGAAAAGCAACGTCACTTACCACCGAAGATCTTGTCGGCAAAAAGAAAAGCAAAGTCACTTATCTGCAATTATTTCTGTTACTAGAAGGACGGCGTCACCAAACACCTTTTCTGTGTCGGCAGTGCCTTTCATCTGTTGCCACAATAACGTCCCAGCACAATAAAAGCTAAAAATATCTCTGAGACAGACAGAAGCCATTCTACTAACATTTAAAAAAAGGGGTAAGATAAGTGCAGTTTTACTGTCCTTAAAATTTCAGCAGTGCAGCACAACATAAAGTGCTATTCAGGTAATCTGGTGAAAATTCCTCTATTTTTTTAATATCGCAATATATATCGTAGTGTTGAAAAAAGTTGCAATGTTAGGTTTTTCCAATATCGTGCAACAGCATGATATCAACAGCAACCCATTAAAATCTTTGTTGTGCTTTTGGGACATATTTCTCCTCTGACTTTTAGTCTTGTGTAAACTACTGTTCAGCAACAATTTTCAGCAGTGTTTTGCAGTTACAGTGTCACAAACATTGGCATTATTAGTTTGGCTATATTTCTCAGTAGCTTGGTGGCAGTGTAGCTGTTTTGTTTTGTTTTGTTTTGTTTTGTTTTTTTGTTGTTTTTTTTTACTGATCAAGAAAAAGAGACAAAAACATTCACATTAAACCGTACACTTAATTAACCAAAGGGAAAATTATCACGATGTTTTCAATAAATTAAAAACCATAACATACTTACTATGAATGCAACATTTAAGAGAGATGTACGGTTAATTAACAGTGGTGACTTGCTCATCCAGCATGAAGTTTCTCCTCAGTCCTATCAGGGACACACTTGTAAATTTTAAATAAATAGACTTTTTTCATTGTAGAAGGGGACACCATTTTACTTTGACATTACAAAAACAAACACATTTACTCTGTCCAGATCTCTGCCTGATTATCCCAGGGAAAGATTTTCTTTGTGACTCAGTATTGTTGACATCTTCCTAAAAGAGAAGATTTCTCAGCTTCAGCTACTCCAAAAGTCACCTGCAAGAATGCTGACTAAGACCAGAAAGAGAGCCCACATCACACTAATTGATCTTGCACCAACCCATTTATCAGATTGGCTTTTATCATATGATCCTGAGAGAGCTCTGAGAGGCTCTAATAGACCGACTGGCAGTGGCTTCATGTTAGTGCAGAGGGTTGAATCGGAGTATTGCTGAGAGGTTGTGCTTTGCAGACGTGGTAATGCTACTGTAGCCCATACTGTAATGTTTTTCTGGTCATAATCATCAGGATTTAAGACCCTGTTGGTGTTGTATTTGAAATAAAAATGGACTAAAGCCAGGACTTTGTTCCGTGTTGTCAGTTTTTGTAATCGAGCAAACAGATCACATCCTGTTATGTGCGCTCTACCCACTTACACGAACTGTGGTTTAACTTCGTGACGCTTCGGGGAAATGTGGTTAAAGTGCTAAACACCTCAACAGTCTCAGAAGTATCTGTGTTCGGTTTCGTTCCGCGCACGCCCTCCCACTTTCTGCACTTCTCTATTCAGCTTTTACGCACGAATCCAGAGCCGCTTTAGGTCAGCAGAGGCTCCTGTGAGCCATCAGAGAATGAGTGATGGTTTGCCGTCTCTGCACGAAGATGCTCCTGCTGTCTGCTCTGTTGTTCATTCTCTGGGGAGGAACAGGTCTGTGTCTGGAGGAGGACGGAGGGTTCCACTTCAAGGGAGACATCCGCCACTACGCCGTAACCAATAGCACGGTTTATATCGCCACTGAAGAGATGCTGTACCAGCTGAGTCACGACCTGACTCTGGTCCAGAGTCTGACCCAGAGGGGGATCTTGGAAGACGCTCTTCGGCCGACTGACGCGCAGTTCAAGCGAGTTTCTGGCACGGATAAGTTTAACGCAACTTTCAGTGTTAACGTGTTGTTGCCGCTTGTCGCTGATAACAATCTGATAACATGTGGTGTGACTGATAACGGGTGTGGTTACTGTGAGCTGCTGGACTTGAAGAACATTTCCAACGTGCTGTACCGGGAACTCATCCAGGTGGGGTCTCTGAGGCACAGCAGCGCGTCCGTGAGCTTCCTGGTGAGTGTGGAGACTCAAACCCGGACAGAGACTTACATTGTGGCTGCTGTTCAGCAATACAAAGACGAACCGACAAAGGACATCTGTCCCTCTGCGTCAGAGGCGGTGAGCCTCCATAACACCAATAACGATCAGATAGGACAAATATTTTCTATTCAAAGCGAGGACAGAAAACCTTTTATCAAAGTTAAGGACGATGTGGAGTTTGTGGATGGATTTCAGTTTAACTCCATCATTTATCTTTTCTCCAATCTGCCCTCAAAATATGAAAGTAACAAAGTCCGTCTGCTTTGGCTTGATGGCAAAGGAGGTAAAGGTAAGACTGTTCAGTCGTTGCGGGGCGCGACCCTCAGTGTCTCTGATGGAGGTGAAGACCGCAGACTGATCGCCTCCTCGGTCATCCCTGGCGGTCCCCCGGTGCTCTGGAGCGGTGTGTTCAGTGTGGGCGAAGGACATACAAACACCGAGCTGGTGGTGTTTGACATTAATCCTGATCTTAGTGGAAGGACCGATGTGGACCCGGACTTCTGCTTTAACTGTGTTGCCAGGAACAAACCAACGGTGAGTGGTCGTCAAATTATGTTGCTTTAATGAGCACTTGTGTCCACATCCATCTTTACCTCAAACATATAATTAATTGAAGAGTTAATCCATTTTAAAACAGCTCTCTAAAAGAAAACAAGATTGTATCACTTGGATAAAGAGTTTTTTTCTGCCAGGGAGGTTTCAGCTCAATTCTAAAATTGTTTAAAATGAGTAGAAAATCAAAAGTATTAAAACTATCTCAAAGTGCAGTCTTGTCTCTCCTGACAGCCTTTTTAATAAAGGAACTAAGTTTTACTAACTGAAGCTGAACTTATTAAAGTATTGGTTTAGTTCATGAAGGTTTATAAAAGATAATGGGTCAGTTTTGAAGCGTGATAGAGATTTGTACCCTTTAATAATAAAGAAATATTTGGCGTCTAATTACGAATTTATTGTGTTTCTCAGCCAAAGACACTGAAGCCAAAGGCAGTGGTCTTCAGGCAGAACTACATGACCTCTGTGCTGGCAGTGAGACAAAAGGCCTGGATAGTTTTCTTCATCGGGACAGGAGATGGACAGCTTATTAAGGTGAGTGTACAAAGGGACATGCAGCATGGGGACAGCTGCTGTGAAAGTAGGCTTAGTAGGCTACTTTGAAGTTATAACCACTTAAACAGCAGCGAATTGAAATGGTCAACAAAAGCTAGTTAGAAAGCGGCTCAAATGCAGCTGGTGATTGTGGTGCAGATTTATTCTAGAAATTTCACACTTCTTTCAAACTTCCAACAAACTCCCTCTGCTTCATTAGTTGATCAAAACCTACACTTGCATTTCAGAGACTCAAGATTGTTTTGTATACATGTCTGGTTGTGGGTCCCCGCATGCATGCATCCCCCTTCTAAAACGGTCAACCCAACTTTCCATCCCTTAAGGCCATTTTTGTCAATGAATGTGTCAATATTACTGCTATTATAACATTAGAAATAGTACAGCAATTTTAACGTTTAGGGCAGTGCATGGAGCCACACATACACACCTACATACATGCCAAACATTTCCCTCCCCGCCAGCATCGATAATTACCCACCAAACAGCTCTACTTTTCCTTCTCCCTTCTGTGTTGGATAGGGTAACCAAGGGTGCGCACTTGGAGCTCTATCAGCTTACTTAAACCTACATTTACATTGATATTCATCCTTCTGGGCGTCCATTCACGCCATCATGCCGGCTCATGTTTCCAAATGAGGAAGCAGAGCGCATGATGTCTGTGTGTAAAATAGGTGGGTATATCAAAGTGGTCACATGATGCAAGAATAATTAATTCCCTTGTTGCTTGATATGAATCCTTCAAAATTAATGCTCCATTGATTTGAGTAAAAACTTTCTGAAAAAGGTTTGAAGGTTAAAAATGTTTTAAATGTGAAAAAATAAGTTTTTTCCAAACTTATGAAATTGATAATGCCCACTGGGAGGGGCTAGGGAGGTTTAAAAAAAGGCTTCCTGGGCCTTTCTTTTTTGAGACTGGGGATTTTTGCATTAACAGTAACTGCCAAACCGACTTTTGTATTGCTGCTGTGTTTTTGTTTTTTTCCCTTTGAGTGAGAATCTTGAGCAATAGTGAAACTCTTTTGCGTATATTTAGTTAAATACTCTGGGTTAGGTGGCATGTGTGAAAATGAGATGTTTTCCTTTTTCAAAAAAAGAAATGACATCAGTGAGCAGTGCTGGGGATGCTGTTGCGATTTCAGTATCATGGCCAAGTGACATGGACAGCTCAATCTGAGGGATTATCTAACATGATAATTATCTTTGTGCCTTAGTAACAATAAAATGGCTACACAGTTGGTTTCCCACCACATGCACCGTCATCAGAACAAAATATCTGTCCCAAACAATAAAATCCACCATCCCCCCTGATTTTTTTACAACTCGACTACTGCTGTTGAGACACATGTCATGTTGTATTCAGAAAATATTCATAACTTCTGGCCTGTTGGCCATTGACAATTAATTCTTAAGAGGAAACCCTGTTTGAAAAACCTGGCTATTGAGTTACATTTCCTTTTTCTCCCTTTTATTTGATTAGAGATTGCTTCCTACTATTAAGATCTGAATTGAGTCAATCAGTCCTATATGTGCAGAAGAGTTTTTGAACGTGACTCAGAGGAAACTGTGTTCGCATCAGAGTGTTGCTTTGGCCACAGACCAGCACAGAAATGAAACTTAACCACTTAAGAAATCCCACAGCCATTTTCAGAGGCTGCAGTAATTTTCAGAGTAAATTCAGCAGCAGACAAATTCAGTCTCTGAGAAATATCACTGAAGTGCCTTCTTGTTTTCAGCTTGCTGTGGACAAGAACTACCAGACCATCTGTCCAAAGGTGCTCTACAAAACCAGTGATGACCGTCAAGTGTTTTCAAAACTACATCTGGATCAGGTGGATCTGAAACATGTTTATGTGCCATTTCAAAACCAGGTAGGTGCAAGTTTAGGTACAGTACTACATTTTAGACCTTACAGTGGATGTATGCTGTGCTTTTATGTCCTGCTAAGTTGCTGATTTTGTTTATTTAGATCAATCATGTTCCTGTGTCAAAGTGCAGCACATACAAAACTGTGCAGGATTGTTGGTCTGCACAGGATCCATACTGTGTCTGGTGTGGCCCTGAAAGAAGGTTAGAAACATCATCTGCAGTGAACATCAGTGAAGGAATTTAAAACTTGGATAAGACTTACCCTTTTTTCTTCTCCTAGCTGTACATTTGAAGAAAACTGCCAGGGCTCAGACTGGTTGTCCATTCCTGATGATTCTCAGCACAAAATGGTTTCCTATCAAGTTACGCAGGACCTGACTGGACAGGTAGAGATTAGGGTTAAGTTCTGAGTTATGATGAGTTGTGGCTCTCTGATAGTCGATTGTTTATTTACTCCTATCTGGATATGTTTCAGATCACACTTAACATCCAGGTGCATGTGACAGCGGGCGAAGAGGTGCTCTCTAACTTTGCCTGCCACTTCTCTACAAGTTCCACTGAGCGCTTTAAAATGGAAAACCCGCGTCCACAGTTTCCACATTGTTCTTCCACCTTTGAAGCAAGCACACTTCCTGCTGGAGGTCAGTCATTTATGATAGATAATAATAATATGATTAAAATTTAAAAAATGTATGATTGTTATATTTAGTATATATTTTTTTATTACAACAGGACTGCCTGTAGTTGTGAAAATGAGACTTGGTTCATCACAGTTGACTGAGAGGCTGAACCTGCTCAACTGTACGGACATCAGCGGACCACCAACACCTGTCCTGTAAGTCCTCCACTGTTTTCTACTAATCTAAGCTGACAGAAAAACACATAAAGTCCTTATTTTGACCAGACTGGGAGAGCTATCAAGCAAACAAAAACTGGTTCCATGTAGACAAATCATGTGGAGAGAGACCGTGGATGTAAAAGTCTTTAATGGAGTTTAACCAAACTTTTGAGGACTGACTGTCCATCTGAGAAAACATGGTTTTGATTTCAGGGGTCTTCAACAAATCTGTCCTATACCTTTAACCCAGAAAGATATTAACCCAAACCCGACTAAGTAGTGTTGATCCCTTAAAGCTCTGTTTTGTTTTCAGATGCCAAACGTGTATCAAGGCTGGATGTGGCTGGACCATGAACAGATGTTCTTGGGCAAATCAAGGCACCGGGAATGTAATTATGCATGTTTTTATTCACTGATATAACAATAACTTTCAGATGGACTGTGCTGAAATAGACACCCACAGATCTCTAATTTGTCATATTTTTGATTGCTACTTAAATGAAGACTGCAAACACATGAGACACAAATTAGTGTTACTTAAAGAATCATTTTCAATGTAGTTTAACAGCTACTGTCACCAGCGTGAGAGGTAGAAGCAGTAGAAGAGGTGGTAGATGGTATCCAAAGTAGAAGTGTGTTAAATCTACCAATAAAAAATAATAGTCAAAGGTTTTATGGATGAATTTATTCAGCCAAGTCTGACCTTGGCTAGCATATCCTTACCAAACCTGGGTTTAACCAGCTTAGATCAAAGTGGGAGCAAGACACAGCAGTACACTTTGTTGTTTAAGGCTGTGACACTGACAGCAGGACTGAAGACACTTTTATAATTTTATGACTATTTGTCTCTCAAGCTGCTAAACTTACTTCTCACTGCTCTTTCTGCAGGACAGTGTTTGCCAAATGATGAAGTCATCAACAGACTGCCCTGTGAGTCCACCATTTTTGCATTCAGACCACATTCACATTCAGTAAATTCAAATATTAGCAGATGGTAGTGTATAAAATCTGAATAAAACTGTTACCTTTTGTTGGTTTGACTGTCAGAGACCACAGATATCCTCCATCACTCCCAGTGTTGTGTCTTTCCACGGCAGAAACAACGCAGTGTTGTCTGGTAGAAACCTCTGTTCTGTGATCAGAGTGAGGATCCAGGCAGACCTGGACTGCACACCACAAGAGTGAGTCAGTTTATGGGTGACTGTATGGGATTTATTCACACTTAAAAATCACATTTCAAAAGCTTCAATGATACAAAAAAGGCAGTCAGATTGAGAATTCACACATTTTACTATTTCAAAATAGATCACAGTTACTTCGGGACCTGCTTGAAACTAAAACAGTGTATTTGCCCTTTAAATTGAAGATTTTCAAGCTAATTCATGATTCCTCTCTAATGTTTGAATGAGTCTTTTAAACAGGGTTGCTAAAGAGGTGTCTTAAGATGTTGCCTGGTTTTGAGACACAAATGTTTGACAGTTTGCCCTGACAAATCTGTCTTTGTTCTTATATTTTCTTTAATTTTTTTGTGTTGTGATATTTTGTGATCTGTTCCAACAGCTATCAACACATAAAAGCAGAAAAAGTTTGGTACCAGAGGGTTTCTCACATCTATTTTGTAGTATAGTTTTTGGCTGCATGGTGTTATCTAACGGCTTAAACAGAATCCATTAGTAATTTTCCTCTGAAGCTGAACCATTGTCGGATAATAGAAAATGGATCGCAGGATCCAATTTCATAGTTCCAAATGTAATCTCAGTTAGTTGTGTTCAGCTTTGACATCTTGTCAGTTAAAACAGATATTATATTGTTTGTGCCAGATATTAGTAGTATGCTTCTTACTTTGGTCTATTTTTCAAAAAGTATGTTGTATAGATGACATTTGTATATTCTTGCATTAAAACAGAAATAACCTAATAGTATGTTGTTGTTCATTTTACTTTGAAAGTATCCTCTCAAACGAATATGATTGTTTCCTGTAAATTCAGACGCTTTTATTCTGAAAAGAAATGTGGAGACCAAGGAATAAGAGAAACTGTAAATTCAGTTTGATCAACGTAATTAAAAGATCATTGAAATTTTGATTTGATAGAGGCACAAGGTTTGTACACATATTTCGTGTCTCGTGTATACAAAAAAAATGATTTAAGAATATTTTTTTAGTTTTTGTTAAGAAGCAATTATGTGAGGGTGTTAAATCTAGCAAGAATGCTACAACCCTTATATTGGTTGTGTTAAAAGCAAAAAGCGTTTATTTACATTTGTAACCTGGATTGAGACACACTATCAATTACTGTTTTTTTTTTAAATCCCTTAATTTTTAAGTTGAAGTGTGTATTCTTGAGATTGCTGAAATTTGTATTTATACTATATGGTTGACAATAGGCAACTTAATAGGTAATGTAAGTTTATTGGCTAAAGTAGTTTGAGGATGTTGAGGATTGTCAAAACACAAACATTTAATATATAAATATTAAATTGACTTTACTTTAAAAGAATTTGTAGTGCTGAAAATTACATTTTATCTTCTGTGAATCTCACTGCTTCAGTTTCTCTTTGTCTCACTCTGTGCACTCTGGTTAGGTCTCCTGTTTGGAACAACACTGGTGAAACTCTGACGTTCCACATACCCAGTGCAAAATCTAAAGGTGTGGCCAAAGTATGTGCTCTCCTCCCAGATGGTAGCTGACATGGTAACGCCTTAATCACCTATCGCTCAGCACCATCCTGCACAAAAATTACACCTGAAAGCACCTGGTTCAGGTATGACTGTTTTAGGACTATAGAAACCATAAAAATGCTAACATATAGACTTTGATAAACAAGATTACCCTTGACATATCAAGACATTACTGATGTAGTTAAATACTACAAAAAATCCTCACTTCTTGGAGCTCTATTTTGCCTAACCATCGGCTTACTGTACATTATTTTACTTTTTAAATTTGGCGAATAACCAACTTTAAAAATACCTTTACACTAAAAATCGATTTCAAGATTATTTCATTAAAACATATATCCTTCATTTGCTGTAAACCCCCAATCTAAAGTTTTGTGCACTTCTTCAAAGTAATTTTGATAGTTATATTGAGGATATCCTTCATGTCTACCAATCCTTAAATAACATTTTACCATTGTGAACAGGAAGAGGTGACATCCTAAACTATATGTCCTGTAGCTCTTCTCCACATACGGTGCTATAAGAGTGCTGTGTGTAATCTGATTATTTCTAGTGACACATTCTTATTTGATTGCTTACTGCTCTGTGTGCCGTAGCTGGAAAAGGAAGATCACAATCATTGGATCCCACCTGGAGTTTGTGGAAGCCGTTAAACACAGTGGAGTCCTGCAGGAGGTTGGATTTCCAGGACACAATACCTATCAGGTTGGTCTGTAATAATCAGAAATAATCAAAATATGGGAGGTTAAAATAATTCAACTGATTAGTTTTCTTTAAAACGGTAGTGAACAAAATGTGTACGAGTTAGTCTACTTGTTTTTATTTTGTGTAATTATTCAGGCATATGTAAAGGCCTTTGCTTGATCTTACAAAACAGTGGAAGTCAGATAGTACAGGGTTTGACAAATACAATCACAGATTATACTGTTTTCATTGCATCCAAGAAGCTATTCATGAACAGTCGGCCCCTCCAAATGGCTCCAATTATAGTCGTGCATGATTTCTGATCGGTATGTGTATCATGTAACAAGATGTAAGCTCTCTATAACGTGACACAAAATGTTTTTGACAGGCACTCAAGAATCTCACCTACGACTCACCTGCAGCTGAAAATGCTCAAGGGACTTTTTCCAGCACTTTGACCCTGAAAGTAGCCAATGAGAGCTTGACCTGTCCCACAAAAATAACCTACTACCCAGACCCTGAGTTTACAAGCTTCACGTCTACAAAGATAGGGGACAGTGTCCACATCACTATACAGGTAATGCAAGATTTTCCAGCACACATGCGCAATGAGGAGATTAAAATTTGAATATCAGCAATTTTTTTCTGTTCTTGTTTCAGAAAAAGGCAGACAAACTCGAGATGAGCCCTGAAGAGATATCAGTGTGGGGTATTCATGAAGGACAAAAATACCCCTGCGAAATGGAAGAGAAAGGAGCCAGTGGCAACACCGAGTATTTCATTTGTGAGATTAAAAATTCAAGCATCACAGATTTTCAAGAATTGGAGGTAAGTTTTTAGTCGTGCCACTCCAAATTAAACCATGCTTTTGATAGATAAAATATACATGTGTCTCTAAAGCTTTTACAGAAACACAGACTTCCTTTTTGAAATCCTTTCTTATACAGTTTGATTGTTTCTTTGTCCCAGATAAAGTATGGAGACAAAACAGAAATCCTTGAATCTGCATCATGGTCTCCTCTCTTCCTGATACTGCTTGTCTTACAACAGATCCCATTAATTATTGTTGGTAAGTACCCTTTCATGGTTAGACGGCCTATTTTGGTCTTACAGCAGTTTTAAAAACACTGACAAATCTGGAAAAAACTGTGTTGTCTGCTTGGTTTTATCTCCCAGTTGTGGGGATCCTTTATCTAAGCAACAAAAGAAGCTGAATGTAAAGATGAACAAGATCATGGAAAACCTGGAGCTCAACATCAGGACATCACCTCTCCTGTGTGCTGGCCCATCCAGGACTGTGTCAGACTCTTCTTATTCTCCCCCACACTGAGTCAATTTTTTTTGCGTTGAATGTTTTGCCTGTTGATGCTCTTTGACGCTCAAATTTTGCCTCCCACTAACACTCTAAAAGCTTGCAGTAACCACCTTTTTTTCTCTTTCAAAATTTTTTCCTTTTATCAATGTATCTGATGGCAAACAAATGCTACCTGGAGTGGCTAAATTGTGTTAATATGTCAATTGTTTGAAGTACTTGAATGTTGTATGTTAATAAACATTTTTTCGGTCAACATTTGGTTTAAGAAAACAAGTTCATCCAATTCTGTGTTCTATCACCTGAAAATGACATTCTAACATGAGTAAACTAATTTACACTCAATGATATGCATCTTAAATATTATCCCGTTAACACTTTTGCATCGCTGGTATGATGAGGTAAAATTTACAACTAAGGGAACACGGGCGTGCTCATCCCAATGAGAAATTTTGGTCTAAAAGAGGTCTAATAGACGTCTAGTAGTCTAGACGACTGGTCTAAAATCAGGCTACCACAGGTCTAAAAATGAAAGGTTTTTAGACTTCTAAATTTAAACCCAGTTTAGACTAGCCGGCTAACAGAGGTCTAACTGTATATCGCTCAATGTTTATCATAATTATTTTGGTTAAGTACTCGGAGACAGTTCAACTCACAGTTACTTTTTGAAATAGGTGGTTATTGAATAATGGGTTAAAGTGCAACGTCTAAATTCCATCTAAAAATATAATGAATCTAGACCAGTGGTCTCCATATGGCGGACCGCGGTCCACTTCCGGACCGGGAAAGAGTCCAATACGGACCCGAGCCTACCGCATAAAAATGTATGTTTTTTTTCTCTCTTGTAGGCCTGCACGATATACGTGTGTGTGACAGTCACATCGCAGAGCCTGCGATGTCGGAGGTGAATGAACTCAGTTAATTCAAGGGTAGCTGACTGAGATACACAGCATGTGACTCTGCATGTGCTGTGCACCGATCCACCAATCACCTTTGTCCTTTACTCAGTTGCCAATCAGACTCAGTTCTCAGTTGCCAATCAGACTACCCTGCCAGCTGTCAATCAAAATCAGAGAGGCGGAAACCCACCCCTGCACATGTTCTGCACATGGAGGTACTCGCTGCTGGTGTTGAGCCGAGAAATGCGCGTCCGCTGAGAATTACTTTCGGAACTTTACTGACTGTTAAGCCCAACAAATAAGAACTGTATGGGTTTTAAATTGTACATTTCCGTGGACCACTCTACTATAAGCGGTGCGCGTTTTGCGAGGTGCATGCAATTCTCGGAGGACATGCGTTTCTCGGCACAGCACCGCTAACAACAACAACAACGATTGCAAAATGAGCAACGAACAAGAGAAAACCACCGAAAATGAAGATTTGTTGCCAAAAAGAAAAGGAAAGTCAGTTATCTGGAATTATTTCGGTTAAAAGAAGGATGATGTTGACCAAAACACGTGTTCTGTGTTCATCTGTCGCCACAATAACGTCCCAGCACAATAAAAGCTAAAAATATCTCTGAGACAGACAGAAGCCATTTTAACATTCACAAAAAGAGGTAAGATCAGTGCAGGTTAACTGTCCTCAAGATTTCAGCGGTGCAGCATAACATTAAATGCTATTCAGGTCATCTGGTGAAAATTCCCGTATTTTTAATATCGCAATATATATCGCAGGGTTGAAAAAAATCGCACTGTTATTTTTTTCCAATATCGTGCAGCCTTACTCTCTTGCTTTGTGCCTGGTTCAGTAAACTGCACGTGCAATTTAAGCAAGGCATTACATCATTTGCTTACTCGCTTGACTTGTCAATCAAATCAGACCTCTTAGCCTACTCCACACATGATGATTACCGAGCAATCCCGATGTTGAAAACTGTCAGGCTGCAGACTGAGGAGAAAGTTGTAGCAGCAGCTAAACATGTCGGCTTCAAAACCACGAAAGGTAGAGAATGAGAACAGGGTGTTTTATGGCGAGTGGACCGAGTCATTTGCATCCATTTTACCCGCAGGAAGCACACAGCCAATTGAAATTTTCGAGGTCTAGAGCTCCTACTAAAGCTATAACACCATTTATATCAATTGTTTAAAACTATTTAAGGAAAGGCCTTTGAATGAAAGCATATTTATGACTGACAGCATTGTAAACAAAACCTAACGGCCAGAGAGGCGATAGTACCACAGACAACCTTTAAGCTAGCTACACAGAGACCAAGGTTACTGTGATAGTCGTCTTAATAAGCCAGTCTGTATTTTTGACTCTGGGGTTTCTGCTCTTCTTGTCAAATGTCAGACAGATTCAGGTTTAAGTAAAGGGGGCTTGAACCTGCCCTGATAGACCTGTAAATCAGTTTCAGCTATCATGGTCAGCAAATCGTTTAGTAGCAGTTTTGGCGCTGAGAGCAGGTGCTAAATCCAGCCTGAAAAGGGAATCAACATCAGCATCAGGGTCCTCACATGGAGTGACCAAGCTCCAGTACTTGTCCTTCAAACTGAAAGACCCTGGTTTCCAAGAAAAAATATGATTTTACTGACCTGAAAAGAGGACTTTGGACCTTGGAGCAACAGTCGAGTCTTTTTCTCCTGAATCCAAGTAAGATGACATTTTCTCTGGTTCAGGGCTGGCTTGGTACTAGGAATATGGTAGTGGTAGTCTCCTGGTCCAGTCTTTTGATGCACTCTAAGTCCACTTCTCAGGGTTGGGGCCAAGCTTAGAGGATTTTTAGCATATCTGACTTGCTGAAACACACCTGTAATTCCAGGAGAACAAATTAGCATGTGGTTAAAGGGGCAAATTTAGTAATGATAGGATGTATACTGAAACACATGGTCTTTGGGTTGTCAAAGCGTAAAGAAATACAAAGAGGATGGTTGCCCAAGTGATCCAGATTGTTAGATAGGCTAGATGATTCAGATGAAGGTCAAAGAAACCACCTCAGTACATGTTCAGAGTGTGTTTATAAAGAGCACAGTACGCTTTGAGCGGAAGAAAAACTTCCCCAAACTGGCACTAGATGTCACCCACTCATCAGCTGACAAAACTGTTGACTGGATACGCAGAGAGGTGATGAAAAAGAGCAAAAATAAAAGCTCCATTGACGTGCATTGGTGTGGCAATGATGTTCCTCCTCGCGTTTGGTACTTGAGGTCGATCGCAGTTGATTAATTTTCCAAAATCTGGAGGCTATCATCACTGAGGTAAACTGTATTTGCTTTGGATTTAAATAAAGTAGAAGTGTGACAAATCGAGCACTGTGAAAAAAAATTCTGGTGCCGATGATCACAAACATTACGGTGCCAGTTTTCGGTTTCGTTGGACGCGCGCCCTCCCACTTCTGCACTTCTCCTTTCGGCAGAGGCGCACTGCGCTTTTACGCGCGACTCCAGTGACACTCTGTGAGAGAGCAGAGAGTCATGAGGGCCAGCAGTAAATGAGAGAGAAGTCGACACCGCTGCACGATGGTGCTCCTGCTGCCCGCTCTGTTGTTCATTCTCTGGGGAGGAACAGGTCAGTGTCTGGAGGAGGACAGAGAGTTCCGCTTCAAGGGAGACATCCGCCACTACGCCGTAACCAACGGCACGGTTTATATCGCCACTGAAAAGATGCTGTACCAGCTGAGTCACGACCTGACTCTGGTCCAGAGTCTGACCCAGAAGGGGATCTTGGAATACGCTCCTGAGTCGACTGACGCGAAGTTTAAACGAGTTTCTGAGACGGAGAAGTTGAACGCAACTTTCAGTGTTAACGTGTTGTTGCCGCTTGTTGCCGATAACAATCTGATAACATGTGGTTTGATTGATAACGGGTGTGGTTACTGTGAGCTGCTGGACTTGAAGAACATTTCCAACGTGCTGTACCGGGAACTCATCCAGGTGGGGTCTCTGCGGCGCAGCAGCGCGTCCGTGAGTTTCCTGGTGAATGTGGAGACTCAAACCCGGACAGAGACTTACATTCTGGCTGCTATTCAGCAATACAAAGACGAACCGACAAAGGACATCTGTCCCTCTGTGTCAGAGGCAGTGAGCCTTCACAACACCAATAACGACCAGACAGGACAAATATTTTCTCTTTATATCCAGGACACAAATTCTGCAATCAAACTCAAGGACGATGTGGACGTTGTGACCAAACTCCCCATCCAGGTCGATGTGGAGTTTGTGGATGGATTTCAGATTAACTCCATCATTTATCTTTTTTCTAATCTGCCCTCAAAATATGAAAGCAACAAAGTCCGTCTGCTTTGGCTTGTTGGCAAAGGAGGTAAAGGTAAGAGTCTTGCGTCGTTGCGGGGTGCGACCCTCAGTGTCTCTGATGGAGGTGAAGACCGCAGACTGATCGCCTCCTCGGTCATCCCTGACGGTCCGCCGGTGCTCTGGGGCGGTGTGTTCAGTGTGGGCGAAGGACAAACTAAGACCGAGCTGGTGGTGTTTGACATCAGTCCTGATCTTAGAGGAAGGACCGATGTGGACCCGGACTTCTGCTCTGACTGTGGTGACAGGAACAGACCAACGGTGGGTGGTCGTCAAATTATGTTGCTTTAATGAGCACTTGTGTCCACATCCATCTTTACCTCCAACATATCATTAATTAAAAGGTTAATTCAATTTTTAAAACATTTTTCTAAAAGAATGCAAGATTATATTACTTGGATAAAGAGAATTTTAAAATTGTTTAAAATGAGTAGAAAATTAAAAGTGTTAAAACAATCTCAAAGTGCAGTCTTGTCTCTCCTCTGATAGCTTTTTAGGAAGTTACAAAGTTGTACTTACTGAAGCTGAACTTACTAAACCATCAAATCAGTTTATGAAGGTTTATAAAAGATGATGGGTCAGTTTTGAAGCCTGATAGACATTTGACCATCAACACTTTACCCTCTAATACTTACAAAATTAATTATGTCTAATTATGAATTTATTGTGTTTCTCAGCCAAAGACACTGAAGCAGAAGGCGGTGGTCTTCAAGCAGAACTACATGACCTCTGTGCTGGCAGTGAGACAAAAGGCCTGGATAGTTTTCTTCATCGGGACAGGAGATGGACAGCTTATTAAGGTGAGTCTACAAAGGGACATAAAGGGATGGAATAGCTGCTCTAAAAGCAGAGCCTTGAAGCTCAAGATTACAACGCACAGGAGAAAATTAAAAAATGGCTAAGGTACCCGAGAGAGAAGAGTAGTTTGGTTAACTAAAGCTTATCGTAGTTTCAACAAATTTTGACAAAAGTAACACTATAAGATTGTATGTCCTGACAAAACACAATACCGATCTGATTGATCTCATGCTACAGAAATGCTACTTGATTAAGTATAATGTAAATAAGGGCAACTTTTCACAGCTAGTATATAAAAAACACACTATTCTGTGGAAGTCCAACAAATGTCAACCTTGGTTTTGTTTACTAGGAATGTCTGGGTGGTGACCCCTTTAACAGTGTCCCTCTGTTACCCATGAATAAATCACTATTTTGGAAATAAATATGACAAACTGACACCTCACAAATACAAGTTTGGTCTTACAAAGTTGGGTGCAATAGCAGAAGATAACTACAGGAAATGGCATAAAGTTTCTAAATACTGTCATTTCCATTTAAAGGCATAACATGTAATATTTAGTGGCATTAAGTAGAATAGAGAATAATGATAGAATAATATTTTAAAAGTAAATGTAATTTGATGAAACAGTATACTATTGAGAGAACATAGTTATGGCATAGAAAACTGAAAATTATAGTTTTGCCTTCAAGTAGAGTAATGAGATCTGCATTTGTATTTATCACAATACTCTATAACATCCAAAGTTTTGTTTTTTGTCCAAGTTTTCCCTGAAAAGGAGCATTTACGTAAACCTCAACTCTCTTTATTGCTCCTATAAACCTGTTTCTTCAAATATGAAGTGATATGAAATGTTTGTTCAGATTGGGCAGACTGTGCATACAGTAAGAAATATAGTTATTGACCCTTGCACAGACCAGCTTCTTACTCATCTTGATATTTTAGAAAAGATTCTGGCACAGGTCACTGGAAATAAGCCCTAAATACTAATGATGTGAAGGGACAGTAAAGAAATGTTACTTTAAAATATTAAATAATCAGCAGATCAGAACAGGCAAATAAATTGTATCCCAGCAACAAGTCAGGATAATAATAATAATAATAATAATAGATTTTATTTGTAATGCACTTTACATTTAAAAACAAATCTCAAAGTGCACAACAAGACAACAACAGTAAAAACCAAGCAACAGGGCAAAACAATAAAAAACAGTCAGATGCAGATTTGTCATTCACTGTTTGGTGAGCTATTGTGTATTGTAATGTATTAGACACGTGTAACTGCAGCTGACACTTTGTTTTGAGTTGTCAGTCCCTCAACTCCATTGCTACATCTTGAGCTGTCGACCACTTCAAAACAAGGGAAATGCAAAAGAAACTTGCTGGACTATAAACTAGGGGTGTCCCAATATGATATCAATATAAAATATCGGTCCTATATCAACAAAAAATCAAATATCGGATTATATCTGCCTGCATCTAAAATCTCCGATATCAGCACTCCGATACAAGCAGTCCATTCCAGACTCCACTCCAGCACCTCTATCTAGCAGCACCTGGATCCAGCATGTAGAGCCCATGTGATCACAACAACAGTGTGTACGAAGGTACTAGCAAAGTAGCAAGGAGTAGGAGTGATGTCGGCCCTGTGGCTGTATTTTTCATTTAAGTCCAAAAAAGATGTTGCAGCTAAGTGCAAGACTTATCATGCCCAAGTTTGTACTAATATCTGATCAATATCGGTATTGGACAATATCAAAGGCTACAATATCGGTACCGTATCAGGGAAAAGAAAAATTGTATTGGGATACCCCTACTGTAAACCAATGAAAGTTGTCTTATTTTCCTCTCATGGGCTTTATCAAAAAGTAGCCACAGTGGGTTCTGAGGTTGCTTTCCAGGTTCTAATCCATAAAAGGTTTTCATGGCTTTTGAAATTCCCAAACCCGTTTTTTCCCCCTACCACAGGTGAATGCAGGGTTAGACTGAGCTCTCAGTGGTGTCAGAAAACACCACAGCATCCCCATTAGGGCTGAAAGTCACGCATAGAATGAGTGTTTCTCCTTCATGGTGCGGGTCATCAGCTAGCGGCCAAGCATTTGAGAAATGCTATAACCACAGAAATACATGAAAATGCAACTGTACCACTTAACAAATTACCACGAGCTTTGACTGAGGCTGCGGATTACGTTCTGGGAATACCCACCAGCAGCAGAGCAGCACCATCCCAGAGAAACATAACAAAACCGCCTTTTTGTTTTCAGCTTGCTGTGGACAAGAACTACCAGACCAACTGCCCCAAAGTGCTCTTCAAAACCAGTGACGACCGCAAAGTGTTTTCAAAACTACATCTGGATCAGGTGGATCTGAAACATGTTTATGTCCCATTTCAAAACCAGGTAGGTGTAGTGTACAAGTACCACATACAAGGTCAAGGTGATCACTCAGTAAATTTAAATACTTCAAATTTTTACTGGTGTTATTTATACTGCATATAAGTACACTCACCGGCCACTTTATTAGGTACACCATGCTAGTAACGGGTTGGACCCCCTTTTGCCTTCAGAACTGCCTCAATTCTTCGTGGCATAGATTCAACAAAGTGCTGGAAGCATTCCTCAGAGAGCTTGGTCCATATTGACATGATGGCATCACACAGTTGCCGCAGATTTGTCGGCTGCACATCCATGATGCGAATCTCTCGTTCCACCACATCCCAAAGCCCATCTGCCTCAAAGTTCGACGTACTGTGCGTTCAGAGATGCTCTTCTGCCTACCTTGGTTGTAACGGGTGGTTATTTGAGTCACTGTTGCCTTTCTATCAGCTCGAACCAGTCTGGCCATTCTCCTCTGACCTCTGGCATCAACAAGGCATTTCCGCCCACAGAACTGCCGCTCACTGGATATTTTTTCTTTTTCGGACCATTCTCTGTAAACCCTAGAGATGGTTGTGCGTGAAAATCCCAGTAGATCAGCAGTTTCTGAAATACTCAGACCAGCCCTTCTGGCACCAACAACCATGCCACGTTCAAAGTCACTCAAATCACCTTTCTTCCCCATACTGATTCTCGGTTTGAACTGCAGGAGATTGTCTTGACCATGTCTACATGCCTAAATGCACTAAGTTGCCGCCATGTGATTGGCTGATTAGAAATTAAGTGTTAACGAGCAGTTGGACAGGTGTACCTAATAAAGTGGCCGGTGAGTGTATATCTTTGCTGTATTTTAAATGCTGTTAAGTTGAAATTTTGAAATGTTTATTTTTAGATCAATCGTGTTCCTGTGTCAAAGTGCAGCACATACAAAACTGTGCAGGATTGTTGGTCTGCACAGGATCCATACTGTGTCTGGTGTGGCCCTGAAAAAAGGTTAGAAACATCATCTGCAGTGAACATCAGTAAAGGAATTTAAAACTTGTATAGGACTTACCTTTTTTCTTCTCCTAGCTGTACATTTGAAGAAAACTGCCAAGGCTCAGACTGGTTGTCCATTCCTGATGATTCTCAGCACAAAATGGTTTCCTATCAAGTTACACAGGACCAGACTGGACAGGTAGAGATTAGGGTTAAGTTCTGAGCTATGATGAGTTGTGGCTCTCTGATAGTATATTGTTTATTTACTCCTATCTGGATTTGTTTCAGATCACACTTAACATCCAGGTGCATGTGACAGCGGGCGAAGAGGTGCTCTCTAACTTTGCCTGTCACTTCTCTACAAGTTCCACTGAGCGCTTTAAAATGGAAAACCCGCGTCCACAGTTTCCACATTGTTCTTCCACCCTTGAAGCAAGCACACTTCCTGCTGGAGGTCAGTCATTTTTGATGGATAATAATATTATGATAAGAATCTAAAAATTATATAATTGTTATATTTAGTGTATTTTTTTAATACAACAGGACTGCGTGCAACTGTAAAGATCAAACTTGGTTCATCATGGCTGACTGAATGGCTGAACCTGCTCAACTGTACGGACATCAGCGGACCACCAACACCTGCCCTGTAAGTCCTCCACTGTTTTCTACTAATCTAAGCCACACCTTTCACTGCAATTTTCTTAGAAGTAGCATCAGTGTTAAAACAAAATGACTCACCTTTTTGTCTACAGGTGCCGAAAATGTTTTGAGGCTGGCTGTGGCTGGACCGGAAGGGGTTGTTCTTGGGCAAATCGAGGCGTGGGGAATGTAATTATGCATTTCTTGCTTTAATTTTCCGACTTGATGTCCAAAATGCTTTTTGTTGTTATTGTGCAGCTATTCCACATTCTCTTTGAGCAATGTTCCAAAAGTTAAGACTATGAATCTCTGTTAAAAAATGAAGTTTGTCAAATGTTTTTTTACACTGACTTATGCTGAAATAGTTCAGCATATAAAACCCTTTTCTTTGGATCTCATGGAAACACAGTTATCTTCTGAATTATCTTCTTACAGGTCAGTGTTTGCCAAATGATAGGGTCACAGATGAACCTTTCTGTAAGTCTGAACCTGAAGTGTCACATACTTTCCATCACCATGAGAATAACGATCGCACATGGAAATGATACTCTTGTGTTTGTTTTACTGTCAGAAACCCGTGATCTCCACCATCACTCCCAAAGTTGTGTCTTTCCACGGCAGAAACAACGCAGTGTTGTCTGGTAGTAACCTCAGTTCTGTGACTAGATTGAGGATCCAGGCAGATCTTGACTGCACACCACAAGAGTGAGTTACCTCATGGGTAACTGAGACAATGAACTGAAACTAAGTGGCTGTTAAGTCAAGACTTTGCTGGCATTGCTGCTCAGTAAAGCTGAGAAACTTCCTCATGTAAAAGTGATCATGCTCCACAGACACATTCACGTGTATATGGTTCACCCAAACAGATTGTAAACTTGTAGAGCAAATCAAAAACGTTACTGTCAAAGAAGCAGAAGCTGAAATAGGGCTGGGCAATATGGCCTCAAATCAGTATCACGATATATTAAGCAGTTCACCCAGATAATGATAAATGGACGATAACAACTCCACGAGCTGCTCACCCCCTTCCACATTAACTGCCTCTACTTCAGCCACCGCTCTAGCTGCTACAACTTTTGAACTGTTCTCTTTGTCCTTCTTTTTTTACGGACTGGATGGGGTGGAGTCACGTCTCTGACGTAGAACAGCGTTTTAAAGGGACATGAGACCATAGCCTACCTACACACGTCCAAAAACAACTTTTATTTATTTATTTTTTTGACACAGAATATATCCATATAGGTAAAATGACGTCGGTTACTGTCATAAATTTCAGTATTGGTAAATTTTCGGTTCATCGCCCAGCCCTAACCTGAAATTTCAGCGGCAAAAATTGAGTTGTAAAGTTAGCGGCGGTGTAAATTTTTCTTTGCAGTTTCTCAAATGGTTCTTTAGGCTACATGGACATCAACTTGCAACCAGAAGAGAGCGTGTATCTACTTATGAATTTGCGAAATTGTAAGCAAATTTTAAATAGTTTAAAACTATCTGAATGATGTGCTTTAAAGTCGTTAAAGTATTGCCAGGGTTTGAGATGCACACATATTATTCCTGCTGTGTTGATTGCATTCCACCTATTGTCTTTTGACTTGTCCTTAGTTATTTTGTAATGACTATGAACAGGTATCTGGATACCAAAACAGAATAAAACTGTTTCTCTCTGTTTTTTACCTCATGTGGTCAGGATTCCTGTTCGGAGCAACACGGGTAAAAATCTGACGTTCCACATTCCCAGTGCAGAAAACAAAGGTGTGGTCAAAGTCTGCGCCCTCCTCCCAGATGGTAGTTGTCACGGCAGTGCCACTATAACCTACCGTTCAGCACCATCCTGCACCAATGTTTCACCCAACAGCACCTGGAACAGGTAAAAGTGTGTGAGAGAAATGCAAAAGAGATCAACTGCACACATACAGACTTCTCCTGATACAAGTTATGACTGATGTACACATTTAATCTGTTTAGAAACCTGTGTTAATGACAGTTTTCTTAACTTAAGACCAAGTGCTTGATTTTGAATACATAACATTACAGCAGTGTGGCTAAAGGGGAAGCTCTAATTTTGACACCTTTGCCACATTGGTAAACAGTTTGAAAAACTTCAGGAGCTTTACCTCTTTGCACTCAAACACTCAGTTGAGAGGTTCAAATATATTGTCTTAAACTGTCCTTTTTTGACCTGATGACCAGGGCTGCGTCAGGAACTTTAGTGGCGACTGATTCAAGGGAAACAGGGTTAGTAACTTAGGAACGATGACAGGTTGAGGGTCATCTTATGGGGAAAGAGCCACTTCCCAGAAGTGACTGATGACACCATTAGACTACTTCCTGTTAAGCTGCAGCAGCTAAAAGTTCCACTTCTGTCTTTATTTTTGTACTTTAACAAGAAGCAGTGTTTAAAAATCGGCAGCTTAGGCTAATGAGGTTTTTAGGACAATCTTGAACAAAGAAAAGAAAACACTCCAACAGCCACCGGCATTCATTAATTAGCATGATTTGGTGCTTTTTGGGGAGCAGGGTTGTAAGGGTATCTGCTGTATGTCATGGGGCACCAGCTCACAGAAGACCTGCATCAAAGCAGCAAAGGCCATTTTGTCTCATTTTAATCAACCAAACTGGTTCTAGCCTATCAAAAGTCATAGTGAGCCATTTATTTAATGTGGACAATCTGGGCAGTCCCTGTGCAGCCTGGGGGTTTTGAAATCCTTGATTACCACAGAGTAGGGTTCATTTAAACATCATAAGGAACCATCAATCATAGGGGGTCTGGTCGGGGGTGGAGGGCTGATCACATGCTGCACATGCAAGACGGGAAAAAGTAAAGAATTACCGTTAAGGTTTCTCTAGAGAAAAATAGGACAACAGATGAGTCCTCAGAGGATCTCATCTCTTAAATACCTTTAGTGCCAAATTAAATATTCCTCAGCTAAAATGTTTGTAGATTATTTCTCACTCTAATTATTTTTATAACATTAAACTCTGCCTGACATTTATGACAAAATTGCATGTTCAAAAATGCAAACCCTCCACTGTACATGCTTATTTGATTGTTGCTCTGTGTCCTGTAGTGGGAAAAGGACGATCACAGTCCATGGATCCCACCTGGAGTTTGTGGAAGCTGTCAAACACAGTGGAGTCCTGCAGGAGGTCAGACTTCCAGAGAACAATATCTATAAGGTAGGTCTTTGGACACAAACAACATCCCATTTTATTTTACTACTTTATTTATATCTTGTCACCTTATAGGCTACCATGGTGCATTATACTGCAGTACACCAACCAATGAGCAGAACCAGGGTTGTTCAAAGGATTACTTCTCCTACATATCATATGTATCAGTGTTTTTTAGACTGTTTTGATTCACAGTTACACTTAATGCAACTTCTATTTTTACAAGCAGAGGCAAATGTTAATAACTTTGTTTGGACTGCACAGAAAGAACAGACACTTTGATGAATACATTCACAGATTCAGCTACTTTAACCGCATTAAAAAGGGGGAAAAAATGCACATTTCATGCACTTGTTTTTTTTATGTTTATACTATCATACATGATCGCAACTTAATGCATCAGATTGATAAGCAGCTGATAAATTCTAACTGTGTCTTTGCCTTGCCTGTCTGCTCTCTGACATCTCTTTGTTTTATCTCTTGTTTTATCTGGGGAGTAGGTAGGAGGTTAAGTGTACGGTCTAGTACTGCAGGGGCTCGAGTCCAAAGAGGCTTCTGCCTTCCTGTCTACTCTTTAACATCTCTTTAGATATGTGTCACTCTGTCCCTTATTTTTCTTCTCTATTATGGTGCATGGTTACAGCGAAAGGTGAGAGATTGTATCGAGAGGAGTGGCTCTGGGACACCCAAGCTAGCTGTTAAGCCTCCCTCAGGTGTCATAGGCCTCACTTCAGAGCTTACCTGATAACCTCTGTGAGGTTTTGGCTCATGCAGCCCATGTCTATTATTAAATCTATTACAATTATCCATGTTCACCAAGAGAGGGATCAGCTGTATCTACACACATTCATCTGTCCATTCAATATAGAGGTGTATCACATAAAATCATCTGTTATGTCTTCTTTGCCATTTTATTTATTTTATGTTTCAGTGGAAGATATTGTTATTTAACATTAATTATTTATGCTTTTATTGTATAATGCTCTACAGTCATAATATCACTTAATTAGGAAGCTTCAATCCAAATGTAACACTGTAGATTTCTCCTCATGTTTTTGACAGGATCTCAAGAATCTCACCTACGACTCACCTGCAGCTGAAAATGCTCAAGGGACTTTTTCCAGCACTTTGACCCTGAAAGTAGCCAATGAGAGCTTGAGCTGTCCCACAAAAATAACCTACTACCCAGACCCTGAGTTTACAAGCTTCACGTCCACAAAGACAGGGGACAGTGTCCACATCACTATACAGGTAATGCAAGATTTTCCAGCACACATGCACAATGAGGAGATGAAACTTGAATATCAGTGATTTTTTTCTGTTCTCCTTTCAGAAAAAGGCAGACAAACTCAATATGAGCCCTGAAGAGTTATCAGTGTGGGGTATTCATGAAGGACAAAAATACCCCTGCGTAATGGAAGAGAAAGGAACCAGTGGCAACACCGAGTATTTCATCTGTGAGATTAAAATTCCAAGCATCAAAGATTTTCAAGAATTGGAGGTAAGTTTTTAGTCGTGCCACTCCAAATTAAGTGATGCTTTTGATAGATAAAATATACATGTGTCTCTAAAGCTTTTACAGAAACGCAGACTTCCTTTTTGAAATCCTTTCTGATACAGTTTGATTGTTTCTTTGTCCCAGATAAAGTATGGAGACAAAACAGAAACCCTTGAATCTGCATCATGGTCTCCTCTCTTCCTGATACTGCTTGTCTTACTACTGATCCCATTAATTATTGTTGGTAAGTACCCTTTTATCGTTAGAAGGCCGATTTTGGTCTAAAAGCAGCTTTAGAAACACTGACAAATCTGGAAAAAAAAACCAAAAACGATTTGCTTGGTATTTTATCTCCCAGTTGTGGTGATCGTTTACCGAAGCAAACAAAAGAAACTCAATGCAAAGATGAACAAGATCATGGAAAACCTGGAGCTCGACATCAGGAATGACATCAGACAAGGTCAGTCACAAAAACATTGATGATACGCTGATGAAACAGCAAAGATCCTTCCTGTCTGAACAGTCCCGTGCAAAACAAAAAGCTTGGGTTATAGAAAGGTCAATGACTCTTGTTTCAATGTTCATGATATTTCCTCTTGCTGTCCCTCTCCTTCTCTGTTGGCCATGTGTGCACACAGCGCTGTAGGATCATGAGGCCTGACCCAATCTAGCATAAAAATCGTATCAAAATAAGAGCATGAAAAATAAGCAGACCAAAGTTTTACAGTTTTACAGCTTCATAGTTAGATTCATGAGCTATTTGTTGACATTGAGGAGGCTTTTGAGTAGAGTGATCATATTCTGAATCCCCAAAAAGAGGACATGACTACCCAGGGGTGGAGTCACAGTGTCGCACGAAGTTAATTTTGAGAGTTTTCCAGGTTGGAACGAGTATCTTTTACCTGCTTCTAACTCAGTAAATCCACGAGACACAAACTCGGAACTTCCATACAAAATTTTGTAAACTTCCCCGGACAAGGCCGGACAGCCCGCAAAAAAGAGGACATGTCCGGGTAAAAGAGGACGTATAGTCACCCTATTTTTGAGGCGAAAAACACAAGTTTCTATTCATGACATTTCCATCAACATCTGCTGTATATAGTTTTTCAGCTACTTATCAGATGTTAGCATGCTGTCATGCTAAGATGATTAACGGCAATGCAGAACTTCACAGAGCTGACAGCATGGAAAGGGTTAGGTCATGGAAAGTGTAAACGGCTCAACTTGACAAGTAGCCAACTTCAACAGTCAGCACAGACCAACACATGCACACATGCAGTTCCTTTTAAAGATGTGAAATACCCCGAGCTTGTTCCTTTTTCTGGTATCAGACTTGTCATACATGTGGTCTATGCTAAGTAGAAAAATTAAGTATGTATCTGCAAATACAAAACCTCATTTCAGATAAACACCATGAGGTTTGCTGTTTGTTTTAAATAAGATGCAGTCTCCCATTTTCACTACCTCTTTCTGTTTTTGACCAAAGTTGAAGATCATCTTATAGTTTGATTCTTAACTGGCTTTAAAAAGGCAATGTTTCAAAGCCGTAAATATCTTTATCTTTTAATGATTATGATGCCAGATGGGTTTTGTGTCACTTAAACACATACAGATGAATATTCATTATAACCAACCCTAACTGTCCTCTGTAGGTTTTGTGGATCTGCAGACAGAGAAAGCTGACCTGATGGAGAATGTTGGAGCCATTCCTTTCCTGGATTATAAGCACTTTGCCTCCAGGATCTTTTTCCCTGAGGTACGGACAAACCTCCAAGAAAGTAAATGCTCATTATGATATTTAAAAAAAAAACACAACATAAACACAATCTGTTTTGTTTCTATTTTTCAGGGTGACACTTTGATGAATTTGTGCGTCAAAGACATCGGTCAGGTAAGGTCTGACTCCAGCTGTTATCAACATTCGTGTTGTTTTGTAACCCTTACGGTGACGTGTTGTTGTATCTGACCTGAAATCAGGATGCTGTGAAGGTTCCGCTTGATGAGCCCTGCAAGGGTTTGTCCAGGCTGATCCAGAACCAGGTCTTCCTCACGTCAATGGTGCACGCTCTGGAGGAACAGAAGAGTTTCACCATCAAGGACAAGTCAGTTTCTGAAGTTTGATTGTTGTGTCTGAGTGTCAGTGACAAATCTGTTGTTTCATCCTGAACCATTTTGAGGTTTTCTGTACTTCCCTGTCGTTGTTTACATCCGTTATTCTATGATCCTTTTTGCTCCTATGTTCTCTGGTCATAATTCTGTTTCTTTTCTACTTTTACCTCCTTTTTTTTTCTTTTTTAATCTCCTCTCTTCCAGGTGTGTTATGGCATCACTGCTCACTGTAGCGCTCCACAACAATTTGCTGTACCTGACAGAAGTGATGGAGGTACTGCTGAGGGATCTGATGCAGCAGCACGGTAACGCCCAGCCCAAACTGCTTTTACGACGCACCGAGTCCACTGTGGAGAAACTCCTGACCAACTGGATGTCCATCTGTCTGTACGGCTTCCTCCGGGTTAGATGAGTTTATATCCCTCTTGATTTCTAAAGAACCACAAAGGAAAACGTCAGCTACCTGATTTAGCCGCACTAGAAACTTTCAATGTTGGTCAACGGCCTTTTCAGACGCCAACCAGTTAGAAGCAAGACACTAAGAATGACTATTTTCCTACTAATAGCTTTTATGGCACATACAGTATGAAGGTCATCAGTGTTATACATCAGGTGTAGAGATTATGTGTGAGTGCTGAGAGTTAGTACAAAGGAGGGTGAAGAAAGGTGTCCTTATGATAACCCCAGTGATGCGCTGATTCTCTCTGCCTATCAAATCAGGATCGGTTGGGGGCGTTAGGGGTTGTTGTTAAAAAGCTATATAAGCCAGAACACTTAAGACAACAGTGACATACCTCTATTTGACTTTTCTGGTTTTCTGTTTTATCTGGATGTTGAAGAAAGTTGGTAACAAACAGCAGAGCAGTCTATACGACGTCAGTGGACTGGAGATCCAGAGCTTTATTGTCACCTCTCCTGTTTGTCCGCTTTTCCTTTCGGTGCATCGAGTCGTCATCGTCCTCTGTAAACTCAGATTCACAAAGATGTCAGAATCATTAATGGTTTGATTTGGTCGTATCTTTGTCTTTAGGAAGCCTGCATGCGAAAGAGCAAGTCTGTGCTGAATAAATTGTCTTTCTGATGGCAAAGTTAAGGGCTGAAAATTTTCTGGGTGGAGTGTACGATTAAACTGAAGTAACAGCTCAGATAAGGGTCTCCCAAAGTTAGTGGCAGTCGTATACCTAACACCCTGATATAATTGTGGCTTGTACAATAACAAGTGACATGTAACTCAGACAGTCCACTTTAGTTTCTCTTTCTGTATTTTTGTCTAGCCTTTTGGTAAACCACATGCTGTTTATTTTTAATGTCATGGCTAATGAGGGATCGTCTAAAGGAAACATTGCCATGGTAACAAACTCCCCACAGCCATCACACATTCCGAGAACTTTCTCTTGTCACCTCTATTAAGTCCTCAGTCGAGTTTCCGTTTAGCTCTCTGCTGTATTGTGTCACATGGACACAGACTGAAACCTTTTCTTTGTTTTTACTAAAACCTTTGTTCCATGTGTTTAAAAAAACAATTCAGGGCAGTTGTCTTGAATGAAGCAAAAACAGAACGTTAAGTTCATAAAACAACTTCCTCGGTGCCACAGAGGGAACAACCCCCTTTTTTGTCTGACTCTGTTCCTGTTTCTGATTTTGCACAGGAAACTGTTGGCCAGCACCTGTTCCTGATGGTTAGCGCTCTGACACAGCAGACTGCCAAAGGACCTGTGGACAGTGTGACAGAGAAGGCTCTTTACACGCTCAGCGAGGACTGGCTGCTGTGGCAGGCTCCGGACTTCACTTCCCTGGTACACACACACACACAAACAAAAACACCCATACTTTACATCGCAGGCCCTCGCACACAGAAGCAGACTGCATATTCAGGGAAAGCTAGAGTCCAAACAGGAGAAAACATCTATATAAACAGGGGAAACTACATGAAACAACTCAAAGTATTCAACATTTCAAAGTAAAAACCTGTCAGCTGTAGAGGTTATACTATTAAAATGAGCTGTGTATGAGGCAGATGGGCACTCACTCAATCAAAGGATATAAGCAAGCCAAGAAATCACAATATTACTGATACGTTGCCCGTGATCTGAACACAAACTGCAGTCTAAACTGTGACCAATGCGCTGCACAAAGAAAAGCTAAGCAGCTTGAAGTCATTTATTGCTGACCACACCAGAAAGAAAGAGGCAGCTGTGGCTCGGTCCGCATGCCAAAGTGTCCTTGGGCGAAGCACTTAAGCCCACCTGCCCCCGCTGGCTGTGTCGGGTGGTGTGTGAATGGTATTAGTTAAAACACTGATGGACTCTATGCATAGCAGCCTCTGTCATCAGTGTGTGAATGGGTGATTGTGACATGTGGCGCGAAAGCGCTTTGAGTGGTCAAAAGAGAAGGCGGGGAGTTCAATTAACATTTACCAGAAGTAGAGACGTTGTCCTCATTCCCAGAGACACACACTGTTTTTCTTAAAGGATAGCTGATGGGTCCTGAGATGGGTGTAGTCATGTAGATACTAACAAATATCTTAAGATCACAAATTGAGGAAACCGTCAATAGATCCTAGCTCTGTTTTCGAAAAGAGAAAAGTATACTAAGATTCCATTTTATTTACTTATTACCTTAATCTGTAAATGTCTAATATCTCTGTGAAGCACTGAGATATTAATGATGGAAGTTGTGAGGCAGTTCTTCTATATGTGAGCGATCCAGCGCGGCTATGAATTGATTGGACAACATCCTCATTGTGTGTAAGTTGGTTGTCAGCCACAGAGCATACAGAGACAGCTTGTCAAGGGAACAGCGGTTGGTATTGAACCACTTCCTCTTCCATGTATTTTAAGACCTTTTTAACATGCAACAGCTCAGCTTTGACGGGCTTGACACAGCTATGTTTACCACAGATTACCAAACTGATTTCCTGGCAATAGCTCAGAAAAGGTTTCTAAAGCACACTGACAAAACAGGCCGGATTGTCAAAGACTGCAAGATAAAGACAGATCTTGATGAGGTGAAATCAAAAAAGGTTTTTTTGACTTTTTTTATCAACTAGCGGAAGGCTTGTAACAGAAGTAAAAAATGAAAAAAACACCATCCTGCTGGCAGGAAGTGGCTGAATGTCACGCTCAAGACTCAAAATGAGAGAGGAAGATTTTTGTTGTGGCAACAAGATGTGGCTTCAGGTGCAAGAAGGGTACAAGTTGGACCATAACTGAGCCTTTACAGATGGGCATTTTGCTCAACCACAACAGCTCATTGGCCTTAAGAGGAAAGTAATTCTCAGTTTCTCACAGGAGAAACTATGAAATGCAATCAGATTTATGTACCGATTCTGATGAGGAGAAACACCTTCATCTTAAACAACACTACAACCTGTTTGAGGAACCAGCTACTCGCAGTCAGAGTCTTAAAAAAGCTCTTTACTCAAGGAAGTAAAGCAACACGGCATTTTCCTGTTAAAAAAACAAATTAAAGAAAACCACAGAATGCAGAAACAGGCGGTCTCTAACCACACCTCAATGCTCAGAGCTGAGTAGAAATGAAAGAAAATGAAAGCATGCAAATGTTTCCGAATCAAGTCAGTTTATGAGGTGCATGTTAGAGTATTTCACAATGACTAAAGTGCTGTACAATCAAAGTAGGAAATAAAGTTAAATAAAATATTACTAAGTTACAAAAGCACTAACATACACTAAAAAAAATAAAAGCTCAAAAGAAAAAATAAATCAGTAGTTGCAACCATAAACAGAAAAATAAAAAAGAATTGATAGAAATTTTCCTACAAAGAGTTCTTGATGTGTATGAACTTGACTGAAATTCATACTGACGCCTTTTAATGACTAGAAAAGTAAACAAGACTGAAGATTTTTATGTTGTAATTTTTAAGTACCTGAAACCGGTACAAGCAGCTGCAGAAACAGCCCTATTACTATATTTTTTGTATCAAATATTCACAATAGCTGATCAATTTGACCGCCAAAAGTCAGAAAGCACTACCCAAGTATATATTGGTTAACATGAGCAGTAACGGCTTTGTCCACAGGGGGCGCCAAAGTTGACACAAACTAAAGGATCCCTACCAGGGCTTTAATAATTAAAATAGGGTGAGCAAATTTAATCAGGTTTTTTTATGAGAATAGTGAGAATAATGTGTTGGTTACAAGTAAACATTGCAAACCAATTTTCCGTTTAACTGAACTTGTCACATGAGCTATTTGGCTGATATGACGTGTAATGGTTCATTTTTACCAGGAAAACACACAAAAAAATTGCTTAATTTTGAGTTTTTACTGTTTAAATGTCTACGAACTGTTAACTGTTACAGGAAATATGAGCAAGTGGAGAGACAGTTGGTATGAACAAGGACAGCAGTTAGTTCAGAACAGACCTGCTGGTGAACGTGACCAAAGCCATGTAATGATCTGGGTCATCACTGCTATAGAGAGACTCAACCACAGAATTATCTAATCTAACTGGTATGCCACACCCCCACTGGATTACCACATGGGTTGGTTTGTCCAATCTGTGGTGTGGCGTGGTGTAATAACAGAATTTACCAACTGGCACAGGTCGTCTGTACCGGGTGTCAACATTTGACAGATTCAAGGAACAAGAAATGAACGTTTATTTCATAGAAAACCTCAAAGTCATTGTTCCTGTTGTCATCAACAACCAGGAAGTTGAGGTTGTGCAGCACTATAAATATCAGGCAAAATGATTAAGAAAGTGACTGTCAGGTCTCAGGTGACCAGCTGTTTGTTGAGAACCAGTCAGCACATCCATTTAATCAGGGGGCGGCTGTAATTTAACAGTGATAGCCGCCTCGGGATTTAAAAGTGAAATCAACAGCAGAGCTAAGTGTGTAGATGTGTACTTTAGACTTTGATTGTCCAGAAGACTTTTACCTGTTTTTACAGAGACCCCAAACTTCAGCACAAGTTCATTTTGTTCTAAGTTTTTTGGGCGTGGCTGTGAAGCTGTGAGCAACAATTACTAAAGTCAATCATATGGGACTGATGTCAGAGTTTCACTTCAGTATTATTAACCAAAATATGGGTTAAAGGAACAGTCAGCGGAACTGATTCATAGACCAGATAATGCAAAACAGGAGGTGAAGTGTTTGATACAATAAACCAGAAGATCTTGACAAATATTTTCTCTTATAGGAAGTTGGAACTTTTTTTTTTCTGCTTGTGTTTCCGTTTTTGTTTTGGGCAGGGCTCAACAGAAAAAGATTATGTTCTTCTTGCAACACATTTTTGTCATCTTGGTATAACTTCTAATATTCAAGTATCTGATGATAGGATTTTGTTGTTGTTGTACTTATTGTACCAAGCTTTTGAGAATGCTTTTCTCCCAAAAAGAAGATTCAACCTTCGTTAGTATCTGATGAGATAAACAGTTGGCAGTAGATTAGCTACATACCTTTGTGACATGGCATAAAAGTTGTTTATACACAGCCAGACATTTATAAACTCTCTCTTTGTGTCATACCTGAAAACAATATCATACTAAGTCCTTCAAATTTGTAATGAAACAAATAAAAAGGCACATTTAAAGCACAAAAACTGGAAATATTTTCAAGTCGACATCACTGATAAATCTTCTAAACGCTGTACACTCCTCTGAAGTATCACTTCCTTGCATCTTTAGCACTCTGTGTTCCTCCGTCTGTGACATTTCCTTCTGTGAGCAAAGCAACAGAAGCCTGACGTTTAATCTAATATTACAAACCAGTATCTCACTTAACCTCTCAATCAGATCCATTAGTTAGTGCAGGCATAAACCACAAAAGGGCAGAAAGGAGACAAGATGGATGCTGATAATACATTATCCAGAGATCCAGAGATAGTTGTTCAAATTGTGTCCCCTAATTATGTAAAAACCCCAAAAATCCACTAAGTTGTTTCTTGAAAAGACGTGTCTCTGTAAAATCCCAAACTTTTTTGTTACTCTATTGGATACATAAATCACAATATGATACATAAAATAGGAGAAATGATAGGATACAACAGGATAATTGTTTTTTCATGTTGAGCTCATCATCAGCAATTACAAACAACATTTGTAGGAAACATTTTCAAGTGCATCATTAGCCATGACAGCTGGCTTGAAGATCATATAGTTTCTTTGTTTAATTTTGAGATAATTCACTATTATCAATCAACACTATCAAAAACACTATTACAGAGTTCCTACGCAAGTATGGAAAGTGTGGAAAAGTATGACAGTAATTTGATCAATTTCTAGGTCTCAAAAAGTATGGTAAATAAAAAGTAAGGTAAGGAAAAATATTCATGTTAACAGACTGTATTACCACAGTTATAAAAAACAGTTTTCTAACATAGCAAATTAGGTATTTCCAAAAAATAATTCTAAAAAGTAGGGAATGGAAAAGTATGGAAATTCCAACTGTGTAGGAACCCTGGTTAAAGCAGGCTATCAGCTTGTGTTCATATTAATCTGTAATAAAAATATTTGTATTTTTGGCATAAAGAAGGAGCTTACTTTAATGTTACTTGCTAGTCATTATTTACTAAGAATTTAAAAGGATCTAGTAACAAGCCCTGTGGAACACCTGTGTGTTTTTGCAATAGATTTCCCAGTTGGTAAACTGCTATCAAAAATCAGATTAGTTGACAAATACAACACAGCATGATTATTTAACCGAGCTATACACAAGATCACAGGGTCTGCGAGTCAAAAATGTCATATTGGTTAGTGAGTGTTGCTAATGTTGGAAATGCTAGCATCACAAGCCTTCAGTTTACCCTGACCAGATGCTTGTGCTGGTTTGGTGGTTTTGTGTCAGTTTAATCTGACACTGCCTAAAATTATTACTAAACAATGCACTGTAAAATCCTGTGTGTCCATTGTGTTGGGTCCATATCTGGGTTTTAAGGTGCTAAAGCAGTATGGGGGGTAGCTGTTAGCTATAGTAACAGCTCTGCTTAGTGGAGGGCGACCAAGTTACAGCCAACTACTGAATGGGACACACTTCGTTATTCTGTTGACTTAACGCAAACATCCCCAGAAATAAGGAAAAACAGTGACGTGTTGGTGTTGTTGATGTTTGTGTATGTTGTTCTGCAGAAGCTAAAAGTGCTGTTCGCAGTGGGCAGCGATGGGGAGGTCAGCGAGCCTCTGGAGGTCAGCGCGCTCAGCTGTGACTCAGTAGAACAAGTCAAAGAGAAAATCCTGTCCACCTTCAAGGCCAAGTTTGGGTTCCCCTACAACACTCTGCTCAGGGATGTTTGTATCGGTGAGGATCATCTGCCTGTTGTTGTTGTTGTCCCTCGTGGTTGTGCTGACAGTATTTTGGTTGTGTTGTCTTCTTCCACTGTGGTCTTCTCTCTTATGCTGTCTGTGTATGGCTGTGTTGTCAGTATACAAGTTTGGTTTCTGTATCTGCATTTAGCATCTGTGGTTGGTTGTGTTTGCAGCATTTGTGTTGCTCGGTTGTGTCAAGTGTTTCGTCTTGTCAGCCTGCTTGTTCTGTCCTTATTTGATTATGTTGTCCGTGTGGTTGTTTTGTCTGAATTGAATATCAGTGTGTTATTGTATTTCATCATTTTATTGGATTTAGCTACATCATCTGTGATTGGTTTCCTTTTTATTTTGCGTGTGTGTATTTGGCACTTTTTTCCTGTGAGTGTTCTGTCTGCATCGAGTTGGGTTGTCTGGTTTGGTTATGCTTCCTGTGTTCGGTTGTGTTGTCCAAACTGGTTCTGTGTTGTCTGTATGACTTGTATTGGTTGTGCTGTACTAAATTGGGTTTTCTGTGTTGGTTATGTTGTCTGTGTAGAAGTTTGTGGTTCCCAGAGTGAGTGGATACGCCTCCCCTGGGGGTTGTGGAGACACATCAGGCAGGGGTAACATATAATGGGGAACTATTGACTTGTAACTAGCGATGGGGATCGTTCATTTTTATCGATACTGATGCTAAAGATCTCCATTCTTATCGATACTACTATAGAGGTTTCTTTCAAACTTTTGTATTTATGGCGATTTCTCACAAAAATGTTCTTTTTCTTTTTCTGGACGTGACATTTGAACAAATCATGTTTACATTTAAACTTTTGCCGACCCAACCCTGAACACCTCACAATATAGTCATCTGTCACCTCAATTAGTTAGCTAGTTAGCTTTTGTCCTGCTGATTTTAACACTGGATTGGGATTTCTAACCAACGGCACTTGCTCTAAAATCTGTCTGCGCTGATGTGTTCAGTCATGGAGGTTTTATTCTCCTTGTATTTTGCATAATAAATAGCATTTTGCTTCATCCCTATCATCAGCAAGCCAAACAGTGAGAAACATTACACCAAGGTCACACCAGTGAGCTGCTAGAGTTTGTTTACACTCACTGCTTCATACTAATTTCTCATAAAGTGGCCATATTCATAAAACCTCCTGGTCTTAAGAGTAACTCCTCGTGGCAAATTTGGATATTTTTTGCAAGTTGAGTCCAAAACTTTTTAAAAATGAATAATTACTCAGAAAGTAGTTTAGCTCTTAGTCAAGCTCCAGGTGTGAAAAGTGTAAGTGGGAGTAAGGAGGACTTCTAAGAGGCTGCAGTGTCTCAAGCTCGCGACGTTGCACCGACATCTACAAGCCGAGGCACGATCACCAAAGTGTAGAGGTGTCAAGAGGGTGTGTATGTGTTTGACAGCAACAGGCTGCACATAAGGTTCATATTTTGGTAACATTAACTTGACACCTATCTCTATAACGCATTATTAATATATGTATAATGCATTACAATCACGTTATAGCACTGTATAACTATAGTTATAAACACTCATAAATGATCATAATGCATCATAATACATTATAAAGCATTATTTCATGACTTACAAGGTCAGGTAGTATAATGTGTTATAACTGTTAACAACTCACTGACAATGCCTACATGGATAATACATTATACATATATTAATGATGTGCTATAATTTGCTTATAAACTTGTATAACTATCATTAAAAACACTCACTAATTATCATAAGGCTTTATAACAATAAGCATAACACATCATAATACCTGACCTTGTAAATCATGATAAAATGCTTTATAATGTGTTATGATTACTGCTATAAAGCATTATGATCAATTATGAGTGTTTATAACTATATTTATATAGTGCTATAATGTGATTATAACGCATTGTACAAATTGTTAACCGTATTTTTTATCCTCAAAAAGGGGGTACGATGGGAGGAAAAGTTTGGGAACCACTGCTGTTCTGTTTGTTGTGTTGTTTGTATTTAGCTCTGTTATCCGTGCTGTTTGTATCGTGTTTGTTGTTTGTCCACTTTTTTCTCCTTTCATCACGCTCTTTACCGCGCCTTACTCTCTTTTTTTCCCACCAGAGTTTGAGAAGGACGGATCATTTGTTCCCCTTGAGGAAGTGGATTCAAGCTCAGAGGTTATCGGGCAAGTGATGATGCTCAACACCCTCAAGCATTACAAGGTTAGCAAACCGAGCTGATAGAGAAGGCTGTGTTTGTGGTGATGAGTTGACAGCTACTTACTCAAATACTCTCATGTGAAAACTCGAAAAGCTGTCTGTGGCGTGACAGCCACCTGTCCTCTGAAATAATGATACTGCTGAGGTGAAACCAACAGAGACGCTTGTATCAAACCAACAACACGTGGACAGGACTCCCTCTTGTTTTCAGTTTTGTTGTTGCTGTCTCCACCCAAGGACAAAAAACTGTTAAAAACTACTTTTTGAAAACATGACACGAATTAGCAAACAAGCTGGCACCAACTCCTGCAAGTAAAACTGATTGCAAGAATTTTTGTACACTTCTTCAAATGAGATATTATCAATAACTGTGAAATCACCCACCATCTTATTTTGACGCACCATTTCCTGCAGGCAACAGCAGACTTAAATTTAGAGCATTTAGGCACGTGTCATTGACAGCGGATGCAAAGTTTTATTAATCTGCATGAGAGTGAAAATGATTGTTTGGAAATGTCATAAATTGGAGGGTTTATAGGTGTGTCTTACTTTCATGAGAGTCAAGAAAAGAGTAAAAGAGATTCAAGGACATGATGTGTGTGATAAACAATGAAATGTCATTTTTCTTCATGCGTTGTTTTTTATTAATACATTTTTTTAGGTCCTTGATGGAGCGACGATCAAGGTGCTGTCAAAGAAATTTCATCCTCCTCTGAGCCCACAGGGAAGTGTGAAGGGTGAGAGCCAAGTTTATTTACACATGTACCTTTTAGCTCCAACAAAAAGTATCAGATGAGAAGATCAACACCACTGGCATGTTTGTGCATTTGAGAGAGCAACAGAGTCAGAAGGGCGTTGGCAAGTGGCAGTATGTCCGTTAGCACTCCTCCAAACTTTAATGCACATTTTGAATCATATTTTGTTGTATTCCTTTATGAAAATAGTTGGTTTTTACTGGAGTTCATCAATCCTTTAAGTTATCTTAGCTTACTAGCTTCGAGTAAGAATTATGTACCTGTAATGGGCCTCAGCAGCTTGTCCACAGATTTTAAAACAGACTGAAAATTGGGGTTTGCTTTTTTTTCCTTTGTTTTAATCAATCTGGGAGAATAAACCCCAATTTATGATACTCTGAGTTTTTTTCAGAGCTTTCAACCACTTTTATTTTAGCCAACAAAACCGACTAGAATTGTTTACAGATTTTCGAAACTAGTAATGAGATTAGACGGATGACTCAGAGAGCTGTAAGATGTGGCTGAGAGTACAGGAATCAGTGGTGAGGTGTATGATGTCTCATGTGGTGACATTTTCATTATTTGAAAACAATAAAAATTGAAATTAAAAGATTTGATTTGATCCTGACTCAACATCTCTCACTAATATGATGAGTTACTTGCTTGGAACGTGTGCCAATGACTGTTCAAATGGTCTCATGCCGTTAATTATGTACTTTTGTAAAATAAATAGATTTATTTAGTTTCATAGGTCTCTAGTTTTGCCTTGTGAACTTATACATATTGGAATAAATATACATATGTATTCCAGGCTGCATCTGCCTTTAATTGTTACTTACCAAACCAACATGCTTCATGACAGGTGAAAGCTTTTCAACTCCATGACGGTGACTGTTTTTCTCTTTTTCTCCCTGCAGACGATGAAAACTTCTCTGTGAAATACTTCCACCTGGTAAGAGACAAATTGAGATTTAGATTTGCATCGATTTAATGATTAAAAGCTCAAACAGAAATTGGTGACAGGGCTTTTGGGTAGTCTGCGCCCTTAGTCTGGAAGTCAAAATGAAAGACGTCGAAGATTTTTCAGGATGGTGTTTTCTGGTCTTTGCCAGATCTGCCCTGAAAAGGTTATTTTTAATCTCAATTAGACCAACCTGGTTAAATTAATCATTTATTTGTATTTTCTTTTCATTTTTAGATTGATCCTGATGTAGAAGAGGACGAGAACAAGAGCCCAGAGAGGAAGAAGTTAAAACTAAAGGAAGTGCACCTCACCAAGCTGCTCTCCACTAAGGCAAGAGGAAGCAGTCACAGTCATTTCACCCAGAAGTGCACCAACACTAACAGAGGCTCTCTTTAGTGTTTATTTCGACTGTGTGCAGCAGCTTTTGTTGCATTTCTAGTGTATTTTGTTTTGCTTTAGACTGAGCAGATTTTAAAACTTTTAACCCCCTGTATACACGATAAGTTTGAACTTCACTAACATGATGTTTTTTAGTTTGCTACACCCATTTTTTTTCCCCATGTACTGCACTTTAGACCCTTTATCCGAGGCTGTTAGTACATTTGGCGCCACCTTGTGGTATTAACACCACCGTACACTCACCGGTATCAAAATAAATGGCAGCTATTTCAGCCAAATCCTTTGAAAGCTTTTTCCCAGATAAAGATTAACTTTTAAAAATACAGCGAGGGCTACGACAGCAGCCATCAAACATGGTCTAATCTCATCCTTTCTCTTGAAGGTGGCCGTTCATTCATATGTGGAGAACCTGTTCAGATCTATCTGGGGGATGCCGCACTGTCGAGCCCCACATGCTGTCAAATATTTCTTTGACTTCCTGGACACTCAGGCAGAGAACTTGAAGATCACAGACCCTGATGTGCTGCACATCTGGAAGACCAACAGGTACTGCTGAGTCATCAGAACCACATCTGTTAATAGGAAGAGGAATAAAAATCCTAACATGTGTTTTCTTACCTTGTCCTTTTACAGTTTGCCTCTGCGCTTCTGGATCAACATCCTCAAAAACCCTCAGTTTGTTTTCGACATGGAGAAGACCCCGCATCTGGACGGCTGCCTGTCAGTCATCGCTCAGGCCTTCATGGACTCTTTCTCTCTGAGTGAACTCCAGCTGGGGAAGGTCGGAGCACAACAAATGTCTCAAAGCAAAAACAAGAGCTCCCATATTGGGTTTATAAATTTAAATCACAATAAAAAGAAAGAAAAGTTAACACCAACATCTCTGATTTTGATGTCCTCTAGCATGCTCCCACCAACAAACTCCTCTACGCCAAAGACATCCCCAAGTTCAAACAGGAAGTAAAGGTGTACTACAAGCAGATCAGAGATCAGCCACCAATCACTGACCCAGGATTTAAGGACTTCCTGCAGGAGGAGTCAAAGGTACAGATCATTTCAACCCAAAGTACTCAAAATGAAATAGTCACTGTTATATAAAAGATAGATTTGAGTTTTTTTTTTCATTTCAGAAACATGAAAACGAGTTCAATGAAGCTGCAGCACTGAGGGAGCTCTTCAAATTTGTCCTGAGATACTTCACAGAGGTCAGTTTTTCGAGAAGGGGGAAATATGGCGGGGATTGTATGTTTCAAGCTTCTCCACCTGTCTAGCTACTAAACATGATCACATGATGACACAGTCAGAAGTGACTTCACTTGTGAAACTAGTGTTCGTGCTTGTGTGTGTGTGTGTAGGGGAAATGACTGTCAGGGCTTTAAGATTTCGCTTTGCTTCATCTGGGCTGTTGTTTCCTGTTTAAGTGCACTGACTGACCCTATTTCTGAACATGCCACCGCAAAAGCAACCGTCATGAGCAGTTCAGAGAGACTTGGAGTTTTCAGTTTTTAAAAGCAGTTGTCAATTTCCTTTAAGAGAAATTTTCAAACCTAAAATTAAACAGAATCAGGGCCCAAAATATGGAAACCGTTCTGGATGTTTACTTTGGTCAGAGGTACAAAAAAGTAGGGGTGGGAATCACTAGTGGTCCCAAGGCACTAGTGGTTTCCCCGCTCGCTTCTCTAGTTATACCAACTTTATTAACGACTGCACGGTAGCAAAATACAGAGGTCTACCTCTCCATGTGCAAACCTCAACCAAAACTCCACTCTATAGCCACAAATGATGCTCAGAACAGCACCTAACTTCATCAACAGATGCATGATTTCTTTAGCAAAGAGACTAAACACAACTCACCTACTCTCTTCCAGCAGCCACTATTTTGTAGGGAGACAGTCCATTACCGACTGCAGTGGGGTGACGCAGCTCAAGGAAGAACATTTATGATCACTACTTCATGGAAATGCAATCAGACCGAAACGTTTAGGCAGGAGAGCTACCACGTCTGCAGTGCAAAACGTTTAATATGATGATTATTACTTCATGGAAATGATTAAGTAAAGTAAAGCTGTGTATTGCTATCCTGCGGTCGTTACTAAAGTTGGTATAACTAGAGAAGCAAGCGGTCAGCAACTTTCATCTCTCGACGGAGTGTCTAACTCAGTGTTACGGTTTGTTTGACCCTAACTTAATTTTACGCCAGAATATCCCTTTGACGTTTTTAAAAATAACCGGGTATGTATAAACAGGGTCTGAAACTTCCAGGGCTCTGGTTTAGCTCCACAGAGCAAGTGCTACATGTACAGAAGCTAATCCCCATCACATGAGCAGCAAGATTGATGACAGGCCCCAACATTTTTTGATGCATGTCACCTCCCACTGCTTACTCTCACTTCCTGACTTTCTTCACCTAATTTTCACTCTCCATCAAAGGTACACCCCAAATAAACCCTCATCCGGGTAGAATTTTGATTATATTCTACGTAAAGAAAGCGATTTGTGTTCAAACTGCTTATCCGAATATCCATCTTCCTGCAGATTAAAGAGAAGTTGGACCAAAACGGAGCCCCTGCTGAGCTGAAAGAGCAGCTACATGAAGTTAAAAACTCATTTGGTGGAGTAAAAAGCTGCTCCTGGAACTGAGCAGATGCATGAACTATGTAAGACACAGAGGGAGGAAAACTGTTACCGTAGAGCCATCGGGAGAGGACTGAGGAGACTTCTGCACAGCTTGCAACACGTCCTGCAGAAGTGGAAATGAAGGAACTAAAGATGAGCAGCGAACCATGTCGGGAACTGTGTGTCTTCAAAACTCTGGGTTTTCTGCTCGAACATGACAAAAGTCTTCTGCAGTTCTTGGCATTAAAACGGTCATCCTTGAGAGGCACATTTCAACTGAACTGAAGGGATGAATGTCTGGTTTCTGTTCTGTAGCTTCACTGTGGAAAAAAAACTCAGAATCCCAAACAGAGACCAACCACGGAGAAAAGATTTATCTGTACATTATTTTTTTCAAAACAATTCAAATACAACAAGTTTGAATCAACCATGTGCAATTTGTATCGACTCATATGTATTTTTTTCCCTGAGTGCTTGGAGGGAAAATCTGTAAACAAACATGTCAATACAAAAATCAAACCCTGAGGGACTTTTTAAAAAAGTGATGGTGCCTCATTTCATGTAAACTAGACATCAGTTTACTTTCAGTTTCAAATGAAAGTCCATCGTGTTCCAGCGATGTCAAAGATCCGGCTGAGGAGTGTGCTCACGATCTCTCGGCACCAGAGATCCCAGCTCCTCCATCTGCTGCTGCTGAGCGCTTTCCAGGTCCTCCAGCCTCCGACGGAGCAGCGACAGCTCCCTCTGCTGCTGCTCCTCCTGCAGCACAGAGGAAAAAGCGAGTTTGATCAACCCTCCTTTGATGCTGTCCTCATGTAAACACCCTAAACCTCCCTAAACCTGCAGAGCTGAACTTTACGCCTTTGGTTTTTCTACTTTTCTCACTGTTTTCTTCCCTGTTGTCATTAAGCGTCCACCATTTCCTTGTTAAAAGCCACTTGGATCAATTGCAGAACCATTTACCTGTAGATGAGGGCATGATTAGCAACATCAGGTGATCAATTGTTTTAATAGACATCTACAGTTCAAGCTGATGCTGGAAGATTCAGTTTGCTGCTAGTTCTGCTTACTGGTATGTTTGAAAAAGCTCCCTCAGACCCAAGAAGGACAAAGGGTGCAGGTGAGGAGGTGAGGAAGGAGGGGCCGGCGCTGTAGGGACCCTGGCCGCCCAACAAGAGGCGTCGAAATTCGTTATGCCGGCGCTGCAGCTCCTTTAACCGTCTGCTGAGTTGAGCTTGCTCCTCTGAGAATGACGATCGCCTGGAGGGCAGAAAAAGGACATTTATGAGCAACCTTGACTATTTCAGACATTACCTCAAAAAGTATCTGACGACATGATTACATAAGAAAAGACCCAACTGGTGAACTTGGCTCATAAAAAAATTGGAGCTCACTTCTTAGCTGCAGCAGATTCCAGTTCCAGCTCCTCCATCTTGGCCTCTAGCAGCTGGATCTTGTCTTTTAGTCTTTTTTCTTTGTTCTCCGTCTGTGTTTTCCTCTGTGCAACAGACACACACGATGTCAGCAAAATCCAGAAGAAAAAACAATGAATCTCGAGATTGTTTCAACACCACAAAGTTAACAATGAAGCATGAATAGGCTGAATACAGCCACCAGCAGCAGTACCTTTTTCTGAGCCGCTGCTGCCCTCTGCAGCTTCTCTTTAACCTGAGAGTATTTCAGCTGCAGCTCAGCCTCTCGCTCCTGCAGCTTATGTTTCTCCTCCAACCACTCCACTCGACGGTCCTCCACCATCCTACAGAGGAAGCACACAGAGAACACACAGGGTGTTGCAGCTGGAAGTACTTTTTATTGCTGAGTAGTAAATTTCTCAGCAGCAGATGTACCTCTCTGCCTCCTGTTGGCTCCTCTCCGCCTGTCCTCGGGTCGCCCTCAGCTCCTCTCTCACTCTCTCCAGACTTTCCTTCAGTCTCTGGTTCGTCTCCATCAGGTCATTTTCAGAGTGAGACAACGTCCCCAGTTGGACCCCGAGCTCCTGGTTTTGCTGTTGGACCAAACAAACACACATTTACAGACCCCCGGAAAAAAAAACAGACACTTTAGAGCAGGTGATGTTGACTTACCTGCTCAAGAGCGGAAATTTCTGCTTTCTTCCTGTCCAGCTCCTCCAGCTGTGAGCTTTGCTGTTGTAGTTTGTTTCTTCAAGACAGAAAAGATTTGATTAAGGTCTTTTATTTTGAAAAGCCAAACAGAAAATTATTGTTTGGAAACTAAAACTTAGGTGCTGCTAACCACAGACTGTTGTGGTTTCATAAGGAGCGCATATTCTCGCTTTCTCTTCCTCTAATTCCATTCAGTATTATCGACTCATCATGCGTCTGCGTGTGTTTTGAATATTGTTTTAGACGGATGATTACAATAAGCATTCAGTGCAAAGCTAACCTGACGTTCTGCAGTTCCCGACGGGCTGACTCTTCTGCCTGTTTGGTAATACGAAGACATTCCTCCCACTCCTCTTTCTGAGCGTTGCCTGCAGAGTCCTGCAGCGCCCTCTGCTGCTCCAGGGACGCAAGATGACTCTCCAGCTCCAGCCTGGTGAGCGCAAACAACAAAAAATCATCTGATATAACAAACAAATGAGGCATTACAATAGTTCTGATTAACTTCACTTATAAACCTTATTGTCAAACTGCAGGATTGCTACCAGACGATTGATATCAGAAACTGAAGCGTAACAAAATTAATCCTCACTTCTCCTCGTGCAGGGCTGCAATTTTGCAGAACTCCTCCTCACGGGCCGACTGCACCTTCCGGACGATCTCCCGCTCTTTCTCCACCAGGAGTTTCTTGTGCTGCTCCACTGCAGCGTTTAGCACTTCCACGTCCGTTTCCAGACCTGAGACACACACAGCAGGGAAAACTGCTTCATAACAACCAGAAAAGTGAGAAATTCTGCTGCCACGTGAAATGACTTGATTGTTTTGTTCAATAAAAGTGTAATAGTGTGTGTGTGTTTTCCATACCATCAATCTGACCCTGCAGTCTGTCTTTCTCCCTCTCTAGCTCGGCTTTAGAGCGGGTACACTCCAGTCTGATGTTCGCCGTCTCCAGTTTGTGTGAATGCTTCAGACTTTCAACCTAAGAAGCAAAAAAATGCCAAATATGAGGTTAATATAGTGTTTCTTAAGTCTAAACGTTTGATTTTTAACCACAAAAACACTTTGATTCACACTCAGAAGAACTTTAAACACCAAAGTACTTAAAGGACGAGAAAACAAATAGTCTTTATCTTTAAATTAGTCTCTACACGAGGCAGTCCTCCAATGAGGTGTAAGTCTTATATTAAGGCCAATAAGGTAAATTGAAGGTTTCCAAGGTCAGAGAGTGACCTACCTGACAGTTCAAGGAGTTGACCTCTCTCTCGGCTTTGTGCAGGCGGCCTGTGAGTTGGCTGTTCTGCTCATTCGTTTGGTTGAGCTCACTCTCCATCCGCTCCAGCTTCAGACGCAACGACTGACGTTCTGCCTATCACACCAACGACAGATGAACTTCTTTGTTATATGTGATCTAAACCTTGATAGATATTCATATTAGAAGGACATAGCCAGCTGTCTCACCTCCAGAGACTTCGCCACCGCCTGGGACTCTGACAGCTGTCTGATCTGAATGCGTTGGACACTCTCAGCCTGCTGGCCCGAGTTCTCTTTCTGGGCGTGGAGCTCAGCCACCTCTGCCTCCAGACTCTTGAGCCGCACATGGAGCTGGGATTTCTCCCTCAGCAGAGTCTCAACTCTTTTCCCATCACGCAGGGGGTCTGGACTCTGGTACTGAGTCACCAAGTCCTCCCTGTCCCTCTCCAGACGAGAGATCTGACGAGGGAAGTTCATTCAGACTTACATCTACTTCTCTTACAGTATCACACTTTACTGAGAAGCCCACAAATCAAAAAGTTACCTCAGTTTCGTAGTAGAGCTTCCTCTCCTCCAGAACTCGAGCGTGTTCCTCTCGCTGGTGCTCAAACTGCGACTTCACGAAGGTGAACTCATACCGCAGCTTGTTGTACTCTGACCTGTACCTCTCTGCCTCCTACAAGGACCAGTAAGTACAGAGAGAGAAAGAGAGAGAGAGGGTGCAATCAGGTGGTGAAATGGAGAGTAGATAAAACCCTCTTGAAAGCAGAAACATCCAACTGGTTTTGAAAAGACAATCAACGCTGAACTCTTGAAAGTTGCTATGGACTCAAAGTCAAAGCTGCTAATTTTTAAGGGATGAGAGCAGATTATTCTGCAGTTACGGTAATAAACATTATTAGTAACTGTTTATTGTGCAACTTCTATATATTTTTAATACAAAGAACTGATGGCAATACAGTCTCAAATCACTGACTTATAAGACAGAAAAAGAAAAACTAACAGACCTCCTCCAGTTTACTGAATCTCTCTCTGACTGGAGCCTCCATCTCCTGCTGCACCTGAGCTCTGAGCAGCTCCAGGCGCTGAGGGGTCATCACCTAATAAGACAAATTATTATTATTACCATCACGCTGTGCTGAAACAGAAGGAGCAGATGAAAATAATCAGCACATTTTTGTGATCTACCAATTACACACTTTTTTTTTTTTTTTTTTTTACCTGTAATCGCAGCTCCTCCAAATCTCTGCTTTTGTCCAGCAGTTCCCCTCTGAGCTCAGCCAACAGTATCTCCAGGTTCTCCTGCTGAACCTGCTTGTCACTCAGCAGGCGCCTCAGTTCCCCCTGCGCCCGGGTGAACTCATCCTGCAGACTGCATGGAGAAAATACTAAATACTCAATTTTACCAATTGACAAACTCAATGTCATTCACTCTTGTTTATTTGTTTATAAGGTCATCAATAGGAAACAAGACCTTTCCGAAACTTTTTAACCTTTTCCTCAACAAGACGAAATGGCTATACTTATATTGTCTTTATCTCTGGTTGGGCTGGTTGATGATTAGTCTATGTTCTATTTGTATATGTGTTGACATTTCCCTACTCATTGTATATTTATAACCTCTCTAATTACTTGTTGTTTGCACCCTATGCCTTCACTGCCCTGACAGGAGTGGGACTCTGTATAAGTCTAATCTGTGCAAAATAAATAAATACACAAAAAATACACTATTCTCACAGCTTTATCCACCACACATTACTGTTATAAAGTTCTCCTTCACTGTACCTTGTGTGTTCAGCCTTCAGCGTCTGATAGTTGGACCGGTGGTGTTCACACTTCATCCTCTCATCGATCAGCATCTTCTGCAGCTCCATCTCTGCTCCCCCTAAACCTGCAGACAGCCCCAGCATGGCAGCAGCCCTCCCTATCCCCGGCTCAAGGTTTGAGGCTAAGGGAGCCGACTGGCCGAGGGCTGAGGAAGTCATCTTACTTCTGCGGAGAAGGGCTTAGGACGGGGGAAAGAGATAGAAACTGAAAAATAAGCAAAGAACTTGATGTGTCTGTGTCTGTCTGAGAAAGTGCCTGTGTTCTAAGGAGCTGGCCAAAATTAGACCCAGCTTTGTTGTCAGTTAGTTACCATGGTGGCTTTAAGGGGAGTCCCACAGCCACTATTCACAACTCACAACCACTTAACATGTAGGAATCAATCTCAAGTGATTAACTATCTCCTCTGCTTGGCTGTTAAGTCTGTGATTGCAGCTAAGGACGCTGGATCCCTAACAACAAGCTTCTCATCAATCAGGGCCTATCTAACACCAAAATCACTCAACTGTGATTAACATATGATATAATTTCAACATGTGATTATCACAGGACATACTGTGGACAAATGTTGAATAAAGGCATACAGCAGGGTAAGATTGTAGACCTAGAGATTGTAGATGAGCTCTGTTGACATCGATCTTCCCTCTAAAGCAGCATGAGAGATCTAGATTAACAATAAACCGATTTGCTGACAGTTTCAGATATCACTTTTGATTATAATTCAAGAAATATCGCTGTTATATTTAGTCACAATATGTCAAAAGTCCGGAGTAATTTTCAAATATCGCGCCCTGGGTCCCGCGACCTGCAAGCTAACTCCCAGCTAGCCAGCTAACTGCGTCCGTTATCGGACACTCACTGTTTTACTTATAAAAGGTCACAAAAACTGAGTTTAAGAACAAGCCCTTTTCAGTAATTTAGACCAGTTATCTAAGGAAACAGACCCTTTAACAAGAAATGCACAGAAATTTTTAGCGACAAGCAATAAAACTTTTTTAACTTTCGTTTGCAGCCTTGGGTTGGTTTTAGCATAACTGAACTAGCTTGATAATACGGTTACGTTAAGACCGACTTTGGGTTTCAAGCGACAAACTACTCCCCAATATCGTCCTGTTTAATCACATAATAGTCCTTTCTTTTTAAAATTTTATTGTCACTCACCTCTTCTTGATATCGGACCCCTTTATTTCCTTCTCACTGTGAGCATTGTTAGCAGCGCTAGCCAGTTAATCTAAGAACTACAAACTGTGGAATCATGGGAAATTCAGCGCCCTTCTCGCCTTTTGATTGGCGGGTTGCGAACAACTTCGAGGCGCCTACCGCCACCTACTGTATAACTTTTAGCGCATTTTACAACTTCAAGTCACCACTTTAGAGACCGAAAACAATTTTAAACTTTTAATACAAATGTATTGATGTTATATGAGTGTCGGTACTGATTTACTTAACCCACATCTTGAGTATAAGTATTGCATACATTTTCTGGACCACTGATACATATGAATGTTTTAACTTAAATTTGACACATGTTCACAATGTTATAACAAAAATGACACATAAAGGACAGGCACAACAGATGGGTGTTAATACTGATAATGTGGATAGAGAAACTAGGCTGTGTAGTTAAAGGGATATTACGACATAAAAATGATTTAGGGTCAAACAAACCATAACACCAAGTTAGACACCCCCTTGAGAGATGAATATTGCCGACCACTATACCAACTTTAGTAATGACCGCAGGATGGCAATACACAGCAGTCTGAGGAGCCATAAACAAACCTCAAACAAAACACCACTCTATAGCCACAAACAATGCTCAGAACAGCACCTAACTTCATCAACAGTACATATAGGGTCCTAGCCAAAAACACAACTCACCTACTCTCTTCCAGCAGCTGTTTGTTTGTAGTGAGACCTCGACCAGTCCTTTAGGGACTACAGTGGGGTGACGCAGCCCAAGGAAGAACATTTATGATAATTTCTTTATCATTTCCGTGAGGAAATAATCACCATATCATTTATTTTGCACTGCAGACGCGGTAGTTCTTCTGCCTTAGCGTCTCGGTCTGATTGCATTTCCATGAAGAAATGATCGGCTGGACCCTATATGTACTGTTGATGAAGTTAGGTGCTATTCTGAGCATTGTTTGTGGCTATAGAGTGGCGTTTTGTTTGAGGTTTGTTTATGGCTCCTCAGACCGTTGCGTATTAACCATCCTGAGGTCGTTTCTAAAGTTGGTATAACTTGAGAAGCAAGCAGTCAGCAACATTCATCTCTCGAGGGGGTGTCTAACTCGGTGTTATGGTGTGTTTGACCCTAAATTAATTTTACACCGGAATATCCCTTAATATATATCATGAAGCAAATCAAAATGACAGTAAATGCCTACATGTGCCTTTCATTTTCTGACTGTGAAAAGTCACCAGGCCAAAAAAAGAAGTCCCCTCTGACCCTGTGGAAACATCTAACAGCCTGTGTTTCTTTCAAACCATGACATAATGGATGAAGCATCCAAAGCTTTAAGGCACCTCTACTTTTTTACAGGGTTTCAATCACATTTGCAGTTTCATTTCACAAAAAAAATTAAGAAACATAAACTTAACCAGGCGGTCAAGAATTCTGTGAAAATTATCTATTTACAAGTGAATAATTAAATACATAAAAAAATAAATTAACATAACTATCCAGGAAATATACAATATCCCAGTGTAGTTGAATGCCCATTTCCTGAGTGTATATACAGCCCTCTCCAGAACATGCTCTCATTAGTCCGGATATTTTCAGCTGGAGCTGCATATGAGACAAAGAGATGCGAGAGGTGGCATTAATAAAAACAGAAGTGGAAAAGTGACCAGTGATCAAAAGATAGAGGTGTTGGTGATTACCTGTCAGCAGCATCCTGGTCAGCGTCATCATTGTCTGCTTTCGATGCCGACGCTCGTATTTTAGTGGGATCTAAAAAGATGAAGAAACAGGAGGTTGAAAAAACTGATTTGAAGCGATGTTGAGGAGAGGAAAAAAGGAAAGCCGCTCCACCTTGAATCCAGCGGATCTGCGTCGCCGGGCCGTAACCCTGCTCGTTTTTAGCAGCGATGCGGAAAACAACAGCCGGCCGGTTGGAGGCGGAGCTGTCAATGTGGGCGTTATCCAAGTGGGTGGAGCTGACCGAACAGGACATTTTTGTGCCGCGGTAAATCCTGATGAACGCCATCTGACCTGGACGTTCTGTGCTGCTGGAGCGGCTCTTCCTCACTGCCATGTACATGGAGTACTCCAGAATCCGGCCCGATGGAGAGGTGGGGGCCTCCCATGTGATGTGGACTGAATCACTTCCCTGTAAGAACACAGCAGGTCTCAGTGATTTTCCCGAACATTGCTGATTTTCTGAAAACAGTCAGTGCGTTAACATGCACAGCTTAATCGGACTAAGCTCATAATTTTTTTTTTGTCGAATCAGACTTCTCTTGATGTCCGCGTATACATGCAGCTAAGAAAATCAAATTATTGACGTTAACGTATCCTCCTCCCCAACACTAGGGGGCGATATCTGTCTTTTCAGCAGGTCCGTGCCAGACATCAGAAGTGGCTACAAACTGCTGCTGGGCATTTTTGAGCAAGAAGATGGAGCATCGTACAGCGTAGTTTTTGTTGTACATGATGTACGCGCTACTTTTTCTGCAGATGAGGTGCACGCTGCTCCTCTTCTCTGGTGTTTTTGTTACGGGGTTACGGGGGCGTGGCACACATGCATTGGCCAATCATAGTCCGACTACGCTGGTTATATGGCGGAGAAAATAGAATTCCAATCGCATTATCTGGGTGTCTTAATCGGAGATCTCAAACTGCGATTATAGTCAGACTAAGGTGTTTACATGCACTTTAGTTGTCTGGCCTTAATCGGAATAAGGCAATAATTTGTTTTTATCGAGTGTCGTGTAAACTTACTGATTGTTTGGTGTGTTACCTTGGTGATTCTGACAGCAGACGGCGCCCCGGGAAAACCAGGTTGGCAGGTTTTGAACTCACTCACTGGACTGAAGTCTCCCTGCCCAAAGCAGTTGATGCCCGCAACTCTGAACCTGTAGGTCTGACCTGGACTCAGCTCCTGCTTCTCTCTGCCCTGGTAGTCCTGAGGCCCTGGCAGCCTCCTCTGAAGAAAGGGATGATGGGAAAGCAAAAGGAGCCTTGTGCATTGGATTGAACAATACTCTCACTGTTATAAACGGCTGTAAAATCCAGTTATGATGAGTAAAACAGTCCAGCACTGGGTGGGTTTTTCTTTTACCTCTTTGGTGTTTGAAGTCCGACTGCTCACTTGCTCATTGTCAGCAGGTTGAAAGTAATGATGGACCTCAGAGAAGAGCGTTTTGAAGACACCGACATCATACCACACTGATTCCTCTGGATTCTGTAATTAGAGGTGAAAGGTTTAAGTCTTATACCAGACCAGATCAGAGTCGAGAACTCTAAAGACTGCTTTAAAAATATAATACTGACCTGATCAGTCTTCTCAGCTGAATCAGGGCGTTTCTCTGAAAAAACAAACAAAGGGATGTCCACGGTGAGCCTCACTTTTGGGTCTTGTGCGGTCTATTAAAACATTGCATGTGAGCTTGTGAACAGCTCCACTGTTACCTGGTTGCTGCTGAGTTGAGCTGCTGACCTCTACTGTGGACATCTTTGGTCCAGCCCCTACAAAAAAAAAAAACGATCAAAGTTGAAGAGCTGTGGTTTTCTTACTGACATGTTACTGCCACTCAGATTCCTCAACGTTAAAGAGGCAAAGTACACTTTCAATTCCAGTCCTGACGACTTACTGTCCTGCTCTGCCTCTGTGCTCCTCCTTCCTTCTGCTTTGCTGTCTGTTGTTCCATTGGCAGATTTTTCTGCAGCTTCCTGCTGTGATAAAAGAAACTGAAAATTACTGCTAAAAACTTATTTTTCATAAATAGAAAGTAGTGCATGGATAGTTAAGTCTATTTCTTAAAATCAAATACAACAAAAACGATTCTTTCAAATGTATCTGTGGCTCAATCTGGGTTTTGTCGTTCTGTATAACAGATTTAAGTATATGAAAACAGTCAAATGTACCTGTGCTGATGCTTTGGCTTCTCTAACAGGGGTCCCATCACTTTGCATTTGAAGCAGCTGAACACCTGAGAAGATCAAATTCAGCAAAATGTCACAATAAGTCTGAGAAATACCGACAATCAACATACAGACAAGTGTTTCTGTGCACTCTTCTTCCCACCAGCCGACACTTTATCCTTCCCCTCCTGTCCGACAGCTGCCGTGGATGTTGGTTCACCGGCTGCAGTGCTGGGAGGCCGCACAGGCTGGATCTGCAGGATGTAGCAGTCTGCGGCAGCCAGGGGTCGCCACGCCACATGGAGCATGCTGACTGTGGATTTGATGAGTAACACGGCCTCTGGGACTGAAGGTCGATCTGAGGGCAGAGTACAGAACCTCATTTTGTTTTTCGTTTTGTTCAGCGCTGATGTTTTGCCCAACAATCCAACAGAACTAGAGACTCTAATCTTATAGTATCAACTCTCACCTGTCTCCAGGTACCAGAGGTCCTTACAGCAGACTTGGTAGTTCCAGCTCTTTCTGTAGCCGTCACGGCCGCTCCAAATGTAAAGCCTGGAGCCCACAGTGGCAGCACAATGACCGGCTCTGGCTCCAGGCCTGCTGGCGTATGGATCATCGCTCTGGGGTCCCTGGCTCTGCAGCTGGGACCTGATGTCGTCCTGCTGCTCTGGGCCCAGGTCCTGCCAGGTCATTGTGTCTGAGATCAGAAAAGAGAGCCGCAGTGAACTCGAGAGAAGAGACTGTTCCTACATTCAACTGAGACAGAGACCCTGTTTTAAAGTAGCTTTTGTGAAAATGCTGCCGAGACGTTGATAGATGTTCTGACCTAAGCTGAGCACACTTAAAGAGCTGGAGCAGATCCATTCTTTTCCTAAAGCGTCGTCTTTTTCAGCCTCTGGAACAGGAATCCAACCTCCAAAAACAAACATCCTGCAAACAGAGGGACACTGTCGTCACTCGCATGAACGACAGATACAAAATTCTACATCTGCCATCAAAGACACTTGGAGCTCTTACTTATTTCCAATGACGTTTGCAGAGTGAAGGCTCCTGGGAAGTGGCTTCGAACCCCTGGTCTCAGGCATGGACCAAACCATGGTGCCTGAAGAAGAGAAAAAGATAAGAAATAAGATTAAACATCCCAATGAGCTGCTTCTCAATGAGTCCAGAGGTGCAAAAATATGCCTCGTGTTTTTTTATTTGGTGGAAAATCAACTAAAAGAAAAAAAGATGTCTCACTGAGGTCGAGCTGCCAGAGATCATCCAGCCGGGATCCCTGCATCCCCCCAAAGATGAAGAGCTTTGAGGAGCCGAGGCCAGTGCAACCAACTGAGGTGTGAGATTCCCGAGCTGAGGGACCAACCCCCTTCGTCTCTGGGATGCTCCAACCTCGCGCTCCTGAAACAGACTGCAGCTCCAGCTCATAAAAGTCATTCATGTACCTATAAAAGAAAAGCCACACACATTCAAAACCCCATCCACTGAATGGATCATACATACTTGTAGGCCTTATATATGCTGACTGTCATTTTATTTTTGACTTTATGATAAAACCACCAAATACAGATCTTCACCCCTACCTCGGCACATTGCCGTTGGGGTCTTCACTGTCATTGGCCAGCCCTCCAAACAGGTAACATTTGTTCCCCACGAGGGTGAAACTGTGGCCGATCCGTGGACAGGGAGGCGATCCATTCTTTGGCGCTCTGGGCTTCAGCTTCTTCCACAGCCAGCGGCTGGCCTGGGCAACACAGGACCAGAGTCAAGAGTGGAAATGAGGTGCAGAAAGATGGAAATTAAACCAGTACACTGCCCACCCCTGGATTCACCATCGAAAGGCAGGAATTACCTGAAGCTCATAAAGACTGTTAGTGTATTTTCCAAACTCGACCATGCCTCCGAAGACCAGAACTCTGGTACCCTCACTGACGAAGCCATGGGCAGCACAGCCGGGTGGGATGTCACCCCTCACGGCGGGCAGGAACCACTGCTTAGAGACTGAAAGAATGCAAAAATTTTAGTTTATTTGACAATCAAACCAAATAAAAACTCTCACAAGATAGTTCAAAATCTGTACATGAGGTACAACTCAAATGGTGTTGGAAATATTTTACAAGAGGGAGAGAAAACACTTTGCATGAGTTGTATCTGATCAGGTGGTGAGTGATGACACTTAAGTTGGGAGTCTTGATCCAAAACCCCTATACATAAACTTTTCAGACCCAGACAAGATTGTCAAAAAGAATCTTTAAACTTCTTAGGAAACAGTTTGAAATTTATATTACTTTTCTTACTTTTTTTTTTCTTTTAATGCAGACAAGGTGACCCCTGCCTCTTTTTTAATGCATAACCATATTAGACCAGGTCCTGATCCAACCAAAATACCTGGACATTTCAGAGCTGTCTTAAATTTTTCTTAACAGATTGTAGCCTCCCTGAGGTAACCTAGGCCGGATCTCATAAGATTAGATATAGGGGAGAGTGGGGTAAGATGAGCCATTTTTCATATTTCGGATCACTACATCAAGACAATCATAGTTTTTTCTCCAACTAGTGTATATGTGTATATTTCAAGATGTTGTTCATCCCTACAAACCAACAGAATGAGTGTAAACAGAACTGTCTTGATAATATACACTCTCTACCCCAGCCCTCCCTCACCTTCTCTCTCCCTAAATCACAGTAACTTCTTCACATTCATGTGTATTTTTATCTATTATACACTATTCAACTGGTACAGTAATTCTTTTTATTATTATTGCATAAACCTGCTAAAAGCTGTTTCCTGAAGCCATTTTAACATGAGAATGTCTTTAAGTGATTCAGAACATTCACAGCTGTATTTTTGAAAAGAAAAAGTAAAACATTTTAACAATCTGAACTGAAACTCTAATCCTCTCATCAGACACCTTTACTTTCTCAGTTACCCCATGACTACTATAATGACTTTATTAGCCTCTAAGCTAAAATGGTGGACTTTTATACTAGGGTTTTGACCTCATGTTGTAGCTCATAGATACCACAATTGATGTATAAAACAAATTTAAAATGATCTTTTTTTGGTCTGAACACAATTCTGACTCCATGAATTGATGCCAATCTCTTAAATATTTGGTCACATGATCAATATCCTTAACCATTTCCAAGCAACAGGGGGTGACTCAACTTACCCTTTGGCTTAACTTACCCCAGTCTCCCCTACTTGTTTTGGATAAGAACCTGGTCTAATGTGGTCTAGTGTTGAAATGCCGCTTTCTTTTGCGTTTTCTTGAATCAAAGTGTTGCAAACCTGAACGGATTTGAAGAAGTCTCGACTCTCTTTAACGGTCTAGATCTGATTCGAGAAGTAGTAGTGGTCTTGGTTAAAGGCCTATAACAGCCCCCGTAAAAGTCGAATCGGAATCTGTGGATATACGTGTGAATTTATAGTTACAAAGTTAACTTTCTACAAGTCTACGATGACTTCTGTGGAAGTGACTTTTATTGTAAAACACTTGTGTTACCCAAAGTTAACATTTTAATTCCCAGTCATGCTAAAAACATTAGCCGCTGCTCTGCCGTTAGCGTCCAGCTATTGTTAGCTCACCAGTGTTGTAAACATGGAGGTGCTCTGCTATCCCTTCGTTTCCACCCCCGAATACGATGATCAGCTCCCGTACGGCAACTGCTCGGTGTCCGTGTCTGGACCGAGGAACCACTCCTGCAACCGAGTTGATTTTCCTCCATCGTGGCTCCTCTCGATCACTGTTCATTTTACCAACACAGGGGAGCCCAAAGTTTGGCGCTGTTGACGTTTCAAACGAGGGGCGGGGCGAAGGACGCAGCAGGAAATGTAACCAGAGAGGTGAAAAAAAGAGGATGTCCCACTCCGCCTCCTTTATTGAGTCGCCATACACTGATGTCACTCTTTAACTTAAAGGGATACCAACATTACCAACTCTTGTAACTTCCGCACGATAGCAATACACAGCGGTCTGAGGAGCCATAAACAAACCTCAACCAAAATGCCACTCCATAGCCACAAATAAACCTCAGAACAGCACCTAACTTCATCAACAGTACATTTAGGGTCCTAGCCATAGCACTAGCCACCAAACATCTTTTTAGCTTTGCCTGATTTCAACTCACCATCTCTCCTCCAGCAGCCGCTTGTTTGTAGCGAGACCTCGGGCCAATCCATTACAGACTACAGCGGGGTGACACAGCTCAAGGAAGAACATTTATGATCATTTCTTCATGTAAATGAAATCAGACCGAGACGCTAAGGCAGAAGAACTACCTCGTCTGCAGTGCAAAATGATTAATATGTTGATTAATACTTAAAGGAAATGAAAAATAAATGATCATAAATGTTCTTCCTTATGCTGCGTCACCTCGCTGTAGTCCGAAATGGACTGGCCCGAGGTCTCGCTACAAACAAGCGGCTGCTGGAAGGGAGTAGGTGAGTTGTGTTTAGTATCTTTGCTAAAGAAATTAGGCAAAGTTAAAAAGATGTTTGGTGGCTAGTACTATGGCTGGGACTCTATATGTACTGTTGATGAAGTTAGGTGCTTTTCTTAGCATTACTGTGGCTACAGAGTGGCGTTTTGGTTGGGGTTTGTTTATGGCTCCTCAGACAGCTGTGTATTGCTATCGTGCGGTTGTTACTAAAGTTGGTATAACTAGAGAAGCAAGCGGTCGGCAAAATCCTCGAGGGGGTGTCTAACTCGATGTTATAGTGTGTTTTACCCTAAATTCATTTTACACAGGAATATCCCTTTAAAAAAAGGTTGTTTACATCTGCTGTGTGTACACTGTCCACTCAGTTTCAAAGTGCCCCTTCCCTTTAAGCACCTTTTTGGATGTGCAACATTTAATTGCTGAGTATAACATTTTAAAGATTCAATGTCTTCCCGTACAAGGTAAGATATCAAGGAAACAACACACGCTGACATGGCCTTTGAGCTCACATTGACAATGCACAAATAATCAGAACAGTTCACAGTACAGAGTTGATGAAATGATAATCAATGAGTACAAAGATCTGTTTCTTGAATTCACTGCTTACTTTTTCTGTTATGTGGTTGCTACATGAATACTATAACTCAGCAGTATGTAATAAACCTGGTTAGGGTTACAGATTTTTCCTTAAAAATTTAATTTCTGTCAAAACTGGAAGTGAGTAACAGAGCTCTACCGTTATTTAGTGCATCGTCTTCCAAATAGACAATCTTTGAAGCTCGTTTCTATTAGTCTATTTGCCTTAGGCTACTGGTACTCTCACTATATAGTATTTTTTTCTTTATCTCTCTCTCAAAAAAGACTATAACTGGATTGATCCAGCATGAAAAATAGTTTGCAAAGTGGGGCAGCTTTGAAGAGCAAAACCTACAAAACAACAACAACACATGAATCACAAAAAAACAACACAAAGAATCAAAAAAACAATGACAAATCACAAAAATAATGACAACAAATAAAAAAAATCATGTATTTACAAAAAAAGAAACGTGAAAAACTAAACACAACAATTCGTGTCAAAATAACACATTACTAAACACCAAACAACTCACAAAACAAAACAGAAATAAGTAAATAAATAACAAACAACAACAATAATACAACAAAAAATAAGCAATAAAGATGCGTCATAAAAAAAACTATAAACCACAAATCACCAATGACTAATACAATACAACACATCAAATAGTTAAACACAACAACAAATTACAGAGAAAAAAAAAAACTACAAGTCACAAGCTCATGTCACAAAATACAACAACAAAACACTAAACACATCAACAAACTCACAGGCTTTTTGTCAGTGTGTTTGGTGATTTGTTGTTTTGATTTGCACCTCAAGGCCACCATAAAAAGGAGGATAAAAAATGAAGGACAACAAAAAACAAACAATAAAAAAGTGTAACGAAAGTAAAAACATGAAAACGTTTCAGTAACTCTCACAGATGATCTGTGGTTAATAAGCAGACATCAGCACAACCTTTGGGAGATGATGCAGGGATGAAAAGACGCACAAAAGTTGGGTAAGATTTATTTTATAAGTCATCGAGAGGCCCAAACTTGACCCGTGTTACGTGCGTTACGTGCGTGCATGTGTGTGTGTGCGTGTGTGTGTGTGTGTGTGTGTGTGTACAGGAAAAGGAACCCCTCCCGGTGAGCAGGAAGAGGGTGACGTCAGTTGTCAGTTGACCCAGTGCTGAGTTTTGTCAGAATTGCGATATTTGTGTGTGTGTGTGTGTGTGTGTGTGTGTGTGTGTGTGTGTGTGTGTGTGTGTGTGTGTGTGTGTGTATGTGTGGTTTGGAGTGGATGAAGAAAGTGTGTGTGTCTGCAGGTCTGAAAAGTGTGACCGTGTATATGTTTGCGGACGTTTTTGAGTGTTTGCGCGTGCGAGAGCTGCGAGAGGGAGGGGGCGTGTTTATGGGAAATAGAGATTTTGTGCGCGCGCACGTGTGTGTGTGTGTGTGTGTGTGTGTGTGTGTGTGTGTGTGTGTGTGTGTGTGTGTGTGTGTGTGTGTGTGTTTACACAGACGGGAATACTGCGCCAGAGGAAGTGCGCCGGTTCTCCGTCTGAGCGTCCCGACTTCCTGCTCTGAGGCAGGAGGGAGCGAGTCTGAGGATCCGCTTTCAGACCACAGAAGCAGCATGGAGCCTCAACACCACAGACACACTCCGGTCTAGAAACAGACACATCAGGCCGGGAAGACGGACAGAGGAGCAGCGTACATCCACAGCAGGGTAGGTGCAAGTTCTCATTTCCCTCAACTTGTGACTTCCGAAATGAATCCGTGCCTGACAAAGAAACGAGCGGATTTATATCTGCTCTAGTTGTGTTTGCTGAAGAGAGAGAAAGCCAAGTCAAACATTAGAAACTTAAAAAACACATTTAAGCCGCGCGTAAAGTCATAAACCTGTGCGTAAAAGTTGTGCGTTCTCGGCATTTGCGCACACGCCGTGCGTAAAGTTGCCCTAGTTTTTTCAGAACATGTTTAAAAAGGAATGATAGAACGAGGTTAGTGTACCGGCTGCTGTGGAAAGAATTAGCTGTGGCTCCTTTAAATATCTAGTAGTAGACTTTCTGGTTTGTCTGGACCTTAATTGCCATGCGCTTCCGGATTGAAGCTGGCAGCAGACAACATCTTGAAAATGAGTCACTGGAACAAAACAAAGAAGCGTTTGAGTTCCAGCAGAAGCAGTCTCTCTTTCTCCACACACACACGCACATTATTCCATAAATAAGAAATAAGTAGCGGAGCAAATGTATGTCCAGTCAAGCACACTTGTTGGGGGTTGAGTTTTTCAGTTGAATTTGACATGTGGAGCGCTCTCAAGTTGATAAATGATGGAAGTACATTTGCTCTTGCTTTTGTTTGAGTCCACTTTAGTGAGCGTTAAATCTCACAGGGTAACAATAGATCAAATACAGAATGACATCAGGACAAAGATGAATTTTCCATATGCTGTTTTGTGTGTGTGTGTGTGTGTGTGTGTATCAGGGGGGTGGGGGTGCAGATGTTACTCTTAAGACGACAACTTCTGCATCCGCTAAGTCTTAACAAAAGCATATCACAGTGTGGGTGCGTGTGTGTGCACTTCTGGTGGTTCCCAATGATAGGAAGTCCTACCTCCCACAGAGGGAAAGCCTGTCTTCAGGAAGACGCCCCTGAAGCTGAATGTCAGGAAGTCCCCGTTTAGACAGACAGACAACACTACTGTTAGTCCATCTCTTAACACACACACACACACACCCATGCAGGAAAAAGGAAGCAAAGACATGTAATTGTTTGTGAATAAGTGGGACATTGTTTGTGCCAAATACACTTTCTCACTTCACCTACTGTAGATGGTTGCTGTTTGAATAGAAAGACAGAGAACTGGATACACTCTGTATATTTATATTTAAGTACTAGTTGGTTATTGTTGGCACATCAGACCAGGTGTTTTTACGCTGTGAGGGGAGGTGGAGTCCCCATTACCTCTGGCTCCTGTGGTTCTCCATCATTCAGGCGGAGAAGTTGCCATGGGGATTTATGATGCAAAGTCTCTGCAGTCATATTGTCATGGTTGCAAATTAAATTTGGTTGTAATGAGGTATGTGTTGTTGTCCTTTTCACGGAAAGTAGATCTGTTTTTCCTGCCTGTGATTTAAAAGAGTGAGAAATAGAAAAAAAAAAAAATGGACAGACAGGCCGACGCTCACAGACAGTCAGTGGCTTCCAGGTAAACATGTTGGTTAGACCCATGCTTGTCTTGGCAGAAGGTTATTGACCACATCCTGTTTTATCACCATGGCAACACCCTCAAAATCAACCAGCGTCTGGCCCTCTCTTCCGTTTCTTGCTGTAACACACCAGAGAGACAAACATAGAGGTGGAATAAAATGTACCACATACAGCAGGTCTTCATGGCCTTTTTAAAGTCTAATAAATTTCCTAAAACTATGGGACCCCTGGAGTCCCATCAGGAGATTATTTTTACCCAGGATAGAATGTAAAAATTATTCTTCAGATCGACAAAGCTCTCTGTGGTTGGCATCATAAGACTCGAGACCTTCCTTTAGGATAAAGCTTATAGTTAGGTCTGGTTCAGGCCTGGTCCAGCTCTTAGATTTGCCGTAGGTTTTTGTCTGTGTCATTAACTCTAAATCAACATGTCCCATCACCCCCAATTTTCACCGCATCCGGAACGGCTGTGATTTTTGTCGTCCGCCAATTCCTACTGGATCTGATGAAAATTTCGTGGCGGATTATGGACAGCGGTAATCGCGAGAACTCACAAGAACTCGTGTGCAATCGTGAGATAACGATTTGTCTCTTTGCCACAGAGGCTAACCATAAAAGCAGTAGATTGTGTCCTTCCAGAGGAGGAAATCCACCTCTAGACTTCTAAAATCAGCACCTCCTCATCCATGGTGTCTCTGAAATGTTGTCCAAAACCCTTTCACTTGTTCGTCTCCGCCCGTTTGCATGGTGTGGAATACTATCCGCCTGAAACACAGAGTGTTTTATTTTGAAAAGAAGTCGAATGTTTTATTTTGTGTCTGTACCCAACTTCCTTTCAAGCACAGGTTAATCTGTGCTGAATTTACCCGGCATGCTCCGGCGTCCGGAAAAAAAAGAACTCTTGCGATCAGCTGCGGAGTTCGGCGATCCGCAGCAGAACGGAGAGAAGCTGGTGGAAATGGACACATTAACTTGAATGATTATGATCAGCTACGATTGGTGGATACAGCCTTTTTAGGAGCCGTTCCGGATGCGGTAAAAATTGGGGGTTAGAGTCACTCATACAGTCTTTTCCGGGAGTCTCTTGAGCTCCATCATGCCGTGGGTTCCTCTGGATCGCTGCTGCAGACGTTTTCGACCTGCCGTCTTTCTAGCTGCTTAAACTACAAGCATCAATCTCATCTCTCTATCCCCTCTCTAAATCAAATACAGTCTCAGCAGATGACTGTCTAACATGAGTCTGGTTCTTCTAAAAGTTTCTGCCTGTTAAAGAAAGTTCTTCCTCTCTACTGTAACTTGCTAAGTCTTGCTAACGTCTTATTTGTAACTTATCTGTATAAACCTCTTTCAAGTAAAAGTCCCTTTCATTTGTGTTGCTGGCACGCCTGTTAGTTTACAAGACAGAAGAGCATGAGTTCATACTGCAGGGTATGAATAACTAATTATACTGAGGGACCACAGTGAACAGAGTCAAAGGGAAACCCAAACTGCTCTCTAAAGCCTTTGGGGTTGTTCAGGTATTTGTGTTGTTGTGGGTTTGGTTTTCAGGGTAAGGAAAGTCCCACTCAGAGAAGGGGAGAGATGGTAGTGGGCAGGCCTGCAATGTTTTTCTTGTGGTTTTTGGTGGAGTTTGCTTCAGAGGGTCTCGACTTCAATATGTTCTGACATGGAAGATTTCACTTCATTTGTTTTTCCTCCATCTTTTTTAAAACCTTTTAGTCAATTTAATTCAAGACTTTGACTCATCGGGTCAATCTGCAACCTCGCACCGTCCGCTCCAAAATAAATGATGTTTCTTTTGGCCCTGACACAAACAAACATTGTTATTAAATTGACTGTTATTTAAAGTCTCGCTTCGTCTCTGCAGATCACCCGTGACAGGTGTCGGTCCCATCATGGAAAGCTCAATCACACTCTGGCAGTTTCTGCTGCAGCTGCTGATCGACCAAAGCCACAAACATCTCATCTGCTGGACGTCCAATGACGGCGAGTTCAAGCTGTTAAAGTCAGAGGAAGTGGCCAAGCTGTGGGGGCTGCGCAAGAACAAGACCAACATGAACTATGACAAACTGAGCAGAGCCCTGCGCTACTACTATGACAAAGTACGCGACTTTTACTCTATATTTGATCATTTTGTTGGTCAGTTTAAGAACAAGATTTGATGTTTTCGTGTTGTTTTTTTTCCTGCAGAATATCATCAAGAAGGTGATCGGCCAGAAGTTTGTCTACAAGTTTGTGTCTTTCCCTGAGATCTTGAAGATGGACCCTGCGGTGGTGGAGTCAGGCCGCAGCAGCGAGGAGAGCGGAGCAACGTCAGAGCCCGAGGCTGAAGATGAGGATGATGGAGGGAGAAACCAGTTCCTCAAATCAGGCCTGTACTCCCCTTTCTCTGTCAGCTCACTGCAGCACTCCTTAGAGCCGCACCACCCGATCAAACAGGAGCCCAGATCTGATCGGCATGACGACACCGCCTCTGTCATCCGATTCATTTCCAACAGAGGTCACTCCTCCCTTCCCCCCACCCCACCCCCATCTCTGAATGAGGCCTCCTATTCCTCAAGGCCATCCCCTCGCCAGGCTCGGTCTTCTTCCTGTTTCTCCACCCCACCACAAAGCCCCGCCCACAGACTGTGGAGGGGGCGATGTAAGAGCACAGACACTGATGAGCTGGAGTGCAGCGCTCAACCTCTTAACCTGTCATCAGGTCAGAGGGAGAGACTGAGGTCACAGAGCACCGTGACGCCAGAGAGGAGGGGACTGGCGAATAACTCCCCTTTGAGATCTCGAAAACCGAAAGGCTTGGAAATCTCCACCTCCTCTCTCCTCCTGACAGGAAGTGACCTCGTCTCCATAGCCCTCAACAGCCCGGCACTGCCTTCAGGGTCTATGACCCCTGCCTTTCTCACTGCACAGGTACAACATGACACAAAACACAGAAGTACGACACTACACTCATGCAGGTTTAACAGCCCCTCATGGATTTGGGTGGGAACAGGAGAGGGGAAGGAAAGAACGAGGAGAACAATGTGTTTTGGGGGTGAGAGAAGTAAAACTCGTAGACAGGGAGGAGATAGAAAGAGGTGAGCGGAAAGAGGGGAGAGAAAGCAGAGGAGGGAGGAGGTTCATAAGTGAAGCCATATGTTCGTGAAGCTCCTGATTCACTGGCAACAACACACTGACCTAACCAAAGCTGTCTGACTAAACTGAGAGATTCAGCGGGAGTTTAATCCAACATGAGCAACGCAGGCTGCTGAGTTTACAGAACAGGATTGAAAACTACATGCTCGAGCAGTAACTCATCGCTGGCTGTTGGTAGGATGAAGTTTTTCCAAGGAACACCTGAGCTGTAAGCAAAGTATCGAACACGAGAATGGAGATTTCAGACACTTAGGTAACAGATCTTAGTTCCTCAAAGAGGCGGCCCCTGTCTGAGACTGTAGCTTTAAAATTGGGCCTGTTCTGAGAGGGTTATGGAACTAAAAGTGAGTCAAAGAAAGAATAAAATACAACAATGTCTGGACTGGCAGAGGGATTGATCATGTGGAGTCAAATTCCCAGTTTCGGTTACATATTTGTCCATTCATTCCTATGAGAATCTTTGTAACATCTGTGATAGCCCAGCAGTAAACAAAACCCTGACATAAAAAGCATGTTTTCTGAAGTTTTTCAGTCGATATTAGGCCTTTGAATGTAGACCATAAAGAAATAAAAGGTTAAAACCTTTGCCGCCAGGGTATCTTTTTAAAGAGTCTAGAAACTGCTGGAAAGCATATTTAAAGTTGTAGTTTTAAAACTGAAAAACCTCAAAAGTTGTATTTCTTTATGCAGCGAGATACAGACGCAGGCTCAATGAAGAAAGTGTTGTTGTTGTTGAACTTTCTGGCCTTGGGAAAAATCAGAGAAAACCAAACTGACCTGAGTTAAACACGCAGAGGCATTAGACAGTCCAGACTGAGAGGAATACATCTCATGAATTCTGTATGAGCGGAGCTTCCTGACCTGCATCGAGTCCGTCTGCCAAGTCAATCTGTCTGGTAGATGCCGGTTCACTAGAGGGCAGACTCCGCTCTGAGCTTTGGGTGAGACTGAGTGATACGACAACTTCACCACAGGCTATGAACCGCTCTCAGGACTGATTGCCAGAATAAACAGCATCATTTCCATCTTGGTGTATTTATCCTCTGACATTTAATTTGGGGTTTTGTCAATGTAGACTCCATCTGGTCTGCTGCTCACTCCCAGTCCTCTACTCTCCAATATCCATTTCTGGTCCAGCTTGAGTCCAGTGGGGCCCCTCAGCCCTGCCCAACTGCAGAGCCATGCCCCCCTCTTTCAGGTAAGACGCAAAAAGACATTTTAAGTAAGAAGTTCACAGTTTTCTTCATTTTTTACATCTTTTACTGGACAAAATCAATTAAAACACCCTTCAAAATGTTAGACGCTCAAATTTTTGCAACTTAAATCTTATTCGTTTTATATGCCACAACTCAGGGAACAGGAGTTGAACTAGATAAATCTGCCCATCAAGTCTTAATTTACAGTAAACCTCCCCTTCGAAACAACAGGAACTTCAGTGTTTTCACTTGCAGATTCACCTCGAAGTTTCACATAGTTCTGTGTGTTCATTTATGTGTGATTCACCGCGTGCAGGGGTTTCAAAATAAGCTACAGATGTTTCCGTTCCGAAGAGGGGGCAACTTCCTGGTGGCTGGGGGAAGAGGAGGAGGAGGAGGAGGAGGGCTGGTTGGTCAGGAGGAGTCCCTCCCACTAGTATCAACATCCCAGAAAAGTCATAAAAACACACAGTTTAAAAATAAAATGATACGTCAGCCGTAATGTTTGATGGTCCCCATAACTTAAGTAAGCTCCCAGGTTAGAGTCCTGACTTTGTATCATAAACATAAAGATCTAGATTGCTGATTCAAGACTAAAGTTATAGCATTTGCTGAGCTGCACAAATACAGCACTTGAGTATTGTGTGTTTAGTTTATAGACCCCTCAATAATTGAGGGTCCTCACAACATTGGTGCACAACCAGGTCCAAGTCCCCACATTGTATTATAAACAAAAGAACTTTGGCACGGATGGTTTTATGATAAAATAAAGACTATTACTTTATTTTATTGTATGATAAGTAGGATTGTAGAATCTGTGTTAGATTTATAAACATGCAGATTAAGATATGCATATTTTCATGATCTGATGTGTACTGATTCAATGTGTGTGTGTGTATTGCAAATGTGTGTGAATTATTTGTGAAGTGTTTTAGTTTAGATTTTAGATTGTGAGCCAATAAATTATGAATGATCTGACTGAATTATTTACTTTTATGTGTTATAAATCCTCCTCCAGTTCCCCACACTGATGAATGGACCCATCCCTGTCCCTTTACCAAGCGTGGACGCTTCCTCCCCTCTGCTGCTTTCCTCCATTTCGCACAAATCCTGATACCAAAGAGGGAACTGTGCAGTAGCAGCAGCAGCAGCAGCAGCAGCACAGACAAGGACCGAGCCTCTCAGCCTTAAACTTTAACAATGAACCACAGACAGAGGAGTCGGACTTGCTCTTCACTCCTGAACCTGTTCCTTTGCATTTATCCTATGAAGAAACAGGAGCTTCTCTCTGAGATTTGAACAGAGTTCGTTGAGTGTTTACGACAGTTTTAACTACTCGTGTTGTTTAAACTCATATTTGGTGCTTTCCTCTTTTCAAGATGTTGAAGCCTTGTCAATGTTATCATCTCATTTCATGTCCTATCTTGTAACTGATTCACGCTTCAGTGATACAGACTGGTTTTATTTTTTATCAATGTTACTCTATATTTTTTTTTACACCACAGAGTCGAGCAATGGAGATCTGAGGAAATTCTCGTCGATAAATGCTGGACAAAGATTGACGGACATAGATTTGGCCTCTGGCTGTATCTGCATAACTAACTGAACATGGTGTCGATTTTTTTGTCAAACTTACCCCCAATTTTCACCGCATCCAGCGCTGTCCACTAATTCCTACTGGATCCATTGGTGAGGTGAATTTCTTGGCGGGTTACGGACAGCAGTAATCGCAAGAATTCACGAGAACTCGCAGATTCACGTGCAACTGCGCGATAACGAGTTGTCTCTGACAACTAAAGAGGCTAACTATAAAAGCAGTAGATTGTGTCCTTCCAGAGGAGGAAATCTACTTCTAGACTTCTGAAATCAGCATCTTCTCATCCATGGTGTCATCGGGGTGAAATGCTGTCAATAAACCTTTCACTTGTTCGTCCCCGCCCGTTTGCATGATGTGAAATACGATTCGCCTGAAACACGGCGTGTTTTATTTTGAAAAGTTGCCAGATGTTTTATTTTGTGTCTGTGCCGACTTCCTTTCCAGCACGGGTTAATCTGTGCTGAATTTATCCGGTATGCTCCAGGCGTCCGGAAAAAAATAGAACTCTTGCGATCAGCTTTGGAGTCCGGTGATCCGCAGCGGAACGGAAAGAAGCCGGTGGAAATTGACACATTAACTTGAATAGTTACGATCAGCTACGATCGGAGGATACGGCCGTTTTGTCGCCGTTCCAGATGCGGTAGAAATTGGGGGGTTGAGCAAAATGTCATTAAGCGTTAAAACCTTTGCCTTAAATCTAACATTTAAAACTTGGTTTTCTACGTGCAAAGCAGGCTGGATACACAGCTAGACGGACCGCTCTATGGCGCCATTTTTGCCCCTGATGCCCCCCATAAGGCAACAAATTGTGCTTTTTAGTAAATAAGTGGAATACCAGTGAGTGAGATTCCTCCAATCAGGACAAATCACAAGTTGTGGTGAGTTAGCTCCGGCAGTTGGTATGACTGTAACTCACAGATATGAGCCTCATCATGTGGGCTCAAATACCTTAGAGGTAGTTGGCAGATGGTATTACCAAGAGTATCTGCACAGAAACTGCACATAAGACTTTGTGGCAGGTGGTTTCTGCTTTTTCAAAATCTCTATGATCGACTAAAACTGTAACACAACGTTGATCTGATTCCTTTAACCTGTCTGTGATCTTTCAACCCTTTCTTTCAATTTACAGTTTTTCCAGACCATTGTTTGACACGACATCGACTCCTAGCAGAGCACCTGCTAGCAAGCGCACCAAAAATTGTGGATGTCTTTATTTTGTTCTGATGCTTTGACCCGATGCTGTGAACTTTTATTTTAAATCTGTTTATAGTTTCATGCTTTTTGATGCACTGTACTTTTTTTTAGGCTTGTATTCTACCAGCAGTGCCTTTAGTAGTGTAAGATTTTAGTAAATGTGCTCGGCTTTAAGTCATGTTTTAAAGATATTCCAGGTCAAGATTGCACAAAGCTTTTGTTTTTTTTCATCTGTGCGTAAAGTTGCTCTTGGTTATTTTTATAGAGAATTAACTGAATTTTATTCCCTGTGTTTAGGTCGTATGTTGAGAGAACTGTTCATGTTTTTTTTTTTGGAATAAAACTGATTTCTTTACAGACTGTCTGTGTTTAGTTTAGCTGATAGGACACACAAAGAACGACCGCTGCACAAACAGTTTATGAAACAGATTAAATTTACTTTCAATGGTTATGAGAAATAAATAGTTCCAGTAAAAAGAGTCACACACTAACTGTTGACTGGCAGCTCAGTGTTTCAGAGAGGTCGAATTCACAACACAGCAGGCCTTCCATGCACCAGGCACACACACATACGCGCGCTCAGACATGTTCACGTAAATTCAGGTTCATTCATACGTTTGAAAAAAAGTTTTACAGTTTTACAATGATAAATACCGAGCCGTTGTAGAAATCTCCTTAAAAACAAAAACTGCTCTGAGCTGAAACACAGTTTGAAGTTAGTTATGCAAAGATCCTCCAGCCTTGTGTTTGAAATGTGCGGAAACTTCGCACTGTGGGTGAATTTCCAAACTCAATCCAGACTCTGCAAAAAGTGTGAAATACAGTGAGAGAGGAGGTAACAGTTTTCTCCATTTAAAGGGAGAAATCAAATGTGGATTAGCCAATATAATACAGGATGTTTCTCATTAATATAATGCCTTTTGTCCTGTAATTTGGAATGTAAACCATTCACCGTTTCTCCCACTCGGATTTGTTAAGTGGTGACAGTTTTTGTTGAACGTCTGAAAACAATCTCTTTAATTCTACAAACGCAGTGAGGATTCTTACAGACCAGCTTCAAACTGTGTTCAAGTCAATGTTTATCACACCAACGCTCTCGGCTCTTTGAGTCTATCAAGTGTTGAAGTGCCTCCAGCACTTTACTTACATGATACCTGGACACAAGGTTTTTTAAATTTCGGATCATGAATATGAAATTTCACAAATCAGATGCCGAGCAAAAGAGCTGCATGATGAAAATCCTGCACAGACTTTCTCAGTCATCCTCTCACATTCTTGCATGTTCACCGTGTTGTTCGGTGCATTCCTGATGTTATTAAATGCAGAAGCTTACGCACTGCACTCTTACTCTTTTTTTTTGCTACTGTGAGTGTAGAAGCTGCTATCTCTGCCTTCTCCATGATGCATTCCTCCTCCATTGGTTTTGATTGTTGGGAGCTGACACTAAAACACGCTCGTTCTCCTTCTTGTTAATAAGCAGATGAGAAATTCGATTACAGTGTCCGTGCAGCCAGTTGACTCAACTTTGCCTAAAACTGTAACAGGTTGGCAGCAGGATTGGTTCTACCTAAAAGTAAAAACAATATTCCTACAAGTGTCTCTGAAATAATTCAACACGGGGTAAAGATTAGGATTATTCCACAGCTGCCATAGAGCTCCACTGCGTCTACAAGACACCCTGAGGTTAATGCGCCTCGCCACACCAAGAAGTAGTAAAGGATGTAAGAAACCACAAGCTGTCACTTTTGCATTAAAGGCATATCCTGGAATAAAATTAATTTAACACCGAGTTAGACACCCCCTCAAGAGATGAATGTTGCCACCGCTTGCTTCTCTAGTTATACCAACTTTAGTATCGACCGCACGATCGCAATACAGAGAGGTCTGAGGAGCCATAAACAAACCTCAACCAAAACGCAACTCTATAGCCACAAATAATGCTCAGAACAGCACCTAACTTCATCAACAGGACATATAGGGTCCTAGCCATAGTACTAGCCACCAAACATCTTTTTAACTTTGCCTAATTTCTTTAGCGAAGAGACTAAACACAACTCACCTACTCTCTTCCAGCAGTCGCTTGTTTGTAGTGAGACTTTGGGCCAGTCCATTACGGACTGCTGTGGGGTGTCACAGCTCAAGGAAGAACATGTATGATCATTTCTTTATCATTTCCTTGAAGTAATAATCACCATATTAATCATTTTGGACTGCAGACTACAACAAACGGCCTCTGGAAGAGAGTAGGTGAGTTGTGTTTAGTCTCTTTGCTAAAGAAATCAGGGAAAGTTAAAAAGATGTTTGGTGGCTAGGACCCTATATGTTCTGTTGATGAAGTTAGGTGCTGTTCTGAGCATTATTTGTGGCTAAAGAGTTGCGTTTTGGTTGAGGTTTGTTTATGGCTGCTTAGACCGCTGTGTATTGCTATTGTGCGGTCATTACTCAAGTTGGTATAACTAAAGAAGAAAGCGGTCGGCAACATTCATCTCTTGAGGGGGTGTCTAACTCAGTGTTACGATGTGTTTGACCCTAAATCAATTTTACGCTGGAAAATCCCTTTAACAGACATTTCCATACCGAGATACACCTGTGCCTCATGGATTTAAATATCAGTGCGCACTCGAGCGATCAGTAACATGTTTAAATCACAAGAATCTCAGAGGTTGTCATCAAATTTTGACAAGAACGAGAAAGAGCATTTTTTTCCTAAAACGAAAACTGTTTCTTTCAACGACTCCAAACACTCGCCGCTATCACACAGCTGCTTGAAAAACCCGTACTTTGAAGCGAGTACACTTATTTTATGTTGGTCCACGGGAATAAGACAAACGCTTACTGCAGTTTAATAAAGTCAGGAATGCAAAGAACACCAGGAGACAGCAAAGTTAGAAAATCTGCAACAGACATGCAGTTTACAGAAGTGAGACTCCACAACAGGCTTCATCGGACAGCGGACATTAAATCTAAAATTTCAATTTGAAATCTCTTTTTTTTTCTTTTTCCTTGTGTACAAATGCTGGAGCAGTGGTCCGACGCCATGTTCAGCTTTTGAATAACCCACCCCGATCCCGTCTATCCCCACCCCTCCCCTCCCACCTCCCTCCGAAAAACATGCCACAAAGACACTGTTATTTCACAAGGAGAGGTCAAAGGTCACAGACACAGAGAACACGTCTTAATACTGTTGGGTAAACTCGGCCGTGTCGCGGCCCAGGTCCCTGATTCCAAAAAACACGCTGAAGTGCAAGTTAATAAAAAAAGTTACTGCAGTGAGATCTCCGAACACGCACAGAGCCAGAAAGAGCGAAGCTTGCATTATTTCCTTAAAAAGCGCTGAAGTCCTGGCAGTTTGTGAGGGGTTTAAGGGAAGGCCTGCTGGCTTCCTGTGGGACATCACATGATTTCCTGTTCAGCTCCGGTTTTCCTGCTCTTTCATTCGTGCTTTTTGCTCATCTTTTCCTCCCCTCTTTTTTTCTTCCTTTTGGTCCCGCCGCTGAGCAAGAACAGACCTGCAAGCTGGTTTCATGTTCTTCCAGTTTGATTGGACTCTCGTGTGCTTCTTTAACTCACAGTTCAAAACTGTTCGCTCACACTCCTGCTTTTTTGACCATCAGTGTGTAAACCTCCTGAGGGCGAAAGAGCCTCCAGGAGAAGAGTCCGGTTAAAATGTTTCAGAAAAAAGAAGAATCCAGAGAAAGTGTGTTTTTTCCCCCCTCAACCGAGACCATGTGAGTGTCCCGGTCTTCCCAAACCTGGAAATGTAGAGTTCAGTCACGGAAGCTCGAAGAAAAACAAAACATAAACTTCAAATATATATATAGATTTACATATTTATAAAAGAAAAAAAAAACTGAAGAAAGTGAAGCGTTCGGTCTCCAAGCACGACAAGAAGAACAACAACTTGGATCACAGCGTCGACATTAACATCAGTGGATTTCTAAACTCAAAACGAAGCCGGAGAATCGTCAGCAGAAAAACAATATTAACCGTACTGACTGCTCAACTGTGCACGGCGACTCGAGTTCACATCATGTACACACACGCGCACACACACGCGCGCACACACACACACACACACACACAGACATGCACACACACGGTGTGTTAAATACAGACAGTAGTAGTTTAGCAGCAAAAAATTCAACCTCACCCCACCCCCCAATAAATAAACACAGTCTTCTCCTCGATTCAACCCAGAGTCACTCGCTCACAGGGGTGTGTGTGTGTGTGTGTTTACGCGTGTGTGTGCAGGTTAGAGGGGGAGGGGTTCACTCTGAGGGGAGGTGGGCTCATGCGAGAGGTCGGTGGGAAGTGGTGATGAAGCTGGACAGTGGACCGTCGTCTTCATCAGACTCTAGAAGAGCATGCTCTGCCTCCTGTTGATCTTGCCGTTACCTGGAAGACAGAGGAAAGACTAAAAATACAATACCCATAATCCTTTAGGTCATGACACACGAAAAGGGACAGTCAGAAAAAGCAGACCGCTCAAAATTTTTTAAATGTTGACTACACAGACAAAACAAAACACAGCGATATCGTTATATTACCAAAAGTCCTCAATAACTAACAGCTATTGACTGATATCAAAAGCTTCTTTGTATAAACACCACAAAAAAAGACACTTCTTTAACGGATTCCTGCCTTCCCCACCTTTAAATAGGCCGGGGTGAAGCATTTGTGTGTCCACTGATGCACCAAGATGATTAGGGTGAAGTAATACATCAAGAAGTGAGCATCAGCATATACGTTATAGACGTCATCACAGCACAGAAGAGGAAGTCTTGGCTGGATGTGGTTTTTGTAACCCCTCACTTGACTGGAATTACAAAAAAGTTGGCATCCATCCCTAGAGTCATGTTTCCCTTTTTGGTCCTCAAACAATAACGGGTCATGAAGTCAATCAGGTCTAAGATTGGGGCTTAACAAAAATCAGCATTTTATAGTTTAGAACAATCAGAAACTTGATGGTATGACCCTTAGTAACCTTTTGACCTTTACTGGATGAAGTTCGGGGCTTTAAAGACACTGAACTTTATGGTGCTGGGGCTTTCTTATGAGATGACTTTTTCCATTTGCATCATGGGAAATGTAGGAAAAAAACTTTATTACAAACTTGTTGCTTCCTTGGAACTAAGTCATGCTATCTCTGTGATTCTGTGACTCAGAGGCCTGTCAGCCTGTGCCATCTGTTGTCTAATGATTTCCTTTTCACATCTGGTCACAGAAGTTTATTTCTCAAGATGTCTCCTGATTTAAAGAGTTAAATGTTGGAGCGTCTGGATGTGTCCCCCCACCCACCTGACTCTGGGTATGAGGAGTTCCTGTAGCCAGGGTCCCTCTGCAGCTGCACCTCTTTTAATGTAAATATTGATACACCTACAAAACAAAGAAAATAATTAGGTTAGAGCCCAAAGAAATAAGAATGATTGTATTTCACTCACTCGGCTTTGATTGTGCTCACCTTCAGACAGTGTGTGAACTCTCATCCCGAGCTGCCTGAAGTAGGAATGTTTCATCGCCTCATCAGCCGAAATCCTCTTCTTGGACTCGTACTGCGGAGACAGAAACAGGAAACACATCAGCCACCCTGTGATTCCAGCTGATGATGATGTTTGCCTGTTTAGTAATGCAATCAGAAATTCCCTGAGACGGACCGAAATGGACTGGAAACAGGAACCGGATTGTAAATTTAATGAAAGGGGAACTCTGATGGGGCGATGCCTCCTGCTGTCTAAAGATGGTACTGATGATCCTCGAAAGATCTGACCCAAATGAGCTGATCCGGCGCCTCCTGACAACTTACAGTCATGTGATGATGAGGGGCTGACTTTGAAGCTGGTGACATATCGACCTCTTCTCATACAACACTAAATCTCCTTTCACACATGAACTGATCATTTCAGGACACTGAGAACCTGATATGCAGATATCTCAGGATACAAGGTCTTAAATGTCACACATGCATCTCACAGCAGGACATAATCTTCATCAGATATGCTCTCACAACTTCATATAATGGTTTAGGTGAGGGGTTTAGTCGCATAAATAGGACAAGGAGGAGAGTAAATGTCTCCTTTGATGGTCACTTTGTGCTGATATCAGGATGTTTCTGCATTTCAAACACAATAAACATTTACACAAAGACACCAACCGAGCAGTGAGTGGGGCACAGAGAAGGATACATGGAGGAGTAGGTTACACAAGAAGAAATACTTCAATTATACAAGCTGTGTTTAATAGTTAGCACAGCTTTCCTGCAGCCATAGTGAGAAACCATCTTGGACACATCTTCAAAATAAAAGCATTGAATCAATGTGTATTCTTTCTCTGTTCAGAACAGCACCTAACTTCATCAACAGTACATATAGGGTCCCAGCCACAGCACTAGCCACCAAACATCTTTTTAACTTTGCCTAATTTCTTTAGCAAAGAGACTAAACACAACTCACCTACTCTCTTCCAGCAGCCGCTTGTTTGTACAGAGACCTCCAGGTGAGTCCATCGACTGCAACGGGGTGACGCAGCTCAAGGAAGAACATTTATGATCATTTCTTTATCATTTTCTTGAAGTAATAATCATCGTAATCATCATTTTGCACTGCAGACACGGTAGTTCTTCTGCTTTAGCATCTCGGTCTGGTTGCATTTCCATGAAGTAATAATCATAAATGTTCTTCCTTGAGCTGCGGCACCCCGCTGCAGTCGATGGACTCACTCGGAGGTCCTGCTATGAACAAGCGGCTGCTCAAAGAGAGATGGTGAGTTGTGTTTAGTCTCTTTGCTAAAAAAATCAGGCAAAGTTTAAAAGATGTTTGGTGGCTAGTGCTGTGGCTGGGACCCTATATGTACTGTTGATGAAGTTAGGTGCTGTTCTGAGCATTATTTGTGGCTATAGAGTGGCGTTTTGGTTGAGGTTTGTTTATGGCTCCTCAGACCTCTGTGTATTGCTATCGTGCGGTCGTTACTAAAGTTGGTATAACCAGAGAAGCAAGCGGTTGGCAACATTCATCTGTCGACGGGGTGTCTAACTCAGTGTTACAGTGTGTTTGACCCTAAATTAATTTTACGCCAGAATATCCCTTTAAACAAAGAGGCTGTCTGAAAAGAGTCTGGGTAAAGTTGGGACATGAAGCGATCCCCACGAAGTGAGAAAACCTTCAGGAGTCAAGTGTGGACGAAGCTTTAGTGGACCACTGAGCTTTACAGGCAATCCCATCTCTAAAGGTCAAGGAGAGGCATGAGCGCACGTGTTCATTTCTCTTTTATGGGAGGAAGTAAGAAGGACTCACTTTGAGGAAAGCCAGCAGCAGCTCGATGCCTTCGCCGTCCAACCTAAAGGGGACAAAAGGAAGAGCGACAATTAATAGTCTGCCTGCGAGAAAAGGGCTGATGGGAATGTCGGGGCTCAGGGGAGGAAGGAAGTGGACAGCCGTCTGTGAAACGTTCCACAGGATATCCTGCTCATGCGAAAAACACACCCGCACGTGAACGCACACAATTAGCGTACATGTGAAAGAGGAAGTGAAATGGAGCCATGGGTGCAGAGAACAAACAAATGTGTGAATAAGAGCGTGCAGGCCGACATTCACAAACACACACACTTAGATGGGTCACAGTACCTGGGGGCATGGTTGATCAGCGGCTGTGGTTTGTATTTGGGGAAGTTGTAAGATTTAAATTCTTCAATGGAGGAGATCCCCGGCCAGTTCTCCTCTGTGGGTGTGCCTGAGGTGACAGAACCACAAACATACAGGGTTGTAGCTGCTTCATTATACCGGTAAAGTCATTTGAGTTGTTCTTTTGATCCGTCCAGGCAGAGACGATCACTCACCCAGTAACCTGAAAATGAGGTGGAGCTCGTCCTCCACGGTGGAGCCGGGGAACAGCGGCCGACCTGCAGCCATCTCATAGAATATACAGCCAACACCCCTGCAGACACAAACACACACGAGCACGGAGAAGAGGTTTCATTTAAAAGGTGCAATTAATTTATTTTCATTCAGAAAAAATCCCCAAAAAAGAGACCGTTCTTGGACCAGGATTGGGGCATGTTTGGGGGATGTACAACCAAACAGGATGAATTATTCTGCCATTCTTTAAAGAGTTCATTTTTATTAAGTTTTCATATGTTTAAGGGTTACTGAAACTTTGCACCAGAGACTTTCACACTCCTCCTCTTTATCTTTATTTTATTTAAAGCTTCTCCCTTCTTTCTTCAACTATCGAGGTTTTTTAAGTCTGCAGTCAGCTGCGGACAGGTCTTGTTAGTTCCCCCACCGTCCCGGTCTGTTCTAGCGATAACAAAAGCAGGAACTTGTCGTGTCAAATGAGGCGAACGTTCGCCGCAGTGAGTCTCATACCACATATCAATCTGTGTTGAATACTCAGACGATCCCAGCAGAACATCTGGAGGCCGGTACCAAAGAGTGACCACCTCGTTTGAGTAGGTTTTAGTCGGGACAGACTTGGCCCTTGCCAGACCTGTAAGAAATGAACCATCAAATCAGTACAGGACTCAACCGAAAACCATCAAGTTTGATTTACTTCTTCCTACTCCTTTTCAAACATTACCTCATTATTTTTTTCTTTGTATGTAAATGGAATTTTTTATTTTTGCAGACATGTTTGAAATAAATAAAAATAAATGAAATAATTTTTTAAAAAATTGGGAAAGAAATTTATTATTGTTTTGCTGCTGTTGTTGTGGTTCTCCTCCTTCTCACCGAAATCTGCCAGTTTGAGTTCTCCTCTCTCGTTGATGAGGAGATTCTGGGGCTTCAGGTCTCTGTGGAGAACTTTCCTCTTGTGACAGTAGGACAGGCCCCGCAAAATTTGGAACAGAAAGATCTGGAACAAAAAACGTACATGTTAGTGACGTGCGACAGACTACGAAGTGGGTGTCCTCCATGTAAACAGATGGGACATGGATGAAACTTTAAAATCATATTACAAGTCATATCAATGTTAAGCAGCATGGAAAATGTCAATATTGTTAAGTTCTCATCATGAGTTATTTCCTGACTTTACTTTTAGATTGTTTATAAAAGCAAAAGGGGAAAACTGCGACGATTCACAGCTCACAAGCAAAAAAAAAAAAGGCACACTAAATTTTCCAGGACTGTGATTATCTGCTTTAAATTAACTCAGGGATCCAAACACAGTCGACTTGGTCAGCCTCCAGAACTTTGCTGCTTTATTGGTACGATAAATCTGTGTTTTGGCAAACAGAAGCTAGGGAGGGCGTCAACAACCCAGCTCAGACTTAAAGTCCAGATGTCAGCATCTGTTGAGGGAGTATTTTGGCATCACTTTTGCATCACTAAATACAATCAAAACAATAAAACAAAAAAGCGCATAAAAAAGTTAAAAAAAATGTCAAAAAAATCTCCAAATGGGGTGTAAAAATTAATCTAAAAGAGTCATTTTTACTGGATCTAGGAGCTGTTAACTAGCGCTTCATCATAATAAGGAGAGTCACCTTCACATTGTGCATGCTCATTATGTTGCCACAGTCGTCCATGTACTGTTTTAGGTCCTTATCCTGCAGGAGGAGATGACACCATGAGAAAACAGCACATACAAATACATCATCTTATCAATAATTGTTTTCCACGTATGTTTTAGCTCTCTTTTCCTGTTTTTAATTCCTGGTACAGTCATTAATTCACCTCTCTATCTAATAGTGTTCTTATCTATTGTAATAATGCACAGTATCATGATCATGTACTCCATCTAAAGGCAAATGAATTCACTCTCAAAGCTCTAAGTGTTACCAGGTACTCGAAGACGAGCGTGAGGCTCTTGTCAGTGTGGACGATGTCGTGTAGCGTCACTATGTTGGCGTGTTTGAGGTCCTTCAGTAACGACACTGCAGGGACACAGACAGAGGTGTTTACTCGAACAGAAACACATTTAGAACATCGTTCCTGACGCATGAGGCAACACACTTCATTAATAATCAAGATAAGTGTTATAAAGGTTTAGTTTTTCCAGCTGACCTTCTCTGATGGCGGTGCACGGCGCTCCCTCCTCATGCTCCAGCCTGATCTCCTTCAGTGCGACCAGGTTGTCTGTCAGCTTACTGCGTCCTTTAAATACTGTGGCGTAGGTTCCCTGAACACAACACACAAGTCTGGTCAGACAGAAGTTATCGGACATTTTTCTTCCATTATTGTTGTCAGACAGGAGTTCAGGACTTCCTTACTTCTCCTAGTTTGTCCAGCTTAATGTACGTCTCTAGCTTTCCAAAACCGATCTCCGACTGAGGAGAAGACACAGAGGGCAGAGTCAAGTACATGTTCAGTGATGATAAATAACAGCATAACCTAGCATTGCCTTTGTAAAACTTAGACATGGATCAACTGAAGGTGTGTTGACAGTCCTAAAGAGCTAAATGCAGCAGGTTTTGAGTGTCCACTTAAGGTTTGGAGCCCCTATAAGATCCTGTTTTAGTCTAGTACAAAAACCTAAACCAGACTAAAGTCTTCATAGCTATTTCCTCTAATCATGACAACTTTACTGGGTAATGTTTCCCCTCTATATGTTGATTATAGCAGGCCAAGATTCATGCTTACAATTTCAAGCAAGTGTGCTAAGATGACATCCATGCTTTATAATAATCATATAATCTTGACATAGGCTCTTACAGCGCTCTTTGGCTTTTCTCCAGGGTTAAATCAATCCAGTGATAACCTATCTCTGCCATCAGAAACAGCTGGCAGTATATAATGCACAATTTAGAGAAACTGAATGTCTTTGAAGGGGGGAATTTGTGTTATGGTAAATGAAGACAAACATAAAAACATCAGAAATATAAAACAAATGTTTAGGATTATTCAATGTAAATTATCTATAATGCGGCGTGACCACATCACTCCAATTCGGGCGTCCCTCAATTGGCGTCCTGTTCATTTTAGAATTCATTTTAAAATTTTAGTGTTTGTTTTTAAATCTTTAAATGGATCAGCACCGCAGTACATCTCTGACCTGTTAAAAGTTTATACCCCCACACGTTCCTTGAGGTCTGCTGATCAGCTCCAACTCATCGTCCCTCAAACTCATTTAAAAACCCATGGCGACCGAGCTTCTCGGCTGTGGCTCCCAAATTGTGGAACGAATTTCCACTCGAGATCAAAACATCCCCCACTCTTTCTAATTTTAAATCACGTCTTAAAACTCATTTTTATTCCTTGGCTTTTAGTTCAGCATGAGAGTTGTGTGATCTCTGTACTTTTACGTCTTTTATGGTCCTTTTATCACTTTTATTTCTTTTAAGCTTTTGTGTTTTTATTTTATTTCATTTTAAATGTTTTGACCTGCTTTTATTTATTTCCTCTTGATGTTTTCTGCAGTGTTTGTTCTTTTAATTTTACTGTGCATCACTTTGGTAAAGTTGAATGTTTTTTAAAATGTGCTGTAGAAATAAAGCAGATTGGATTTAATTGAATAAATAAACAGCGGATGTACTGTATTGTCTCTCCTAACAACCAAAGCTTGTTTTCAAACCAGTGTCAAATACAAAAACAGAGGAAAAGGCTGATTTTCTGAATATCTAAAAATCTGTCATTTAGATCTGTACTTTGACATAAATACACAATTGTAGCTGCAACACATTTATTGAGTTTACATGGCCTCCTCTGTGATTGTCTGGGATTAAATCAGTTACAACAGATTATTAATAAAACATCAAATTACCACCTTTATTACCACAAATAAAGATCAAAACTTTGCAGATAAAAACCTTTTCTGAACTGATGATAAACTTCAACGACACATGAGCCTCCTCAGGAAATTTGCATAGTCACACAACAGCCGAGCATTATGATCTAATTTGATGAGACTAAAGGCAGGAGGTAAACGCTCGTGGCTCCGGATTAATCAATCCCGGCCTCACACTGGGATGGTTGCCATGGTAACTCACACAGAATGGGGGGGGGGGGGGGGATTCTCTGGTTAAGGCGCAGAAAAAGCAATAAAGGTAAAAAAAAGGAGACCAAAACACACACAGACACAAAGACAGACGGACAGACACTGACCAGAGAGGCGCGGCGTGAGCGTCGGCTGAGCGGCTGGTCGAAGGGGGGGCTGCTGAGCTGGAGCTTCTCCAGGTAACCGTCGGGGATTCTGATGTCAGCAGGCAGAGACAAGCGCTTGTTGAGGTCCTAAAAAACACAAATTCAACAATAATCAGACCTGAAGCGGACTTTTTGAAATATCTGAGGTGCTTAAATCTTGTTCATCACACTTCTCAAACTTCACTTTTTGTGACTGAATGAAAAAAAAACACTTTTCTGCTTTTTCTGCAGCCGGCACACTGTGTTCAAACATCCTGCTACATGTGTGAAATAAGGTGTGGGGCATGTTAAAGAAAACAAGCAGCGCAAGACAATGTAGGCTACCGAGTCCGCCCACGCACACACACCCCCGAAGACGCTTGGTCTAAAATAATTCGCTCTCATCTCCTCCTACTCCCGGAGAGAGGAGACAGAGATCAGGTCGATCTCCATCTTCTGGAGGGTAAAAATAAGAGGCAGTGTGTCAAAGCGAGACTGCGAAAACCTCTACGGGTGCAAATCAGATTGTCTAAACAAAACAGCGAGAAAACCCTAAGCTCAGATAAAACACACCACACATGTGTTTATTAATGTTTACAGCTCCTGCTCTCTGTCTGTACTCACACCGCAGGCTGTCATTGTCAATATTACTCAGCTCGTCTTGTCTTATTGTTGTAGGCGACTGACGGTATCTATTCTGGGATCAAATAAGGCCACATCTCATAGTGATGAGCCGACATAATGCTGCTGTCTGATGTGGAGAAACGAGGCTGAGTGGAGTATAAATACACCGAGAACAGACGTCTCATCTGTTCGGTTATCATCTGCGCTTTTAAGTCGCGCCTTTAACTCATCCTCCCTCGTTTTATCATCGCAGTCCTCTAACCCTTTATGACAAGGCTGCTCGGAGATGGTGCCAGAATTATGATAACAAAGAGTTCACATAAAAGCTATGATTATGTAAAGTGAATCAAGGTCTTAAAAAAGGAAAGGGATTATGTAACTTAGGCGTGCTGCTCAAAACCTCATCATGTAATGACAGACTCAAACAGATTTCGTCTATTTTTATTTCATTTCTTTTAAAATCATGATGTTGCAATAGATTGTGAGGCTCTTCATCGTTCTGGTTTTAGAAGACTGAAGGAGTGAAAATGGGATTGATGTGTGGAGACCATAAAGGTATGATGCCGGTATTTACCAATGATAAGACTTGGCCTCTTTCTAACACGGTCAATAATAGTGTAACTGTTGGTACTGTATTGTGAGTAGGGGTGTCCTGATACAACTTTTTTACTTCTGATACGATACCGATATTGTAGCCTCCAGTATTGGTCGATACCGATATTGGCACAAACTTCCTTCCCTGTAAGGGCATACAGGGAAGGAAGTAATGCACCAGAAATAAGGAGTGTCGGTAACACTTTGTTTTACGGTGCACTTATTACTAGGTAATTAACAGGTAATTACCTAGTAACAACATGAAATTATCTGGTAATTACATGATAAAAAGACGTTGGAAAGCTGCGATGTCCGACATCACTCCTACTCCTCGCTACTGTGTTAGTACCTTAGTACAAACTGCTGTTGTGATCACATGGGCTCTACATGCTGGATCAGGGCGCTGCTAGCTAGAGGTGCCGAAGTGGAGTCTAGAATGGACTGCTTGTATCGGAGTGCTGATATCGGAGCATTTAGATGCACGCTGATATAATCCGATATTCGTTTTTTGGCTGATATCGGACCGATATCAATATCAGATATCCTTGATTGTTAGACAACACAAGACAGTGGTAGATCATGTATTGGTATCCTATACCAAATCTAAAAACTGATAATTTAAAAAGGACATTTAAAATTGAATCTTAAACAGTGTTAGCCTGTTTGTATGTTGTCCCTTGTTTTGTAGTTGTTGTATGCTCCCTCACTCACTCGTCTTGATATCACCAAACTTTAAAAAAAAAAAAGAAAAATGCATCAAAAAGTCCATTCAGTCAAACATAAAGTGAAGATGAAGATTAACCACTTCTCTTTGCCCTCTTTTTTAGAGCCTTTATAGCCCCAAACTGTTGAACAATGACCCTCTTACATCATAACATCTCTAACTTAACCCTTAAATCTAAATCACCACATTTTGATGTGTTACACTGATTTCTATATACTTAGTATTTTAGTGTTCTTATATCCTGTATGTTTGAATTTTACATTAATGTTATTTTTGTTTGTATACCCACTGTACAACACTTTAGTAAACTTTGCAAATAATATTCATAATAACATTTTATTCCCATCTGGTTACAGGCCATTCCTCTGGGTTCATTATAGCAGCAGCACAGTTACCGCAACACAGACAGACAAATTTACAGCCGTTCATAATGGAGAAACCTCAGATAAAAGATCACAATCAAAACGTTAGTCGATCATGATCCCGACATCACACACCCATGTAATCGTGAAGCCCCATGGTCATTTAGAGAGAACATCTGCAGACAGTCGAGTCTGCCTCCATCTCATTAAGCATTTTTTAAAGTTTTCTTTAAAGGGCGACTAAGTTTCTGAGTTTCAGATTTTCAGTTTCAGATGGTTTGCATATTTCAACCACATAGAAAAACTAAGCAGAACAGCAGCCACATGGGACACCCCCCTGCTCCCCTGTAATGACTCACAAGGAAGATCAGCTAAAATGATATTATGGGGGTAGCAGGAAATCCAGGTGAAGTTGGTGTAAAAAATGTAGCTTTCTCAGGAATTTATAGGCACGACATAAACTAGCAGTAAAGGTATTCAGAGCTCGCGTGTCTCTAATTTATCACCCTCCATACTCATCTTTGCACACATGTGAAAGTATGACTAACACATCGGCTTGACATTTTCTTCTATACTTGCACACTGGATTCTCACATGGCCTGTAAATCAACACCGATAAAAGGTTGTTCATGAATAGATTGTGATTGTGGGAGGGTAGCTGTGGCCCGGTGGACAGTGGGTCGTCTCTCAATAGGAAGGTTAATAGCAGCACGATCCAAGTATCTGTAATCTTCGAGTGTCCTTGGGCGAGACACTGAACCCTGGCTGCTTCTTCTGTTGGCCTATCCAGCGGCAGGTTAATGCAAATGGATGGGATTAGATGATACTGGTGCTTACTTAGTATTTAGCTGATACATTTGATGTATGTGGAGCGGCACGTGCAGAGTGATGAGGCTGAGCGACTAAGAAAACAAGCGAAGCGCACACACTGTACCCTTCGCCTCCTCATGGACACGGTGTGGTTCAGTGAAAACCTCAAACAGCATCAAGTACACACAGTTGTGTATGCGCTCACTACATCCTTGATAAACACAAACCATTAAAAAATAGGTCACTGCATGTGTTTGTGTGGAAAGGAGCAGAGAGGATGTTGTCAAGGTAAGGGTTTTGCCACATGCGCCGCTCTGCCAGCAGGGGGCAGGGCGCCTCCAGGCAGAGACGCCTCTCCTCCTCAGACTCCAACTTCCCTGGGGTTAAATATTTCAAAAGATGAAGAGGGTCTTATCTGAATGTCTTCTACGTGTTATCTAGGGCAAGCACACACAATGAGAGCCGAGCGCAGGAAGAGCGCGAGTTTAGCACCTTCATAACCGGAGTCTGAGGAAATAACGACGGGCTCGCAGAAGAAATCTTTTGAGAAACACTTTGAAAGTAGCAGCAGCGGATAATCATGCAGACTTTTTCAATTCCTCCTGCTCATATTTATCTGCTGAGCTTGTTCAGTGATTATGTCTGGCGAGCCTGAGGGGCTAACACCAAAGCAAATTTAGAAACTTTGATCCGGTGTCGATGAGAAACACAGGAGAAAAAAAGGCTCTGCACACTTAAACATGGTGGAGATGGAGTCCTCTGCAGCAACTGTGTAATATTTCCACTTGTGCATTAAATATTGAATTTGTTCGACTGTATGCAGACCTGTTATTTCTTTTAAAGGGCGCTGGAAAAGAAAGGAGAAACGTCTCTCTTGATTTGAAATGTTGTGGAGGCACGACTCACAATCTGATGTACAGCAGGTGTTTAACTACCAAATGATATTCCTCATTAGAACTTCATTTTATCCATCCCAGCGAGAGACACAAAAGAGATTTCTATCCCAGCACGCTCTTGAGATGTCTGACATGTTGAGAACTGCTGTGGTTACTGCACAGATTATCGCTCCTCTCCTCTTCACCAGCCGCCTCTGTGCTCCTCGGGGAGCACGTCTGCCGCTAGTATCATGACGCCCAGACACCGAGAGCCCATTAGGAGACGAACAATCCACCCCCTTCTCCCTAAAGGCTGAGGGGAGGAGGAGGAGGAGGAGGTGGAGGAGGAGGTGAAGAACAGTGCAGAAGGAGATGATAGGGGGTAGTGTCTCTGTGTCTCACCTCCATAGAGATCCGCCGGTGGACACGGTTCCTCAAACACACACCGGTTGGAGACTGCACCTCGTCTGAAGACGTCCCTGATGCTTGATCGCTCTCGCCATCTGAGCCCATCTTCAGATTCTCGTGCACGATATCTGGAATAGATAGAACAAAAAATATGAAAACTCAGCACAGGATAGATAACATCCGATGTTTATGTTGGACATTTTTCAAAGAGGGTGCAAAATCCTGCAGAATAAATCAGGGAACAGCCCCCTCTTCATGTGTCAGAACCATTTTAGTGATCAAAACAGATAAATGAACAATCATCATCAATAAATCATAAAGTTACGACTTGCTTTTACTGCTTTTAAACGACTATAATCTGCCTCTGTGTTCGCCCCGCTCCATGCGTGCTGTAAAAGTGTGTCAGTGTTTGATTTGTAAAGCAATTACAAACAAGACGAGCGAGTGCATTTCGCTGCCCTAAGGGGGTTAATCGTCAACCGGTGGTGGCAGCAGTGTGGCGCCCGCACAGTGGGGATTTCGAGTGTTTTCCGACACCGCGCAGACATCAGTGAACAAAAAGAGTGAAATGGACAGCTTTGCCATTTACTCATAAACATACACAGTGTGTCACAGTGTCGGTCCACTCCTCTGAGACGCTGGTGAGAGACACAATATCGCTCCACTCGTGCAAACACGGCCGCGAGCAAAGAGTGTGCACGGTCCGAGTCCGAGCAGAGAGGGAATACAAGGGCGTTTAATTCACCGGGACGGGAACACTTTGCATGACCCGTGACAAACAAATACAGAGGATGACAAGGAGCTGGGGGATTTATTTACTCTGGTTAACTGTGAGTTTCTGAATAATGCATGTGAAAGCAAACTGATTTGATCTCTGGTGGAGCTTTTCCTGAATAATGCTGGGAGTAATCCCTGTCAATGAGACGCATGGAGACACAATGTGATTAATTGTGCCTTAAAATTCACAGTAAGAGTTAAATATAGATGAGTGCATTCTCCAAAAACGATATTTTTAACTCAATGCATCAAAAATATCACGTACACTGCAACGTCTGCACAGTTATTCAGCCTCCTCTGATGGAAACAATGAAGTCCAGATGGAATCAGTGTTTCCAGAGTGTCTAGTATCCTTGTATTGTTGATGTATTTCTGAGTGGAGCATATTAGATCTAAATGTTGAAAAGTGGGTGTTTCATAACGTACAAAGTAGGTGAGGTCCCGACAGACGGGCATGCACAGAAAGCAGAAACCATGAGGGAGAGAGAGAGAGAAGGAGAGAGCGACAAGGCTCATCGTAGGCTCGGTGTGTTTGCAGAGAATGAGAATCATAAAAAGCTGAAACACAAGCGAGTCCCTTATCAGAGTTAAACGATCCTTTCGCAGTGAGATAGAAAAGGTTTGGAGTCAAATACATACATTCACACTCAGCACCTACTGCATCACTTGTTCACTTTGTAAATATCTCCTTTTTTCACTTGTAAATATTTCTCCTATAGTTTTATTCGTCTATAACACATTTATATATTTTTTTTTATTTCTGTCATTTTGTACCCTTATTTTATTGTACTCCTTCAGTACTATTGTGTGTTTTATCTGAATCATTTAAAGCTCCTGTGAGGAACTTTTGGCGCCCTCTATTGACAGAGTTGTCTTTGCTTACTTTATCCTCTCTATGCTGAAATAGTGACTTTTGATTAAACATTTCATCCTGATGACTTTTTACAGTCAAATTGATCATTTATTGACCTTCATGACACCTTAATGTCCTGATTGTGTTTGAATATTTATTTTTTTGCAATTTCTTTTAAAAAAGTATAATTTTATTATGGTCACGGATGGCCATAGAGACTGTTGTTATTGACCACAGCTTTCACCTTATTTTTTAAAATCATTTTTTTATTTTTTTGTTTTTCCTCAAACCTGCTTTTGTGGAGGGGGTGGGAAGAAAGGGGTAATTGTTCGGGTTGCTATGTACCTTTATATTTTGAAAATGAATCAATAAAGTATTTTAAAAAACTATCATTAATTGTAAATATTTTACATAGACAGGACTGTGTCTCCAACTGCTCGGCTGACACCTAAAACCAGTTTCAGGCATTAAAATAAAAGCATAAAAATCACCAATCGTGCCCCTGATGGTCTTGTTTGCTTTTGGACATCATAAAAAAGGACTGATATGAATTTAAGCCTGTTTCATTAACGTGAAAAACCTCCTCACAGGAGCTTTAAAATAGAAGAAGAGTCAGAGGTGAACGAAGAACGATGGTCGTCTAACACCGGTTTAGTAATTCAGCCATCATTCAGAGATATTAACTGACTGTTGGAGCCTGGCTATCGCTGGTGTTTTTACGCCCAGCTGTGGTTTCTCTGATTTGACATGTCAATATCAGACTCATTACAAGCAGATAGGAAAGTATTTTTTGATAGTGTAAGGCTGGCATGTACAACTTTAAGGTTTGTGATGGAGAAAGAGAAACAAAAAGCTGGTGGACCTCATCGGGTAAACAAATCAGCTGAATTCAAGTAGACGACATCTCTCTTTCTACTAGGTTTTATATTATTATACTGCTCCAGGTTGGCTGTGTTTAACTTGCATTTTCAATCCCTCAGTGGAAACTAAGGAGCACAATAATTGAAAGGAAAAGGATTATATTCTTGGCAGCTGTATTTTTCAAAGGAAATTCAACTTGGAGGGAAATGGAGAGCGTAAGAAAAAGAATATTGGTTTAGAAGCTGAGTATATTTGCAGTCGAGTAAAGCAAACTATTGTCAAACTTTTATGAATCACAAAGAAAAGAGGAGGATGAATTTGAGCTTCAAATTGGCTCTCCACCTGTGAAGATCAAAACCACGGCTTTTCATTTCTCACCCTCCATGTTTCTGTCTCTCTCATCTCCTCTCACACCCTTGAAACCTCCGAGGCCAAAGATTAAACACCCAAACCTGCACCACTTCCTCCAGGGCTGTAAAACTACCACAACTACCATAACACAGCAGGAGCAAACGCACTGATGCACAAACCACATGTAGCCCCCTCACCCCAAACACAAACACAACAGACACACACACACACAGTTAATAAGTAGCCATGGTGGAAGGATCTCTGTGATCAGTGCGTCAGCGCCTCCAACCATGCAGTCTGTCATCAGATGTGAAAAAACAGAGCAGAGAAACGAGGAGGAGCAGAAATCTCTAAGAGAGTAGAAAATTATTTCAGACATCTTAACTCTAATTATTTTCTTACATGATACACCAAGAATGATTTTAACACACAACTTATTAACTCTTACCATGAACCTTTTTTAGCATTAAGTCCCAGTATGATTCTCTGTGGTGAGGCCACAACCCAGAGGAAAAACATCAACCCAGAAAGTGAACCTGACTGAGGTCGTCTAGTTAAAAAACAACTTTCTTTTTTTCATAGATAAGAAAGAAAAACACAGACCTGATTTAATGCACTCGCAGTTTTACGAGTTTCCTCTGAGGTGAACCTGTTAACACCTTACAGTGGGTAGAAAGGTTTGAATTTGGAAACAGATATATTTGAGCAGATCTCAAAAGAAAAATGGAAGAAAGTACAACTTGAAGATTTGGTTGTGATCAGCAGAGTAGAGTTTAGGGAATTTCTTTAAGAAAGAGCAAGACAGCAGCTGGTAGGAGATTAAAAAAAGGAAGGAAAGCGAAAGGAAAGAGGGGGAATCACCGACTATATGGTGTGGCTCCAACAATCGGAAAGTCCCAAAAAAGTTCATTTCATCCATTTCTTCTATGTGCCACAGACTGTTCACCTCCATGCCACGTCACATTTATGTTTTAATTTATGAAAAAGGAACCCAAATCAAATACTGTGTGCATAAATTGGCAGAATTTTTTTAAAGGTTGACGTTTTTGTATCATAAATCCTATTTTTTATTGTTGGTGTACTTAATATTCTAACATTTTGGGATTGTGGATTTTTGATTTTCATGACCTGTAAGCTGTGATCATCAAGATTCATTCTATATACATTCTATGGCTGTAACCTTTTAGCGCTCCCCCTAGTGGCTGGCTGCAGTATGAGTCTTTTCGCCTGCTCGCTAATAAAACTGGAAAGTTTAAATCCTTGTCCAATAAATCTCTCACAAACATGCTTTCAGTTATAGCATGTTTGACACTAATTGTATTTAGTCTCTGTAATCAATTGTTTGAAATATTAACAGTAAATTATTCATAAAAAAAAAAAAGCTAGACTTCTGGTACGACAACATCAGAACCCAAATGTGTTTTAGGAAAAGAGAAAACAAACTATTGTCAGTGTCTTTCTGATAGAAAATGTTTCATTGACCTCCACCTAAATGTCACTTCACTGACTTTAATAATATTCTAATTACATAACCTCATGTCATTAGTTAGCTACCCTCTTATCTTAAACACAGATACCAACAATGGATGACTATTTTTGTTTTTTAAGTTGCTTCAAAGTTTGGCTGTGGTTCTTGCGGCTGTTTGGAGTGGAGGAGGATGATGACTTTCCCATCACAGCAGCAGTGACTGAATGTTGACAGAGTGTTTCCAACCCTGAGATAGTTGATGGTATCACATTAATCAATTCCACATCTTTTCATCAAGCAGCAACCTCAGGTCCTGAGAAATGAAGCCGATGCACAGCCGCTAAAAACTGAATGCAGCTACAGAGCGCACATGAAACCTGGACCACATCTTTTCGAAAGTTCCTCTTCTATCTTTCTTTCTCTTTCAGCTCTGTAACACTTTCCCTCCTCTAACCTACTTACATCCTCCAAATACTGCATTCCTTCGCCCACTTTCTTCCTTCTTCTCGTTTCTTTGAAGACATCGACATGATCTCTGTTCCCTTCCCTCTAACCTCTCTTTCATTCACGTGTCTCATGTCCAACTTCAGAAACTCCTCCAACTTTCTCTCACTTCTCCTTTTCGCTCTACATATTTCTCTTTCTCTCCTATCTTGTTTTTTTTTCTTCTCCTCACAGGCAGACTCCCTTTATTGCTTCAACACATTCTTGTTCTACCTGTGTTTTCCTAACTTACATGCCTCCAAATGATCTCATCTGTCCCACTTTCTCCTTATTTCAGCCTCACATACCTCTCCGTTATCTCCTGCTATTTCATATCTTCCCTCATGCACTTTAAAAACTCCCCAAAGTCCTTCACACACGATATTTTCACTTTCAATAATTCAGCCAAACTTGATTCCACCCTTTTCTTCAAAACAGCCTTCAGGACTTTTGTAAACTTCCCACACTGTTTGAACGTTTACCTCATTTACCTTCCCGTCTTTAAAACCTTAAATGACTTCAAGTCTCTTCTGTTTTTGAGTCTTCCTGTCCCGCGCGTCTTCACTCACCTCCTTTCATGTCGGGACATTTTGTTTTTTCTGTCTGTGTACTTATCCGTCTCTGTACTGTCAGCTGCTTTGTTAGTACGCACACAGAGTGTAGCAGCAGTATGTGGCACATCAATGTCCTACTTAAATGTCCTGTTTTTAGATCCAAGTCCTTCTATCTAGGCCAGGGTCCAATGTGAGGCTCAACATTAGCTTTAAAGCATCTTTAAAAACAGGCGGCTGAGCTATATATTAAAACAGGCAGAATTATCAGGCAGGGATATTCATTTTTATTGGCGTATACTGTGTGTTTTCAGAAATGTGTCATTAGTGTAAATGTTTGAATTATATACAAAACAGCAAGTTACTAGCTTCTAAAGGGATTGCATTGTTGTATAGACATAAAACTAGGGCTGGGCGATATGGCCTCAAATCAATATCTGATATATTTAGCAGTTCACCGCGATAACGATAAACGGACGATAACTACTCCACAAGCTGCTCACCCCCTCCCACATTAACTTTGTCTACTTCAGCCGCTCTAGCTGCTACAACTTTTAAACCATCCTCCATCTCCTCACCTGTCTTTCTCTCTTTGTTACGGACTGGATGGGGTGGAGTCACGTCTTAAAGGGACATGAGACCTTAGCCTACCTACACACACCCAAAACCAACTTTTATTCATCTATTTATTTGACACCGAATGTATTGACATGGGCAAAATGACGTGAGTTATTGTCATAAATTTCAGTATTGGTAAATTTTCGGTTTATCGCCCAGCCCTATATTGAGTTATTTCCTCTAAAATTCAAATTCTATCAGGCAGGCTCTATTTGAATTAAAGTAGCAGGAGCGCCAATCGTGAAGCAGAGTAAATATTGACAAGGCAAATACAAACCCTGATTAAATAGATTACTTTTGTGGATAAATATGTTTACAGCCTGGAAATGTAGAAAAATAAAGACAGGCAAGGTTTGTTCAAGAGTTGATATCGACCAATCAGAAAGGCTGAATCTGTGTTGAATCCCTGCAGGAACTCCTTCATGAAAGTACAGAGACAAATCTCTCTGAAAGACAAACTATGATGATAACAACGCTAAGAGTCTAAAGCTGTGCTGAAGTAACCTCACATTGGTCACTTTCTGGCCACGCCCCCTTTTGGATAAAGTAGTGAAAGGGAATTCTGAGGTTTTTTGAAAAAAACAGAAAATCATTTAATGGCTAAAAAAAAAGAACAAATCTCATAGTGTGTAAGGAAAACACATAAATCATGACCTTTTTGATAAGCGATCTGTGCCGTTTTATTACAAATTAAAATAGTTTTGACTTAATTTTATTTAAATTAAGTTAGAATTTAAGTGTCTGTTCAGTCTGCCTCCATCAAACTGGATAAAACACCCTCATCTCCAGGCCTTTATAAGCTGATATCATGTCATTTATTTAAGTATTTGTGAGCCAATTCATCACTTTTAAATCGTCTTTCTCGATTATAATAGCAGGCTGCGTTTGTCACCAAAAACCAGGAGGAGTAATCACAGCGATTTTCTACTTAAATTTCATCTATAAAGTGAGTGTTACACAGATAGTGCCCACTAGAAAATGACCATGAGTTAGAAAAACATGTCTAAGAGCTCCACTGTCCATCATAATTTGGATTTTTTAACATGTTACGCCGCTGACGCTGATCAAAAAGTCATATTATAACAATAGTTTTAAAGGACCTGCGGGTTTGGAGTATACCCACGATGAGAGATAGTGAGTTTTGACATCCAAAATCTCTTTGTCAAAGTGAGAAAAGAAAGACTTGCTGTGTTTGAAAAGTTAGTCGCTGCACTGTCACATACTGTCTTCTGTAAATGTAATCCTGTCCTCATCCCGCCAGATCCTGCAAAGCTTGTTTGGCTAAATACTCAGAGAGGCTCCGGGCTCTAGTCTAGAGCATGTTCATACCCACAGATCAGTGTTCTTGTGCTTCATACTGTCCTCTGAATCATCTCAGCACCCTCTGGACTCCCCGGTTTGAAATCTGCTGCTGCTGCTTTGAATCATCCCGACGTCGTCTTTGATTTAGACCCTCAGGCTGAGACTCGTTGCTTCTGATCGACGGCGATGAATCAGTTCACGCAGATACTGCGTCATGTTTCACTGAAACCCCCATCCAGCTGTCACTCCAGTGAAAATGACTCAGCCGAGGGCGAGGAAGAAGATGCCCGGTCTCTCTGGCCGAGAGCGTGTTTGTGAATGTGAGAGGCATAATGGAAATATCAGGACCCTGAAACGTTTCCTGTTTGTTCTTGGATGCCATCTGCTCTCCCACCACTCGCTTCCTCTTCCCTGCATGTTTGTGTGTGTGTGTGAGAGTGTGTGTGTGTGTGTGTGTGAGAATATGTGTGCATGTCTCACCCAGGCGACTGCCGTTGCGTGGCATTGCCATGAAGGACCCAAGTGTACCGCCGATGACGCTGTGTGGTCGGCGCAGAGGCGGCTTCTTGAAGGAGCCGGTGTATTGGTGCAGGAAGGAGTGCATGCTGTGGGAGGTGGGGGGGCGGCCGTTCCTCATGAAGGGCTCTAAAACACAAAAAAACAAAACACCTGTCATAATTTCACCTGCTCTGGAAATGAACTGAGGCTCTCTAAAACTAAATAACAGGCAACAGAATATTAAAAATAACACATAATCTATCTTTCTCAAACTTATCGGATGTTTTTAAATGCACCGAGTTTTAAAACGTCCTTTTTACAGAATCATAACAAAGCTCTGCTGTCACTGCGCTTTTGTGAATACATAGTGACTCAACAGTGGTGTAATACTCATGTCCTCCCATGCAAATGTGACTTTTGCTCGTGTTTGTTGTGCTTTTTTTCTGCCCTGTCTGACTTGCCTTTTTACAATGACGCCATTTATCTCCAACACAAGTTTGTTTAGTTGTTGTTTATTTTTTTCACCGACTAAACCAGGTCACGTGACCCGACAATGAGATACTCAAATGATACTCCAAGTTTACTTAAAGATGTCAATGCCTAATTGTAAGAAAATAGAGGCACAAAAACTTATTTTCAAGAAAAACTTAAAACAACACTTGATGATATAAGCCTGTATTAATCCACAGAGGCACTAAACTCATGTATTGTATATGATCCTGTCTTATTTCAAATTGATTCATTCTCTTATTTCTTTGTAACACCTTTTTCTTCTATTTCAATTTAATTATTTTGTAAATGAGTGATTGTATAATCATGGAATGAATGTTTATGTAATGATGTTATTTTCTGTGTTGGACCCCAGGAAGACTAGCTTTGTCTTGACAAAAGCTAACGAGGATCCTAATAAACAATAATTTCAATACAGTTAAAGTCTGCCTCTTCTGTATGAATAAACAATTGTTAAATTACTAAATACTGTCTATAACCAGAAACTCAAATTCAGATTGGCTTCCTAGACTTTCAAAAAATATCTAGATCTTTACTTTTCTTCCTCATTCTAGTGGCCCAATGAAAAACAGTGAAAACCAGGACATTTTCATCACTTCATAAAAACAACCAGGACAGGACATGAAATTCAGGACATGACCTGGGAAAACAGGAGGTTTGGTCACCTAAGTTTAACACAACTCAATACAAGCAGAAATGCAAAAAAAAAAAAGGGCATGCTATAGGAAATGTTGGGAATTGATTTTTTTCACTTATAGGCTTATACACACGACTGCTGTGTTAACCCGCTTAATTCACTGCCTTTCTCAGCAAAGACTGAATAAAAGCAGCGTGTGTTTCTCTTCCAAAGTCACTTATCTCCTCTATTGTCAGACAAACATTATTTTTGAATCAATTATTCACAGAAAGGCAACGGGTTGAATTAACGAATGCTAATTTATCACGCTCTGATGCCACGTGTCACTCTCCATATACAGCTGTCCGTAGCAGCTGTGCAAATATAACAAAAAGTAAGTGTGGGGCGCTGGTTTGACCAAGTGGTAAAGCAGTGAGCAGGGTCTCTGCAGGTTTTAACAAGTCAAATTTAAGACTTTTAAGATTGTAATGAATATAATTTTCGACTCATTTAACATCCATACAGGCAAAAAAGCACAAAAGACATGAAGGGAAATCTGAACATTTTACATCACTTCAAATCACCCTTTGTTCCTATGGTATGTTCTTTTCTTAAGATGAGTAAACACATTTTTACAACCTTTCAAAATCAAATTTAAGACATTTTAGGAGATTTTAGCAGAACTTTAAGGCCTTCAATTGGATTTTAGATGTTTTAAGACTCTTTAAAATCCTGCAGATACCCTGAGTGAGCTCTGTATGGAGGCTGAAGTCCAGGGATTGAATGCAGCCAAATCTTACTCCCTACTCTCTCCTGGTTCGCTGATCTAGCCTCTGTCCTAAACTCCCAGATTAGGTGTGTTAAAGCCGACTCCTTCACTTTTTTTCTTTTTAATATCGCACTACTCGTAGCTTGTTAAAAGTTCCAGAGTCATACAGAATCACGCTCTTGTCAACTGCTGTGATTTAACAACTTTTCTCCTCCACATGCAGCTAAAAAAGTGAGTGTAAAATATTCTATTAATGAAGACAGTCGACTTGACAGTCGTCATGTCCTTGATTAGTCCAAGTGTGCAGTAGGAGAGCATAATGACTTTAAAAAGTTACAAAAATTGTATGAAAAGATGTGGAACTTAGAAGTAACTATCTAAAAATAAACCTGTAATGCATTTATACTAATATTACTGATATATTCAATTGATTAGTTACTAATTTGATATCAACTGGATGATTTTCCTCGACAGCACTAGTTCTTCAATGATCTTTTTGGCTTTTATAAAGGTGCAAAAATCATCAACAGTCGAGTTCCTAGAAAAATTTTCACTCTGTCCCAACCCACGTTTCCACACCCTCGTGTGATTTTTATCACCATTCGACTGAACGGACTCGCTGCTTCCCTGTGTGGCTTGTTTTAATGAGCTCAGCTCCCCGGCTCTTGGCTGTAAATTCATATTTACCGAACAAACATGAGAATCATTTCAATTTTCTCATCTATGTCTTGATAGGATAGAAAAATGACCCCAACTGGACTTATTTTAATACTGGATATCAAAATGCAAACCAGCAGACAGACTTTGACACTCAGATCTTGATTAATGTGGCCCAACAGCTGGAGAAAGGAAAGTCAACAGTTTTATTACTGGAAAGATGATAGCCAAAGGGAAGTAATGTTACTCAATCAATATGCTGCACACAAGCTTTAATAAGAAATCGAATTTCCAACCCTAGTTGGCAAGGAAACCCTGTAAGCAAATATTACAGCCCGGTGATCTCCCTGTGGGCAGAGTGAGTGCCAGAGTTCAGCTGAACCCGAACAAAAAGGTCATAAAGCTTCACTCTGATCTGCGTCGGGCCGACCGGGAGTCTGTCACATTTGGTGGGTTTATTTTTCTGCTCCTGTCAACTGTCTTTAGTTCAGCCAACCTTTTAAATCCTGAGCCCACAGACGGTGCTGTGTTTCCACATGCCTCCCTCCAAAATTAACATTATGCTGCCTTTAGGTGCTTGTCAGACATATATGAATTACAAGCTGAGCATGAGTGGTATTAACAGGGGGGGTTTAAATTGTCAGGACTTGTTGAGGTTTTCACGGCTTTACGGAAACCTTTCCAGAAACTGATGACGGAGTTGTCGATTTTTTTTTCTCATGTTTGTTTTTAAGATCTTTTGGTTCATTGAGGAAAAACACTCTTTTACTGATGATGTTAACATTTTCACATGCTTCTTTACTCTCATAAATTGTCTGACGTTATGTGGGACATTTTCTTTTTTCAGTGCCTGGAGTCTGATGAGAATTAAAGACCCCCTTTTATATCTGCGTGGTTAACATAAAGCTTAGCAAGTGGTTAACGCAGTTTTGCAGGGAAAAAAAAACCTGGGTCCATCTAAAGGTCACAAAACCCACCCTGAAACAGCTCTTAAAGTAGACATGACAAAAAATGCAGTTACACCAATTTTCTAGTCAAAATCTTGCGCAATTTTCCCAAAAAATGCAGAACTTTTCCTTTAAATTGCTGAGTGACTTGTGTTAATATTATAAATATTAATGGAGGTTTGATGGGAATAGATGTAGGATAAGAATCACAACAAGTTTTTCCACTTTTAATGCACTTGTTTATTAACTGATTTAAGAGCCCTTTCAAAATAAGAGCTCACACTTTCTCGTTTTTGTTAATCCGGGATCTTAATGTCATTGTTCTGTTGTGTTTATTCCGCGTCAATCTTTCTCCATAAATGAGAGTGTAACTTTTTGAAAAAACACGGATGTGCGTGTCCAGAACTGTGGCAGCTGCCGCTCACTGATGGCAGCCTGTCACTTCCATGTGGCGTTCACACCAGGCGATTATTGGAGCCAAAACAGGCCGAATGTTACATAACAAAGAGATGTCAAGGAAAGTCTGTTTGCCTGCCTGTTAATGCTTGTTCCCAGTGTACTGCCTTCTCACTTGCTAAGCTGCTATTTGGGCGCATGTGAATGAGTGTGTGAGTCAGTGAGTGTGTGTTTGTGTGTGTGTGTCATGTTCAGGTAGCTCTCTTACTCTTACTCTTGTTACATAACTTGATAGAGACCCATGCACTGTAAGTCCATTGTGGCTGTTACTGACACACGCTGCACTCTCCATCAACTGTTTCATAATTTATACACTGAAAGCTCTGAGTGTTTATGTGAGGTTTTACATTTCTGCTGATGGACGCGCACAGGAAAATACTGTATAAATCAGACCTGTGAAATTTCCTTCCTTACACAGACTGTGGCACTGATTCTCTACAAACGTTTCAATGATTTTTGAAGCGTGAATTGCAGCTTTTGTTTGACGGGTGCTTCAGATTTTACCTCGAGGGTTTCAAGGGGGCGGATCATTTCAGGTTTTACATCCCTGGACTAACAAAAACGTTCCCCTGCTAGAATCAGATGATTGTTTACAGTAGTTACAAGTAAAACAGACTAATTTTGGTGGCAGGATCCTTCAAAATAAATCATAAAAGGTGCTCCTGAAGTGGCATTATTAGGGCTGGGCGATATGGCCTCAAATCAATATCACGATATATTGAACAGTTTCCCTATTTAAAGAAAACCGACAAACCAACTCTTCATTGAACTGAAATCTGTGCAATTTAAGAACCTGGTCGATTTAAAAACAATCCAGATTACGCTCAGAGTTAAAAACCAACAACTAACAGTATCTAACAAACAGTACCAGGAGGTTTCTGTTGATTGTTATAGAGGCTTAAACAAATTTGAGGACAACATATTCAGCCGATAAAAAAATGGATGAACAGAGGACTAAACTGTGACACTGTGAACACTTGTGGTTGGGCTGGGCGATATGACCTCAAATCAATATCAAAATATATTAAGCAGTTCACCTCGATGGGCGATAACTACCGTATTTTTCGCACTATAAGGCACACTTAAAATCCTTTTCAAGAGTTATTGAATGAATTAAATTAATAATGCACTTTATAATCCAGTGCGCCTTATGTATGAAAATAGAAACAGACACGTTGATTGATGGTGTGTTTTATAATCAGGTGCGCCTTATAGTGTGAAAAATACGATACTCCACCAGCTGCTCACCCCCTCCCACATTAACTTCTTCCATATTACTTCAACATTCCAGCCGCTACAACTTTTGAAACATCATCCATTTCCTCACCTGTCTTTCCCTTTAATTATTTTTTTTTTTTACACCGATATCGGCAAAATGATGGTGGTTATTGTTGTAGATTTCAGTAGCTGTAAATTTTTGGTTTATCGCCCAGCCCTAGGCATTATTCTAGCTCCAGAAATCAACTTTCTTGGCTCAGTGTCTACATGGTTTCCAGCCTCTAGTGGGCATTTGGGGAACTGCAGTTTTTAGCACTTCCACATCAGCTTCATTTCTCAGAACCAGGGGTGTTGCCGCTTGATTGTAATGTGAGATGAAGGTTTCTTTCGCCTCTGAAGCCACCCTCTGATACAAATTTGAGGAACTGTTTTTTTCAGGTTGACTTCACTTTTCAAACTTCAAACTCCTGCTTGGTTTGAACACATTAAATGTGCAAGTGTGGCATTTTGGGGTAGTTTTCCTTGCAGTTTTGGGGTGTCCCAATCTAATGAGAAAAGATCCGTTTTCTACAACTTCTTTCACAAAATCAAGATGATTGATCTGTGATTGCTTTTGTAATTTTACGCAGAAACTAGCACTGATTTCCTTCACTTTTATTTACCATTGTCTTTGGTGCCGCCGTCTTCCATGGTCATCTGCTCGGCCAGTTCTGACAAGGACTCATCGATCGTCTGACTGGACCGGAGCGTTAATGACAGACGCTTCTTAATCCTCTTCATCTTTTCCATCGCAGGGCAGTGCAGGGCCTGAGGACGAGATAGGAACAAGTCAACATCAAATCAGCGATAACAGACTGAGACAGGAGCAGACAAACGTGGGCCACATTAAGCATTTGTTGTTGTTGTTTTGTTCCTGCGCGCATCTGTGTGTTTGAGATTTCCGAGGCCTTAGTATAGTCCAAAATACCTCGGCTCATAAATAACATAAAACCGCTTTTAATCCAATATTCATCCGCTCGGCAAATGCTTGAACAGTGCATGAATAAAGCATGAACGGAGCATGAATAAAGGATGAGTATCACGAGACCTGAGTACAGCTGCTTTCACTCGCACACACGTTTATACACAGAGATTAATAAACCCTAATTGAAGGGGCCGAGAGTCAAATCAGTTAGCAAACAAACATGCAGAAAAACACACACACACACATACACACACTGACACACATCTGCAAATACATGGGAGTGTTGCTCCAGACGTGTGTGTTTGTGTTGACGCAGCAGTCATCCAGGTCGCAGGAAACACCTTGCTCAATGTGCCTTAAGGCAATCTCTACTCATTGTGTTGCTGTGTTACCGCCCCATGTGAGTGTGTGTGTTTAAGTGTGTGTGTGTGTGTGAGGAACATGCACTTTGGGTAAGTGAAGGAAATGCTGTAAGGAAGCAGCGCCGCCCATCCCGCTCGACCCTCGGCACAAAACAAACTGACCTGTGCCATCACATTCTCTCTTTCTCTCTTTACTTCTCTTCCTTTTTTTTTGGTCTCTTTCAAGGTCGTAAGCTCGCCTTGTACTCATGAGACACCATCTGCACATCCACCCCCCCCCACCCAATACATACACTCTCACACACCCCCCTTCAGCGATTTGTCATTTGGGATGCTGCATGGCGAGAATCACTTCATCCATCAGTGTCTGGGCGTGTGACGGGAATCTCACACCAACGCACAAGCATGACCCTTTCTATGCGACTGTGTGCATGTGCAGGGACATGACCTGGATTTCCTCTTAGCTGCTGCGGTTGGCTTTACTGAAACTCATTTTCATAAAGGAGGTAGATACGTCCTTTTATTTAAATTTGGGCTTTTTATAACATCAGCTTTGAACTTTCGTGTGTCTCTTTTCTTCCACCTCTTAGTCCCTATCACAATCTGAATGGTACTATAAGTGCAATTGGATTACTTTTGACTCCTCTAAATGATGCACAATGTTTCAGAGATTAAAAATTTTGTTTGTAATCTTACAAATTTTATCAAAGTCGTCATTTATGACACTTTTAACTCCTATAAGGCCTTTTAGAGCCTATATTAAAGCTCCTCTGAGGAATTTTTTAACATGTACGAAATGGACTGAAATTCACACTTATTGCTTTTAATGATGGTCCAAAGCAAACAAGAAGATTTTAGATTTTTTTTCTAGTGGCTTTTAATGCCAGAATTTAGTGTTAAGGGTTTGGTGCTAGCCAAACAGCTAATAAAAATCCCTGTTTTTGTATTTTCCTCTTTAATTATTCACAATAAATGATACATTAGACCATCAAAAATCAGCAGGATGAGATTTTTTGTCTAATTAAACACAAAGAGGACAAGATAAAAATGATTGTTTTGCCCACAGGTGGCACCAAGATTGACACAAACTAAAAGTAGCTCACAGGAGCTTCAAAATGCTGTTTTACATGTTTAACCATGAATGACCTATTCCTTTAATTATACACAGTGTATAAACTCTAAAAGTGAACTTTGTGAAAAAAAGTGACTTTATTCTTCTAAGTTAATCCGAGGTCTCAATTTCTTTTTTTTCTTAATGTGGCCCTAATGCTCTATCGTAGTGTTTGTGTTTGTTTTTTAAATTTTTTATTTTTATTTTTTGTTGTTGTTTCTTTTGTTGTTGTTTTTTTTGTTTATTTTTTTTTGGGGGGAGGTGTTGGAAACGAATAGGAAAAAAAGAAAAGAAAGGAAAAAACTGTCTGTATCATGTGAAAAGAAAGTGAATTACGATATCATTTTAAAAAAAAAAAAAAAACATCAGCAGTTTCAATATGACACCCAGCATTTTTTGGCTTCAGATCTCGCCCTCAGAAACCAACTCTGGGTCCATGTGTAACAGTCTAGAGAAAGAAAAACGCATCGAATATGAAGAAAAGCTCCTCTTGCTCTGCTTTTTTGACTTCACTTTAACCAAAACCTCTGACATGCTCCTGGATAAAAATAACGACAAAGTTCACATCTAGAATAAATTTCTGTCAAATCTATTCCCTTGAATCGTCAATTTCTATTAGAAAAAATCATTTTCCTGCTATTCTAAAAAGTCTTTGTTGCTCTGTCCATTAACTCGCGTGTGATTAGCCCACTTTTGAAGAGGAAGTGTGTCATGCTGGCCCCGGTGGCCATATCCACATGCAGATCTGATGACGCCACACACTCATTTACACACACATACACGCCGACAAACACGTACAAAAAGACTTGTACAGTAAAGTAATGAGGGGAAAAGGGAGGAAAAAAGAGCTCAGCTAATGAGGCTGAAAATCCGGCTCGTAAAAGACGCAAAAATAAAATGACTGCATTGGAGAAACCCTCGTACAAATAAACACGCACACACACACATCCCCCAGCCTCACACACACACACTCACTACGTGTGAGATAAACGCTCTTTGTCTCCTTTGTAGAGGAGTGTAACAGAGCCGGGTTTTATCTTTGCACCAAACCAAAACAAAGGACTCATGTGACTCGTGTGCGTGCATGAGAGTGTGTATACGAGTGTGTGTGTTGTGATTGAGGGAACAGCATCTGGCATATATGACTGATGTGGGGGGGGGGGGGGACTCAAAGAAGAAGTGCAGCACCAGCAGTCTGCCAAAAACACACAGACATAGAGGAAGAACTGAGACCCCCCTCGACACACACTCTCTCTCCTCTCTCTCTCTTTTCTTTTTTTTTAATCATCAGCATCTGCAGAAAATCTCTGACACACAGATTTTGACCCACATTCCTGACAACCCCCATTCCATCACTCCTCTGCCCCCTCATGGATGCCTCCCAAATGCATTGTGGGTAGTCAAGAGGAGAGTTCAAAAGGCGAGCAAAAGGGGGAGGAAGGCAGGCGACAAGCCCTAATTAGTGGTCTTACAGTCGCTCCCGAACACACGCACACTTTCGACTTCCTCATCTTCCTCCTTCAGTCCCTCTCAGTGTCCACTGGAGAACTCTGATCACTTTTTGGCTGAAACGAGTCACATAGTTGAACCATATAGTTGGGACGAAGTCGTGCAAAAAAACAGATCCAAAAGGAAAAACTAGGCCGAGTAGGCTGAGCGAAAGAAAAATGATCGCCAATGTAGGGCTGGGCGATAAACAGAAAATTTACAGATACTGAAATTTACGACAGTAACTGACGTCATTTTGCCCAGGTCAATATATTCGGTATCAAAAAAATAAGTTAATAAAAGTTGGTTTTGGATGTGTGTAGGTAGGCTATGGTCTCATGTCCCTTTAAGACACTGTCCTACATCAGAGTGGTGACTCCACCCCATCCAGTCCGTAACAAAGAGGGAAAGACATGGGAGGGAGATGGAGGACAGTTCAAAAGTTGTAGCGGCTGAAATAGAGGAAATTAATGTGGGAGGGAGTGAGCAGCTTGTGAAGTAGTTATCATCCATTTATTGTTATGGAGGTGAACTGCTCAATATATCATGATATTGATTTGAGGCCATATCACCCAGCCCTAGTTCTCTCAGCCTATGTATCTGTAAAACAGAGGGGTCATGACAAAGCTCACTTTTAGAGTATAATTAAAGAAAAAGGCCATTTATTATACCAGGCAGCAGCATTTTTAAAGCTCCTGTGGGGAACTTTTAGTTTGTGGCAATTTTGGCGCCACCTGTGGGCAAAACAATCATTCTTATTTTGTCCTCTTTGTGCTTAATTAGACCACAAATCTCATCCTTCTGACTTTTGACAGTTTTAGTTATCATCCATTTATCGTTTTCGAGGTGAACTGCTCAATATATCCTGATATTGATTTGAGGCCATATCACCCAGCCCTACTTCAGGTATGTTAGTCCAACTGTGAGAAGTCTGATTTCAGTCTGACTGATTCTGAAAGTCCAGTTTTAGTCGGACTTTTCCAATAAATCACTTTTTTTGAGTAACCCAGGAACCTAACGTGTCACTTTTTAATAACACAACCCTGTTCATTCTTCCTCCACTTTCCTCCACTCATCTTTTCCAACTCCAATATCACAATGAAGAAATCACACAGGAAATGTAACCTTGGAGGAGTGGGTGAAAAGTGTGAATGTGAGGAGGAGGCAGAGGAAGGAGACAGGGACGGATGAGAGCAAGACAGGAGAGAGAGAAAGAAAGAGAGAAAGAGAGAGAGAGAGAAAGAGAGAAAGAGAGAGAGAGAGAGAGAGAGAGTTTTATTTGGGCGACGGGAGCCATAAAGGAGTCTTTGTGTTTGGTTAAGAGCCATGAAATCACCCGAGCGACTGCAGGCATGTACAGTGCTGCTGCTGTAAGACAGAGACAGAGACGGACAGAGTGAGACAGAGAGGATGGTGGCCTAACTCTGCAAGAGGTGGAGTATCAGCAGCTAATTTAATAAGATTTAATAAGTACAGTTTCGTGGATTAAGAGCACTGAACCGAGCGGGTCATAGAGTGCATGTAGTCTGATTGATTAGGTCGACCAATTAGTAACAGGGTTCATTTCCAAAATCCGCTGCTCTCTCACTCCTAATTGAGCCGACTTGTTTAAATGTCCTAAATCCACAGCCGGTGCTTTTTCCCCTCTCTTTGAAACTTTTCTCAGTCCTTAAAAAAGTTTTAAAACTGACACTGAAAGCAAGAGCAGAAGGCTGAACACTCACCGACACTTTTGTCTCCCTCTTTTCAAACTATCGCCCAAAAATAGATCCGCTCATATGAGAATCACAACCACTTTTAAAATAGAAAGAATCATCATTTTCCTTTGAGAGGGAGGACATGATGGAGCCGGGACAGAACAGGGCCCGACGGGGAAATGAGCTCACATGTCAAAGAAATCTATTGATCCGTGTTTTATTTGCGGTTCAATCCTTAATCGTCATTGAGTCATTACACCCTGTAGGGTTTGTGTCTGATCAGATGTGTTTTATTTTCAGCTCATGCCACAGTTTAATTTATTTTACAAGATGAAAGCGGGCCGAGATAAAAATTTGGCAGTCATTAAAGTCTTGTTACAGGTCCTGTCTAACAACACACAGACACACCCAGACAGAACAAACACGCTCTGTACAGGTGAACCCACACAGTAATTACAGTGACATACTTCTACTGCGGTTGGACTTTCTTCTTCTTCTTAAGCAACCCCAGAATTGTGAGTAATCTAAAATGCTTATGGCACTAAATCAGTCAGCGGGTTTTCATCTACGGTTCTGGTTATCGAACCACTCAATTACTGAGACGGTCTTATTTACACGCTGATCTGGTTATACTGCCCTGTGACTGCAGCACAAACTTGACGGACTACAATATTCAAAGGACAAAGTAAATAACCATCCAGATATTTTTGCTTTGATATAACTTAATATGTCCTCAGTGTTATGACTCAAAGTGATACATGAAGTTAAGTAACAGCTGCGTTTAGTATGACCTGAATACCACATTTAATCCGGCATGAACGCAAACAATTACAAAAACTTAGAGGTTATTAAAACCGAATGCTGTCAAACTTGTTCTTCCAAAGCAAAAATAAATACGGCCTATTAAACTGAGAGTGTGACTGAAATGAATCACTCTAATCATATTCTGTTAAAGATGAAACAGTATCTGGACTGAACGCTGGAGAGTTACAGGCAAAAAACGGAATATTTAATTCTGTACTATAAAACAGGATTATATTGAAGGATTAGGCTTTTCTAGATACAGTGTTACACAGATTGTGTTGGGTCCGAATCAACAATTTAAAGATGATAGTTGGAGAATATAAAAACTAGGGTGACCATATTCTGACTTCCCAAAAAGAGGACACGACTATGAGGGGGGCGGAATCACGGAGTCGCACAAAGTTAATTTTGAGAGTTTTTCAGGTCGGATTGAGTGTCTTTTACCTGCCTCTAACTCAGTGGGTCCACGCAACACAAACTTGAAACTTCTGTACAAACTGTGGACATTTGAAGGATTTTATAAACTTCCCCAGACAAAGCCGGACAGACCCCCAAAACAGGGCATGTCCGTGTAAAAGAGGACGTATGGTCACCCAAGGCAATCATAGACCAGCAGCCTTCATGTTCCTTAAAAGTAGTTCACAATGCTAATGCATCAAGTATATCTGCATTTGGTGGCTTCGAATGGAGTGACATAACGGCTGTTGTGTGTTACGAAATCAGTCTGTCTTGGTGAGGATTCTTCTGTGATGTTGTCAGACACTTACCTAATAAAAATGTTGATGTGGAAACTAAAAATTGTAGCTGATTTTGTCATGTTCTTGCCAAATCTGCAGCCAAAACTTTCCGTCAAAGAGACCTAAAATAAATGCACCAAAAAAAGATCCCAGGTGGGAAAAACAATCTGAAAATTCCCTTTAAAAAAGGTGTTTGACGCACCAGCTCACCTCCACACCAAACCTCCTCTGCAGCTTTAATATTATCTAATAACAAACTGGCTTCAAATCTCTGATTTTCTTTGAAGAATTATGTAATCGTTTGATTGTCAAGTGTCCCGTTCTGTCTCTCATCGACGGATTTCTCCCACATTTCCAGCCTGCCAGCTGCCTACATGGACGCCGCAGAAGTGGAAATTGCAGTTTTACTGATAAAAAAATCAGAAACGTGCTCGTTAACGTGTCTGGGATGAAGAACTACTACTTAGGCGAAAACGCTGGGAGGTGAAATCTGACCTCATACAGGTGCTGAGTTTTTCCTCCTGTAGTCATGTCGGATTTTAGGATCAGAGGTGAGCAGTGCCTCAGGTCCACTTATACTATCACTGAGATCATACTGGGATCACACACACACACTCATAGGGAGTTCCCCTTCATGCTGCTGGTGTGCATTACAATCAAAGCACCACTATGTCTGACGTACATGATGTTCACCACTACAAAGGCTTCAAAGGTCTAGAGCACCAAAGGGTGTCACCTCCCTTTAGCCTGCAGGGTGGAGAATCTCTGTATTTGATATTTTGGACAACCAGACATGCTTAAACGAATTTAACTTTTTTTTTTAATCATCCCTTGCAGCCAGTCCATGCATAAAATAGTTTCCCCCCTGTCTCTTCAATATCTCAATTCAATATCAGAGTTATTCTCTTTGACAGGCACAAGCTAAAATCAAGTTTCTCCCTGAAATATCAGTAACTATTAGCGCTGCCGTCAGCCTGTAAGCCCCCGTTCCAGCTGAGCCCCACCAAGTACAGTCACAAGCATGTGTTTGTGCAGCTATGAGAACACGCACAAACAGAGCATCAGTGCTGCTGCCCAGCGCAGTGGGCGCTCTCCACTGAAAGACCCTTTGTTTTGCACCAGAGAGAAACTAAAAAAGAAGCTTCAGCATGACAGACCCAGAGGGTGAGCTGAAATAACCCTGTGTGTGTCAGGGGGGGAAACACAAAAGGCTACAATGTTTATATAAATAGGAAATCACCGTTAGCCGTGAATGGAAAAATGCTTCTGGGTGATAAGGCGGTGGAGGAAGACACCAGGGAGAACACTTTGATGAGCTTTAATAGGAGTGATTTAAAGAGGAGAGAGGTCAAAGATTAGACACCAGAATCAGCCGTGTGTCTGTGCTTCTTACAGGATTTGTTGTTTGATTTCAGGCTGGCATGATCCCTGAAGAACAGAACAGAAACAGCATCGATATACAGGGTCAGCTAATCTTTATCAGAGCACACAAGTTCTGTAAGTTGATACAACAAACTGACTGATGACTTTATCTATGAAAACTGCATTTTAACTGCACCTTTTTAGCTCACCACTTTGCTCATTATCTTTCTGTTCACGACTCCTCAAATGCACCAAAACAGGAAACAGAACTGCGACTATATCTGTGAAGTTCTTGTTCCTCTAGTTTCATCGTTTCTAGTCAAAATCGGTGTCCGTCTGATATGGAGATTATTTTGAATTTGCATCCCTACATTGGTCTTGAATTGACTAAAAAGTATCCCCTCTGTAGACAGCGCATTACAGAAGAGGATTAGGGCTACTGGGAAAAAAAAATGTCCTATATACTGTATATATATATATGTACATTTTATTACTCTGACAAAAAAGTCAAAACTCTGACTTGAATCTCAGACTTTTTTTTTCCTTCTATGGTCCTTATCCTCCTCTGTGACTCATCACCAATAAATGGACCAATTTTCCATCAGGAGGAGAGTGCACAGCTCAGCTCTGCGCAGCACACAGTGGAGATGCAGATGGCTCGTCTTCATGCAAATGGAAGCTGCAGAACTTTTTGAGCATTTTTGTGCTTTAGTGTGATTCGGGCAATATGTCTTGAGAAAGAGCAGAGGTTATCCCCAATTTTCACCGCATCCGAAACGGCAGCGATATTTGCCATCTGCCAATTTCTACCGAATCCGTAAGTGAGGCGAGTTTCATAGCGGATCACGGACAGCGGTAATCGCAAGAATTCACAAGAACCTCACAAGAACCTCACAAGAAAAAGTTCGGATGTTTTCATTTGTGTCTGTGCCCGACTTCCTTTCCAGCACGGACTAATCTGTGCTGAATTTATCCGGCATGCTCTGGCATCCGGAAAAAATAGAGCTCTTGTGATCAGCTTTGGAGTCCGGCGATCTGCAGCAAAATGAAAAGAAGCCGGTAGAAACTGAAACGTTAACTTGGATGGTTATGATCAGCTGCAATCAGCAGATACAGCCTTTTCATAGCTGTTCCGGATGTGGTGGAAATTCGGGGTTTTGCCCTTTTTATGGTGTAGTTAGCAACTGTAGTCCAGTCTTGGGGCACACCTTCTTAAGTCTTTAATAACGTAGCTAAATGTTAAGATCAAATAAGCAGAAATATGGAGGATGGAGGCAAATCAGTTGTTTTAAATGACGTAATATCCACTCATACTGAGGGAAGGGTCTCAGAGAGATGTGCTGTTCTGCTATAAGAATATGAAAAAGCACACTCATAGAGTTTTAGATGTTATTTTCCAAATGCCACAGCTCTCGCAGTAAAACAACACTCGTCCCTTGATTGTCAACACAATTATCAAACCGCCATAATTAGCCCAGCTGTTATCATGAAGCACTGTGAGGCGAACCATTTTCCCAAGGACACACGTAAACAAAAACACCATGCAGGGGAGAAATCAAGATGGAGAGGAGGAAAAGAGAAGATCTTAGGGTTTAACGGGAGCGATGGAAAAAATGGAGATAAAGATTGACGAGAGGAAGAGGGAGCTGGAGGGGAAACATTATTTTTAGTAATGAAGGCTGCAGTGTGTCCCTTATGAATACACACACACACACACACATCACCGACACAAACACAGATGTAAACGCAGCACGTGGCGCACCATTACCCTGTTGCTGGCTTGCCACATGACAAACACAAACACAAATCCCACAGGCCACAAACATACAGGGAACTGAGCTCACACACAACGCAAACAAGCACGCACACACACACACAAACACACACACACCAAGGTTTGACTGCGCGCCCAGACACTCCAGTGTCATCTGCTTTCAGGAGGAGGGCGAGGTTTTAAAAGCAGAAATGCGCTCTGTAGATAAACCTATTAATAGCATCTGCTCATATATAATAAATGGGCATGTAAGTGAGTGAGTGTCAGAGTGAGGGGGTTAGCTTGGGGTCAAAACAAAGGCAATGCACTTCATCCATCTTTCTTTTACACAACAGATCGAGCGCAGGATAGATGATCCTCTTATCAGTTGTTCACACCGGCGCTGTAATCGATCTGCACACACACACACACACACACACAGGAGCACACATTAGGTAAGGGGTGGAAGGGACTCCATGCAGGTAGAGTGCTCTCCCGCAGTCTGGTCGAACAGTATCTGGTGCCCTTAAGTGAGAGTATGTGTGTGTGAGAAAGTAAACTGCAGCGAGAGGAGGAGCAAATATTCACAACTTAGTTTGAAACTGCAGAAATAGCTTTTTTTTAACATTGAAAAAGGAACAACAACATTTATGTGAGAGAAGTTAGTCAGAATGACACACCCACAGTTTGTTATCACTCAACTCAGCACTACTGGAAGTAGGCATCATTCAGCTTCATTGTGTGAATACAAGGCTTGAAAATGCTGCTTTTGTTCAGTCTTGCAAATCCTGTTGTTGCTGATTTTTGCATATAAAATAGCTCCAGTAATTTACTGTATTCCACAAGCTCTGGAAAGGCTTGAAAACGACATTAGAGGACCTTTATTTCTGCCTATTGTGAGATATGAAACCAAAAGACGGACTTGATTGGTGCTCACATATTGCCGTGTTGCAGTATGCCCAGAATAGACCCAGCTGGTAGACCAGGAGTTCCTCTCACCATGACAGCATTTAAAACACGATAAACCATGAAGATCCCTCAGGTTGGGGGAGTCCGCAACAGCAGCACAACGAACTCTTGTGTTGATCTGAAGCCGACACTTAAGGCTATGCTAACTCCAAGGAATCCTCTGTTAGTGTTCATTTCATCTCCTGTCTACGAAAGAGGATTAAGGCAACATGAGGAAAAACAATAATTTCAGGAAGGAGATTGAAGTCGAAATTTCAAGATCAAAAATTGAAATTTCAGCGTTAAAGTCGAAATTCCAAGATTACAAAATGTCAAAATGTCGGGAATCAGGTCAAAATTTCCAGATTAAAGTCGAAATTTCAAGATTAAAAATTGAAATTTCAAGATTATAGTCAAAATTTCAAGATTATAGTCGAAGTTTTGAGATTACAAAATGTCAAACTGTCATGAATAATTTCAAAATTTTGAGATTAAAAAATAAAATTTAAAGATTAAAGTTGAAATTTTGAGATTGAAAAAAATAAAATTTTGAGATTAAAGTCCGCATGAATAAAGTTGAAATTTCGACTTACATCTTGAAATTTTGACTTCAATCTTGAAACGGCAATCAAAAAAAATCTCCTTCCTGTTATTATTTTTTCTCTTCTTGTGGCTCTGATCGTCTTTCGTACCTGTGGCCTTTACAACTATATTTTTGCAAATCTGGTATCTGGTAACTTTATATTTAAGTTTCAGATCCCTTCAGACAAAACATCTCTGTTATTTGAATCGCTCTGCAGACACATGCTGCAGGTTTGACCCAGTTATCAGACTATTTATCAATATTTTTATTGCATTTAAATACAGATCACATCAGACTACACTTCGCACATTCAATCTCACATCCTCCCTCTGATGTGAGCCGAGCCTGATCCTCCCTGCTGTGGATAATATGGAGGTGTGCTGACATCATGTCAGTCCTTATAGGTGTTCTTTGGGCTTAATTACATGGATGGAAGCCTTAACAGTGGTAATAACAGGGCTTGTAGGCAGCAGCTAATGCTATTTTAGTCATCCAGCACAGTCCAGCGTTTGGTCCTGTCACTGCTGATGACCCCTCCTGCATTTATATACAGTCACTGTGTTGTTTGTTCGGTGAAAGTAGTCGTTATCTAGCACTGTCTGCTGCGCATGAGAGGCGTTTTCATTGCATGTGAATGGTGCTCATTTGGCTCCGTATGCCTCACTGTTGCTCATCGCTGTATAAACAACTATTTGCTGTCGCAGAGATCCATCGTTTGCTGCGAGTTTGTCTCATTCTGACTAAAAAGAAGTTAGAGGAAAATCTCTTCAGGCAGTGAAAATGATTCTGTTAGAAAGAGATGACACACCTGCTGAGAGCCCTCCCTGCGGCTGCTGCTGCTCCTGCACAGGTATACGATACAATACCCCCCCTGTAGTGTTTGTGAAATCAACACCTTCCTTCTCCTCTGTCTCTTACATAACCCTCCTCTGTCATCCACACCGGGCTAACGAGGGATAATGAGAAGCTTCCGGTCCGTCCTAAATGCACACGCACTCACACACAAGGACGGACAATCCCCAACCTAAAGGAATGTGTGTTTTCCTGTCTGGATGTTTGGTTGGTGTACTCAAACACACAGCTGGAGATAGGCAGCACATTCCAGCGGAGGGAGATGGGACACAGTGTGAGTGTTTACTTTGGGAAATCTGCTCCATATTTATATACATTTCATAATAAATACCTCGTCATAGATGAAGATGACGAAAAACACATATACTGTATTGTATCTGCTGCAAATCTTTGGTGATTCTCCTTTAAAGTTTATCTTTGTCCACTAATGAAAAGCACATTCAGTCAAATTTGGCATAATCGAATTCGTTTAATATGAAAAGCATGGATAGAAGCTCCTCTAAGGTTTAAATTAGCGATCCATTGCTGCCGGTTAGGGTCATCATCGACATGTAAAGATGCCAACTGCAGTTTTCAAACTCAGTGGAATCAAAGCTACACCCAGCAACACAAAAAACAAACGCAACACTCCACCACAGAGAGGTCATCCAGCACTTAACCACCCTCCATTTATTACCTAAACTCCTCCTCCTCTGTCTGTTTTATGGCTTTCCATGGTGCATCCTCTTTCTCACGCCCAACCACTCCCCTGAACATCGTCTCCAAATTTATTTCCATTCACCCTGAGGACCTCTGGGAACAGATGTTCACTCCCCGAGGTGTGTGTGCTGCACACGCCACCAAGCAGAGGCCAGGGAGCTTTGTGCCAAGTGAACGGGGACATCCCAGAGATCAAGATGTAACACATTTCTTTTGATAATCTAAGACATTAAATTACCAGGGTGGTAATATTATTAGTCTTATTAAGGATTGGCATTCATGTTCTTGGATTTGCACCATAACAAACTGGTTTTGGAAGAGATGCACGTCACAAATTAGTCCAATAAATCATTGTAGTACAATGGGATTATTCCATCATTATTAGTTATTCAGATGATACACTTACAACCAATAAAAGTTACTTTAATTTACTTTCTTTTACTAGTCTGTAATACAATCAGTACAGTGATGTGTGATCTGCCAAGCTGGTGAGTGTAGAAATGGCAGGAAAAGGATGCTGAAGTTACCCGAAAAGTTTTTCCTGTAGAAATTAAAAGGAGCGGAAATTACATATGGCGATGCAGGCAAGTGCCATACTGGTGATTCGACAAGCCAAAGCTGAAGCCATTGATGAGAAAAACACTGAAAATGCTGCATTTCATGACCCAGCTTTGCCCTGCAGAGTTAACTTATCATTATTAGCTCAGTGCAGCAAATCTAGAGAAGCATTACAGCAGATGACAATGTTCCTTTGTACACATCCACAGATAAATCAATGCCAACCTTTGCAAAAATCACAAAGCACTTATTTGTTTCCCTCTCAGTTCAAAAAATCCATGATATTGGTCGTCATGTTGGATGAGTATCGAAAAACGATAACCGCCTCATGAAACCACATACCAGACAGGATCCTCAAGTATCAGTTTATTTGATTGTTCTCAAGGTGCCCAAAGTTGTCTGTGCATTTAAACTATTCATTAAACTACACATGCTTGTTCACAGTGGATTCTGGGAAATACCATTTAAATGGGTCTTTATACCGTACGATCACAATACGTTACGGCTGCTACACTTCGCTTCATATTTACTGAACAAACAGACAAATAACTGTTTTCTCAAAAATGTGCTTGTTAGTGTAGTCGACGGAGGCACATGTCTGCCTCCTCCAGCTTTTCATACTTGGGTTTTCTACGGACAACGGTCAAGGTTCACGTCACTTCAGTCAACAGCTGCGACGACGTCTGATGTCATGGTGTTGCATTAATCTGATAAAGCCAGATTATTCCTGTTTACCTTGCCATTACGACCTCAGATTGATCTGACCTTAAGCAATGGCGGTGAATGGGAGGCCTACTGCTGCTAATACAGTGAAGGGGCATCACAAACATGAAACCCTGAGGGGTGGGAGCTTCATTGAAACGGAGAAGATCAGTGTTTGAGCTGATTTTCATGTTTCCTGTGAACTTTTGATGCACTTTCTTGGCAATGACAGGAGATAATGCCAGTCTGTAAGGCAGTGATTAACCCCCTGGGTAGAGAGAAGGATAATTAGAGATTATTACTGGAGATTAAAAAGGAAACTCGCTTTTACGGCAGAGGCTGTCATTTGAAGGAGGCAGCAGGATGAATGATGACGATCAAGACGAGGTTGTACCGCCTGGTTTTCAATCCCAGAATCCAGTTTTAATCCAATGACGGCAAATCAGAATCTTGCTGTTAATTGAACAAGATAAAGCAAAACCAAGCAGCAGGTGTAATCCCTTCTTTGTTATGATCATGTGAGATATGGAGAGATGATGTTAAATTATTTTAGAGAAGTAGGCAGATGGTGAGAGTCGTGAAGGACGGTGTGTACCAAACAGCAGAATGTCAACTACAGCTGACTGTACTTGGCACTAACTCAGTGCCACTTATCTGTGTCTTTTTGTCTGCACATAAAACCTACTATCATGATCTTGAATTATGAAACTACTATTAAATTAGAGAAGCTCAACTAAGCATAACAAATGACAAAATAAGTATTTCAGAGATTGCTGTTCCACTACAGCTCCGTAAGTAGGTCCACCACTACTATGCCTTGGTACCGTTACACCAGACCCCACAGTGGCTTGATTCTGGTGTAGCAGCCTATGGTTTTGTATAAGGCGAAGGAGTTGTAGGAGTGGAGACCAACCAGACATAAGAAACAAGTGCCAGTTAAGCAACAACCACCAAAGCTTCTGCGGAAATGCTAAAAACTGCAGTTCCTAAAGTGTCCACTTGAGGCTGTTGGCAAACGCATCGGAAACAATATACACATTAAGCCAAAAAAGCCCGTTTTGTAGCAAGAATACACACCTTTACAGCCTGGTTCAAGAAAGGGTTTTGGTCTAAACAGTTCAGACTGCCATGGCATCAACTGTAAGGAACTAAATCACATTTTAACACCTTCCTTTCAAGGATATTAAGGTTGGCCTGACTGGCTAAAGGCTTGCCTCGCAAACAAATGGATGATCAAAGTTGCTTTGTCCAATCATTATAGTCTATGGTATCTACTTACACAACTCTTCTTCTTCATTGTGAATATGGTAGAAAAGACATGCATCACTGTGAGATGCTGTTTTTTAAATACTGACAAAAAGACAACCTAATTTATAAAAATATCACCACTTTTAGCTCCAATACTCACAATGTTTCTTAACATCCAAAACAACTCAACTTGAGAATTACGCCAATGGTAGAAGCGGCCACGACCACCCCCCTTTAGATACGTTTTTATCATGTTTGGAAAGACAAGGACTGTGTATCCTCCCAAGTGCAAATATCAGATTCTTTTCCTGTACTTGAGTCTTCTCCAATCAACACTCTTCTCTCCTAAGGGGAAGTATCGTAGAAAACACTCCACGATATAAAAGCTGTAGTTAGTCATAATCTCACAAAGAGATCTTTTTTCTTCTGAGCACATCTTGCCGCTGTTTTCAAAATTACCCATCTTTTTATTCCATAACTCCACTCGAGTTGGACTTTAAGTCCAAAGACGTCCTAAACTGTAACCAACTGAGCAGAACAATATTTCATTCTATTCCTAATTGGAAACGGCAATCTCTCAAGTCCATCTGTGCATGTTTGAGCTGAGCTAATCCAGAAATGAGAGTGGTTGGAAAGAGAACATCTGCAGCAACAAGAACGAAGCAGAGTTTTCTGTTTGATGAGTGTTGCACTCATTACTTGGTTTTTGTGTGACACAATGAGGGTTTAAGACTTTTCAACACAGTTTTTTTTTGTCATTTTCTGTCGTCATTCACTTTATTTCTGCCTCAGATACAAATGCCCTTGAGCCAACCTGCAAACCATGATGGGATATGTCAGGTGCAGGTTTTATTGCGCTCTCCATGTACAGAGGGTAGACTGGGTTCAACTCCTACCTTTCATGCCAACAACTCTGAGTAAACACTAGGAGCAGTCTGCTTGTTTTGGCTTCCTTAAACTATTTGTATAAGAAAAACTTAAGCACAGTTTTTATCTTCTCAAAAGGAAGTTCCTATCGGGAAATAAACCAGTATAAAATGCAGATAAGTATTCTATTGCATGACTGTATTTTACCCAGAAGATGGCGCTTGATGACACAAGCAGCTGCCCCAATGTTTAAAGAAAACAGACGTATATACAGTGAAAAAAGACCCTCTTGAAGAGTTACTTTGATTGAACTATGACAACAGTCCTTGCGGCGCAAGTTTTGGCAAATTGTTCATGGGCAGTGGATCCCCTTACCTCGCCTCGAGCTGAGCTCAACTTTACAGGTAACCAGCAGAGTAGAGATACAGGGAGGTACTCATAAAAGGAAACGTATCTGTATATTTCTCAAGGCAAACCTGGAGGACAGCCACTCTATCCATGGAAGCCCCCCAAAAATTGATAGTGCCTTGTATATCAGTGCAACTCATCCTCTAGATTCTGAAACATCATCCTGTTATGAAGCCCTGACACGATGATAAATGTAGATGACAGAAAACAGAAAAAACACGTCATTTCCCCTTTAAGTTTAACGTCACTTTTTAAAGTGACGTTTTTGATTATTTTAGCTGCATGAGTCGTCCAGTCAGTGTGTAAGACTGCCTCTATTTTGGGATGGATAAACTCACAGATGTAGAAACACACTTATAGAGTAGACTGAACTGTTTTGTGCTTAAATGCACTTTTGAAAAGCCTTAATCTCATAAGCCAATATGCTTTAATATCATTACAATGGTAACTGTTTCTTCAGTTTTTCCTTTTTGGATACATGACCCCCGGATAAATATCTGAACTTGACTTGCACTGTAGAAATCTATATTCACTCAAAACTCATACAGAAGTATCACTTCAAACTTAACGCAGATCTAATGCGTTTATTTCGTCCCTTCATTTCAGTCCAGTTTTATGGCGTTACGTAATCTGATTTGGGCCTGTGCCGAATTACTCCGTGCAGCCACTGTAAGCAACACAGGATGGAAAACCTATTACAAAGAGTAAAGGTTAAGTAGCTTTAGCATTTTATTTGTCCTGATGTTATTAAGTCTATTCTAAGAAGAGGAGAAATGATCAAATCTGGCTTGCCCTGTTCGGTAGCAAAATAGAGTAAAACACACCTCCACTATGCTCGGATCTTTATTTGTGTGTGAGTGTGTGAGTGTGTGATGATGAATATTTCAGAATCCTCCCAGTCAGATGACACCACCTGAGCCGACAGCAGTCCTACACACGAGGGAAAGTGACTTCATGAATGAAGTGCAGGAACTTTTATTTTTAAGTGTGACCTCTGCGTGTGTGTGCGTGTGCGTCTGTGAATAATCCCTGTCTGCTGCTCGAACAATGCTACTAGTTAATCTCCAGATTATGAGCCAATCCAAGTCACCTGACTCAACCCTCTGTACTCGACAAACACCTGGCAGTGCATGATGGGATGTTGTATCCTTAAGGCAGCTGGACTTGAACAAAACTTTATACCAAAACGAAAAAGTGAGAGTGAGAGAGGACAAAGACAAGCATAACAGACACATAGCGATCCTACAGGAGCAAACATCCCCTCGGCCACCCAAACACATTCATGCAAGATGACATACACACACTCACTCAAACACACAAACACACACAGAAGATGTGATGGCTCTATTTTCTGTAAAAAGACAGACACACAGCAGGGTGGCAGAGGTGTTTCATGCAGTATGACCTAAATGTTTCACTCTTCGGTGCTTGAAAACTGTGTGTGTGCAGAGTGTGTGTGTATATAGGTATGTGTGTGTGTGGGGGTGAAAGTGAGAAGAAGAGAGAGAGAGGGGGAGAGAGAGAGAGACAATGAACTTACACCACTCAACATTCCTTGCATGGCTCACATAACTTTCCTTATTATTGTGTGTATACGTGTGCATATGTGTGTGTGTGTGTATAGGTGTGAGCAAGTGTGTGTTCAAGCTGCACCCAGCCCACACTAATTGTACTCATTCTGAAACCCTAGAATTATCGAGACCCCAAAAAAACCCAGATAATTACTACTTCACCTACATGATGCCCACCCTGCGGCGGTGCAGTGGGGGAAAAAAGACATTTCCCATCAGCCCCTGGGGCTGCTGGCAAATACTGGTTAGCCTTAAGCCTTTCAGATTTAGCTCTGCTCCACATATTTGCCTATTTCTGTTCTTCTTTAAGAGAAATGATAAATAAAACAAGGATGCGATTGGAGCTGGAACACACACACAAACAAACATATTTGCACACAGGTATATGGGCAGCGCATTCATACAAAGCAGGCTGCAGTCACACACTTCATAATAAGAAAACATACACACTGAAAAAACTGCAGTGAGTAACAGTGCAGGACACCCATATGTAGGAAAACACACACTCATATAGAGACGTACACACGCTCCTCTGATGAATAATACATCGCACAAGTTGGAGTTATATAAAAGGCGGAGAAAAGTGAGAGAGAAAGGAAGAGACAGATAGAAAGCTGCTGGACTGGTTGTCATTGGCAACAGTGTTTTGGAGCCTGATCATCAGTAAAAGTGCATCATCTCTGTTGCAAAGCATGGTGGGATACAAGCATGTTTTCCTACCCCAGATTATCTATGTGCAGATGCATCTTCAAAGACAGTTTGTGCACAATATACTTTATACAGCAAACCCTGCATATTTCAGTTATTGATAGACAATCCACAGTGTTACACATTATTTGTCATTCCCTATGTTTGTGTTTTTACAAATGAGATGTCATTTCCCTAAATATCCTGCTTGATAATAAAACAATCTGAATCTCATGTTGCTGCGTAACAGTTTGAGGTCTCCTTTTTTGAAGTTTCCCTTTTATTATGAGCCAGATGTTTTATAATGGGTGACAACAGGACTGTGGGCGGGACAGTTTAACATCTGGACTCTTCTTTTATAGTGCCATGCTGTTAAAATACCTGCAGAATGAAGTTTGGCATCGTCTTGCTGAATAATGAGGTCTTTCCTTGAAAGTGGCATTTACAGGGCAGACAGCAAAACCTGTATACTGTTCAGTATTCAGGGTGCCTTCCTGGGTATGTAAGCTACCCACGCTATGGGCACTAATTCATCTCCATACCACCACAGTGGCTGCTTTTGGACTGCCCATGTGATGATTCCCACTGCAGAGTCATATCTGTTTCAATACACTGCCGCCTGAAGGCTTAAATATCACAGCCATACAGTACTGGTGCTCAGCCATTGTCCCTTTTGTAAAGAAATTTCACCCCACTCTATGTATGTATTTCTATGTCCTGCAGATCGTGAAACTCAACCTCCAATGCCCTTTTATTCCTAATCATGTCAATCACTTGCTGCATTTCCAGTTGTATGGCGACTATCCAAAACAACTAAGTCACCGAGAGGCTGAGTAGGGGAAAACTGTGCCTTGCCCGACAGGCTGGCTGTATAAACTTTAAAAAATAGGCTGTATCTCTGTTTGTAGTTTTATTAATGCAAAAAGACAAAGCACTTACATGAAGCAGAAAAGGGCAGTCCTTCAAAATCAGACGAAACATAAGCGAAAAAAGCGAAACATAAGCGGTAAGCAAAAAGTAGGGCTTCCCCATTCACCTTCTTTCCATTCATCCACAAAACCCACCAGGTGAACAGCTGACTTACTACCGGTGCTGACGTACTACCTCCACCCACACCACGTGACACTCAACCCTGCATATAACCACACAATACACAAATATTATAAAAGATCGTGTCCACCAAAAAGAACTGGCATCTACACCAATTAAAGGTTTAAACTAAAGGTTTAGGTTGTGAATAGAGTCATTTTTTGAGAGGCAAAGCAAAGTGCATTTTGATGGTTACATCTGCATAATAAACACGGACCTCCACTGGCATTGTACCCTTCTGTGATGTAATTTCTTGGGAGTCTCTTCAAATGCTTCATATCCCTTAAATTCTCTACGAGCTAAAGGTTATGTAAGTTTTGTTAGCCGCGCTATCACTAAGCAGGTCCAATGTTATAGGATTAACTGCTCTGGATCATCCACATGCCCTTTTGATTCTGGCTTCAGACGAGGCAAACGCTACAGTAAAGAACATCAGAATAATTCAGGAGACAGGCACAGAGATGTTTTCCCCCCGCAGTAGCATAATGCCATCAGCTACATTTCAATGATTTCCCTAACAAGCGTGATCTCTGTTCTTGTCTGTTCGGTTCTGATTCCGCACATGCCAATGGGGCAGTGGGGCATGCCGATGATTTGGCTCTAAGCCTGCACAACACCATATGATATAGTTTATGCAACTGAATGTCATGTTTTCTGTCTGTGTGATGTTCGTGTTTGAAGTGGCGCCCATTAATCTGAGAGTTTAAGCTTCCAAAACAGTGAAAACATTACACCCAGGACTACAGATGCTATGTGCAAGCATGATTGTTTACAATGATTTTCTTATCCAGCACTGGACTTCTGTAAACTTTGATAAACTCCACAGTGAAAACATAAAGTTGAGGCTTCCTGACGCACATTCATGAAAACCCTGAATGGCATAATCAGCCATTCTTGTGACACACATGCCATGTTACATTCATTGCAGGTCTTCCACGTCACACGTCACCTTCATTGTGTAAACTGAAACTATCACAAATCTCATAATGTCACTCTGCGTCTGCTCACAGCTGTACTGTACCTATTCTCATCGGTCCCCTGGGGTAGAGGGTGAGGAAGACTGCTAGCGTATGCGTGTGCGGGTACACACGCTCACAGAACAAGCACTCAGCTCTCCTGTTTCTGCTGTATGCGACATAATGCAGAGACAGATCAATACATGTGCTGCTATATGGCCCACGGACACCGGAGGGAGGGGGCTGTCAGGGTAATTACTTTGTCCTGTGGGGGTGTATCACTCTCACAGTCAACAGCCTAGATTTCATTGTGGGTCAATACACACACTCGTATACACACCACCAACACAAATGAGGGTCCGGTAGTTCTGGATGAAGGGTGATGTAGGAAATTCAGGTCAAACGGGACGTGGAAAAGAGCTTAAACGCATCATGCATAGTTCAGACCGAGAACTGGGTGATTGGTGGTCGATGCGGTCATCCGCCACCCTCAGTTCATTCATATAGTGTTGATACAATACTATAATGGTCCATGTATTATCCATCCATTCAATCCAGTAAACGAAAAACGAAAAAAATGAGTCAATATTTTGTTTATTTGTTTTTCTGTACAGCCAAAAAATAAAAAGTTAGTGTTTGTTTTTGTAAGGAAACGCAAACAAAATAATAAATTTATTATACAATTATATTATTATTATTTACAATTACTGATTTTGAGTGCGCCTGTTTTGAGCATACGTGCATGGAGGCTACATTGGCCCTCCCATGATCCTCAGCAACAGTTACCATGGAGAAAGGTGCGACAGAGCGGTTCGAGCGCCAAAATCTTACGTTGTATCAGAGCTCTGGTTGCTATTTTTTCTACAGTCATATCTCCTTCCGTCAGCGTAACCCTCTTGGTGGCTTTGAATAATACGTAGGATGCGTCCATCTCCATGACCGCAGGTTAGCCTTTCTCTACCGCTCTGGCCTGGAGTTGTTGGTTCACGTTGTTGGCTACTTTGTTGCGCAATGAGCATGTGTGAAAAGTTGAGAGGCACCGTGGGAAATGGTGACATCAATAACCCGAAAACGAAAAGTAGATGTATTATTTTGTTTTCGTTTCCATCTCTATTACATATTCTGTTTTGAACTAAAATATACAAAAACAAACACTAATGTTTTATTTTTTAGTTATACAGAAAAACAAATAAACGAAATGTTGACTTATTTTTTTCATTTTTCGTTTACTAGATTGAATTGAAGAATTGAATGGACGGATAATACACGGACCTTTAATGACATCCTGACTCACAGCTTTGTAGTAAACCAAACAATCTCAAAATAATTTCTGACCACATTGATTAATTTATCTCTTAGAGACACCTTACAAGCAGGACTGAAACCATTATCTCTAACCTTCAGTAGCATCTGAAGGGGGCTGACAAAACTGGCCAAACTTACAAATGATCAGTCATCATTTCCAGGAAAGTATAAATTTACAATCCTTCCAAGTCAACAAAAGGAAACGACTTCAGCTGGTTCTTTTCATATGAATTCAAAGTGACAATTCAGACAAAGAATTGGGCGATAGGTGATTGATATGGTCATCCGCTACCCTCAGCTCATTCATATAGTGTTCATACGATACTATAATGACATCCTGACTCACAGCTTTGTAGTAAACCAAACATATCTTAGAATAATTTTCGACTACATTGAGTAATTTATCTCTGAGACACCTTACAAGGAGAACTGACACCATTATCTCTAACCTTCAGTAGAATCTGAAGAGAGCTGACAAAACTGGCCAAATTTACAAATGATCACTCGTCATTTCAAGATAAGCATAAATTTACCATCCTTCCAAGTCAACAAGAGGAAATGCTTTCAGCTGGTTCTTTTCATATGACTTGAATGTGACAATAACAAAACTGGAAGCACCACAGTACTGAATGAAGCCATATTAGTCATACAAGATTATAACTTGGCACAGGTGACTGCTTGAGTTAAACATACACCCACATTATAAACACCACAGCATCAACTCTCAATACTGGAAATATCACCACTACATGAGAAATGTTTAATATCAATATCAAACATATACTTTGCTCTAATTCAGGCTTATATTCCTACAATTTGTCGAAGAATTTACAGAAAGACTCCTGTCGCTTGGGGGTAGTCTGGCTGCCAAAACGTTATGTAAACAAACCAGAATATTTGCACCAGAAATGAAGATTTTGGCTTCTGGTTTTGGTCCAAATAGAAGAGAGGACAATTAAGGGAAGCTGTACAATATTAAATGCATGTGGTGTCTGGTTGGATAACTCTTCAGCTATCGTTTCCTCTGTGTTGTCATTTTCAGACAGACGCTGTTCACTGCTCGTCCTAAACGGCCGATAAGCATGTAACGTCACGGTGTCCATTATCGGACAGGCTAAATGTTGCCCGCACAGAACATTTGAGTGAATTTACCTGAAATGGTGAATTCCGTCGTTTCAAGCCGACTCTCCGGAGCAGTCAGGCCCGCCGGATGCCCTCCGCTTATCCACCCACAGAAGTCGCCTACAACGGCTCAGTCTGTGTTCGGTTTCGGTTTGTTCCGATGGAGAAGAAATGTCCTCCGATTCACACAGAGAGCTGAGAAGGGGTGTGAGGACGGACTGCTGAGACCGAACCCCCAAAATGTCGTTGGAGTGGCGGTGAGTGTGTTTAAAGAGGCTGGAGGAGGATCTGAACGCGACAGAGGAGACGGGAGGGGTGCAAACAAGGTCCTGTCAAGTTTTACATTGTTGTTAATAACGGGATATCCGGTAGGTTTTCAAAATAAAATCCCCATCCCCTGGTGTATGGATTTTCCTTTTGAAACTTTCAAAATAAAAGCACCTTTCACGGTCAGTTGTCCGAATTATCAAAATAGTAGTGAAAAGGTATTTAGAATGATTTTTTTTTCCGATAATGTTGTGCATAAAACATTAAGTCTAAACTTGTGGATGCTTTAATGCAAGAAAACTATTTTAACAGAATAATGTGCACAAGGATTTAGTTACAGACAGAAAAGTTTTTTAAAAAGGGAAAGTACGGTGGCCGAGAACCACCACTGCTGCAAATAAAAAATGCAAAAAAAAAAAAAAAACACAACAGAAGTTACTGATGCAAAAAAAGCAGTGATGGAAAAAAAAGTTTCTTTCTGCAAAAACATAAAAGGAAGCAAATAAAAAAAGCCACAACAGAAGTGAGCTTCCAGGGACCAATAATGACAATACACTGCTGTTTTACGATCTAGGCACAGAAGACGACGGTGAAAAGACGAGCAAAGAAGTTAGTGGAAATGTTATTGTTTAATTTCGCATCGTAAACTTTTCAATGTGTCATTTCGTTCGGCCATGCAGCGCCTGAGTCGATATGAAGTTGATTTGGAGGATGCTAGTGTAGTGTTAGCTTCAGTTCAACTTCATATCGACTCAGGCGCAGCATGGTCTAACCAAATGACACATTGAAAAGATTACAAAGCGAAATCAAGCAATAACCTTTCCACTTCTTTGCTCGACTTCTCGTCATCGTCCCTTGTACCTAGATCGTAAGACACCGGTGCATCATCATTATTGGTCCCTGGCAGCTCACTTCTGTCATGGCTTTTTTATCTGCACCGTTCCGTTTCTTTTTTTATTTGCAGCAGGTTTCGGTTTCTTTTTCTTTTTTTTTTTGCATCAGTAACTTCCATTGTGACTTCTTTTTTTATTTGCAGCAGTGGCGGCTCTCGAACACCGTAGGAAAGAGATTCATTAAGTTATTTTGATAGTGGTAATCAAAGGTTTGGCCATGCCTCATAAACTGTCCTTGGTCTAATGCCTCTGTTGTCCCAAAATGCAAGGTCTTGATTTCAATTAATCCTTCAAATGATATGCTAAGCCCAATAACTCTTCTTATTTAACAATATTATCAGTGTAAACAAGCAAAATAACTGGAAGGGTAGCCTCAAATATGGATGACAGAAGACACAACTTAATATTTTGGTTGGATGATGCCACCTGCTGGATAAAACCAGTAACAGAAATGACTCCTGATATGATTAATAATCATTGTTTTTTACATATAACAAATACATCAAAAGTATTCTTTTTATACAATTGATGCGCTACAACATAAAAGCTATAATTGCATATTTGTATTCAAATGTGGGCTTTTGGTACAGTGGGGAGAAAACCACAAGAAAGGTGGGAAATGATTTCTAGGTGAAAATCTGTTTAAAATACTGTACTCATCAGCAGAAAGATTTTGACTTCATCTGTGCAGTTGTCTTTCACTTTATTTCTAATAATATTGCAAACATGTTTCGCTGAAATTGAAAACTAATGTTTGAGATATAATAAAGAAGTGTACAAAGATTGATTAAATCATTAAAAATAATAATAATAAAATAAACTTACTTCACATAAAAACTATGAGTTAAAGCTCCGGTGAAGGACTTTGTGTTTGTCTTCGTTTGTCTGTGGTCAAAGTAGTCTTGTTTATCTTGACCTTAACATCTTTAAGTAGGGTCTTCTGAAAGGAAAGCTAAACCTGCTGACTTTTGACAGTCAAATGTGTCATTTACTGTGAATATTTTAAATCGAAAATTGAAAATCGGCTGTTTCTTCAGCTGCTTTGCTGACACCTACCCTCTCACACCAGTTTCAGGCTTTAGAAAAAAAGAAAAGGGATCAATATGAATTTCTGGTTATTTCATAGATGTCTAAAAACACAGCAGGAGCTTTAAATATTGGGGACAAAAAAGTCAGGAATGAACTAGAAATGAAGAAAATAACGAACTTTTTCCCACAGTCATTTTTATAGACCTGCATGAGGATCAGCATGTACTGTATTTGACAGCCCTTGTGGGTGTGTATGTTGTCCTAATGCTCTTTGCCCCAGTTAGACCCTCTTTTATGTTGATGACCGTGTTTCCTGGGATCACTCTCAGTATAACCTGACAGGAAAATGTCTCGGGCGGCAGAAAGGCTCAGATTGCTGATCAATCATCTCGATCGATCACCAGATGTGATTGTATCCTTTGTTTTTGTCTAGTTTCTCTCATCGGGGCTCCATACAGCGGCTCACTGGCTGATCCGCTAACCGACGGCTGCACTCTCCGCGGCGGACGGCTCTCGTGGGGTAGGCCGGGGTCCAGCGGTTAATAACAGGCCTTAAAGAAAGTGGGGAGAAATGCGGTTACTGTCTCGTATTTTGTTCTACAAATATCTAATTTGAGATAATAACTTACCTGAATTCATAGGTGTAACATTAGTATGACCGTTATTTTGAAGCAACGTCACCGTCGCCATTGTTTACGTGTCGTAGACTATCTGGTATGTAGGTAAGTCAACGTTGAGGGTTCAAGCACAGTGAGGTAGTGAGGAAGGAGTGTGGTAGAAACTTAAAAAAATACATGTATGACTGCAGAAATGTCATAAAATATGTAAGCATGCAAGTTTTTGAGTAGGTTAAGTCAGGTAGAGTGAACTAGCCTGCATATAAACCCTAAAACACTGCCGGTAAAGTTAGTAACACCATTACTATCGCCAGGTGATGTTTACCCAAGAAAAAGTCCTTTTCATCAAAATAGGACAATTCATGACAAATTAAAGTAGTTTTATTTTTAACTGTGCAAAGTCCAAAGGGAGGGAAAAAGTGCCAGGAGGGGACCATATAAAAATGCAACAAAATAACTGAAACTAGACATTCATGAACAAAAAGTTCCTGAAGATATTAATATATAAACTGTAAACTTAGTTTCTTTTCCACCCATTCCTGGGGCATGTGAGTCTTCCCTGGTGAAGACTCAGGGTCCTTGGCACAATAACAGCTGCAGGAGAGAGAACCAAAATATGGCAGATTTTGAGTGAGTCAAAATGACCAGCTGACTAAAATATTTCTTATCACCATATGAATTCCCTAGAAATACCTACTTTGTGATAGTTATTCCAGGACCACTCTTACTGACCTTATTCCCTACATGCAGCTATCAAATCCATCCAAACTTGCTTTACCCTCTATTGCTACTGCCGGGTGAAAATCACCTGAACATGTGCCTGTAGGAAAAAGCAGGTTTTGGATCAGGGAAATAAATATGCCTTCAAAGATGTCAAAGGCGATGCTGAAGCTACTCAGGGACCCATGATACTCAGACAAACGCAACATAATGAAAATCACGTAAACATGTTTGGTCGGGTGAAAATCACCCGGCGATAGTTATTATTAGTGTTGTCTTGTTTCCTTGACTGTTTCCTTCAGAAAGCTGCACAAACCTCCGCTCAAACTGTCACCTACAGTCACTCTCCAAAGCTGAGGTAAGAGCACACCTTTGTTTCAGTTGACTATTCCAACCATGACAGCACTTGGCAGAGTTCACAGTCGCCCCAGGCTGTTTTTTTTTTTTTTGACATTTACACAGTCCATATCAATTATTCACCTTTAGCACAGTTTCACCGGGGCCACCTTTGATTGTGTCTGCAATGGCCCACTTTTCTGCTGAGTACATATGTACCAATGCAAGAGCAGCTGATGCATTTAGTTTCACTGGTGCAGAAGACAAGTCCTGTCCAAAAGCTTATTTAATCGCACTTCATGACTCACGCTATCTGCTGTGCTGTTTTTAAGACCAAAGTTCAAAGATAACGAGAACATGTCCAGTTTGCTATCACCATATTGAGGTCATAAGTCCTTTTTTCTTGAATGTACTGTAAACCCAGTTCACCATTCACATGCACACTGACTATGAATAATTTCCATTGCAGATTGAACATTTGATTTTGTTGTCTCTTCTTTTGGTAGATACACTGTTGATACCGCTGACCTGCTGACCCCAGAGCAGCGTCTCTCCTATGAAAAAAATGGCTTTCTCCTCATCAAGAATCTGGTGTCTGAAGAGGACATCAAGAGATTCAAGTGAGTATCAGGAACTCTGACCACTGCAGAAGAGAAAGAAATTGGACTCAGTGTAGAAAATATGATATAAAATAATCAAGATGTTGTTGAGAACTAAAATATCAGCACCATTCTTTACTGTTTCTTGTCCACAGGCAGGAGTTTGAAAGAATTTCTCGACAGGAGGTGAAGGTTCCAGGTCTGATTGTAATGAAGGACGTAGCAATTGTCAAATCAGAGTTTGTTCCCGATCAGAGAGCAGTCTCCAAACTCCAGGACTTTCAGGAAGATCCTGAACTGTTTCGGTACTGCGCTCTACCAGAGGTACGCCACATACTGACAACCTTTTGGCTTAATATCCTAATTTATAAGTTCTTTCAATTAATAACAGGTGTTTTGTGAGTATGACCCTCATGGCGTTGGCGCCCTCTAGTAAAACTATCAAAAACAACAGTTTGAAACTGGGGACATGGATCTGACCACTGAACTAACTCATGCAAACAACTTGATACAAAATCAGCAACAGAGTTTTGAGTGACATAAGTATAAAAAGCTGTTCAGTCCAAGCTTGTACCTTTCTGTTACAGATTCTGAAGTATGTGGAGTGTTTTACTGGGCCCAACATCATGGCCATGCACACGATGCTGATCAACAAGCCCCCGGATGCAGGTATGGTACTATTTAGCCACAACAATAAACTGGCAATTTCATTACAAGAGAGAGAGTCAAGGCTCCTTGAATTTGGGTCCATTTCCTACCTTCAAAGGAAAGGAGGGGGGAACTTAATACACAGTTTCGAGTTGTTCAGCTGAGCTACAGATGGCAGGCAAAGCGCAAATAAACAGAGAAAGGAAGACAGTGGAGAGGATACTGAGCTCGCAAATCCGGGTGTAAACAACCATAGAATTAAAATGCTGAAGAAAATCAGCTTTCAAGTAGTTTATGCAAAAGAAAATGCAGTCATAACACATTTTAGGGCTTAAGGATAAACAATACATATTGTTAATGTAAATGGAAACATAGCTTTGCGAACCTGCCCCGTTTCAGATGAGGAAGACAACGATGTTCCTCTAAAAGCTGTGGTCAGGTATTTTGGGACACTTGTTAAGACTCCTGTCATTTCAGGTAAAAAGACCTCTCGTCACCCGATGCATCAGGACCTGCATTACTTCCCCTTCCGCCCAGCTGACAGGATCGTCTGCTCCTGGACAGCAATGGAGAAAGTGAACAGGCAGAACGGCTGCCTGGTTGTCCTGCCGGGATCACACACTGGTACCCTGCAGGAGCACGACTACCCCGAGTGGGAGGTATGAATACCACTTGAATGATTGCTCCTCTTGCTGGCAGGTTCACTTTTACAGTAAACAAACTTTCTCATGTGTCCTCAGGGTGGTGTGAACAAGATGTACCATGGAGTGCGTGGATATGACCCGGAGCACCCAAGAGTGCACCTGGAGATGGAGAAGGGTGACACCGTCTTCTTCCATCCTCTGCTGATCCACGGCTCTGGCATGAACCAGACAAACGGCTTTCGCAAGGTACTACACTACCCATAAGACAGCTGGTGCTACAGCTCACACAAACTGGTCTCATACTATATTAAAGTCCACTGTTTGACATCATGAAGGCATTTGTTGGGGAAAAAGTGACATTTACAGCACATAAGTTTATAAATTAGAAAAATAGTCTGTAAAATTGTGTGTGTTCTCTCCAGGCCATCTCCTGCCACTATGCCAGTGCTGACTGCTACTACATCAGTGTAAGGGGAACAACTCAGGAAAACATCGAGAAAGAAGTGAAGGAGATAGCAAGCAGGAAGTATAACATGGAGCAAATTTCCTTCGAGGTAAGACTTTTACATTAATAATTTTTTGGAAATATTACAAAATATTATACAACAAAGATACATACATAAAAACTTGACTTAAACAGGGCATTTAAGTCCAAAGACTAAAGGTCCTTTCACACCGGGACCGTTTTTATGGTGCGATTATTTCGGACGTCAGTATTTTTTTTCGAACCCGTATCCTGTCAATACAAGCGTTGACATCAGCAATGTTTTCCCATCCTGCAATATTGCGGCATTTATTTTTTCAGATCATGGTCGATTTTTCTAAAGTTTTGCATACTGTGTGTCCACTTCTGACCAATCAGATTGCGTGTTGTTGCGACGTCATATTCACCGGTACATCCAACGTGGCCGACCGGCTGATTGTTTACGTGTCGGAGAACAGAGTGCTTTTTGATAAAAGATACAAATATTACAAAGATAACGACCTGAAGGACAACTTGTGGAGAGTCATAGCGTCGGATCTTTCATATGACGATAGTTTGTGTGCTTTAACAGTTTGCTAAACGTCTTTGTTTTAACTTTAATCTGTGCTAACGTAAGCTAACGGTTGTTACCATCGTTTCATGTGCTTATCTTATCGCCTCTGATTGGCTATGAGAGCTGACTGTTTGGCTTGAGCGTGTGATGAAGTGTCCAGCTTTTCTAGCCAATCAGAGGCGAAGGAGGCGGGACTTACCCCAGGAAAAGTCTTCCCCCTGGATGCGTCTTTTCCCCGCCAGAAAGTCGCAAAATCACATCGGGCTTGATGTGTATAGTCAGGCGCGTCAAAATTCACCTCAGAATATTTTCGGAATTTCGCGTTCTATATTCTAGGGGTGTGAATCTCAGCACTGAGGACGATTCGATACGCATCTCGATGCACTGCCAGCGATACGATACTTTAACGATACATGGAATTTTCTGGCGATACGATGCGATACGATTCACCCTCTTCACGATGCGATACGATACGATAATCATTTAGTTCAAATCAATGCGATCCGATACGATATGATGCAATTTGTTGCGATATGATGCAATTCAACATGATGCAAATAAGCAAAGAAAAAAAAGAAATAAAAATAAAAGATGGAATTCAGTATGGTACTACAAAAATGATTTGGCTTTATTCCTTAAAGGCACTTGGCAGTAAATTCAACAAAAGTGCTTTTTGTCTTTTTTCTATGCTCCTTTGGGTTCCATTTTGTACAGTTACACAGATTAGACAGACCTCCTGCAACTGTTAAGGAATCTGAATTCTGAATTCCAACCCCAACCCTACATTACACAAGTGCTCTATACTTGTTGGGTAATATTACAGTACACATTATTAAACAACTAATGCACTGCCTAACATGGTGCAAATAAACCATTCAATGGCCATACTACTGTCTGCCAAACCAATGTGCTAGAGTTGACTTTCTAACTGGCCACAAAATCAGTGATTTGAGTGAGTTCTGCAATAATAAGAGTAAAACAATTACACAATAATTACTGCTGTAAAAAGTACAGTAAACAGCAACAACAAAACACTCTCAGTGAGTAACCTAAAGTGACACTTTCAACAGTGCAATCAATGTTAAGGGAGGGGAGGTGGCGTTAGACTTGTCGGTGATGTGGTGTACTCTTTTTAAGTGGGTCTGCATGTTTGTCGTGCTGCCGTTGTACGGCTTCTTAACGCGGCATTCTTTGCAAATGACGGACGTTTTGTCGAGCTTTCCGTCTTTCTTTGCAAATCCGTAGTGTTTCCAAACATATGATTTAAACGTAGCGGGTGCATTACATATAAACTCTTCCTCGCTGCTGCTCACTTGAATGTGGTCCGTGCTGTTTTACTAGTAGTGCATTGTATGTCCCTCACGGCTTCCGTCCGTATTCAATACAAAACGCGAAATAATGATGGTGCATTCAATGCGCCTGGGGAACAGCAGATGGGGTGAGGTTTAACATGAATAAAACGGCGCTTGCATCAGATTTTACCGATACCCACCAACGCATCTAGATGAATCTAGATTTAACCCGTCAATTGCATCGATACCCAGTGAATGAGCCGACGCAGCCGCATCGCGCACATGCGCATCGATGCATCGATTAATTTAGATTATTTTCCACACCCTTACTATATTCGCGTCGGCCCCAGTGTGTAAGGACCTTTAGACCAATTTGAAAACAGCTGCCATTTACACTTCAAAATGTTGTGTAGTTTGAAATGATGGAGACACACAGTTGTTAAAAAATGAAAGAATTGTGAGAATATTTATCATGACCTTCTCTTTTTAGCTTTAAATCCTTAACTACTTGAATGTATCACAGAAAAAAATCAATGCCAGTTTCTTGAAAAGTTTAACCTCTGCTGTTGTTGGACCCTTCAAGTACATACTCTAAAGCTTAAAGCAATGAGAGAGCCGGGAAAAGCACTCAGCGCTTAAAGAATCGAGTAAAAGCCAGACACCAACTATGTATTATGTGGCAGCAGGTGACTTGTTTGTCCTCCACCGAGCCAGAGTGTGCATTTGTGTAGTTGTATTTGTGTAATACAATTGCAGTGAGCCGCATGATAACAACAGGATAAAGTGCAATCAATAACAGCAACAGTAAAGAGCACTTGGAGGAGGATTTTCCCTTAATAGACTGCTAAGTACACCATTTACACGCACAAACATCTGAGTGGCTTTACAATCACTGTTAGCAGAGGATCTATTTATACAATGGTCAAATCACAGCTGCATGTCAGGTCTGTAGTTAGGTAGCGAGAACAACATGACAAATTGACGTCTTGTTCATGTTTTCTAGCTGTAAGAAGAATAAAATCCATCATTATTCGTTTGTGTCAAGAGCCGCAGTCGGTCTGCGGTCAGCCTCTGCAAAGCAAAGCTGTAGCAGAGAGATAGACCCATGAAGGGGTGTTAGTTGTTATGCATATCACAGAAATTGATCTCACCGAGTGTGATAATAGTGTGCTGCATATTTAGAACTGAATTAAATGTAGTTTGGCTTACTAGCTGTAAACAGTAATAACACTTTGAAAGGAAGTTTTGGGAGAAGATGCTCCGCTGTTGTGGTAAGGGTTTAAAATTAGCAGGAGAGAAAGCAACACGTGTAGTTCTTACCATTTACAACTCATCATTTAACCGTCTTATCAGCACAAGGACGCTGGACTAAATTCAGAAATCTCTCTGAATCTTTGTCTTTGTATGATTCTGTTTCTTCCTGCAGGATACCTGGGCTTTCAGAGGCCGCTTGGTGCAAGGAGAGAGGACTTCACTTTGAAGAACCTGTGGATGGATTGCCAAAACCATAACACACTGTGGCAGCGTGACTACTCATTAAGCTAGAATAGGATGAACTGACGATGTGAAGCAACAGGACACATAAACCTGATACAAAAAGGGTTAAATGCTTCTATTGAATAACCTGAAAGTCGTTACCAATTTTCTTTTAATGTGATATCTAATAATTCTAACACAGGGATGCAATTTTCTCATCAATTACTGTACGTTTAACTGAGACTGCTCAGTGTAAGAGATGGAGAATGTAATCTAGAGCATGTTGTTCTTTTTAAGAGGAAATAATGTCGAACAGAAAACGTCAGATACCTTGTACAGAAGTGGTCGCACCGTCCTTGGAAGAATCAAGCGCCTGACAGTCAGAACTCCTGCAGTGACTTACTTTAAAAGCATTTTAAAAACATGAAATGCAGTAACACGAGCACTTAAATCAGCATGGATGCATCCAGAAATGTCAAAAAGAAAAGAGGGTTACAAAAGATGAAAAGTGAGAATGTTAGAGTGTGTGAGAAGGACAGCAAGTGAGCGAGAATGATGAAAGCAGCGCGTGTGAATAATGTACATGTTAATATTCAGGGGTTAATCAACACTAACAGAGGCCTTTACCAGATACTGCCTTGTAAATTTACCAGTGTGTTCATTTCCTGTTAGTGGATGTAAGGATGTTTGTTTTTATTCTCTTTAATCAAGCTGTGATTGATGCAATTTTGAACCAGTGTTAATAATAATAAAAGAATACTATAACATACCACAGGAGTCTTGCATGAGATATATATTGTCATAATCAGGATTTTGTCCAGCTTTATTGTTTTTGGTTATAATTTAACAGCGTATGTGTCAATTTGGTGGATTATGTAACTGAAAAGAGCAGGTCGTAAACATATGGGATTATGTTTACAGTCTTATCTGTATGACTCAGGTTTGTTTTCAGCCTCTTAACTCCCATGTTTAAGAAAATCAAAATACGCTATTATCGAGTAAACAAGCTGCTTCTGTGCGAAGGGTAATATGTTAACCTAAAAGTGGATAAAATAAGAAAAAGTTCAGATTATTCTGCGCTTACTCTTCATAGAAGGTTGTTTTGGGTGCATCAGAAGAAGATCCTAAACTCTAGATGACATCTGAAAAGTCATGTGGATCCCATGGGATTTGGCTATTTCCAGATGGGGACCTGGTTATTTCCCGGTTCTTCAAAAAAACACCTGATTCGCCACAAAAAGCCATTATGTGTGTGAGAGAGAGTGTGTCTTTGTTCAAATCCACAGGGAAGCTCTCAGCTCAGAGTTTCATTCAGAAACGCAGGAAATTCATTCACATGCAGGAGGACTAAAATGATGAGGTTAACACACACACACACACACACACACACACACACACACACACACAAAATCAAACAAAGACAAACAAAGAAAAGGCAAAATTATAAGACAAGGGGAAAATGACTCATGTAAAATAAAACACATTTGTTCTTGCATCCACATAAACATACATATTCACACACATCACAAAGTTCCTCACACAGAGATCTCGCTGCAGGATAATTTGCCGCCAAATGCTTCCCAGACTCCAGATCTGTTGTCCATTTTCTCAGTCAAGTGACTCTGGACTCTGCCCAGTTTCCTACAGAGGAAACTAAAACACATTTCAGATCCTCTCATCAGACACTAAAAGTGGAAAAATTCTGAGCAACTTGTGCAGCACATGTTAGTGCAGTGACTTTTGTATACTAAATAGAGTGATCGTTCGTACCTGGTATGATAATGAAAGGGTCCAGCACAGCATTAAGATGTTAACACCTGCATGTAGCCTGGCTGCAAGGAAAAAAAACACCTTTTATTTAGAGGGGTAACAATGCACAAAAGAGTATGTCATGAAAAATCACATGCACAGCATGTCGGTTACCTTCTGTTATTAATAGTGCTTCAATAATTCCCATCCAGACTTATAATTTTAGTAAACTTAAGATGAGTTTCAGATTATTTTCAGCTTCAAACTTCATCTATCTTTGAAAAGCAAACAAACAGGCCTATATTCTTTATTTAAATCAATGAAAGTTCAGTGGACTTTGACCAGCAAAAGTGAGTTATACAAACGTTTAAATACACAAAAACCTAAAGTTTATGTAGAAATCTGACTTATCCCTCTTATTTGCAGAGAGAGGCTGACCTCCAGGATGAATCTCTGTTTACTGATTGGCTGGTTGTGGGACATGTTCTCTACATATATAGTACATCGTCAAAAGGGGTCAATCAGTGAACAGGTATACATACTAAGGACAGTCAACCTCGTTTTAAAACTTTGTCCTCATCCTTAGCTCAGAGTTCAGCAATTTCAGAATAATGTTCCTGAGCAAAAATAAATACAAATTATAAGATTTCAACACCTACAGGACATGATTTCACTAAAAGTTTCTACGTATCTATCATAGACTGCAAGTAGAATGAACGCCCTCTGCCTCCTCGCTGGGTGAAGCCACTCTGAGAACAGCACCTTCTGGTGACGGGCTGCAGTATAAAATCATAAATCCCGCCTACACCAGCAAAGCCTATGGAGCTGTGGACAAACTTTAGAAATTTATTACACAAAACATCATTTTTTTCCCCCCTGGTTGTGATGTTGACATGCAGTTATTGTTAGACTGGTTTGTGCTCAAGTCCTCGTTTTTCTGTGAAGCTCCATTTTTAAAAGTTATTAGGGGGTTCATGTTTTCTATGATTGACACCTGATACAGCCTATTGGCGTTCAGGGATTGCGTATCTCACCCGGGGGATACGCTGTTTGAGCCGAGCGTCATCACAGCAATTCTCGGCGACTCTCCCACCGAATGCGCACAATGCTACTGCGCAATGTTGATTTCAGGAAATGAAGAAAATCACGGAAATACCGAGAGCTTTTTGTCTTCAAATACGTATTGTCCATAGTATATACAGTCTATGATATCTATAGAAATCCCTGCAGAAAAAGGATGAGGCCTAAACCCAATGCTGGAAAGGGCTTCAGCAGCACTACATCATTAAACAGACATGACTCTAGAGTGGAAATCACTACATGCATGGGTTCAAAATCACTTTCATATATTGTTTCTGTGAGCATGGTTCATCTGAGCTGGTTCTTGAGACAAGAGGAACCGCTTCTCTAGTTATCAGCACACAGTTAAAAAGCCATGGGGACGTATAGATGCACAAAGCTCAGGTAGTGTACACATTTAGAAAAATACAGAATTGTAATGGGTTGAATCTGTATTGTGTCATAGTAGTTTTACTTAAAAAGAGGTATGTAGAGAACTTGTAGAGTCCTCAAAAATGATTCAGTTTTGAGATTTCATCATTCAAACACATTCAAAGCGGGGAATAGACTTGAGGGCCTTCTAGCTTTGCACAATCTGAGGCTATCGATGCATTTTAATAAAACTTTGATATTAATCTGAGTATTAACCCAATCCTGATTTCCACTCCTCCTCTGTCGTTGTCTTCTTCTCACCCTCATCCCTCCTCCTTGTTTTCTTCTTTATCGTCTCCCTTGGGCAATTGAAATTCCAGCAGTTTCCCTCCCATCTCTGGACCTTTTTTCTTTCTTTCTTTCTCTTCCTCCTCCCACTTTCTTCTGCTGTCCCTGCCTCTGCCACCTTCCTCCTTTATATTTCTCTCCTCTCTCAGCTCAGGTCAGTTCAGTTTGAGCTGGTTGAACTGTTAAGCCGAGTTTAGTTCTTACTGATTTATTTGAAGATGTCCTGGATCCGAGTCTTGGTGCTGTGCTCGCTCACCGCCCTCCTCATCCTCACCTGTGAGTACCTTGTCAGGAGTGGGTTATTTTGGATTTTATATTTTCACAGAGGCAGAATAGTTTTGAGGGTGAGAGCACAGATATTTGCAGAAACCTGTTTTTATAGTCTGGCTGTGAACTCTGACCTTTTGTGAATTATTCTAAAAGTTTGAGCACATTAGAAAATAATTAAGGGTTGGGATTTAACGTGAACTGCTTCATAATTTAACTTTAAAGAAAATTCAAAGTTTGAGCCATGATTTTAGAGAGGAATTCTGTTTACGTGACTTAATGCCAAGAAAGAATTTTCTGCAATTAAAGAAAGCTGTAATTTTACCTGGAGATGTCCGACAATATTCCAGCCAAAGTCTCACAAGTTCACAAGTTCAACTCTGTAAATCCTGTTTTAATCTGCCAAATTCATCTAGATAACAAAAATATGATCCATTAGTCCTTGTGCAAATTGTATTGACAGGTTTCGTTTATTCTTCAGGGACAGGATGCAGTGACATTAGCCGCTGAAATTGAGAAAAATCATCCTATGGTTGCACAATTTCCTGTGCAGCAGCTGCTATTTTTTCATAGTCCTACATGAAAGTGACTTAAGGCGTGCATAAAATCAACTTATTAAGAGGTGAATCAAGTAGAAGAGAAGAGTATGATATGCAGCAATCATTGGTTGTGTCTACATCTATTAGAAATGCATGCACTTTAGCTGATAATCCACCACAGTGCTCCCTGTTACTCTGTGTCAATCACATTGTATTCAACATTTCAAGTTTGGAGGGATTTGTTCTTGTTTGCTATTCCATCTTGAGTAATTTGAGAAGATAGCTTGAAGGGACTGTCTTTTTTCCTTTTATACTGTATATCAAACACCAACTATATCAGGGCCTGTTTCCATTAGCAGTGTTTTTTTTGCCCACAACCTTCATTTCAGAGCACTTCTCACCACTACTTATTGTTGCTAAGTAAGTCAAGTTGTTTCACTGCATGTCTCCTCTGTTATTGTTGTTGATGTTAAAATCAAAAGTCCCGCCCTGTCTTGATTCTGATTGGTCTCCCTATGATGGGTTATGATTTTTATAAACCTGATTTTCTGGAGACCCTTTAATCAAAGTTTTTTCTTATTTCTGTGGGCAGCTGAGGCTGATTAATACACTTTATAACTGGGATACAGAAATAAACATGTTCAGTTCTATTTTTCCTGTTTTTTCCTGCTAAGATTTCTCCTTTACCTCACATTCTAGTTTCCAGTGTGGTGGACAATGCAGCAGTCAAGGATAAGTCCAAATCCAGTGATCATAGAGGTGATATTTTGTTTCAAGACTTAAAGTAATTACCTAAATCTTTTTCTGGCCTCCAAACTTAACATTCAAATTGTGACCTCCGTCTTAAAGGGGTAGCACAGCAGCTGTTCATGCAAGGCCCAGAAGCATCCAACTTCTTCAAACGCCGCAGTCGCCGCTCACCAGGGTACTATGCTGAGTTACAAGGTAAGTACATTTGTTAAAGCTCCTGTGAGGAACTTCCAGTTTGGGTCGATTTTGGCGCCCCCCTGTGGGGAAAGCAATCATGCTTAAGTAGCGACTTCATAGAAAAAATCCCATCCTGACTCTTGACAGGGCCATCCATCATTTATCTGGTAGCACCAACAGGATTATAAATGGAGTAGTGGTGTGTGGTTTCATGACGGAGCTGAGTAGATGATTTATGTTTTTGGATATGTGGTCGACTCTTCTCAGGACAGCTGTAGCGGTTAAAGTGACTACTCTTTAGGGGACAGAAATCTGGCATGTTTGGCCTCCCGTACACGTACACTTGCGTGTGAGTGCATGTAGGAGTGTGTTAAAGATGCTCTGGTTTGAGGTTTTGACTGCAAGTTGTGAAAGTTCAAGAGAGGAGTCGAGAGAAAGAGAGTAATGGAAACTCAAGCAGGTGTTGTACTATTGCTATACAGTGGCAGCTCTTAAACTTGACACACACAGACTCACACACACAGACACACACACACACTCACAGGAGCTGGAGGCTGCAGAGGGAGTCACAGGGTAGTATGGAGCACGCTCAGTTTCTCGGTACAATAAGCTCATTCTTCCACTGCCAACATCGGTACAATCCACATGGGTGACACACCTCAAATCAAACAAATAAATACTCTTTAAGAGGAATCCTGCAAATACACACCAACTTCTCTCAACTTATCAACTTACCTCCTTGGAAAACTTGGAATAAAAGTGTCAGGAAATGCTTAAATGTTGCAGACAGCACAGATCATTTCAGTTAAGTACTTAGTGGCTCATTAACTGTACCCACCTATCTTGGCTCTCCATAAAAAGGTCCACATTCTTTACTTAGAGAAAAAAATAAAACACTCAGAATAAGGCCGATTGTGGACTAAGGTTACCTGAGAACTTGAGAGGAAGCCATGTGACTCTGTAGGGATGTCAATTTGCCAGAGAGAGGGCGCACATTTTGCCAACCTTGAATGCAACATCCTGGAGCTCCATGCAAGCTGTTTGTAACACCTAAGATGAATTTTATTTCACAAAACATTAGTGAAATCCTGTCAACAAATGTTCATAATTGTATAATCGAGTAAGAGACATTATTCAGTTAAGACAAAAAGAATAAGTAGATCTTAGTGTAAAAAACTTTTAAATGAGTCTGATGCAGTTTCTTAAAGCTCCAGTAAGGAACTTTCCGTTTCTCTCAGTTTTGGCGCCCCCTGTGGTCAAAGCAGTCTTTGCTCATCTTGTCCCCTACATGCTTCAGTTGAGTCTTCTGACAATAAATCTCATCCTGCTGACTTTTGACAGTCAAATGTTGAATACTTTTGTGAATATTTAAAATGGAGATTATAAAAACAGCTGTTTCTTCAGCTGCTCCACAGACACTTACCCTCCTCACACCAGTTTTAGGCAAAAGAAATTGCTGTAGAAAAAATGTCAGTGTTGTTGCTGATGGTCTTGTTAGTGTTTGTACATCATGAAAAGGCATCAATATGAATTTCAGTCTATTAGGTTAATGTAAAAAAACTCCTTACAGGAGCTTTAATCAAAGGCAAGGCTCAGTTAAAGGCATGTTAAAGCTTCCACAGGGGGCGCCAAAATGACACAGACAGAAACTTCCTTATTGGAGCTTTAAACACTAATGAGAAAAAGAAAATCCTAGACTGTCTTTTTTTTTACCTACATCCAGAATATAAGGGGTTAATTTTGTGATGCCAGCTAGTCTCACATGTGGACTTACTCTGAAGGTGACCATGTTTTCTTTACACAAAGTCAGGCTCAAGCAAACAGCTTACTTGGTAATAATTGCCAAGTGCATGCAGGTCTATGTGTTTGGATAGCATGTCGTGGTGTCGGCCTCACACTCTGTAATCCCTGCACACTTGTTGGGGTCTGACGAGTTTCGAGACTCAAAGAAAAACACAGGCAGTGCAGTAACAGTGGCTGTCCCTGTACCTGCAGAGGTGGGATGTTTGGATTTGTACAGTAAGAGCGCAGGAGGAAGGTGTAAATGTTTACATTAATTTGTAATACATTATAAAATGTTTTTCACACCCCTGCAGACCTACATTAATGTCATACCACCCCTGTAACCAAAACGGATAATTAAGGGGCGACAACTTTGATCTTTTCTGTTTTTACTTCTTATTTGTTGTACCATTTCTTGATTTTAAATGTTTTCTCAATGGTAACCTTTGTAAGTTTGCATCTCATTCCTACTTGTGTTATAAAAGTTTGGGAGTTTGGGGCAGTAACTATTTGTCCAAATTTAATATCAATCCATCAGTGGGTCTAAGACTGATCGCCCATCTCTTGAACCGCGTCCCAAACGCAGCTCCAAATCAAACAGCCGACAAATCTCAGAGTTGTTTTTGGAGGAAACAGCAGCAGCTGCAGCTGCATCATTAATCAGAAACATATGAGTGGGTTTAAATAGTTTAAAATTTTTTGGCTTCCTGTAAAGCTCTCCTTTCCTTTTTGTTTTCCCCAGCCGAGCAGAGGGTAAAGATAGCTGCAAGTGAGCGGAGGAGAGAGTACAACGAGGAGCAAAGAGATGAGTTTGAGAACTACGCCGAGGAGGAGCGTGATGGTGAGACCTGAATACAGCTGCTCTTTCTACTCTGAATGAAATGTTTTCGAATCCAAATAAGATCAGAAACAAAACAACAGACACTAGACTCCATTAAACTCTTTCCACCCTTCCACACAAGACGAAAATACAGATCCAGACACTTGGTACTGAGACACTGAATTAAACATAAAGATATACCACAGAGACTTTGCATTGGTAAGCACAAGCTTATTTAGAAAGTCTGCATCGTGTTGTGAAGCTAACCTTAATTATTCCTTGAGAAAAACCTTCGTGATACTCGACTGTACATCTTCACAAAGTTGAAAGGTCTCACTAGAGAGAACATACTGAGGTGAGACAGTCCTAGTCTGGATGTTGTATGGACCTCATGGCACCCACGAGCTTTTGCACCACAGCACAGTGCCTTCAACTCCACACTAAATCCAAGTGTCCATTTGTGGTCCACCCCAAGATGATAATCTTTCCTGTGGCTGTCTGTCCCGTGTGATATAGTTGCAGTGGTGGTTTCTAAACTAAGAACTGCTAACTTTAAAGATGTGTCTTGGTTTTATATAGAGATAAGACATGTTTTGTGTGGTTTGGGTCAGTGGGTTTGTACATAAACAAAAAAAAACAAATATCTCCATTTGGACATAATCTCACTGTTTTGGTGCATCCCTTGACATTTGAATCTTATTTAGCATGTCTGCCATGCTCAAACTCAAATAGAAATAAAGCTCCTTTTACTCTAACTTAATTATAAGCTTCATTTTAAACTTTAATTTGATGTTTTGTCAAGCTGAGCCGATGATTTGATCTTAATCATGTTACAAGGGAAAGTCTGGACATAACATGGTCAATCACTGCAGGTCAAACAGCAGATTTGATGGTTTTGGACACGAGTAAATGCAAACACAAGAAACTAAATTTACCTAAATGTATTCAATTTCTCATCTGGGATCAATAAAGTTCTTATGTTATCTTAAATTTCAAAACAACCAAAATACACCTGAAATACCCCACACTCTAAGATAGCATGCTCGTATAGTTTCATCCAATCAGATACTGCACTTCTGCTTGAGTCAACCAATCAGAGACCACACCTGCATCAGACACCTCCACAGTCTCACTCAGACAGTAACATCCACACTCTGCAGGGAAGGAGAACAAATGAGTGAACTTTAGTTTTCTTTAGCTCTCCTTTATCGGCACTTCGCTAATTCTGTCCGTTTGCGAGGTGGTGGCGCTGCACATTTCCAACAATACATCCGTTTCAGCTGAACTCCCACAAACGGCTGCCTGCTGGGGCCGTAAACATGGCTGACTGCGAACCAAAACAGTAAACTTGCGGGTTAAAACACCAGAACAGTTTACCAAAAGACACCAAAAGCTCGACTGCCAAAAGCTGCAGAGTTGGTTGCTTATTCTCACCGTGTGTGCCAGAGCATGACCCAGAACTGACACAAGAAGGAGATGTGTAATCCTTTAAAATGCTTATCGTATACTTCGGCCTTATGTATAGGGGAGAGTGGGGTAAGTTGACCATAGGAGACCACTTGTTTCGGCATGTTATATTATCATGACAGTTATGTTTATACTCATTCTGTTGGTTTGCAGGGATGCACATCTTGAAATATATGCAGAAACACTAGTTAGAGACAAAACTATGATCGCCTTGATGTGGTGATCTGAACTATGAAAAAATGGCTCATCTTACCCCACCCTCCTCTCTTTCACAGAGCAAGATGAGAGAACAAGGGAGAAGGATGAGCAGTTCAGAGAGTTTCACTACGATGGCCAATATCCTCGCTACCACTGGTTCCATTGAGCCGCCCGTCTCGTGGAGTACCTGAAGTATCCTGCATCATCTTCCTGTTGTATCTAACATTGATACCTATGACTTTGAGAGGTTTTTTTGTATTACTTTATCTTTTTTTTCTGTAGGATGAAGATTTTTTCTACTCCTTTATTTTTTTGATAAATTGTGCAATATGTCAAACTGTAACAGGTATTAAAAATGCAGTTTTTTGTGATATTGAAAGGATACTTTGCTATATGTTTTGCATGTTTTTTTTTAAATCATGTATCTTTTATACATACAGGTTATAAAATGTCCTTTATGCCAGTCTGAGGTATTAAAAACAAAATAAATAAACTGGACTTGTTTTTCTGGAGGGTACTGCATCCAAATTCTTGAAAACGAAGATCCTTCTATTCCTTTCAGTCAAAAATGTCAAATAAAGATGAATCTACAAAAACTCCCAGTCCACTGATGTGTTTTTACTCAACTGAGCGCTGTCTGGTATTTGTGGTATTTATGGGAGAGGGAGGCGGTGTGGAATAAAAGGGAAGATGAGGTGAGCTGCAGAAGTGATCAGGCTGAAATGAATCCCACATTCCCAGAGAGTGGAAAGATTGGACTCAAACTGGGAAAAGGAAAGATAGAGAGCAGCAGCTGGGTTAGCCCAAACTAAACCATCAAACGATGTGGCATGCGGCATTGTGAAGACTAATGACAAAGTTTCCATCTCAAGTAATTTTATCTATGTTGTGATTCTGCTTCAGACTTTTCCTGGTTTTCGTCTGGTGGATTGGCTCACAGACTGGAGTAAGAGTCTTCAAGAGTCATAATGGAAACTTGTGGAGGGTGTTTCAAGGAATTTAGAGTCCTGATAAAGAGGGCTGCTTCAGTCCTTAAAGACCCACTCAGATGAAAATCATTTTTTTATATGTTTATCTGGCATTTTTCTGATGCTACAGGACATATCATGCAAAAATCTAAATGGAAAATTGCTTTTCTGAGTATTTCTTCATTCAAATGGCTGTAAATCTCTGGCAGACCCAAACGGCAGGTTTAGAAACAGTGAGATTTCATATGTCACAAATCCAAGCTCCGCCCCCAGAGCCCCGCTATGCAGGCCATACTCTGCATATAGAGGACTACAGAGGACGATCGCAGAACAAGCATGTGCCATAGCAGATTGCAATGCTCATAAAAAAGTGAATTATGATAGTAACTTTTATCCTGCTGCACCGTCAATGTTAGGATGCAAGCTAACGTGAAGAGGAGTGTGCAGAGCAGCGCTGTCTCCACCCACGACTCAGAGGCGAACTGCTAATGAGCTACTGGAGCTCTGCAGAAGAAAAGCTCATGCATGAAGAAAATGACACAGGTAACAAGATTTTTGCTAAAAACTTCATAGTTGCAATTTAAAGACCACTGAAGACGCGTTAAGTAGTAAAAAAAATGATCAGAGTAGGACTTGAAGAGAAAAAGAGAATGACCTTTTAGGGACGGTGACAGAGCAGAATTGGACCTCAGGTTCAAAATGTTTCAAGTTATTACTTTAATCAGCTTGTTTCAAGCATTTCCAGGTATCCATACCATTATATTTAAAAGATCAAACTTTAAAAACATATTTCATACAAATGTAAAATTACTGATCAACAAACACAAACATAAAGTCAGTATCGTCACTTCATGCTGTTTAAGAATCTGCCGTGCTCCTCTCCTCGAGGAAGGAGAAGCTCTCCACCGATCTTGGGTCCAGTTTTCTCCTGCGATAAAAAACATGAATGCAACATTAGCTGTGTTCCTCTTCCATGAGAGTAGCTTATTTAAAATTCTAATTAACTTCATTTATATGGCACTTTTCGTACATGAAAGAAATTCAAAGTGTCTCAAAATAAGATTTAATATCTGACTTCATACCTTCAGCATCCCATCACGCTCCCATTTAAACAGGCCGCAGTTACTGAAATGAGAAAATCCATCATTCATAGTAGGGATAATAAAGACACTTTGACTTTTTGACTTTGACTGTTTATAGAAAAGAGTTTATTACCTGCAGTGTTTGTGGGGCAGTCTGTCCAGAGCGATGGCTCTCTGTCCACAGGGACACTTGAAGAAACGCTTCACAGCGTCATGCCAGCGCAGGTCGTGATTCTGCTCCACACATCGATCAGCTGGTTTGAAGTAGGTGTAACTACACTGGAGGAGAAAAAAACAGGTTAAACTTTTCATGGAGATGTGATTGGCCAGTCCAGGTGCCACCCCAATATCTGAAAAACCTCTGAGTGTGGGGTGAGAGTGGGCTGCGCTCATGCTGGCTTACCAGGTGTACCACTCTCATTTGTCACTGTCCGTAAAGACTTTAAAACTCCCAATCGTACTCTAAAAAACAAAATTAAAAACCTTTTTACAAGTAACAGCTCGACACTTCATCTCTCTGATGCCCTTCATCTTCTCCTCCATCTGCTCCTTCTTCACCAGAGCGCTGAAGTAGCGCTCCTGCAGCTGGTACTCCGCCTGGGAGAGAGGACACGCGATAAATCAACATCACAGAGTTTGAGATGTGGAAGAAAAAGTGAGAGAAAGTTGAACAGCTCCTGTCTTACCGCCTGCAGCACGGCCCCGTGGCGAGATTTGGCGTTCAGGATCTTTTGAAACTCGTCCGATTGAACATACTGGAGATGCTCTCGCTGTTTTTTCTGGGCTGGTTCTTCTTCCTCTTTTCCAGGGGATTCATCTGCAAAGTTCAGACATTAATAAGTTCAGTTAAGATGATTAAGAACATAAGTACGGATTAGGAATGAGCCGGGTGTGAAGAGTACCCTTTGAGTTGAGATTCTTCTCCACTCGGGCGCTGATCTCGCTGTCGTTGCTCCTCTTCCTTTTCACAGCGTTCGGGTCTTCCCTCTCCAGCCCCGCCCCTTTAGCTCTGAGCTTCTTCAGAGCGGCCAGTTTGGCGGCTGATAAGCTCAGAGTGCTGGCGGTCGGGGCTTGTGGTGGGCTGTTGTCAAAAAAGAGGACGTCCTCCCCTTTGGAGAAGCCCCTTCCCAGGGTGGGAGTGTGTGGAGCTGTGGGGCTGTGGGTGGCCTCAGAAGCTGCTTTAGGGGACATCAGACCATCTCTGCCAGGTAAAGACGACACCGACCCAGGTCTGGGGCCTGCTGAGTTCTGCAGAACCCTCTTCTGGATCTCCTCTGCCCTGCGCTGGCGGATCGCCTGAAGCTCCCGCTGCTTCTGTTTCTGCTGCTTCAGCAGGTCAGAGGCAGAGATGGACTGGATGGGAGCTCCAGAGGCATCTTTAGGGACTGAGGACGGACAATGGATTATTACACTAAGAGATACTGGACCAGTGTTGAATCTACCAAGGACACAAAGATGAGTTTAACCTTTAAAATGTAGAACTTTGGTGTGTTTTACAAACTACATAAATCTGAAGCAGGGCTTAAAACTCGAAAAAGTAAGGAGTACACAAAGAACTTTAGGGGCACGATGAAAATTGATCAAATAGTGTGTGTCTTATTGGTCGATTTAAGGACTATTATTTGAAATTGGTTTTAGTTTTTTTTTTGGTCACGTGACATGGAAGCTATTGAAGAAAATAATAATACATTTTATTTGTTTAAAAAAACATAACAAAAATACAATGAGGCAAAGATTAATAGTAACAAGCTAAAAATAAGGTAAAATCGAATAAAAAAGAATACAAAAAAAATGTTCAAAATTTACTTTAAATTTAACACAAAAATTTTTAGAGGACAAATTAGGGGAATAAAGAGGTGTGTCTTATCATCCGACCTTAGTACTATTATTTGAAATCAATTTTAGGTCAGTTGGTCACATGACATTAAAGCTATTGAAGGAAAACAGACTTTTTTGAGAACATCAACAGGTTATTTATTGACGGTCCCTTATTCAACATCCGACGTTGACAGCGAGGGTGCCGAGTAGATTTAACCGCGCTGCTGTTGCTATTCCCGGTTATGGAGACTGAGAAGACACCGGTAGATCCGCAGTGAACGTCCGTCCGTTGATGACTAAACGTTTGTTGCCTGGGCTGATTTTTTTTTTATGCGCACATGTGGCTCTTAATACATTTTACATTTCGCACACATCTATTTTTAGTCGCAAATACGAGTGAAACGGTTGCACTGTCGAGTCTTGTGAAGTATAACAACATTTGAGCTACACTGAACAGAAGCTTCCAGATCTTGTACCTGATGTGCTGGCCTGCGTCAGGTGCTTCTTCAGCTGCAGAGCTCCAGGTGTTGGCACCGACAACAGGCTCTTAAATTCATTTGAACAACCTGAGACTTCACCCGACTGCACAGCTAGAAAAAAAAAAATCACATAAACAAGAGTCGGATTAAAGGGAGGAATATTCATACTTTTTTCTTTCTCTTCCCAGAGACTTAAAAACCTCTGGTCAGTACAAGTTCTGGGACCCTTACCCAGCCTCTTGGCCTGGCTGACGAGCTGAGCCGAACCCTTCACAAACAGCTTGTCCAGAGTCTTCTGGCCTGGTTTGTTGGGTTTGGACGCCGATCTGCAACACACAGACGTGTCACTGAAACAGCTCAGATTCTGCCCAGTCCCACACACTGCTGCTGGCTCCTAACACTGCAATTAGCATGTGCAAATTGATTTCAAAATGCAGTGTTAAAAGTGCAAATATGATTGCCACATGGCGGGGTTGTGACCTCTGTATAAACTATTTTCTGCGACTGTGTTTTTGGAGGGGCAGGTGAAGGGCACAGAGGCTTTCTTTGATTTCCATTATTAAATACTGTGCATCAAAAAGGCAGAATTTATAGAAAAAGAACATTTCATTTTACTCACATTGATGCGGCGCAGGCGGGCGAGGAAACTCCGCCGTAGTAGAAGCCGTCCTGACACAGTCGCTCTCTCAGGCCGCCACCTCCCTTCCCCTTCACCTTGTTGGGAGCTTTTCCCGAGAAAGACGACTGCAGGTCCGCTCTCTTTGAGCTCATCTTCTTGTACTGAGCTTTGACGTGATACTGGCAGAACTGACACTCATACTGCAAAACACAGAAACCAGATTTGTAAGGATGGGTTCAAAAGTAATGTCGATTTATTTAGTTAAAGAAACGGTTTAAAACCCACCAAGTTTACGATCTGAGAGCAGGGCTCTCCGTTCCTCTTCGCTGCCTTACAGGTCCCAAAGTCCTGAGCTTCGCCCATCAGTAAGACCTTCTGTGGGTGATCAACGGTGAGGCTCACCTGCAGACAGTCAACACAACACAACGTGTATTTTCTTTAATAGGGTTCAGTAGTAACTCATAATCCAATCAAAAGACAGGATCGATTAGAAAGATATAAACAAGCAGGTTTAGGGATGAATGATGAATTTTTGCAGATATATTTAAATCCACTTTGTTCAATACTTTGTTCAATAACAATATAGATACTAGAGACCGACAATTCATTGGCTGATTAACAGTATGGTCCATCACTTTTATTTAAAATTTAAAGAATATAAAGTTTCCCTCTTGAGAGAATTTCCCAGTTTTGCTTTTTGATTCAGTCGCTTTATTTCAGATCCAGACATGAACAGTAGGTTTGACCATAAATGACGATCTGTTTCAGTATAGCATAAAGTTACCTGCTACAACTAACACCTGCCAGAGGTTTCTAACTAGTTTTGACTCAATAAGAAGCATCAGTATTAATTTTAGTCTGTTTCATAACCAGCTAAAATCTCCTCACAGGAGCTTTAAATCACCACAACTCCAAAAAATGATGAATTAAGTTTATTCTAATCCAAGTTTAACAGAAAATAAAAGAGAAAAATCAAATGTAAAGTAAAGAGCGATGCTCAGTTTTGCAAGTTAAAAGATCAACCGGGACGAGCGCTGCATCAGTCCTCTGAGATTAGAGGCTCTGAACTTAAACTGCTCACCGCGGGTGGTAAGTGTGTGTGTGTGTGTGTGTGTGTGTGTGTGTGTGTGTGTGTGTGTGTGTGTTGGGCACAGCTTTGGCTTTCCTCACACCACAATCCGCTCTTAACATCTCAGTATGTCATGCCACACGCTGACACCAGCAACCTAACTGGCTATTTTCACCGCCAGACACCACCAGACTGGTTCCTGCTTTAATTGAGAAATCCCTTCAGGTCCGAAGCAGCCGGTCAAACAGGCAGTTCAGAGTGACATTAAAATACAGGGTAAGCATTTAACCACGACTGAGAGAGAGTTCGCTTTTACACTTTTATGGTTATTGAGTTGAGACTGACACGCAATTCTCCTCTAACCCCATTTGGCCTGACGATAATCACTCTGACCTTAATATGTGTGGTGTATTTATAGATATTTTCATTGGCTGTATTTGACATTTTACTCTGAAAAGAGTTTAAATTAGTTACCCTCCAATTATACTTTGCAATTTGAAAACTAAACTCTCCTGGATGTTTTATCACTTCATTATTTTGGACTTGAAAGATGAGGAATTGTGTGGAACCAGAAGAGGGCGTGTTTAACACTAATAACTGAGCCTACAGGACTGGTGGAAAATAAGCAATGTGCAACTCCATTGTTCCCTATAAATATGTTAATATTAAGTGCAAGTCTACAAGTATTAGAGTTCATATAAGCGCTCGACCGTTATGGATTTTTGGGGGCCGATGCCGATTATAAGGGAGGAAAAAATCCGATTGCCGATTAATCCACCAATTTTTTAATTTCTTTGATTTTTTTTTGTAGTAATAAAATATATAAATATATATACTGTAGATATCTAACATTTTCAAAGTGAAACCGACTCTTATTCTCTGTATTTTATTTCTGAAAATATTGGCGAAAATCAGTGAAAAAATTGGTTAGTCTCAAAGGAGCTAAATTGGCCGATTTAATCGGCTCGCCGCAAAAATGACCCATCTGAATCCATTAGAAATCCAAAACCTTGTTTGCTATTTTAGACGCTTTAAGTATTTGCAACGCTTTAAGTTTGGAAAAGTATGGAAATAAATTTGATAAATTTCCTGGTCTAAAAAAGTATGGAAAATGAAAAATCTAGTACGGAAAAATATATCTCTGGACTTTGACCACTGTTTTCTAAAAATAGAAAAGTATGTATTTCCAAAAATAATTCTAAAAAGTAGGGTATGGAAAAGTATGGAAATTCCAACTGTATAGAAACCCTGTTAATGCAAATGTTCACATTGCAATGACATGAGTTGGTAATTGATTATGACATAACCTTTATATGACTGTATCAGAGTTCCTACATTTATTGAAAATCAAACACTTCCCAGTTGGTGTGTGTATAATAAATAACGACTGTTGGCTTACCCCGTCGTATCCCTCTTTCTGCTTCATGGGGTTTGGGTTGAGGAGGCCGATGACGGTGCCCAGCTCTGTCTTCCAGTGCTCTTTGTGGACTTCGCCGAACAGGAGCAGAGACACAAACACTTCCAGGTTGTGGAGGTCGTTCAGTTTCCAGATGCTGAAGGTTTTGCCCTGCAGAAAAGAAAAATTTAACTATACTGGGTCTTCAATGTAAACTAAGGATATGATCAATTTTGCAGCTATTGAAACCTCATTGCTTTGATTTATTCTACTTAAGAGGCTCAGGCTGGAAGTTCTAGACACTTTGAGAGTCGAATAAAAAAAACTATTGTTGCAAGGACATGTTGAGTTTTGTCTCATATTAGAGGTTTAAGCAAAGACCTACACTGCTGCTGCTTTGTGGTGTGGCTTTGTTGACCAGCACAGCAAAAGTCACCCAGTCACTGTCCTCCAGCTTCTCTCGCGTCAGCCGCTCAGGCACCTGCGACAGGCGGATGAGGCGCCGATCAGCCATCTTGCGGTCCATCTCGCTGGAGGAAACCCGCGGTTTTCTAAAACACAACACAGAACAAACACACACAGACTGAAACACTGGACAGAAAAGTATGAGTTTTTCTGAGTACAGGCCCCCGGAAGCTTCTTCCACTTTGGCATCTTTACCTGAGCCGCAGTCCTGAGTATTTCTCCACACCCACATCTTTAGGAAGAGGTGGAGGAGCGGATGCCGCGCTCGGGCCTCCTAAACCTGGTGAGGCTTTGCTCTGAGAGGCTGGAGGTGAACGCAGAGGATTTGCTTTGCTGGTGCTCTCTGCTGGCTGGAAAGAGCTGCCGATCTTTATCTCCACCAGTGGCCCTCGCTCCTCTGATGAGCAAACAACAAAGAACAGACACTCATTCACTGATCAACCTTCCTCATCAGTTCTGTTCTTGTTGATAGATTGTGTTTGTGTGACTCCAACCTGGTGATGAGCCGAGTTTGGGAGCGTGAGCCACCCTGGGTTTACGTTTGAAGGAGTCGGCATTGCTCAGCTGTTCGAGAAAGTCAGAGGACTCCTGAAGTTTTTGACCTCCTCCTCTGACTGGAGTGGATGAGGATGCTGCTGTAGTCAGAGTGAGACAAGAAAAACAAACATAAATCAACCTGCATCTATAGTAGTTAAGAACATTTCCAGAGACACAGGAAATTTAAGGGATGGGATGTAAGGGAGGACATGCAGCCGGGAGTTGAACACATTTAAAGGCCTTTGCCATCTGTGATATAAATCGTAGATGGAGACCACACAGAGGTAAACATGTCGGTCATCCTGATAGCTTGCTCCTAATGCCATGAAAGCTTGTGTAATCTTTGTTTTGAAGAAACTCTAAATGTTGTGGTTTAAGAAATCAAACCAAGGACCAAAGTCTAGAAATCTTAACCACAGGAGATTTTAAAACTGAACCCATTCTGTGCAGAAACAAAATGTACCTGTTTGTGTCTTTGTCTTTTGAGTGCTAGTGACCACTTTGGCTTGGGTCAGCTTGGGCGTTGTCGGTTTGGGGGTCACTGGTTTTGGATTTGCAGAGCTTCCCTTTGTGCTAACTGGACTTGAAGATGAAGACGTCTGACTCGCGTTCAGCTGCTGCTGCAACCGCTGTACCTGTTCCTGCATTCGCCTCAGCTCATCTAAGAAAAGAAGAAGTCAAGTCCATGAGTGAACACAAAACCAACAACAGAGACGTCAGTGAGAGGAGACATGAGAGTCACAAACCTTGTAAGTCCTCCCTGGACTTGTCCAGACTCTCACAGCGTCCTCCACTTTTTTCTTCATCAGCGTCTTCATGTTCAATGTCGTCTACATCTCCGAACAGCTCAGACACTGAGTCGTTTTTCTCCACGTCTTGTCCTGCTTCCTCCGGACCCTCTTCATACTCTTCTTCCTCACCGTCTCCATCAAACAGGCCGTCTAAGTCGTCTTCTTGTCTCTGACAGTCCTGGTCTTCTTCCCCACCTTCATTTTCAGCCAGCAGAGCGGTCAACACGTCCAGTTCATCCTCACCTGAATGGAGGAGATTGATCTATATTCATCTCTAAATATTTTCATGAAGCATCTTCTTGATTTGTTTATAACTCAATACTCACTGTCCATTTTAGTGATATCAAAGGAGACGTCGACGTTGGATCAGCTGATGACCTTAAAGAAGTAAAATGTTTCGATTATTGCATGGAAAGAAGAAAGGACTGATTTAGCAGCAACGAGTTAGAAAAAGTAAGTAGATTCAGATTCAATACAACTTATATGTACTGTATGGCACTTTTCAGACAATAAATGTAGCTCAAAGTGTTTCACAGAGGCTAAAAACAACAATTAAACAACGATTTAAACCCGACCCTCCCACCCACACACACACAGACACACATCCACCCTCGCTCACCCACACATACAGAGTGACAATTGGAGATATATTGTTAAGGAGACATGGCCTGACACAGAGACATTGCGTGAGGAAAGAGCTACCTTTAGGAAACACTGAAGATAAAAGATAAAAAGTAAAATTAAAAACAAACAAATAAACAAAAAGATGTGAAAATAGGCCTCCCTATGGTCTAGAATAGAAGATAAAGAGAGTCAATCAATCTAATTTTATTTATATAGCGCCAATTCACAACAGTCGTCATCCCAAGACGCTTTCATAGGAAAAGGAGCAGGTCTAGACCACGCTCATTGTTTGATGAATTATCAAGACCTAACCTAAGATGGGACAGATTTGACCCATCTCATCTAACATGAGTGACAGTAGCAGGGAAATTCTTCCTTTTAACAGGCAGAAACCTTAGGTAGGACCAGACTTATGTTAGACAACCACCAGGCCGCTGCTGGGTTGGGGAGAAATACAGAGAGATAGGGATAGGGGGAGAGGGAGAGAGAGAGAGAGAGAGAGAGAGAGAGAGAGAGAGAGAGAGAGAGAGAGAGAGAGAGTATGACCAACTAAATAATACATGCTCCTCTGAACAGTTCAAGACAGTCACAGATTTGCAGATCAACTCTCACATTTATTACGATCTATTAAAAATGGCTGAGAAACTGTTGTACAAATAAAGCTGTCATATTAAATCTCATTCTTGGCTGGTGTGTCTTTTTCAAGTCAGGACTGCAGACAGGACAGTTCAGCACCAGGACCCCTTGAGGTGCCTCACTGCTGTAATATGTACAAAATGGAGTTTGCCTTATTCTTGTTGTATCATGTATCTTCCCTGAAAAAGTCATTGTTAGTATGACAGCAAATGTTCCTGTTCTCATTCCAGTACCACCTAAAGAGCCCAGAGAGCGGCCATCCAGTACGATTTGGGCCAAATCTTTTTGGTTTTTAAAGTATTCTCTAAATATTTTGACATCATATTACAATAAAATATCTAAAAATACTTGAGAGATGTACCTTCAGGTGTGTTGAACCTTTTGTTGGCATCTAAATTAAAATGGTCGTATATTTTTCAAGAATCAAAATCATTTTCCCAGCTTCGATTTTAGAAATATATTGTCTTTGGAGTATTTCTGTCATCTTTCAGATCAAAATCAACTTAAATCTTTCACTCTGATCTTTTGTTTAAATGAATAGAAACAGTCTGCTTACCTTAGGTTCCTCTTAGTTTGGTATCCTTCGTCAGCTTTAATGCGACTTTGACGGGTTACACTGCTACCTCTTACTTTTAATTATAAAAAGAAGAAATACATCGAGTTATTTATGGGTGAAACTAAAGATCCTTGTTATAAAATGACTCCGAGTTTATCCGGCTGCCTTTAAAACGAGCTCGCAGGAAAATCCAAACTGGCGCTAAACGAAGGACCCCGCTGTGTTGTCAAAGCTCTTGTAGGTGCCCGAAGAACTGCCTGAAAACCTTATCTTTGCTTGAAAATTCATCCGAGGGGAAAATCGGGATTTTGCAAAGAAAACAGCGAAGGACCAACGTACTGTACATATTTTTTTTTTTACCAGAATTACGGCTGTTAGGCAAAGCGTTCGTTGTCGTTGCTGAGTTCAAATTTGTAAATCTACTTCGAGATAGTGAGGGGCACGGCAGTTCTTTTAGATGTACTGAATCACTAGAATCAGTTCACTAAAAAGATTCGTTCGCCAAATCACCGAACCATTTGGCGGGAGAAGCCTGTGACTCCGACCTCCTGAACTGATACACAGCTGAACGTTTCAGGATTCACTTCAATTCAGAGCTTCTTCTACTACCAGGAGACGAGAGTGTTTGGCTGTGTTGCTTTGGCAAACAGGTTTGTAAAAATGAATTTATTATAAGTCAAGATGTTTTAAGTGTACTGTACTATGGTATGCTATTTATCCAGTCTGCTTGGTAAATTGGGGTCAGTGAGTGATTCGTTCACTGAACGTTTAGAAGAATTCACACTGATCATCGCAAACCCCTGCACTGATAGGACGCTGCGGATTTAATGCATTACTTGTAACATGCTGTGTTCTATTGTGTGCAAGTTGTTGTGGTGGCAATTCAGCAGTGAAAAAAAGGTAGTTTTGTCCGACAAAAATGATTCCAGAGAGTGTAGTTCAATGCGTGATTCGTTCACCACAGGTGTTGGTGCGGGCCCTCGTTCGCCGGCTGCTTGACTGGCTTCAGTACGTTCACTTAAAAGATTCGGTTCTTTTGAACGAATCGTTAACGAACTAAACAACACTAGTCCTTACTGTAGTCGTATTCTTAACGGTCAGTTTTGCTGAAGATTTGCGCCTGAAAGAAATTCAAAAGGGTAAAATGTTAGGGACACTTCCAGCGTTTGCGTGTTCTGTTTGTTGCTGCTCTTGTTAAATTATGTTTATTTTTTCAAACAAATAAAAAAGTGTCAAGTACTACCGAGTTAAAGATCTTTTAGTTTTTACATGCCATGATTTGATAAACAGACAACAAAAAGTTGATTTTTAAAATTTTTATTCACATAACTACAACATGTAATCAGAATGATTTATAACCTGCAGACTACAGAATCAGCTGAGCATGACGCCCCCCTGCACATACAAAGGCAGTTGCTTACAGTGATAGGCTGTTAAACAAGTTAAATACAATTTGTTCTTACTTCCTGATATCGTCAGCAGAGTCAAACTAAAATATATTCATGTTTATAATAAAGTGCCTAAATGGTGCATGCTTATTTTTTCTTTTCCTTCAACAGAAAAAAAATCAATCATGGACTAAAGTATCCTCTCCTAGAAAAAATAAAAAGATTTTTTTTAAACTTTTAAAATTATTGCAAAGCAACTAAAATAACCAAATACTCTGTAAACAGATTGAACTTGTCAAGACTGGACTTCTCTAAAGTATGCAGACAGGAAGACAGAACATGACTGAAATCTTAGAAAAGTTTTGGTGCAGTTTCTGTTTTCATATCCCTGACTTGTTTCGCCTTGGAAGGAATTCTGAATCGTATTGTTTGTTACAGCTAAAAACAAACTATGTGCCTGATGACATGAGCTGAAACCTGCAGACAGATGCGCTCTCTTACATTTGTCTATTCTTGTACAAATAATTCCAACACTTGTACTTACTTTCTACAAAGCCTCACAATAGCTTCCAGACTGTATATTCAAACTGAAGTTTTTCCAACTTTGATGGAATTTCACTGAGTTAATCGTGGAACTATGGAGTGTCATCTTAGGTATCTGAGAGGAGGTACAGGTAAGCAGAGGAAGACTCAGATTATGGTGCAAATTTAGCTGCTGCTGACATGAATGCTTGTTATAATGGATGTCTAGTTGATGCAGTCCATGATGTGAATCTGCAGGGTGTCCAGGTCTGGAAGGATTTCGTTGCACTTGGGGCAGGCGTGCTCTGGAATGCTCCCCTGATGCCAGTCAGTACCTAAGAGTCAAAAACATACCGAAGGAAGCTAAACTTGACGTCACACATCACAAAGAACTTTTAATCATTATGGGAAATAAGTTTATGAGGTTCATTGTTTGCTGAGAGGTTTGATAGTTCTCTAACATTAAATTCATAGCATACAAAAAGTAGAGGTACCTCTTCCAACCAGACTAGCGCCAGCTCCGTGTATACTTGCACCCCCGTGTCTCATCTGCATTTCATTCAGCGACCGCCTGTGGTGAAAGATAAAAATGTTCCAGGAAAGGAAAAGAAAAGCGGCATGCTAAAGATGAAGTCCTTGCTCTAATTCCACTCCTCTAAATAACATTTTATTGATTCTTAAGAATAATATTTTTTTAATTGGCAGCATATTTTCCTTTGTTGTGGTGTCACTGTCTAAACAACAGACTTGGATTTCAATCAAAAGCCATACCGGCCCAGTGACTCCATCTCTTCCTGCAGATGGGCGTTCTGCTTCTTCACATACTCCAGCTGAACAGCCAGACGCTCTCTCTCTTCATGGAGTTTCTCCCTCGCTGTTCGCTCTGCATAAAAGTCCGAGGAGTAGACCTCTGCCTGCGTGACACAACAAAAACCTACAATGACAGCTCTGAGGCTGAAGGGAGTCGTGCTGCTATGTTGTCAAAACATTTCTCCTCTCGCTGACCTGAGCCTGGAAGACCGATATCTGCTCCAGCTCCTTCTCCTTCCGATAGATCTCCTGCTTCATTTCATCAATGCGGGTCTGCTTGGCAGCCAGGGCTTCTTCTGCAGCAGCCAACTGCTGCTGTAGCTGCTCCACCACCTCTTTCTGCACCAGCTGAGACTGCAGGGACCAGAGGGGGGAAAGTCAAACACATCTGCTTCTCATGTCTTAGCTGTTATAATATTTTTATCTGAACTGGATGAGAGGAAATCAGCAGGATTGATTTTGGTGATCGCAAAAGACTTGCTCTTTGACAGACCTCTCTTTTCTTCTTCTCCTCTTTGAGCTCGTTGTAGTCTTCAAACAATTTGGTGTAGGCATCCTTCAGCTGGGCCAGGTTGTTCCTGTGGGGAAGCATATTTACTGGTTTAGTAAACAGGCTTTTTATGATTCACAAAATATTTTAATCTCTGGGTTACAGGTTGGCCTGAGGTTTTCACATGCATCCCATACACAGAGGCTATAGTCCTTGCAGTAGTCCTTTATTTGACTCCTGGCTGCAACCCTTTGCAAACCCTTCCATATTTCCTGTCTCTTTTCAGGTGTCTTATCGAGTAAAGGCAATGATGCCCCAAATATACCTTCAAAAATGTCTAATCTGTGCAGATTATTATGAGCATCTTGGAAACAAACTTGGCTTAATTTAGCTGCAGCTCAGCTCTTCAGACCTCTCCAAGGATCTGTCTAAATACAACGATTTTGATGCTGCTTATTTTTGTGTTTTTGTAAACTAGTTGGTTTGTTTTTACTCATATTTGACAAACAAGTGCACAGTTTTAGAAATGTTGGATAAATAAAAACTTAAATCTATGTTAATAAACGACACATCAGTCCTTAAATAAAAAACCTTCCAGATCTACAAAATTATGAGGGTATTCATCAAAATCTGTATTTTGTAATGAAGATCAATATTGACCAAATTCCTTGATAAGATTTTTCACTATTTTCACCCATCCTTCCTTTAAAATAACTCATTAACTGTGAATGTTTTATATGTGAATCGGTCTGCTCTGACCTCTCCTCTCCAGCCTTCCTCTGCTCCAATTGGCTCTCGGCCTGCATGCTGTCCAGCTGCAGCTTCAGCCGGTTGTTCTCCGACTGCACGGCCTGTTTCTCCACCAGCTGGGCCTTCAGAGTGGCCACGTCCTGCTCCACCTCCCGACATCTACACACAGTGAGAAAACGAATCATACACATGTCAAAATGCGGCACCAAAAAATCTTCGGTGTTTGTTTTGGGAGGTTAGGGATTCCCCGCAATGGGCAGAGGTGTTCTATAAACGTAAGGGCCTAACCTGTCCTGCAGGTTCTTCTTCATGCCTTCTGCTTCATCCAGTTTGCTCTGAGCCTGCTGCAGCTCTTTGAACAGAGTCATCATCTGAGACTTCAGATTCTCCACCTCAGACGCCGCCTGAAACATTTCCATGATGACACACAGACATTACAGGAAGAACACAAAACCAGTGAAATGATAACAGAGAGTGGCAGTCTGGAAATAAATGGATATACATCATCATTTTCCACAGACTAAGACATACCTCCTCTTTGCCAGAATCCTCCTTGGTCTCTGCTTGAGTGGTTTGTGTTGAGTCCTCTACGTTGCTCTTCCGCTCCATCAGCTCTCTAATCCTGTTGGATAAATGGTTTCGAATTTTTCAAGTTGAAAATGTAAGCTCTTGGAAACAAAACACTGTAGCAAACACCAAAATTAAAACAAAGGGACTAAAATGAAAAGACAGTGGGAACGTTTTCTCTAAACTTACCTTGAAGCAGAGGTCTGCAGCTCGGCCTGCAGCCTCTCGGCTCGCTGCGTCTCATTCCTCAGGGATTGGAGGAGCTGGCTGACGGTCTGCTCCTCGTTGCCCAGCCTGGACGCCGTCATGCTCAGGTCGAGACGTCTGCTGAGCTCTGATCCACAAGCATCATTCACACTGTCCACACCTCCATCCTGAGAAGAGAAACACAGTGAAATCCTACGTGCAATCATATTTATATCGCAATAACATTTAATGTCCTACAGTTTGAAGTACAGTCTCCCTTTAGTGCATAAGTATTCACAGTGCAATAACGTGTCTGTGTTACTCTGTACCGTGACTTTGATGATCTCGATGAAGGAGTCCTCCTTCGAGTCCTGTTCAGCCCTTAGCTGCAGCTCAGAGTTCATGGCCACCAGGTCGTTCTTCTCAGCCTGCAGGCGAGAAACCTGGGCACGTAGGGCATCCAGCTCTGCGTTCTGACTGGACGACGCCATCTGGAGGTTACATCATAACACGTATAATTAGCTGTAGAAAGCTATTACCACAGTGACGTACATTAAAAATGTTACTCATAAAAAGAAGTCTCACCACTGAGCCTCCTCCCCCTGTGGACCCCTCCTCCCCCAGCCTCTTGTTGAGCTCCTGGTTTTGGAGAGTCAGGGTCTCCATACGAGTGCGGGCCTCCTCCAGCCGGCTCTCCAGGAAGTCCTTCTCTTCACGTTGCTTCTCCCGCCACGCAGACAGACCCTCGAACCTCTCCTTCATTGTCAGGTTGGTCTGACGCAGGGCCTCTGAGAGGAGAGAACAACGAATCAATGCAGATTGTGGAAGTCGTGACCTCCTGAAGTCCACCCAGTCAAGACTTCTGAAGAGCACCAAAGAGGTCTAGACCAGTCTTCTTTCATTATTTAAAAAAGCCAATAAAGAGCTCAAATACTAATACTACACTTTGCACAACAGCACTCACCTTTCAGGTCCCTGTTCTCCTGGATGAGGATGTTCATCTGCTGCAGGGTTTCCTCCAGGGTGCCAAACTGACTTGGGGAGCGAGAGAGGTCGCCGTTCATCATGGGGCCTCCGGACGCCATGATGCCGAGAGGAACACTGGGATTTGAAGTCAAGGACCTGAGAGAACAGGTTATGAACACGCTTAGTTTTTGTGCCGCTTTACACAGTGAAATAACAAGGGATTTAAATGAAAGCACAGCAGACAATGTATGAGGTTTAAGTAGATGCACATTAAGTTTCTAACAGGATTTTTTATGGGTTTCTGTTCACTTAACATTTATTTCTGCAGCACACACCAAGACAGTAAAGATCCCACTATTACCCCTGTAGCAAATGTAGTCAACCAATTTCACTGCAGACAGACAACTGCTTTGTTGTGACGCTTACACACATTTTACCGCAGACAGCGCCGAAAGTAAGGTAAGCTACTGAGTCAGACAAACTATTACAACTCAATTAAATGTGTCAACGCCCCAGTTTAGCCACTTTTTAAAGCAAGCAACACATGGAATATTTTTCAATTTTTTAACATACTACAGTTATGAAATGTGGAATTTCTGACTCCAGTTCACTTTAAATCATGCGATAAAGTGTTGAAACTGATTACTGCAGCCTTCACCATCTGAGTCAGAGCTTCAGCATGTATGTAGAGCCACAGAAACAGAATGATCTTATCAGCAGGTCACATGATAGATGAATCATATTAGTGAGAAGGGACAGCATTAAAAAAAACACACATTCAGGTCTTTTTTCACTTTTACACAATGACTTCCTGATTGACCGTCACAAATGAGATGTACGGTTTTAGAAATACAAAATAACCATTCAGGGATGAGTACAATTTGATAACTCCATAATACTACAATTTGTAAGTGTATGTTACATTAAAGCTACAATAGTAAACCACAGACACACTTAAGCTCTATAAAAATGTCAATAGTTGCTTTTAAATATGTTAAATTTTAGTTTCACTTTTCTCTCGTAGGCCTGGTCTGTGTGGTAAACATTGAAAAGTTACCACCAACTTACACAACACTGACATGGTTTAATCCGTGACAAACTGCGTCATTTAACAACTTAAACGGGAATAAATGTTTTCACTCACCAGCTGTCGACTTCTTAACCAAACACAGTCTGTATCTTCACTCCTAAATGTACAGAAAAGCACTCAGGAGCAACACAACATGAGTCGGTCAACCTTGTACTGCTGCTTCTGGTTTGGGAGAACGTGAAAAGCCGTTTACATACACTACGACTTCCGGTAAGGGATTTCATAATACAAGTTTTTTTTTTTGACCAGTCTGAATGCTTTTAAAGAACTGATTTATCACTTTATTCTCAAATAACGCCTTTAACATTTGAGTATTTAATAATCCGGGTAATTTTAAGCTTCATGACACTGTTATTTAGTTTATTTCTTGTTCAATAGGTAAGTTAAAATGCATTAAATTTAAAATTGCAGGGGTTATCATAGCAACCATCTTGTCACCCCAACAATCTACATTCAATAATAATAATAATAATAATAACAAAACAACAACAATAATAATAATAATTTTGTTTATATAGCGTTTTTAAAAACAGAAGTTTTCAGAGTGCTTCAACAATCAGCCGCGAAGCACAGAACATCAGTACATGAAAATACATAAATAAATAAAAAACAAAAGCTCAGTTAAATTTCATTTGTCATAAGTAACCCAGACAATTCATTCAATGAGACCATGTGGACCAAAATAAAAAGATAAAATAGGTAAGAAAAGAAATGTAATAAAAAGGGGGAGTAGAAAGCAGGAAACAGGATAGTAAATATAAAAAGATGATAATAATTATGATAACAAAAACATAAGAAAAATAATGATGTAACAGAAATGATAAAATGGAATAGCAAAAATAAGCAGGAAAAAAATTATGCATAATATTTATTGATATTTCTTTTTTCCACAATTTGCCACAAACTTTTAGCTGCTTTGTACTTACATTCATAAACTCAGCCTCAAACATGGGTTCTTATTTTGAAGGCTACAGTCCCTCTGTTTCCGGACGCTATGCTTGTGTTGTCGGATGGCTGACGGAGCTGTGACTAGTGTGCATTTCTAAAAGGTTTTCGTTTCCTCGAGGTGACGTAGCGAAAGCAGGGACTAGATCTAAACCTAAACAACAGCTGCGCATGCTCGGAGCCGCAGTGGGAACAGGCCCATCCACATGTCTTAGAAATCAGAGGGGAGGGCAGGTGACAGACGAGGACGGGACTTTCGCAGGAGTCACCTTGCACTTGGTCAACGAGAATGGACTCCGAAACGTATTATACAACCACTTTATGACTTCCTTTAACGGAAATAAAATTGTTCCTCACTAATATTTTATGTTTTTATTTTTTATTTTGAACAAAATCGTTCTTACAATGACTCAATTTATTTGATTAAAAAAGATAATCTATTGCATAACTTAAGTATATACTTGCTGTTCATGCTAATGTCCATTAGATGGCAGTGTTACGCAAGAAAGGGGTTCCAAACACAGATGATCATGAATGCATTTAGAGCCAAAAATGGTGTATGGAGATCATTGGGTTAATTATTATACTTAATTTTAATGATGGAAGGTTAATAAGTAACAATGAAAGGAAAAACTGTAGACCTACAAAATACCATTGGCACAAATCACTGTTCTGCAAATTCCTATTATTTTTATATTATCAGAATCAGAATCAGAAATACTTTAATAATCTCCAGGGGTAAACTGCTTTTGTCACAGTACTACAGTGCAAATACAGTAAAAATAAGGAGATAAATAATAGATAGAATAAGTAAAATTTGTAAAAATAAAGAGATGATATAAAAGTATGTACACTATATACAACACAAATAGCATCATTTTAATTATTATGATTTTTTACTGAGAGAAACTCAAGAACTTACTCTAGCCATGCCTTCAAATTAGAGCAACTTTCCAGCTGAACTGAGACATAGTGTTGTGTCGTTCGCGAACGATTCGTTCAAAAGAACCAAATCTTTTAAGTGACTGCATGAACCAAATCACTTCCTTGAGTAATTCGTTCGCTTCTCACTTCAGTTGAGCTGAAGCGAGAAACAGCATTGCATTGTTTATGTCCGACATCTTCTGCGGATATAAACGATTTCTGCCGACTTTGCAAAGTCAACTGCAGAATTAATGGCGTTCTGAATGAACAGCGCTTTGAAAAGTCCAGCAGCATGTGTTAGACGTCACCATCTACACATGGACCAATCAGGGGCTGCCTTTCCCTGTTGTCCGGGTAACAGTGGAAACATGGTCTCTGATTGGCCCAGTTATTTTCTGATCGGGAATACACGCTCCCAATGGGCCGAAGTCCAGACTGTTGTGGGAAGGAACGGCAAGTGATTCACGCAACAGGATGGCCCAGCCAGGCTACAATTTACCGAGTAGACCTGATAAAAAGCATACCATCTGACAGTACACTCTACACATCATGACTTACAAACAAGTTCATTTTCACAAACCTGTTTGCTAAAGCAACACAGCCAAACACTCTCATCTCTTGGTCCTGGAAGCTATGATCTGAACTGATTCCTGAACCGTTCATCTGTGTATCAGTTCAGGAGGTCGGAGCCACAGGCTCCTCCTGCCAAGCGCGAAATGATTCGGTGATTTGGTGAACGAATCTTTTGAACGAATCTTTTTAGTGAACTGATTCTAGTGATTCAGTACATCTAAAAGAACTGCTGTGCCCATCACTACTGAGACATGAGCCACGCTTTCTGATCCTCTTGGATGCGTTCATGTGCAGCAGGAAATACAAGCTCTCAGATATTGTATCCAAAAGCATAGTTCGAAACTTCACTTTGATTGTAAATGTTTATCACTCAGCTTGGGGAACAAAAATGCCACCAAATGAAATATTTTTAAAGAAGGCTGCCAGAAAAGCTTCGACAGCAGCCTGTGCCTCTTGGTAAAGTTACTAAAACTAATGCGCATCAATCAGCAGAAGCGTAAAATTCAAAAATCGGAGCGTCTCATTAGTCCGTGAACGCATCAGCGGCGCGCTTCGGTGGTGCTTGTGTTTCTGCTGCAGCACGCAGATGGGATGGAAACAGTGAGAGCAAAGCAACAGGTTGGGGTTTATGAAGTGTCTGCAGATTGATCTGGCTACAGGGTTTGGTTAAATAGACTGGAGGTGGAGGAGTGGAGGTATGTGCAGGTTTCACTGATGAACAGAAGCACGTGCTGTGGACGAATTCAACGTATATTAAGATATTTGGCATGCATTATTAAGCTTTTTTGTCGGGGAAAGCATCATCTGGCGTCCAGGTAACAACCACATGTGAGAAGTTCTTTTAACACGTCTGATGCTTGGATGCACTGGATAGCAGGCACTTTTGAAACCATTGTTTAGACCTTAATATTCACACAGGGTTTAGAAACTGTAAAACCCCTGAAACTCGGGCTCCTCAAGATGCTCTCCGTGGCGTTTCTCTTCTTTGCGCTGGGCGGTTTTGCTCATCTGGACACTTTTACGCACGGGTGCCAGCTCCCTTCTGAGTGGCGGCCTCTGAGCGAGGGCTGCCGGGCGGAGCTGGCGGAGATCATCGTGTACGCCCGGGTGTTGGCGATCCACCGGGAGCCCCTCGGCGGCGGGGCCGGCAGCCTGTACAACTCCCTGCCTTTCGGGTTCGGGTATGGGTACGAAGGCGCAGAGGAAGGGCTGCTGTACTCCGCGGAGGTAGAGCTGCTGTGTGATCAGGCCTGGGGCAGCATGCTGGAGGTGCCCACTGGATCAAGACTCAACCTGACTGGACTGGGGTACCTGTCTTGCCAGTCCCACACTGTGATGGAGAACTACTCCTACTTCTTTTTCCTGAGGTGAGGTCCAAAAGGGAAGGAAACATTAGACACACAGTGGATCTAGACTGCAGCCCATGATACTCTTTTCTAGACAGGAGTGCTCTCTGTAATCTGCATAGATATTTGAAACAGTACACTTTATAGTAAAAGTTTGACTTTTGCAACTTTGCATTTTCTTACATATGAAATGCACCAACCAAAAGAACTTAAATGTCAATATTTATTGATTCAATGCAGGTTAAAAACTTCTTATATCTCCTGCCGCAGCATCACCTTTCTCCTCATAGTTTAATCCAAATATCTCTTCTGCAGGATGGATGAGAACTACAACATCCTCCCCCATGGAGTCAACTTCCAGGATGCAATCTTTCCCGACACGTCCGAGAACAGGCGCACCTTCTCCAGCCTCTTCCAGTTCTCTAACTGCACCCAAGGGAGCCAGCCTTTCCACACCTTCAGCCCAGAGTGGGATACACAAGAGGACAGCAGGGTAAGGGGTTGCACACTTTTTATTATCTTGTATAAACCGTCATGCACCAGCAGTCAAAAAAACAAGCTGTTGAACATACACTTTGGAGTCATCTGGAGTCAGGTCAGCTTCATTTTTGGTTCATTGTTACATTTTAAAGGAAGGAGATATGCCTGTATCCAGTTGCCGTGGAGATGATGGATTGAAAATCCAGATTGACAGCAGGGTGATTTGTGTGTTCACAGCTATTGGAATTATGTGTTTTTTTTTTTTAGTGTCATTATCAGCTCTGGACTATAGCCTCTGTACCTGCGACCCAACATTGTCAAATTTGACCTCAGCTGTCAGCTCTATCAGCACAACAACAATCTTGGTTTGTACATGCATGAGGGAAATATTCTCAAGACAAATCTCCTGAAGATGTAAACTGTTTGGTTTTGGTGCCATAAATCGCTGTGTTGGAATCCCAGCTGATGACAGTGGTGACAGGTTTTAAGAATAACGCTGTAAAAACTGTCGATCTCCAGGATGATGAACTGGTTTGCTTTTGCGGGTCAAACGGAGGCATTAGCTACAAATTCAGACTGTTAAATTGCCGGTTGAAACTAACTCACTGAAGATTTAAGTGTATTTGGGGACACCTAATCCTGAGCTGAAGTTTGTGACTCTGCTGACAGGAATGTGGTGAAGATCAGTGGAAACAGAGTGTAACAACCCTCTGGCACAGCGCACAGCAACACACACACATTTCGCATCACTGCTCTGGTCTTTGAAAGGATAAATAAACACAAACACATGCACAGAAGAAGAATCGATTTCTCTTTTAATAGATTCCCCGCATGTGATTGGTCATGTGCGATCACGTCCCCCCGCCAGCTGAAGATCAAAGCAGTCGCTCATTGGTCAGAGTCTGGAGAAGTCTGGTTCCTCAGACAGACGGGATACTGGCCGTGAAGAGGTCAAAGGTCGAATAGCAGAGCTCCACATTTTCTGACAGGTAATAGTTCGAAAGCCTGTCAGTCTGCGGCTCATATCAGTGTGAAGCAACGCAGCCTGCTGAGCTGAAAAACAGAGATAAGATGAAAGTATGTCAACAGAGGAAGACAGATTCGCAGTTTGTTTGTGTTTATTATCACACCTCGTCTGAGTGATCTGAGCAACCCAAACAACGACACAGAGCAGCACAATGAGGAGGAAACTACTTCAAGTTTCGCTCTTATTTTGAAAAGATACAAGGGGGACTGTATGTTAGTATGGATGACACACCTCCATCACCTTCCTTTGGAATAAGTAATGCCAAAAAACAGCCTTGAGTGGTATTGACAAATTATATTATTGGCGTAGTTTGCACAAGGCATGAGCAGAGTCAATCTGGCTACTGGACTGCATATTGCAACCCTTTCACGTACCAAAATACACATTAGGAGCAGATAAAATACCAAAGATAACTCAGGTGGGTTCGGTCCACAATAGACTATCTTCTTGAGTTGATTTGAAGTAGATTCTCACGGTTATAGAAAGTTCAATTTCTCTTTTGTCAGCAACTGACGTCTTTGTTCAAATGGATCTGACCTTCAACTGTCTACATTTGGACATTTAAAGCAATTGTACTAAAACAGGGTGCCAACCACAAGATTTCTGCCTGATCTGGCAAATGTAAGGTGTCAGGACCCCCGTGGGCTTCAAAAATGGATTTTATCTTCTGTAGTTTGTCAAAGTGGACAACAGTGGTGGCCATCTCTGGGGTGTCTCACCACCTTCTGACAGAAAATCTGGCACTTTCGACTAATTTGAGTTGTCCCATCTTGAATTCCATCCATTTTCTACCGCTTATTCTGTTTCTCGGGGGGCTGGAGCCTATCCCAGCATCTTTGGGTGAAGGCAGGGGACACCCTGGACAAGTCACCAGTTCCTTGCAGGGCTGACATATAGAGATGAACAATCATCCACGCTCACATTCACTCCTATGGGCAATTTGAAAGTGGCCAATTAACCTAATTTCACTTCTGCATGTTTTTGGGATGTGGGAGGAAACCGGAGTAAACCCACACAGACACAGGGAGAACATGCAAACTCCACACAGAAATGCCCTGACCTGGATTCAAACCCAGGACCTTCTTGCTGTGAGGCGACAGTGCTAACCACTACACCACTGTGCCGTCCCCATCTTGAATTATAAAATATTATTTCTGTAGTTTTTCTTTCTTTTTATGATTTATTTCTTAATTTGTCAGACAAATGTTGTTAATGCACAATCATACTTATCATCAAAGTCTTGAGAATTTATCTGAATTAATCTCCAATGTCTCCAAATTTGACTCAGACGTCCCTTACTTTAAGACTTTTCTTGGGACCTCTCTACAAAGACTTCTTCTTGTCTTTAAAACTTTATGTCCAGACTTAAACCACAAGTTTTACATGTCCTTAGCGACCTCATTGACTCATTTAATGACTTGAACTTCCTTTTTCGTCTCCTCAAAAATACTCAAAATAACCTCTTTTTTCCCTGTAAATCAATAAGTAAAGGATCTGTATTATAAGCAGAGTTGCAGTCATAGAGAAACCATACGTTTGCAGCTTTTTTTTCATGAACAGACAGGAAGCTGCACCTCGTTTGTGATTGACCAGAACACAAAGTACATCAATAATCAATTTTGACATTTTGTTTTACGTCAGGAGTCAAAACAGCGCATCTAAATCATGAAGAATATTTGTTTGGTGTCCTCCTCTCACCTTTTCTTCTGCTTTGGCCCCTAAGGTCTGGTCCCTGCGTTAAAGGGTCAAAGGTCAGGGATTAAGGGTTAAAGACACTCCTCATTCACAGGACGAGCGCTCACATGTAGAGTCCACGACCTGCAGGTGAGGCGGGACAAAACAGGTGTCTACCTCCAGGAATTTACAGAGCCGGATGAGGTTGTTTCATATTTCTCTACTTGAAATTCTGTGTTTTGTTCCAAAGTATCCTCAAATTCTTTCCCTGCCTGTATCAGTCTCTGTGAGCTGGGAGGTTTCCAGACCTCCTCCAGCTGGGCTTCAAATACAAAACATCCTTAAAATTGGAGTGGGGAGGTGGTTTGCTTCTGGTTTCAGCCTCGTGGGAACCAGACGCCCCTGCAGGAGGACAGACAAGAGACTTCCTCCACTTTTCTTCCCGAACCTTCAATTAGCTTTTGTTGAAGCCTCCTCTTATCAGCGGCACTCAGAGCAGCTTTAAGCAGGAGCAGGAGGTAAAGGCTGCACCGAGCCCACTAATCATCTCTTTAATACAGATCCCTTTCCTTTATGCCTTATACAGATTATCTCCAGCCTTCGCTTGACGGGCCACAGTGAGATAGACTCGAATTCCCCAAATACTTCTTCATCAGCACATTTTTGTGTTTACACGCGCTCTAACGGCCTCGCAGTGAGGGGATACTCCCCCGTTTGAACTGTCATGTGAACACCTTTAACAAGTTTTCTGAAGCTCATTAACATTTTATGTGGACGCTGGAGGGAGAAAAGAAAGACAACGCAGTTTTCACACAGTTTCACGCAGCGGTTAAAGCCCAGGATGAATACACCGTGCAACTTTGTGTGTGTGTGTGTGTTTGTGAGGGTGTGTGTGTGAAGTCCTCTCTGTGTCCCCGGCTTTTTCTCTCTCATCTTTGTTTTTCTTCTCCCTCGGCCTCCCTTTTGTTCGCTTTATCTCTTCATCTGTCTCCAGTTCTTTCTATCTTATTGTTTTTTAAGCACCTATCCCCCATGCGCACACACACACAGGCACACACATATGCAAAGAAACACACATTCAGTGCAAACTAAAACCTCATGAGAAAAGAAGGGACCCAAGTCTGTGTCTTTGACGTCAATAGCGAAGCTTTAAAGACGCCGTGAAGAGGGGGTTGTGGGGCGTTCAGGGGGACTCACGCTGAGTCTTTATATGAAGTAATCAAAAGTCTGTGGAAATAAATGAACACTCAGGTCGGGTTGGACACACACAGAAGCACATCTCTGAGCGCCTTCAGTCCGTCTATATGATCCGTCTTTTCTTCATTTCTCTTATTTCAGTGGTATTAAGTGTTTGAAGATGCACAGTGTGGTCAAAAAGGACACCTGCTGGCATGTGAATAGCGCTGCAGTGCAGCTTCTACTTTAAATGAGTTTGAAATGAATCTCATGTCGTCACAGTTAAGGTATAAAAACATCTGCAGTGATGCTGCACGTAAACTAGGGCTGCTTCATTATGGCAGAAATCATAACCACAGTTTTGATGGATATTTAAAACCTCTTTTAAAGGGATATTCCGGTGAAAAATGAGAGATGAATGTTGCCGACTGCTTGCTTCTCTAGTCATACCAACTTTAGTAACAACCGCAGGATAGCAATACACAGCGGTCTGAGGAGCTATAAAGAAACCTCAACTAAAACGCCACTCTATAGCCACAAATAATGCTCAGAACAGCACCTAACTTCATCAACAGTACATATAGGGTCCAGCCAAAGTACTAGCCACCAAACATCTTCTTAACTTTGCCTGATTTCTTTAGCAAAGAGACTAAACACAACTCACCTACTCTCTTACAGCAGCTGCTTGTTTGTAACAAGACCTCAGGCCAGTCCATTACGGACTACAGCGGGGTGACGCAGCTCAAGGAAGAACATTCATGAGCATGTGTGACCAACTGGATGATATACTTTTTTTTTTCAAGTTTTATCCACTTCTACTAAATGGAAACATACATCAGATCTTCACTTCATTGTAAAAGCTTTGGCTTCATTTTAGTGATAATACTTAATGAATTTAACACCAGATTCCACTTATAGTAACGTGATTTTACAGAGTGTCGTAACAAATTGTAGGTTTGAGCTCTTTTGCAGCTTACATTTGATCACAGTTTAAACAAATCATTCAGTCTAAGATTTTGCTTGTATTTTATTAGGATTCAGAATAATGTCTCTTACTTTATAGCCCCTTAGCGCTTGTGCGCACTTGTGATTACTCCAGCCTCTCCCTTTTTTTTGTTGCTCATTCTGTCCCTTGGCATTTCAGCTACACATGAATACACAAACCCTTCCTCCTCCTGCTCCTGTAAAATGCTTTCTAACAGATTTGAATGCTTCAATCTTGAGTCTGATGGAGGTTTGTACAAACAGAAACATAAATTTTGTGTAATTCAACATGTGGACATTTCCTACGTGTGTGTGTGTCTATACTTGTTCACTAAAGGCTGTTTGTACAGATGATGCTTAACAGCAGGCAGGTAACACCCGGATGTTTTGACAGGTGGTGTGTGTTTGTGTGCGCCTGTGTGTGTTGCAAGTGTCTCGCTGAGAGTCTTCCTATGAAGAGCATGAGACAGGGTTCAGGCTTTAAATAATGGACTATTATTTTGTAATCTGGTGTAAAGTTTCTTTTTCTTTGATAGGGTGGGAGATGCTTCTTTTTAAGGGTCACATTCCCTGAATGAAAAAGTCCCTCTTGTGTCCTCTCTGTTTGGACTACTGTAGGGTGAGGCTTTCAGGGTTTTTAAAGGAGAGTCACTGAGATTTATGCTTTCTAATGTGGAGATAACTATAATGTTATTTAACCAGCTCTGAAAACCATGTCACCTTCTTTAGATGGTTTGTAAGTTTTTAGGATAGTTCCCAGACTCTGGCAGATCTTCTGTAAATGGCAGACAACATAACAGGTTTCCCTTTTGGTCTTGGAGAAAATTATTATAAAGATACACTTTAGATAATCTATATGGAGCTAAATACCAACACTTAACGCATTTGTCCATTACATGCAGTCTTTTGCAAATCATGACATACTTTAGTTGGTCAAAACTGACTGCTGTGATTCAGATTGGACATTTTTACATGGTTATATTTTGTACAAATTAAATAATCAAGACAAAGTAGTTGAGTTACTGAGTTTAACTCATAGACTGTATATAGAATGGACACCGTCTGTCTCCTCGCTAGGTGAAGCGACCCCAAGAACAGCACCCTCTGGTGACGGGCTGCAGTAAAGGTCATAGTTCATATCAGTTCAAATCTTTGTGGCTGTTACTGTGGAATAAAAAAATGACTGCAGGATTGATTCTGGATGTGTGTCTAACAGTATGGTGCATGTCTGCATGATTAAGATTTTGTATCAGAAGAAAAAGTATCATATCGCACAAACCATTGACAAACTAATATCACACAATTATTTATGTAGTGTCTAAAAAAACAGTAAAACACTAGGGCTGGGACGATACGCTTTTCTCCTGATTCAATACTTCTACAATTTTTTGGATGCAGATTCGATTTAAATTGCAATTCTACGATATTGTTGATTTTCACGATTTTGAGTCTGCATTTTTAACACCAGTGAGAGAGATTATGATTGTCTACTGACTATTCCAGGAACCATATTTCCTTTAAAAATACACAACATGTAAGTCAGACTGTGTGAGCGAATGAACGATGTATCCAATGTAAAGCACTTTGAAGGTCTCTGATAAAGCACTATATGAAATCTGATGCATTATTATTAAAAAATTGATTTTTGAACAAAAAAAAAAACGATTTTGAACAAAAAAATTCATTTAAAAATTGTAAAACAAAAAATTGTGATACTTATGTGAATTGATTTTTTCTCCCACCCCGATAAAATACTGTATTAAACCAAACCTTTTGTTATACTGATGCAACACATGGACATCATAGCCATAGGAAGTGTCAGCTTGTGAGTTAAGGGTTACTTTACTGTACGTGTGTAAGTGAGTGTAAAGACTTTCCAGGGTTTGTGTAGCCCTCTTACACTAAGTGTGGTCGTACATGAACACACACGCATCCCCCACTGTGATGGCTAAACTACTCACCCCTGTTAACCCCGCTGGTCGGGGTCAGCTCTGGTCTGCCAATGAGATGGAAAATCAGGGCCCCTGAAACATCAAAGTACATGACCCTCACATTGTCAGGGAGGCTGGGAGGTCCATAGGCTGAAACATTTATGTTACACAGACAGCATACGTGGTCCTCCTGTGTTTTTGCACTGGTAGACGGGGGCCAGTGTGGATAAATACAAATGACACAGGTCAAGTCTTCCACTTTTTCCCCCCATCCTCCGTCCTTTTAAGTCTGATGGGCTTTGCAGAGGAGAAAATAACATGAGCAAGGGAGAAATAAAAGCAAATGTGGAGATCAAAAGAAGAAGGATTTTTCAATTTATCAGAGAGGCTGCTGGGAAAGTCACATCACCAGTGCTCCCACACTGCAAAACCACCTGACATCATGGCAGCTGCTGCTTTACAACAGTTTGCTTGCTGAGAAAACAATCTGTCCTTTATGATAACTCACTGCACTACTTTTCCTTTCCTCCTTTCCTCTTTTCTCCAGCTGCTGTGCTCCTCGGTGCAGGCTGCGCTCTTTGACGAGGAGGAGCGGGGTCGAAAGCTGCAGGAGCGCCTGGCCGGGGCTGAGAGGAGGAACCGGCAACTGAAGGAACGGGTTCGTAAGGTGAAGCGCTCCCTGAGGAACGCCCGCAAGGCAGCGCGAAAGGCTGAGCAGGAGGTGCAGGAGCTACAAGAGAAGCTGAAGGCTGCAGAGCGGAGGGCGGGGCACCATCTCAACGCTATCACACAGGATGAGCCTCCGCCGGGGCGTTACACGAGCACAGCGATACGCCCTCGGATCCAGCTTTAAGTGATCCAGTACCGCCTGCCCTAAACTGCAACCCACCTGGACTGAAAACTGGCTGTGGCGAGCGAGAGACTGCTGGGCGGTCTTTATGTAAAGGACAATAAAATACTTACTGTCGCAACTAGGTCACTATTTTAAAGAAAGAGCCGATAGAGTCTTCTTGTACATAAACCTCTCCTTCTCTCTTGCCAAAATACAAAAGTGCCGGTCCATCAGGATCACTGTTTATTATGTGTTTGGAGAAATGAAAGTGAACCAAGGGAATCAAACATCTCTGATTCCTCTTGCAGGTGGAGTAAATATGTATCTCTGCTTCTTTCTTCAGCTGGACTCTCATGCTGCTCAGTGCTGCTCACAGGCAGTGATTACATAGGCAAAAACAACAACGCTAACAGCAGGAGCTTAATGGAGCTGAACAAGTGAGACATTATTCTGTTAACCATTCATCTGTGTAAGTTAGAAGAAATTCTAGTTAATGTTACCTTTAACTAGTTAAGGAGTTAAGTACTCGACAGATCGGAAACATTTTCTGGGTTAGTTTAGTTGTGGCTTTGCAGGGATTTACTTGGCTCAGAGAAGTCTTCAGAAATGTTGGAATAATATGTTTAAGAAAAAAAAACACAATCTGGATGTTACAGCATCAGCTGCACTGACCATCCCAGTAAAAGACTTCAGAAGGGGTCTGGCTGCAGACCTCCACTGTCAGGACCCACCTCCACTGAGAGGACCCGAGGTGACCTTACTTATGACGCTCTCCTGTTTGTTTGAAGTGGTCATCCCATTTTGTACTTTGTCTTTGTTGATCACATGAACACACAAAAAAAATCATATTAATATCATAAACATAAAATAAAGCCCCAAGAAATAAAATAAATGTACACGAGACAAAATAAATATACTTCTCGGTCTAATTGCTTTTATTTTGAAAAACTTATGGTCTGCTCAGTGGAGGTGGGTCCCCACAGTGGAGGTCTTCAACAAAGGGTCCTGACAGTGGAGGTCTGCAGCCAGACTGTCTTGGCTCTGGCCGGGTCCTAACTTCAAAAAATACCAAGTCATTGGAAAACAAATTAAAATGTACATACATATATTTTTTGTTTTGTTGCTTAAACAGATCCAAACAAAATGTGTTATGTAGATTCTAAACTGTGATAAGGTTGCAGGACGTCTCATGTTGTTGCCTTGCATTGCACAGAGAGACATCAAATTAATGTCACTGGCCAACAGTTTGATGAATTTCTGGCATGTTAGAAATTATGATCTGTCGACCGCATACTTCAATTTATAAGCAAAACCACTTGCTGGTTTCCAAGCGTCTGGTCTTTTTTATATGACTGCAACTGAACAAAATGGTAGACAGGGTCAGCAAACAGCATGACGTGATGGGGACAGCTGAAATGAACACAAATTTACAGTAAATCATGTAAAATTATGACCACCTGTGCAGAGGTGATCATTTTACTTGATGTTTATCGGTCAAGTCTTATTCTCTGTTGGAAATGAAACTGAAGTCGAACATCTCACAACCTGGTTAAGCTGGTAAATATAAAACTGGAGACAGAAATTTAAAAAAAAAATGATTTTTGTCTGAAAACAAAGTCCTAATGTAGTAATATTGAGTGTAGCAGCTTCATACATCAAGACACTTTGGGTTTCTTTGCAGCTTTTTTGGTCATTTATTGCATATCAATAAGAAACAACCAACCATGTGAACTTAACCAAATGCTTTTATGTACTCAGAACCTTAAGAAGCAACGGTAACATTGTTTTAGTTGAAAGTGACCGCTCTGGCTTGTCTAAAAAAGGTACATTATGTCAAAAATATCAGCTTGTATGTGTATATTTTTGTATAAATGCTTATCTGCATATAAATTCTGATTTATATGAACATCACTGTGTACGCGACTTTGCTTTGAAGGGGTGTATTATTAACATTTGGGTCACTGGAGTACATCGAAGTGACACGAAAAGCCACACACGCTCAGCGGTTCACTTGAGCCCCACAGCATCACGCAGAGAGTGTAAAGAGAGGTTAAGGTCAGCGCAGACTTTATGCGTATACGTGTAGTATCTGGGGAGAAACAGGGGATGTGTGTCTGGTCCATCAAGTGACTGGAATGTGTTTGCGTGGGCAGCAATGTTCTGAGCAGCGGGACGTCGCTGAAATATTCCTCTAATTCAGTCTGGAAAATCAAAAGCTCCAGAGGGAGGCGAGGAGCCGTCGCATCACGAGACAACTGCAAAGGCGAGGAAACAAATTACAAAAAAAAAAAAGATGAATGTGAGGCAGGGCCGAGGAAGAGATGTGCTCATTAAAAGCTGAATTGCAGCTACAACACCGTGATTAAATGCATTGTTTTGTAAGACAAGGAAGGAAACACGAGCTAAATATATGTCAGCCCCGGCTTCTTTTTTAAGTGACAAGGCAGCAAACCTTCACTCTTTCAGTCCATTTTTACATCATATATAAGTAACAGGTGCAGGATTTACCATGTACGACAGGTGAGAAGTGAACTGCATGCAAAAAAAGAGTCAAAGGATTATAAAACATTTTCTAATCTGCTTTTAAAGTTATGACTTATCACTGCTGACTTATCACTTTTAGACCTAATTTCAACCGTCAAAAACTGTGAGTTGCATAACTAATCTCCAAATACTTAACCAAAATAATTATGATAGCCACTGAGCAATACACAGTGAAGACCTCTGTTAGCTGGCTAGCCTAAACTTGGTCTAAATTTAGACGTCTAAAAAACTAGGCCCAACCCGGTGTTGTGTATCCATCCCAACATCTCTGGACCTAGGTTAAAGAGGCTGACTTCTGAAGGTGGTCTGTATAAGGCCGCACTGTCCACCAGGCCCCACTTCCTCATTAAAGCGACCAACCCCAGTTCATAGGTGGTTAAGTGTTGTCCATTGTCGACGTGGTAGGCCGTCTCCTTCTATGGCACCACCTCCTGGGTCCCAAATGTAACGATGGATGCGAGAGGGTCCAGTGACTGCCACTCAAGCATCTCTGGAGATGTCCTCAGAGGTGGAATTGAGCATCTCTTGCGCTGCCTTGTTGTATGGTTGGCGGGATTTGAGTCTGCTTGGGGGAGCTGCTGTTGTTGTGGTGTTGTGCAGGATGTACCAATCATGCTTTTGTGCCTTCTTGGCCAGGGCAAGGGTGGCAGCCTCCCGTCGGAGGCCAGCGGGGGCTATTCCTGCGAGGACTGGCAAGAAGGACACTGGTGTAGGCTTCAGGCATCCAGTTATAATTCAGAGGGCGCTGTTCAATATTTTTGTCAGTTATTTATTTAAAAGTTTTTCATTTAAAAGTCTGATTGGAAATGCTGATTTCTTTTTCCAGCTCCTGCCCACAACGCCAAAACTACCGCCAAACGGTTTGCTGGCCATGATACAATTGTGTTTGCTTGACACCAAACTCAAAAATACAGATGACCTATCCACCTACGCATCAGTAACAACTCAGCAGAACCTCACATCTATGTGAGATTGGTCTATTCTTGCGTCTGGTTGGTGAAAAGTCACTCATCTTGGCACGACACCTCTTTAGTAGTAGTAAATCGTAGTTTGTGATCAAACTATCAAGAGCAGGTGACACTTTCCAGAAGATTTATCCTCTTTCTGTCACTTGGATTAAAAGAAAATACTCAAACATAAAAACTTTTCCTTTAAAAGCAGTTTTTTTTCTGGTGAAACTGAGCCGCTGAACTATGAAATTTAACCATCTTGAGCTGTTAGCAAACAAACAAACAGTTGGACAGCAGAGGGAAACAGCACATCCCCCCCTGCTGTTAGTATCTAGAACTGTCCGTCTAAATGACACGCATGGTCTCTGTGTGCTCCAAATTCTCCAGCATGCTATGACACTCTTTGTTATCTCACTGCTTCAGCTGTAATTACTTTTATTCAATATACTATATGCTGCATGGAAAAAGAACAAAACAACATGCCTCTGCAGGAGAGATACGGGTGAGGAGGAGAAGAAACCCTGCAGCGAGAAAAAGGGCTGAAGAAGAGGAGGGTGAAGTCCTGAATAAAAGATGAGGAGAAAGCAGTTTAAGAAGCAGAGAGATCAGCGACTCTGAGCACAAACACACTTAGAGCTTGACAGCCAAAGTCAACATATGGTGTTTGTATCTGTGTGTGATGGATAATTCTGATTTAGCAGAGACTCCGCTCTGCTGTTTGGCAGCTTTTTTTTAGCCTTATTGGACTCAGGCGCCAAAAGGATGGGAGACACTTTGATTTAACAATTTTAATTTGATCTGTGTGTATTTTGAGCGTGTGTATCTGTTTGTGTGTTTATGTGGGCGGACCACTTCTTTGAAAGACGGGCAGAAGACATCTCCAACTGGGAAGGAGAGGGAGGCAGGGGAAATGTGATGGCTCGAACCACAGGGGGGCTTAACCAGACCATGGTAAATATGTTCAATTAAAAGTTTTCAAGACCATAATGTGTAATAGTTTATAAACTCAAAAATCGAAATAGCACACAGTAACCAACAGAGTTTCAGTCCTATGATACTAGATACTGAAGATGCAACTCAATAAACAAGAATCTCATAAAAACTTTTTTTTTTTTTCACTTATTTAAAGAAGATGGGGTTTGGTTTTAATAAAAAGTGTGGGAAATGTGCAAAAGCACTTTTTATTAGATGCAGCCGTCTGCTAAAGAGATAGATTTTCTCCATCTGCTGAAAAGTATCACTAAAATTCTGATTTCTTCCTCCAGCAGGACTTCGCACCTGCCCACAGCGCCAAAACTACCACCAAATGACTGTGCTCGACTGGCCTGACGAGTACTTAGGTTGTAAATAAATGTACTTGTCAGAAGGTGGACATACTGTATTTGTACAACAAACCCTTTATCGATTGATGTTAGGAAATTCAAAACAAAAGCTCCTTGACTATAATGATCTCTAAACTTTACTGAGGAAACAAAGGATTGAAACCATCACGTCTAGATGTCCCACAAAACGAGGTGGTCTGTCTGCACCGTAGTGTACATGATTTGAAAGCAGTTAGTATAAGAATGAAACGTTTGCATGGAGATGACCCAGAAGGATTAACTCATATTTAGAGGCATGGTTGACGATTGGAGAGATTGGTAATTATTATGAACCTCGTTTATACGGCGATCATCGTCTGATAGTGCGATCTCCACAAAGTGAAGAGAAAAAAGAATGAAAAAAATCTGTTCAGCCATGCCTTTAAGATTTTATAATCTCTTTGTCACCATTTACTGTCTGTGTGCACATGTATTGTGTTTTTCTTTCCTTCAAATGTCACTGGAGGGGATAAGTGGACAAGAACGTGCTACGGTTATGCCAAAAGTAGACCCAGCAAGATGGCAAACATTAAAAGTTGGATGTGACTGATCTTTCTAGCACAAGGGTTTACCGTGTTAGCGTTACGGTATGAACTCCAACATTGCACCCAACATAAAGTCGCACTAAGGCTCTGTATTGGCTTATGGAAATATCAATCGCCTTTCTTGATACAAACATTGAAGCTATTTCTGAGCACTGACTGAAATCACAGCTCTGCACTTTCCTCTAATACAGAAGCTTCCAAGCTCTCAATGAGCCCACGTTGATTCCTGGCAGTCGTAAAGACTCGAAATGTTTCGAAGCTGCTGTCGAGGAAAAAAACTGGCGTCGTTAAAAACGCTGAGCGGTTTTTAAACATGTGCATTCGATTAAACTACTGCTGAACCCATTGTTGAGGCAGCGCGGCCATTATTAGCACAGATACCTGAGTGTAAACTAAAGGAGAATTGATGCAGAACGCTTTTTTATTGGATTGCGGTACATCTATAAGCGGTACGGTTTTAAGGCTGTTTTCCTAATATCCCAACATGTGCTGGTAAAGGAAACATGTGCCTCGTGTGTTTGCAGCATCTGTCTCTGGTCTGCTAAACATCTGCAGACAAAATGTCGGTCAAAGTGATCGAGGGCGTCTGGTGTCTGCTTTACAGCCGCACGTCCACCAGGGAAGTGTTGAAACCCTGATTACGAACAGAAGTAAATTCTTTTCAGTACATTTGTAGAAAGTGTATTCTTATTTTGTTTGTACTCAAAATAAAATCGTTTATGAATTTGCGTGACATGCACACACAAACACACACAAAAGTAAAGATTGTGGACGACACGTATGATCATTCAGGATTTATTCCAGGAGAAAGACAAATGAAACACAATCAGTCGCTCTGGCCTGTGTCGTCATGGTAGCTCTGATATGTGCACATGATTGTCGAAGGCATCTGATATACAAGCCCCATTAACAGAAAGTCATCTTCATCGCCATCATCATCATCATCATCATCATCATCCCAGCGCAAGAAGTGCTGCAGGCGGTGCTCACTCTGAAACATGAGGGTGTCGTCGGCATAGCGACGGTGCACAGGATGAGAGTTTGTCGTGGTCACATGCAGAGAGTAAATACAATACAGCCAGCTGACTCAGCAGGCCCTGGACGAGGACGCCCACAGGGAGACACCAACTCCATAAAGCAGGTTAGTTACAGTTTCAGTCATACAAACAGTTCTTGAGAAGCAGAGCCGTTCTTATTAGCATGTCTTTACATTTGTGGAGAGCGGCGACATGCACTCAAATTCAGCAATATTGTTTGTCATTTGATGGAATTAATATAGTGAAAAAGCAACAATGCGATATCAGTATCTTAAAGGGATATTCTGGTGTAAAATTAATTTAGGGTCAAACACACCAAAACACGAGTTAGACACCCCCGTGAGAGATGAACGTTGCTGACCGCTTGCTTCTCTAGTTATACCAACTTTAGTAACGACCGCATGATAGCAATACACAGCGGTCTGAGGAGCCATAAACAAACCTCAACCAAAACGCCACTCTATAGCCACAAATAATGCTCAGAACAGCACCTAACTTCATCAACAGTACATATAAGGTCCTAGCCATAATACTAGCCACCAAACATCTTTTTAACTTTGCCTGATTTCTTTAGCAAAGAGTCAGAACACAACTCACCTACTCTCTTCCAGCAGCCGCTTGTTTGTAGCGAGACCTCAGGCCAGTCCATTACGGACTAAATGTTCTTCCTTGAGCTGCGTCACCCCGCTGTAGCTAGGAAGTTAGTTGCTGTTCTGAGCATTATCTGTGGCTATAGAGTGGCGTTTTGGTTGAGGTTTGTTGATGGCTCCTCAGACCGCTGTGTATTGCTATCATGCAATCGTTACTAAAGTTGGTATAACTAGAGAAGCAAGCGGTCGGCAACATTTATCTCTCAAGGGGGTGTTATGGTGTGTTTGACCCTAAATTCATTTTGCACCCGAATATCCCCTTGAATGCAGGACTGTGATTGGGTTGGTGCATCTGCCATTGATGGAAAAGGTTTTGAAAGACAGTCTGGTGCTGCCAGACCCACAGACCCAAGAACAGCCACCACAGTCAAGATTGTTTTCTGTTGACAACATTCAAAGAAATAAAAACTGTTTTTTAGGACTGAAACCAAATACTCTGCTTCATGCAGACTCTGGCATCTCGATCTGTGTGCGCCTTTACATAATACAAAGGTACTAACATCATACAAGGGCATACAAGATAAACACTCATTGGTGATGTTGAATTCTTGAAGCACTTTTTTAAACATGCTTGTGTTTTCATCTTTTTTTTTTTGACGACACGGCTTTGAGAACCGTCTTCCTTTAAAAAAAAGAAACGGTCCAAGAAGAGTGAGCACAAAGAGGAGAGCGGGCCGCAGCCGCCCATCATCACTTAACAGTGTGTTTCTTAGTCGATCACAGCTTTGGATTTCTTCCTTCAGAATGGCAAAAACAGAAGCCTGAGTTCAGTAAACGTTGCTTTCACTTTAGGCCGCCCCTGACGTTTACATTCAGGTGCGCTAAAGCGGTTGTGAAACACCGATGGCGTTAAAACTGCGCTGAGTAGCTTTGCAGGTTGCAGCCACGCAGTTCCTGACAGTTCATGAAAGCAAACTGCAGTGGGAAATAAAGGGGAATTCAGCTTTTTTTTTTTACATGAAACATTCCAAAGAGAATACAATCAACTTCCCTCGACACACACTCGCTCTCTCACTCATCCACCCTCACATGCCTGAACATCAAACATTACGTTATCTTGAAAATGATCATTCATATTCACATCTATTTACAGGAGCATCTTTTACACTGAAATATTCATTCAGAAAAAAGTCGTTTTTGTTTTGTTTTGTTGTTGTTTTTTTTTTTTACAGCAGACATGTACATTTCTAACCACAGAGCAGCATGAACCCGAACCCTCAGCCTGCCTCACGTGTACATTCATAAACCCAAACGTCCCGACCACATCACATTAAACAAAACAAACTTTACAGTGTTAGCTGACGATACGGAAATATCATTAGTGCCAGAGAGAAACCTGGTAGACCGCTTAAACAATGAAGCTCATTAAAAAATAACAATTAATTATGGTTTAGAGATTGATATTGTGTCTTCCACTAATTTATTATTTTAACCACTGGTGCTGATTTTTTTTTTCCAATTCTACATCTAGGAAAAAAACAAAAAAAAAACACAGACGACACAGTTCAAATGTTTAGAAAATGCATAGCAATCACTGGGTATGAAAGCATGGTTACAGTGAATAATAAGTTTAGGGTGATTATAGGAATAAAGCCCTTATATGGCTGAAAATCCCTCTTAGTAATGCATGAATAATTACACAAACCGACTCAAGTGTTTGGTTAAAAGAGAAAATGTGACACAATGTGAACTCACTAAAAAAAAACAATACCAGAGCTAAAAATACATTTCTGAACTGTCAAGTCATGCAGTAGAAGACGTGTGGGTGCTTTCGAGAGAGGAGAGCACGTTTAGAAATAACAAACAATCAGATATACTGACTAAGACCTTAGTATGACTGAAACAGCTGCTGGGACAACATGCAGTAATTGCAATGTTATTGTTACGTTTGTCTGAAATTATAAACCATGTCAGAGCAAAAACAGCTGATGCAAAGTTCATGTGTTTCAACAGCAAAGCAGAAGATCTGGAAGGAGCGTCCGGAGTCTGAGGGTATGAGGGGAATAAGGCTCTTTGTTGAAAGACAATTCCAGCTTGTTTCTTTTTGATAATCAAAAATGGCTGTATTTGTTATGGTGGTTGTGTACTTGCAAGGCTTTTACAATAACACAAACCAAAGAGTACAAGACAGGAGTGACAAGCTGAATGCAGGAACATTTCTCATACAGCTATGAACCACATGGAGTTGATTTTTCTTTCTTAAAATCTAAATTTTTTAACCTCTTTTTGTTTTTACCTTTAATTTCTGTCTTTGGCTCCTCTGGTGGCTGCATTTCAGAACTTCACAGGGTCTTAAAAATGTTAAAATTTGAGAAAAAAAGGTTAAAAATGGTTAGTTTACTCGAGGTATAGCAACATAATGCTGGTTTGATGGGGGGCGCCACATCTCAGCTTTTAGCACAGTCAGAGTCTTAGGAGTCATAATGTTGTTTTGCTGATCAGTTATCCTGTGTTCAATTACTTTTGTCTGGTTGCTTTTGGTTTTGCTGGGCTTGGGTCACGTGGGCACTGTGTTTGAAAGCCGGTAGTTTATATAAGGGGCGGTCTTACCTGCACTGGGGTGCAGAGGTGAGCCTAGGTAGCCTTAATTTTTGTTGACCACGCTTTATGTTCTTTGCTTTGCACTGATACGCGTCGCAAAGTGTACATAAATTATATCTGATGTGCGCGTGTTAATCATTGGCGATTGCGGAAATATACAGGACCTATTCTCTGCCTCAAGCGACTTTTTTTTAAAGGTACTAGGAAAGCCGCAATACTTAAAAAAGTGCGAGGCTGGAGAGCCAAAATCTTTCAAGTGCCTCCTCTCGGCATCTGGCTGCTCACCATGAGCCAAATCTACGACAAAGTGACTTTATTCTGCTAACATTAGCTGCGTTTACGTGCAACATTTTCCTCAATTCGATTGAAAATAATCATATTGAGTGAATCGGATGTGACCTCTGTAAATGAAGTTTAAATAAAGCGATCCACATTTAGTCTGCGTGTACTTGGGCCCAGCTGAATCCGATTGATTAGCTCCTATGCCTCCAAAGCCACCAATAATCTTGCCATTGCGTGATTAAAAAGTTTGTTTCTAGCACTGTCCGATTTTTCTACTTGTTGACTACAGTAGTTGTGTTTTGGTCGTAATGTCTGGGTTTTCTATTTCCTGTGACCATACATACTTGGGCGCTTGTGCAAAACCAATAATCCAGTCTATCAACCGAATACGATCTGGTCAACCGTTTATATGTGGCATCAATTGTATTGTCAATGGACATAGACTACCTCCTACAATCAGATCTGAATTTTATACGATCCGAGTGAATTGGATCCGCTACATGGAACATTTTTGATCTAATTGGGAGTTTAATTCGATTGTAAGTGGGATTTAACGACCCATGTAAACGCAGCTAATTCGACTTTGCTTGGATTTATTCTGTCTCTAATAAAGAGGCATCAGATACAACTCTAGTCTGCTTTTTTGACATGCAAATAATCCCCTCACAGGAGCTAAAATGGCCATCTTCAGTACCCCCCAAAAAATCCATAATTCAAGCTTTACTTTCCTAACTTATTTTCAGAGATTTTTGTCTCAAGTGGAAACAAACAGGCTCTGAGTTTGGAGCTAAAGATAGAGCCGAAAGCTTGCCAAGTATTGCCCGAGTTGACGGTTGATTAGGGAGAAACCAAGCATGCTGGAATTGTCCTTTCAGAGCTTATTAGAGAAAAGAGGTGCTGCGGTTAAAGAACTGAGATCATGATTGCAAATTTTAGATTAGGAACGCTTCAATGTCAGCGTCAGAGAATTGGACGTTAAATGCACCAAAGTGCACAGTGAGCCGATTCGACAGAGCAGGGGTGAGACTTAAAGATATTTCAGTGTGCAGTAAATAGACTTTCTTCCAGTTTCAAACAGATTAATACAAGTACTTTGAAAAAACCTGCAGGCATTTTTTCAGCACCACTCTGTGTACTTAAACAAACAGGGGAATGGCAGGATGTTGGACGGGGATCAAAGGTTCATGCATTTCTCTTCAGATTAACTTCAGCCCTTAATTTGAGTCCATTTGTGAATCAAAAGCTTCCTTTCTAGACCAGTCGGGCTCTCATTAATTCATCACAAAGAGGGAAGCAAACTGTTTTCTTACCTAGCTCTAGTCTTTGGCTAAAACTCACAATAAAGGGATCAGTCGTGTTGCATCTGACAAAGACATGACAATCTGATATATGTGTGAGCATCCAGCATTGTACAGCTCTGCTCTCTGAGTATCTGAGTAATGTCTTTTACAGCAAGTGACACAATCTAAACTACTGCGGTCATGTCAGGGTCAAGAAAGGGGAAGGGGGACTCCAGACTTTGGACTTAAGTCTGTCCGTTTAACACCTACAGAGCAGAGAGGGGAGGGAGGATGACCCCATTTTAACAGACTAAGAAGAGAAAATGAGAGAAACAATAAGAGACACTTAGACCTTGTCCACATGGAAACGAAAACAATATTTTGAATAAGTTTTCTGCAAAGACAGAGTTGTTTCAGGAAATATCCGTTAAACACGAAACCACTGACAACAACAGAAAATGATGTAGCGTGTTTGTCAAGCCAGTTAGTGGCGCTGTAACGCTTCCCTGGAAATGCACCAAGATAGAAGAAGAGTACGAAGCATGCCTTTTTGCTGTGTGTGACAATCGTTTCAAGAAAGACGCGGATAGGAATCCAGACGGAAACAAAACATATTACAGAATTAAAGAAGTCATTTAGCAGAGGCGTTTATCTGAAGCAACACCAGCGGAGGACACACACTGGGAGCAAGGTAGGGAAAGTGTCTTGACCAAGGACACAACAGACAAACTAGGAATGAGGGAACTGAACCGCCAACCTTCCAGTTTTCGGATGACCGCTTTACCTCCTGAGCTACTGCTGCCCAAAAATAATAGTTGTCTGTGGACTCTGTGACCCATTTTCAGAAAGTAAAGTCACCCAAAATGCCGTTTCTGTGTGGACAAATACCATTTGCGTTTACTCCCGAATTCCTTTTCCATATGGACAAGGCCTTAAACTCCTACACTAGAGCCATTGAACTTCCTGTATCTGCCTCTAACTGATGCAATAATCTGGTGGTTTCCAACTGGGAAGACTGGTGTCAAATGTGTAACATGTCAGCACTCACAGGGAGGAGTATCTCTGATTTATTTTGGTGAAATCTGAAAGGATGAAAGGGCATAATCCATCTTTATGTTTATAGCCGATAATTTAACAAGTCTGTCTACTGTTGAGGTGCAAAGGGACCACAAAGACCCGACCGATCCTCCAGAAAACTGCTTTGCTGTGGTTATTTCAGAGTTGGAGATTGCATCCACAGAGTAAAACAGCCAAAATAATGAAACTGATTGTACATCCTGCAAAAGACAGTCAAGTCCAAATCCCTTTTGAGTCCTTGGTGGAAAAGCCGTTTGAAATGTCCGAGTCCTCGACAGTCACAGGGAAGCAGTACATTTTGACGCGTCACAACAACACAGAATAAGTGCACAGCTAAAAACATCTGAAGCCCTGGATCATTGACTGTGACGCCGCAACGACTGAACCGAAGCACTGACAGAAGAACCTAAACCAGGAAATCTGTGTTTGCCAGCTCACAGTGCGGCTGCAGTTTTCCCTGAGCACTTCCGAAACCGGGCGCAAAAAAAGTGAGATCATGGCTTCTTCAGAGAGAGGGGAGGGAACATGCAGCTGATTCTCCGTGTTGGGTTTTATCTCTGCAAATGCAAAAAGAAAAAAATACAACACTCTGAAGACCCATGAGGGAGGCATTAAAGATCTCAGATGGTTTCAAACCTCAAAATTCAACCATCAGAGATCAAATCTATCAGAAATAAGTGGAGCCAGCTCTCCAAAACATCCCTTGAACTCTTTTTCTTTACTTGCTGCATGTTTTATCATTGCCTGTATGTGTGCCCCTTAAAGGGCGATTCTTATAAAAGTCTTAAAGTGTAAGAAAAAAATAAGAAACAAATCAGAAAGTTTCAGACAATGCTCGTACATCCACTCGAGGTGAAATTCCTTAAATAAAGGCTTACAATCTCTACTCTGATCAACGAAGGTGGACGGCGGCACGTCTGTGTCTGAGAACTTATCTGACCTTCTCTGTGCAAAATACATAAAGCGCTTACTCATGTTTTCATATCTGAACAGTCGTATGGTACTTTTTAAAGCACTTCTTAAAGCACAAACAAACAAACAAACAAACAAGCTCGTAAGGACATGTCTTCGATGTCTTAAAGGTGCTATAGGTAGATTTTCAGCGTGGATTAATCATTGTCACATTTGACCGATACGTAAGCAAATAAAGTCAAGACTCTACGTTACATTTAAACATTTATAAGAGTAGATTTGGACAGCGTGTGTGAAGTTGAGGCAACCAATCCTCTTCGCCCTTTTAATAAATGTTAATAAAAGAACCGAAACAACAACATAAATGTGACAATGATTACCCTTTTTTAAAAGTTACACATACCACCTTTAAATAAATACGACTAGAAACAAAAAAGGATAAATTCCAGTCAAATCAAAGGAAAGGAAAAAGCTACACAAAGTGGCGAAGGACAGGCTAGATTCAAGAGGGAAGTTGATGTTGACAGACACTGATATAATATAACACCACCATCGTCACCATGAACCGACAATCACTTCTCAGACTCGCAGAAGTCGACAACCACTCATCGTCAGACAGCAACCAATCACAGCCAGCCGTGAAGCAGCCTCAGTGAGAGTCTGTCGCTGCCGTGGCTGAAGGGTCCCCAAACAGCATCCTGGTGGTTAGGTGGTGGGTTCACAGCATGGTGCTGCTGTTTGGCTTGGAAAAGTCGGGCGGAGGTAAAGTCCTCTGCTCTCCCAGGAGCAGGGCGGGGAACCGGTTGGGCGGCGCATCCAAATGGAAATGCAGTGAGGAGAGGGAGGTAAGAAGGAGATCCTATCCCCCCTCTTCACTTTGCCTCACAGCGCTGTGGCCTCCCAGCTGGTTCCCCGCGGGACCTGGCGTCACTTGGTCTCCGTGAGCACCGGGGCAGGAACCGCCGAGGGGTGTGGCCGGTTCAGCTCGGCGCCGGCTGCGGGAGAAGAAGCTGCAGACGCCAGACTGCAGGGTGTGGCTGGTGCAGTAACACCTGAGAGAAGGGAGGCATGATGAGGTGCAAATAAAGCTACAATGTGAAATAACTAGGGCCCGACCGATTTATCGGCGAGCCGATTAAATTCGCCAATTTTAGCCCGTTTGAGACTAATTGGTAATCGGCCAAAACTCGCTGATTTTCATCAATATTTTCAGAAATAAAATGCGGAGAATAAGATTCGGTTTCACTGCGAAAATGGTCCGCCATTTGAAAAGTTCCCCAACTTATCCTGTAGATGGCGCAGCGACCTCATGACAATGTTCATCTACTAACTACCTCATATACATATATATATATACACATATATATATACATATATGTGTATATATATATTCAAATATATGTATATAGACATATATATACATATATATGTATATATATATACACATATATATATACATATATATGTATATATATATTCATATATATGTATATAGACATATATATACATATATATGTATATATACATATACATGTATATGTATATATACATATATATGTATATATACATATACATATATGTATATATATATACATATATATGTATATATACATATATATGTATATATACATATACATATATATGTATATATATATATATATATATGTATATATACATATATATGTATATGTATATATATATATATATATATATATATTTATAACTTCATAAAAAAAATCGGCTCATTAATTGGTAATCAGATTTTTCCCCCCTAATAATCGGCATCAGCCCCAAAAAATCCATATCAGTTCATCCCTAGAAATAACCTCAAAATACTACTACATTATAATTTAGCGGTGTTATATTTTCGTGCGGATGAGATGATCTACGCTTGTGGATGAGTAAAGTTGTCAGTGATTTCATGGATATAATCTTAAGTGTAAAAGGTTGCTGGTGCTTCTCCTCAAAATGATCCAACTTCTCAATATTACGCGCCTGTTCAATTCTTGTGAAACACATGTTCTCTTAAATTGGCAGTGCGGCTGATTCCACTGACTCGTACTTACATTCCTTGCGTGGAGCTGCGATGTTGTTGTCTGTGGAAGCTGCTTTGTTGGCGGCCGTGTTGGCGCTCTGGCTTTGCGCTGCCTGGCCGCTGTTTTGGCTCTGTGTGGGCTGGTTCTGGCCCGCCTGGCTCTGGCTCTGGCTCTGGGCAGGTTTCTGCGTCTGGCTCGGCCTGTTCTGTGCGTTCGAGGCGTCCATGCTGCTCCCCATACTGCTGCCAAGCTGCAGCCGCCTCATGTGCCGAACCACGGCGGTGGCATTGAACGCTTGCTGGAGAGGATGAAGAATACTACTAAATATGTCTTTTATTGCATTATATTTACTCAAAAAATGGTTTTCATGATTTTGTAGGTTTGGATGTGAAATAACAGTTTGGGGCGTTTTCCAAATAAGAACTTAGAAAGAGGCAAAAAAAGCTAAACTGTTGAAAAGTCTGTGCCGGTTTTATTCATTGACATTTTTATGTCTATCATGAGCTCTGTGCTCCATAAATGTACTGCATTAGTGGGATTATATTTGAGATTTCTTACAGATTATGTCATAGAAAAGGTCAAAACGTGATTTTTCACTAAAAGCGGCTTTGAAGCTGAAGTCAAGAATCTGCTTTCAATGAGCCTGTGCTAAAACACTGTGATATGGTCCTCTGTTACAGTTTATCTTCCATTAAAACCACCTGAGGTTCAGATATTACACGAGCTGGATGTGCTATTAACACCCAAAGCTGAAAATGACACACTGTGAAGAGCAGGTCTTGAGGAAAGTGGAATTTGTTTCAAGTGTTTCTTGTAAAAGTTTGCGCAGAAAAGACGATGACTAAGGTGAACTGTAAACCTCAGAGCAGGCCAAGTTTTTACAACGCAGTGATTCATCTTCAAAAATGCAGACAATCGTTTGAGCAGGAGTGCTGGATTTATACAAGTCTGCTGCACCAGAGCCAAAACCTCAAAGAATAGACAGCAGTAAACAACATTTACCCTCCATTTGCTCTTGGCGAAGTTTTTCCTGATCTGCCGACTGACTGATTCATGGATGTTCTTGCAGAGTGCTGTATCCCCAGCAATCCTGAACACACAAGTCCAGACACAAAAAAACACACATGTGGTGAACAAACTCTGTGAGAACACTCCTGACTGTACATCAATACTTGTATCGATTTTATGTCATTTTGTAAGTCTGTGTGAGTTTCTCACCACGGGTGTCTGAGTGCCTGTTCACAGGTGAAACGCTTGACTGGATCTTTTTCCATCAGATTGCCGATGAAATCCTTGGCTAGGAGAGAGAAAACATGAATCTCATAAAGGTCAATAAAAAAAACAACTCTGAACCAGCATCGAGAATCAACTCTTTGTGAAAACCAAACTGTAGGACATCTGATTGCACAGGTGTGAGCCTGTAAACTGTGACATTAAAACCACAGATACTGACTTAATTGTGTTAGTTAAGGAAAACAGTAACATAAGACATTAAGATCCTCCTCTGGGCAATTTAAAGGGATAATCTGGTGTAAAACTCATTTAGGATCAAACACCGTAACACCAAGTTAGACACTCTGTCGAGAGATAAATGTTGCTGACCACTTGCTTCTCTAGTTATACCAACTTTAGTAACAACCATATGATAGCAATACACAGCGGTCTGAGGAGCCATAAACAAACCTCAACCAAAACGCCACTCTATAGCCACAAATAATGCTCAGAACAGCAGCTAACTTCATCAACAGCACATATAGGGTCCTAGCCACAGCTCTAGCCACCAAACATATTTTTAACTAAACACAACTCACCTACTCTCTTCCAGCAGCCGCTTGTTTGTAGCGACACCTCAGGCCAGTCTATTACAGACTGCTGCGGGGTGACGCAGCTCAAGGAAGAACATATATGATCATTTCTTCATGGAAATGTAATCAGACCAAGACAATAAGGCAGAAGAACTACTGTACTGCAAAATGATTAATATGGTGATTATTACTTCAAGGAAATGATAAAGAAATGATCATAAATGATGTGTACTGCTATCTGTGGTTGTTACTAAAGTTGGTATAACTAGAGAAGCGAGCGGTCGGCAACATTCATCTCTTGAGGGGGTGTCTAACTCGGTGTTACAGTGTGTTTGACCCTAAATTAATTTTACACCGGAATATCCCTTTAAGTGTCTCTGTAAAAGCTTAAAAAAATAGCTTTTAATAAAGTTTGAGCTCAGATGGGCTTTAACCTGTTGAAAAAGCATGGCGGCAAGCAAAGATTGGGAAATAAGTTCTGCGTCAAGTTATCAAAAAACTTTTGGTTCCAAAAGTAGAGCTGGGTGAATAATCAGATTTTAATAACGATTATGGCCCCCCATGATCCTAAAAATATGAAAATCAAGAGTTATTGTGCTGCCTGTTGTGTCTTGAATGAAGCGAGCCTTCCCTCTCCAGCCTGTGAAAAAAAATGTGAGCAGTAAAAGTGTTCAAATCCTCCATTTTTTATGATACATGTTAAAAGTTGAGAGATTTAATTGAGTATTATGACCAAAATTCAGTCAAAGATCCTGATGAGAAGCAAAAAATTTATCAAAATTTAATTTTAAATCAAATCAAACTATTTTTATGAAGCGATTTTCCTGCATAAGAATATGTACAATTTACGATCCCCCTCAGTAACTTTTTTTTCCCATTTATTGTGTTTTTAAGTTTAAAAGAGATTTTAAGTTGTTTGTGATACAGATGTGAAATTATGGATAATCTGAAGTAATATATGAAACACCCAGATTTCTAATGATCAGGTTCATCCCTTTAAAAAAACAACAACTCTGGTCTGCAAACTTTTGTTTTTATTTTTGCAAGAGACCCGACATAAAGCAGTAGACACACACACACACACACACACACACACACACACACACACACACTGCTCAGCTGGTTTAATTGCCCTTACATAGCTAAGTTGGAGTCTGATGATAACCCCCACCCCTCTCAATCACACACCACACACACATTCCCAAACACATTCACTCCAGGCACATGCTGACGTCACAGGCTTTGATGGAGAGGAGGTATGCGGTCCATGTGTGCCACATGGTGGACGGTGAATGATGAAGGAGAGAGAGGGGAAGAAGATTGAGGCTGACGACATCTCCACTCACCTGAGTCTGATATGTCGTCCCAGTACGGCGCGTCAAACTCGTAGTCGGCTTTCAGGATCTGTTCAAACAGTTTGGAGTCATTCTCGTCGTAGAATGGAGGGTAACCACAGAGACTGCAGACAGGAGGGGAATCAGACAATGATTGAATGATAAAGTTATTCACTGAATCTGTTCCTGTTTATCATTTATTGTTGCATTTATTTTTCACACAGTCATTCACTCATTGTTTATCTTTATAGTCATACTAAAGTAGTTATACCACCAGCAATTTGTGCAACTATCCCTTTAATGAAATAATAATTTGACAGTTTAGAGCTATAAGAAAATCGTATCTTTTTACTTTACAGTTATTACACAATTACAGAATAAATAATTACATGTAACTCTAACAAACTGAATCTGGAGTTAAGACTCAATGTTTAACACAACATCTCCGGTCTCTTGGTTGCCAAATTATAAACTTGGGTTAAAGCCCCACTAAGGAGTTTTTGGCTTTAAACGAAGAAGAGGTGCAGAGGCAAATTAGTCCACAGGGGGCGCCAAAATCAACACTATGGTCAATTAACAGAGAACTGAAATAAATACACACTTTAACTCTTTGTAAATGGACGGTCCATATTTACTCTTACAGCCCACACCACCCCACGCTTTGCCAGATAAACCCATCTGCCATGGATGCGATTCAAACATTTCAAACAGTAATTTAAAAATCACAGCATCGTCTATAATGTTCATTCTTGAATATTTATAATAAAACAAAGATTTACAATCTACAGGATTAATAAAGTTTAATCAATGCAGTTCAGAAAGCTAATGCTAGACCAGACTCAGGGTCAGTTTTTCAGAGCCTGCTGATACCTGGTTAGTCTGTCCTGCTGAGACGACACATTAAGAGTACACCTATTAGAACCAAGGACACTTCTGATGCTAGTATCTATCCATTTTACACAAATATGATCATCTATGTACTTCCAAATTCGTTCACCCTATACTCATAGTGTCCTGTTTATATTAGCGGTAAAGGGGACCTGCACCTACAGTCTGAGTCGTAGTTGGCTGCTGTTAACCTTTTCTCAGGATAACATTTAATTGCTAGTGAACACAAATTAACAAAAGCTCCGCTCTGATTCTCCTTAATGAGGCAAGTGAAGCAACAGACTGCTCAACCAAAAACATCATCCGCACCTCATTACTAAAGTTCTGGATGCACCAAGAGATTTTCATAAAAACTCATTAAAATGCCGTTCTCCATCGATTCACACACTTACACACACACACATAAGCACACAAGCAAACATCCACATAGAGGGACTCAAAGAAAAAGACACTAGAAAAAAAAGGAAGGAAGGAAGAGTCTGCCAAGCATGACCCAATACACACTTTTGTTGTTTTTCTCATTTGGGTTAAGACTGGTCACACATCGAACACACTCACGACCACACACACACACACACACACACACACACACACACACACACACACACACACAGGGACGAAACTTGATATAAAGAGAGGCTCTCCTTATTGTCTACATTCACACGCGGTCAGAGCCTCTGATATCGTTCACTATCCATCCTGCTGAATACACACAAACACACACATTCACACATTCACACACACACACAATCCCAGGTGATTATCATGGATGATTACCTGATGTGATCTTTCCACCTGAGTAGCAGCTAAAAGCTAACAAGGTCTAAATCCCAACGCTAATTGTGCTAATTGCCAGCGGGGAGCCAGCAGCGCTCTCTTTCTTTCTTTTTCTTTCTTTCTTTCTTTCTTTCTTTCTTTCTTTCTTTCTCGTTTTTCTCTCCCCGTCATCCTCTCTTTTTATTTCCCTCAAACACGGACTTGCTCTAAAGTCTAGCTGCTTTGGTTGAAGAGGAGGATCGCACAGAGTAGAATAGAAGGATCTGGACCCAATAAAAAAAAGGGTCCACATGAGGTCGACGGTTGACTCTGTCGGACACTGACGTCCTTTCACTGTGTCAAAGACACCCCTGAAAAAGACCCACAGCAGTCTGCGCTTTCTTCTCCGTAACCTCACACACTCTGGATCATTAATCTGATGCTGACCTCTGACCCCTGACCCCAGAGCTGACCTCCCCCGCTCAAGATCGTAATGTCTCTGTCAGGTGGAAATACCACACGCATAAAAAGAGTTACAGATGGAGAACGCTGCGCACACTTTTAAACAATTAAAGTCGCGTTTTTGGGTGTCAACACACACAAACACAGGTGACGCACACACGCACAGCAAATACAGATAATGATCATAACTGCATGTTTTTATAGTTCGTTAACACGTCAATATGCATGTACTAAAACAAATGTGTGTGTGAGTGTGTGTGAGAGGTGAAGAAAAACAAAAGTAGTGGAAAAGACGTTTCGCCTGCAGCTCCATGTCCATACAAGGCCGTTCAGCAGAGCTCCATCTGGCTCTGATGACGGCACACATGCAACATCACCAACACACTCACACACACATGTACACACGCTCGCACACAAAAAACACCAGCAAGGAAAAATCAACAACTACACACACATGGGACCAATGCAAGTGTTTCAAGTTCAGCTCTGGAGCAGAGCGGAGCTGTGTGACCTGCGAGGGCAACAGCTCCGGGCTCATGTTAGCTTTTTCCTGCACTGATGATTGTTGCTGCAATTTGTAAGTGGATGACAAAACGCTTAGTAGCACGACAAGAATGTGAAGATAATCTATTTTTGTTAAGTTTAAGGAGTTTGTAGTATATCACGACTCAGCCTGTGGTCTCCGAGTGTACAAATAGGTGAGTCAGTGTGGGTCACATGTGTGTCTGATTTTCACTAGATGTTGAAAGATCACTGTTTCCAATATGGCGACTGTTAGTACAATGGGTGAAATCAGAGTGACTTTTTTATACAGCTGACTATTTTACAAAAAATCAGATGAATGTTTGTTATAATTAACATTTAGTATCTGTTTTTTTACATAGATTGTATATAGAATGGATGCCGTCTGCCTCATAGCAGAGTGAAGCCACCCCGAGAACAGCGCCCTCTGGTGACGAGCTGCAGTATAGGTCATAATGCTGCGTTTGAGTTACCTCGGAGGTCAGAAGTCCGAGTTGGGAATGACGTCACACACCAGTTACCAGCATAAGTCAGAAGACAACAAAATCAGAGGCGGAAACGAAATAGCTTCATCTATGAGAGTTATTTTAGTGCTTGCCTTGTCTGAATATAAGCAAGGACAAGGTAAGTGTTAAAATAACTTTCATAGATGTAGCCATCTTGTTTACGCCTCCGATTTTGCTTTCTTGGTAACTTGGATGTGACATCATTCCCAGCTCGGACTTCTGACTTCTGAGGTAACTCAAACACAGCTTAAATCCCGCCTCCTCCAGCCATCCCTGTGGAGCTGTGGACAAACTTTAAAAATTTATTACACAGAATATAAATTTTTCTCCCCCCTGCTTGCGATGTTGACATGTAGTTACTGTAAGACTGGTTTGGGTTTAAGTCCTCTTTTTTCTGTACAGCTCCATTTTTAAAAGTTATTGGGGGTTCATGTTTTCTATGATTGACCCTTGATAAAGCCTATGGGTGTACGAAGATTGCGTAGCTCATCTGAGGGAAACGCTGTTTGAGTCGAGTGTCATCACAGCGACTCTCTTGCGGAAAGCGTACGATGGTACTGCGCAACGCTGGTTTCGGGAAGTGGATAAAAAACCCAGAAATACCAAGAGCTTCAAATCCGTGTACAGGCGCAAGGCAGAACCAAGTTGTCTGTAGTATATACAGTCCATGGTTTACATACATGGAGCAATATCTAGATTATAGTGTACAAACTACGTTGGCAACACTTAGCATATAGACCATTAATAAACTGTAAATTTTACAATTTTAAAAACCTAACCCTAACCCTAACTTTACAATAACCATCTAAGTAATGTTTATAGGTGGTTTAAAAACCAAATATTAATCATTTACAAAGTGCTACTGACACACATTTAAATCTAGATGTTTTACAACCAATATTTAAACCCTATATAAACCTTTAATAAATAGTCCATTAATAATTAATGAAAATTATTAATCATAATTTTATTGCTTGCTAATGGTAAAGTAACTTACATTAATAAACTATTTACCATTTATAATTGGTCTTTATGCTGTTTTTAAGTGATGATTAAACATTAATAAACTATCTATTTACCATTTATAAATTATGGTTATTGTAAAGTGTTACCACTACTTTCATTCCTTATATCTACACTACTGTGTACAAACTCACACTGCTGAATCTGTGACCCACTTCGCACATTTCTAGCCACTAATTTGTGCATTTGTCAACCCATGAGTACAAACTTTCACACCTTCTCCAGTTGGCGGAGGCAAAACCACAATAATTATCAATTATTAGAGGATATCCAATATGCATCAGAGTCTATAAGTCAGCACTTACAGGATGTATGCAATGACTCCAATGGACCAGCAGTCCACTGCCTTGCTGTAAGGCTTCTGGGCGAGAACCTCTGGAGCTGAAAGTGAACAGAAACACTGGTTAGCTTCGGCTGCAGCCTTGTTATGCAGAATCCTGGTGTTTACTTAATGATGCTTAAACCCGAGCACTTCTCTGTTATTGGCTGTTTACTTTGTTGTCAGCTTGAGGTGCAGTTCAAACTGCTGTGCTTTTTTTTAATAGGATAATGTTGCTGTTTTATGAGCTTGAATACAGAGAAAGAATGCAGCCTCTCTGTGTCTGTACAAATCAAAATCACATGTCACTTTGGTTAATGGTGGGAAATTTTCTGCAGGAGGTTCAGGTTCTCACATTTTACCTGCAGTGAAACAGGCTTGTAGCTCTATAAAGCCATCCAGGAGGGAGCCAAACAGAGCAATCACATCATGATTTAAGTGCAGTTTATTTTTACCTCTGAGGAGTTTGAGTTTTCCTGCATTTAACATGAATTTATCTTATTTAATCAGGCATTTCGTGAAGCGGATTGGCCATTTCTGAGCCTCTGACAGCAAAAATAACTGATGACAGTGAGCTCACAATAAAATCAACCAACACATACAAACTCACCGCTGGATTGAAAGACATTTGGCACACAAAAAGGCGTAAAGAAATACAACTCAGACCATGTTGGGCAGAAAGAAAACTTTGCACACGTGTGCTGAATCAAAGTGATTAGCTGTGTTTACAGGTCTGCCCTGACTCATTGTGGAGGTGTGTGTGTGTGTGTGTGTGTGTGTGTTCGTATTTTCACTGGATTCAGAATTAGGACATTTTTACACACTGAGGTCATCGTGTCTGGTGCTCACGACTCTGAAAGAGTTCAGGGTCAAACATTCCTGTAGAGAATAAGTTTGTAAAACATAAAGGTGAAGGCCGGCTCCAAGTTATCTGCTATAGGTTTAGACTTCCCAAGGATGCCGGCATATTGAGCACCTTTCCCCCCTTCTCCATCCTCTTTCTGTCTGTTTCATCAACTTTGAATCATCATGTCTCATTAGAGTTACTACCACACAGTCTTTTCTGGGAGTCACTGAGCTCCATTGTGCCATAGGTTCCTCCTACATGCATCAACCTCATCTTTGTCCATCTCTCTCTTTCTGCATCTCCTTCTCTACACCCAACGCAGTCTCAGCAGATGACTGTCTAACATGAGTCTGGTTCTGCTCGAGGTTTCTACCTGTTAAAGGAATCTTCCAGCGTAAAATTAATTCATTAATTTAGAGTTAGACACCTCTAAGAGAGACCAAAGTTGCCGACCACTTGCTTCTCTAGTTATACCAACTTTAGTAACGACCGCAGGATAGCAATACAGAGAGCCACGACTAAAACACCACTCTATAGCCACAAATAATGCTCAGAACAGCACCTCTTGGAAGAGAGTAGGTGAGTTGTGTTTAGTCGCTTTGCTAAAGAAATTAGGCAAAATTAAAAAGATGTTTGGTGGCTAGTGCTGTGGCTGTGACCCCATATGTACTGTTGATGAAGTTAGGTGCTGTTCTGAGAATTATTTCAGGGAAACAGAAAACCAGGAACTCAAACAGAACATATCATGACACGGTCTTTGTAAACAGAGTCTGATCTAGAAAATGTTGATCTGTCACACAGTTGGTGATAAGTTAAACTCACTTTAGGCTTTTTGTTTTTGCAGTAGTCTTTATGTGTTTTGTTTGTACCTGTCTGTGAAACATTTCCCTCTCTGGGACAATAAACCTGAAGTTGAATTTAAAGCCAAACTGACATGTGTTTTATATATTGTGCGTGAAATCATTCGGTCTAATATTTGGGTTTCTTTTGATTCGTGATCATTTCTTAGTCATGCAAACAAACAATATGAAATACAGAAAAGAGATGTTGATGTCTGCTACAGCCGACCTTCTTCAGAGTGATACACACCCAACATATTTAGCAGCTGTGTGTTGATTTGAAGCAGAATTGAAAGATTAAGTGTTCATTTATTCAAAGTTCCATCTCAGTTGGTGTTCATGCTTAAAACCTCAAGTGTTGAAAAATATCTGATATATGTGCTTGATCGTATCCTTGCGTCTCAAGTCTGCTTTTCATTGTGGAGTTTTATTTTTAGACACAAACTGTCTGGAGTGGAAATGCCTTTTGGCCATGTAAAGCTCTGCAGGAGGGTGAGGGGGCTCGGCTTTGTGGGTGAAGACGATAAATTTACTGAATGGGATTGAGAGAGAAATGTATGATGCAAAGATTTGACCATTTAAAGTCAAACGCTGGAAAGAATCGGAGCCGAATGAGCTTCAACTGTGGCCAGGTATGAGTGCACATATGAGGAATTTCACTCTCTCTGTCCAACATGAATATTATACTAGTGTGTGCAAGCTTACATCAGATATTGGACTTTTTTTTAGATGTCTGTAGTCATAGACACATACACACACAGGCAGACAGATGCAACCTGGATTTAAACACAAAATTTAATCACATTTTCCGACACTTCTGATTTTACTCACGTTTGCACACTTGGTCTGTGAGTTAATTATGAGTCTGGTAAGTACAGAGCCCAGCATAAGTCAGTACACACCCTATTAAAAGTAATGTATTATTCAATATCTAGATGAGCAAAAGGACAATGTCCAAAGTTTTGACAAAGTTTAACATAACATTTTATTTACCATAAGATGAAAATAAGGGAGATATAGTCGATAAAATTTAGCTTTGCTCCCAGAACTTCGATTAAGGTGTTCTCATTTTTGCATCCTGATTTTAAATGGAAAAAGATACTTTTGTGCATGCAACTTACAAAATCTTGTTTGTAATCAATGGCCTACATGTGGGGGAGTATTTTGTTGTGTAGTCTGACATAGAAAATGTTGATTTTGAAATGAAACTAAAGTTTTTCTGACAACTCTGAAGGGGCGTACTCCTTTATAATGAGCACTGTATGTGTGTGCGCTGTGTTTCATTCATTTTAATTCACACACATCCAAAAATGAGCATCAACAGACACAAAATACACCTCTCCCTTTTCTCCGGATCTCCGTGAATATTCAGAGGAGATGACTGCCATCAGACTGGTTCAGCATGTGCGCTCTGAATTTTTCATGTGTTCGGTGGATTGAAGTACAGACAGCTCAGACCATATTCACACTTTCAGCCGGTGCCAAAGCGTCACTGAACCATGACGCCGGTATGACCAGGAAAACATTCGCCAGTTCACCAAATCCTCCAATCAGAGTTTAGAGCAAAAGCAGGTCTGTTGATTTATAAGATTTATCCACCTGAGAAAGTTTTCCCCTTTTCGAGCAAATAACAAGATCATAAAAACAAAGAGGCTGACTGAACAGAGCGTTAATCTGTTTTGACATAAGCTGATGTTGTTGCCTGAGTTTCACCGCTGAATGAGAGCCACTCCTGGAGGCAGGCAGAGTTTAGGCTAACAATAACAGCACTGTTTAGCCCCTAATTGGATTTGGAGAAGTCTACACTCCAAAAAAACTCAAGCCAAACTCCTTTTACCGAGGTGTGCGATGCCTCATTAAGTCCTCATCCTGATAACCTTTAACCCTGCAACAATATGGTTGAAAATAGAAACAGTAAAGTCTTAATCATGGGCTAAGTAGCTGAGGATGGCTTTGTGGAAACGAAATTTGCTCTTTAACCTCTTCTCATTCATTAATAGCAGAGCTTAATATACCAGTATGTAATATAGTAAAAGTGCTCAGTGAATGCTGACATTTTAAATAAAGCTTGACTGACAAACTGAATACGGCTGACAATAGAAACCGCAAAAAGAGACTTACAGTAGATCTACCCAGGACCCAAGAGGGTTTAGGCAGGACAATAATAAAGGTCGGACATCAGAGGGTTCCAGTTTTCAAGGTTATAATAGAGTCAGCTGCAGCTTCTTAACTGTCTCCACACACCAAGCGTGAGTAAAATCATTCGCGCGAATGAATTACATGTTAAGTCAATGCAAAGACGCGATTAGACGCGAATTGGGCGGGAGCTAAAAAATAAAACTTGAGGGGATATTCGTGCCGCAATAACGTGTTAGGATCGCTGTTGACCCGGTTAGATCAATATCTAATAATTAGAGCAAAAACTTAAATCATAAGTGAACTATCAGGCACCACACTGACAGTCAGATCCTCTTCCAATCATGTGAGATTTAGGGAATTTTTATTTTCTCTGCACAAAATACAACGTTGGGCATGTCCAGACATGTGAGATCAATTCAGTATAGATGTCTGTATGAGGGGTATACTGACAAAGAAAGGCCCAGAGGCCCACAACGAAAAATATTATAAGCAATATTTTCATGGATAATGAAGCCTAACAAGGTAACCTAGAGGTGAGAATCAAATTGGATGATGGAGAATTGTTTTTAGTGTGATTTACAGCTGATTTAAGACACAAGTCAAAACCGACCCTTAACATAGTGGGTGCGTAGTAAAAGCTAAACTGGAGAAATTTCTACATTCTGTACCTTTAAGTGATTAAACTTTATGAAATGTTGGTTTGATTCAAAAGATGCCTCAGTTTCTAGCAGAGGTGGGTTGCACGAGGTCTTGGTTGCAGGGGGGCTCCTAACAGTACTGGTATCTCGCAGGATTCCAGTCCCCACATGGCAAAAACAGATGGCACAGGAGAAATGCATGTTTTGGACCTTTCCCCCCTTTGTCTCCATCTGGGAGAACCTGAACCGGCTGTATCTCATGTTCTGGTGCAACCTCTGAAGGTCTGACATTTTTTTTTTTTTAAAGAGCACTCTGTTGTGTTTGCACACTCACTGACTAACTCACCCACATATCCAGGCGTGCCACAGGCAGTGGACATGACGTCACCGCTGCCCTCCATCTTGGAAAGACCAAAGTCACTTATCATGATCTTTGACTCGTCCTGCGGGTTGAAGTACAGCAAATTCTCTGGCTGGAAAAAGAGAGAAAGAGAGAGAGGGAGAGAGGGAGAGCTCATAATTCTTTCTTTTTATAGGGTTTTAAATTTTGCTCTTGTTGTCAAACGTTAGTCTCATTAGGAGATATATCAGGACATCATATATCTGCAACTTCAAAAGAAAGCGTCAAACACAACCCTCTAATTTTCCTCCTTAAACAGAGTGTGGGTTTATGAGGGCAGCTCCGACCAATCCCCTCTCTTCTAACAGCCGGCACGCGCCAGGCTGACCCACAATGCTCTGCATGTGTGGAGCCGCTGCCCTTATTAGCGCCGTAAATCTTCAACTGTCGAAAGAAAAAAACGACCTGCTTGTGTGGGGTAAATATGTGGAAAGGGGGGCGGGGTTTTGTCTTTACCTTCAGGTCTCTGTGTACGATGCCCATCCTGTGCAGGTAGTTGACAGCGTCCAGGACTTGCCGGATCAGCGTGCTGGCGTCCTTCTCCGTGTAGAAACCTTTCTCGACGATGCGGTCGAACAGCTCTCCACCTGACACCCTGCAGGATGCAAAGGAGGTGTGTTTGTGTTAGAGCGTGTTTGTTGAAAACGATGCCATTCATGCACACATGGCGGTAACTGGTAACAGATTAGGGGGGGGGGTGTTGCAGGGTCTAGATTTCTGGTAATTTATGAGCTGTGGATGTTTCCAGCCAAGAGTGTGTGGAAGCTGTGAGGCATGTGCGAACTCACTCACTCAGACACACACACACACACACTGAAGTATTCTGTAGCATTTACCACCTTTTAGCAGACTGATGTTATTTCTAAAAGGTGATAAAATGTGGGGAATCTTTCTTGTGCTCCTGGAGGTCTTGTTTTTCTTTCTTTTTTCCATTCAGACTGATTCCCAACTGGGAATTTCACTCATTTCCCGACTTTGAGAGGACATTGTTCATTTGTGTATGGTTGTGTGCCATAAAGATGAGATTATTTCACGTGTTTCCTGAGCAAACAGTTCAAAATCTCTCCTTTTTTGTCCTCATCCTTGAATGAAACGCTCTGATAATCACACCTTCAAGTTTGCGAGAAAACACCTTTTCTCTTAATTTCTTAATCATCCTTTGCAACTTCTTCTCGCTCTAAATTCGACACATCGAGTAAAAGCAAACCTAAGAAGGAGTTAAAACCTTTTATAACCTTTAATAAATCTGACTTTAAGAGCTGCTCTTTTCAGGAGCTGAAGCCTCTGCCAAGGTGGTAAAATATCCAGACATATTTGAACTGCAGACAGACTGAAAACCACCGACCGAGAAACTCACTGTGCACCGAATATCAAGACATAAAGATGTTCATTAGCATTTTCTCCCCTTTGGCGGATTCTTTTAATATTTAGTTTGATGCTGCATGACTCCAAAATGCATGAAATGACTTGTTCAGGTGTGGAAACAGTCCACACAGACAGGAGTCTGATTATATCTGCAGTACAGACATATAGCTCCCCCTGCTGGAGGAAAACCCCACCTCACTTTACAACATCATCTCATCACATGCTTGTGTTTTAATGTGGGTCATAAACAAATATAGTTTTACTGAATCATCTGTAAATATGCTCTTTATTCTGCATGAGTATACTTTTTAAAGCATGTAACACAACAAGCATGTAACCGATGGACACGAATGTCCTCACATATACACACAAAGACTGCAGGGTGTGTATGTGTGTGGCATCGTCATGGCGACATCAGATTAGAGCCAGTGGAAGTTAAACTCTAATGAAGTTTCTGAAAAAAAGAGATCAGAATTAATTGCTAATCCTCTCTCTCTTCAAAGAGGGCAGCGACTCGTTCAGTTTCAGAGGCAGTCATGTCTGGGGATGACAAGAAAGTGCTAAACACACACACACATGCACACACACGCACGCACGCACACACACACGGTGAAAGGGAGATCAGCCACCAGGCTGCATGGTTGCGTAAGCGTTTGCGTAAGGAGACCATGGCAATCAGACAGGAGCACATGGACACACACATTCATGCACGCTCACACACACACACACACACAGATACACAGATGCAGGAGCAGGACCGCAGACAAAAAAGAAAACCGCAAATCTCAAACAAAGACAAGTATAAAGATAACACAGTTACACATGAAGTAACAGACAGTTGGCACAATGTAACACACATCCATACTGCCAGGAGGACGAGGTAACAAGGTCAAAGGTCACAGCGCTCTGTAAAGTTGGTCATGTCCCAGACTGAGTTTGAAGGTCTGCAGTTTTTGAGTGAATTCATGATTATCTGGAGTACACTCAGGAGTCTTCAGCACATCTCTCCTGTTGTAGCTTCTCATAATTCTTTTTAAGACCCACAAGGTCAGGCACCATCATATCCTAAAGACATCCTAGTTCCCTATTACCCTTCAACGACACTGCAGTCCTGATATGCAGACTTGCATATCATACCAAAAGTCTCTAAATGTGGCCTGGGGACATAGAGCTTTCAGGTATCAGGAACATCACCTCTGGAGGTGTGAGGGGCAGACACCTTCTATCTCTACCTTTAAGAGAAGACCATAGACTGTATATAGAATGGATGCCATCTGCCTCCTCGCTGGGTGAAGCCACTCTGAGAACAGCACCCTCTGGTGACAGACTGCAGTATAGGTCATAAACCCCACCTCCTTCAGCAATCCTTATGGAGCTGTGGACAAACTTTAGAATTGTATTACACAGAATATAACCCCCCCCCCCCGCTTGTGGTGTTGACGTGTAGTTCTTGTAAGACTGGTTTGTGCTCAAGTCCTCTTTTTTCTGTACGGCTCCATTTTTAAAAGTTATGTTTTCTATGATTGACACCTGTTACAGCCTACGGGCATACGAGGATTGTGTAGCTCACCCAGGGATACGCTGTTTGAGCAGAGCGTCATCACAGCGACTCTCGGTGACTCTCCCGTCGAATGCGTACAACGCTACTGCACAATGCTGGTTTCAGGAAATGAAGAAAAAACACAGAAACACCGAGAGCTTTTTGGCTTCAACTCCGTATACTGACGGGAGGCGGAACCAAGTAGTCCATAGTATATACAGTCCATGGAGTAGACCGAAGACCTTCCTTTCTGAGGTCTTTAGGCAAGACACTTGACCCTTCCTGTTCCCGCTGGTTGCACCCAGCGGTGTGAGGATAGGATTAGTGAAAATCTGATGAACGTGTTGATCATTTTCATTCTGCACAGATATTATTATCTATAATCTGATTAAATCTCATTGGTATATCCTCTTGTCTTTGTACAGCGTATATAAATGAGGATATTGACCGTAGGAAGATAGCTGCCACCACATTACCCATCATGCCCATCATCTTCAGTATTCAAGTGTTTCGACTCGTCTCTCTTTTCCGACCACTGATCGATCCGTCTCTCATCTTCAGATGTAACCACACTAATCATTCAAACACATCTCCCTTCTGTCATTTCTCCTTTTTTTTACTCTCCAGACGATAGAGCTATACCAAGACCGGCGGTGAACCTTATTTTTGAGCATGTGTGTGGGTGTCACATGCTGTGCGACAAAGAGGCGTCACAGAGTTGGGGGGGAAACTGATCAGACTGATCACAGCAGAGAGTCGGCGGTCTGACTGCTGAGCCGCTGCGATGATTAGTTTCCATCAGCGGCGGGAAGACGAGGCTGCAGCGGGAAATCCAGTTTGATTCACAAATGTTTGCTCACACGAGGAGGATGTTAATCATGTGTGCACTATTATTACTCTTAATCTATTAAGCTCCTTATCTGTGTCAACAACCCTCAGCTAGACGGCTACTTAACAAGCGAATGCTATTAATATCTTGACTTTGTGACAATTAGCTATTAAAGGAAGTAGGAAACTCCTCTAATTGGATCTGATTCAGAGTGAAATTCGCAGAAATAGACCTTTAAGGCAAAGAAGGAAAGAGGAAAGGTGTCAAACCAGACCAGAATGAATCAAAATTTAAACAATTTATTCAACACTGACAAAAATCTGATCAGAGAGTCTGCTGGGAAACTGTGTCAACTGGTTTTGGAGTGTGGTTAACCTCGGATGAACTATCACCGCCAGCCTTTGGTCCTTCATGCACGTCAATAACCACATGTGCCAGTCACACCATACTCTGGGTGGTTATATTCCACGATAACCAGACACAGCCTTCATACTACTTTATATTTATTTTCTAGATCCAAATCCTGCCAAAAGAAGTTGTTTTTTCTGTTTTTATAAGACTTCAAACTCTGGTTCACCTTGTTTCGATGACAGGTCATCACAATCAGAAGTGGCACGCTAAGAAAAATCAGCTCCCTACACTTCATTCGTTTTTATCTTTCGCTGGTATCCAATTCACAACATCAATAAAATGCCCACATTGCACTTGGTTGCATTGATTCTCCTGGCAGCACGGACTGATTGCCTCCCCGCGGCCGAGATTACGTAAGACAAGCTGTGATGAACGGGAACGAAGGAAACACTGTCAGGCTGCGTTGATCAGCTACAAAGCAATTACACCCAAAAATATTCAAAAAATCCTTGTACATAACGAGATTTCTGTCCGCTGACAAAACTCTGACATGTTAATAATAAACATCAAAATAAATGGGTTTTCTGAGCTGCAGCGGTGATCGGTGCCACTTTCTTTCTGTGCGATGCAGCAGAAATAATGGATGAAACTGTTTTTGGGGGTTTCAGCGCATCAGCTGTGGAGTGATGAAGAATCTGTGTATGAAAGAAAAAACAGCCTGCAGGAGGAGTGAGGAGTGAAGCGCTCTACTTTTCACTAACTCCTCTTTATTTTGAACATTTTTTCATGGAAGCGTCTCTGTATTTACCTCTGAGCACAGTGCTTTAAAAAGATTACTCAGAGTGGCTTTGCGGAATATTAATCACAGCAAAGACAGAAGGATCTGCGTTAGTCTGTCGGATCATCAAAAACAATGAAAAGCGTCGCTAAAATCCTCTAAAATTAAAAAAAATTAGATGAAGGGGAAATCAGGTGAGGTGAGATGTCACCTGCCATGTTTACATGTTCACAATTTCTTGATCTGATTAAAATTTGAGGGATTGGATAATCTGAATCCACTGTTTATATGGATGCAAAATCAAACAATCCGATCACGACGCTGGTATACAGAGGCATTTGGACATGCGCAGAGTCGTCTGATTTTGCTAAAACAACCACAGAAGAAGAGTTGTATTTGCGCCTGTGCGGTAAACAAACAAACAAACGCCGTAGTGGCTCACTCCATCCAATTCAGGAGTTTTTCCCCTGTCAAATGTTGTCACTAGATGGCGCCCTTGCATACTTATGCTGAGTTACCTCGGAAGTCAGAAGTCAGAGCTGAAAATAATGACACAGTTCCCAGGGTTTCAGTTACCAAGTCGGAAAAAAGCAAAATCAGAGGTGGAAACAAGATGGCTACATCTATGACAGTTATTTTAGCGCTTGCCTTATATTCAGACAAGGAAAGCGCTAAATAACTTTCAAGTAACTCAAACGCAGCATTATTTCGCTGTTCTGTTAAAGGTTGCACTGTGTGTGCAGATGTACCATCATCACGCCGTATGTACGCCTTGTTATGTTATCAGAGGAGCAGACACGGCAGCTGCGGTTGCGTTTTATGCTAGAGTGTTAATAATGAACCTCCTGTACTGGCCTCAATAAATAAGCCAAAGACTAAAGAGTGAAGATCAAGTCGGCTAAGAGAGTCACGATCGGATTAAATGTTTACATGGACGCCTTTCGTAACAATCAGCATAAACCTTCCTTCTCGATCGGAATACAATTTCTTTCCGATGGACCAAAATCTTCTGATCGACATGTTTACATGACGCATTTTTAATCCGATTGCGCATTTATACCAATTATTTGTTCCCATGTAAACACAGCTACTGATGCACAGGTGATGACTGCAAGAATGAGCTTTAACTGGGAAGACACCATCAGCAGACACACTGCAATAATGTCATTGTTGTGAGAGACTCCCTTCCCTCCCATTGCCCTCCAGCCTTCACAGCCTCACCATCTTCATCATCTTCATCATCTTCATCATATCATCGGCAAACACCTCCACCACAGTCTGTGTTAGGGGGGAGGGTTTAGCTGCCACTCAGGGTGGACAGACACCCTTCAATCACCCTCTCTCCTTCTCCCTGCTGTGAGCCACATCTCTGACAATCTTTCACTGACACAGTCTCTGGAAAAATAGATAATGAAAATAGAAATGTAAGGTCTGGTCGTGAGTCTGGCCGAAAGTTTTCTATCTGCACATCCAGCAGACACAACAGCAACATCAGCATTCACTTCAGCGTCTGTTTCTGGACACCCGGTGAATGAGAGTTCAATATTCTGACTCCTGTGGGGAAAGGTTTGTGCTTTAGCTGCTTGAGGAATCCACCGTGTTTACCAAAAAGCAAGCCACTGCAGTTTGTTTGAGGTTCAGAGGGAAAAGCTTGTAGCCTGACTGGGCCATCCTGTTGTGTGAATCACTAGCCGTTCCGTTGTTGTGGGAAGGAACGGCAAGTGATTCACGCAACAGGATGGCCCAGCCAGGCTAATGTTATGGTGTGCTTGACCCTAAAGTAATTTTACGCCGGAATATCCCTTTAAATGTCAGGTAGGTTAGAGAGAACTTTAGCTACAAGATAATTTCCTGTTTATCACTTGAACAAATCCTTTCCAATTTCCTTTAATAGGCAGAAACCTTGAGGAGAACCAGATTCATCTAAGAGATGATGGACAGAGATGAGGTTGATGCATGTAGGTGGAAAGGAGGCAGGTCCAAACCTAAGAGGAACTCAGGGCACGCTGGAGCTCAGGGACTCCCAGAAAAGACTGTGTATGAGTGACTCTAATGGGACATGATGATTCAAAGTTAATGACAGACAGAAAGAGGATGGAGAAGAACATGATGTTCCTGTATCTTGTGTTTTTTGTCCAAACAATATTAAATATTGTATCATGATAACAAATAGATCTAAAAAGGGGTTTAAATGGCAGCAGAGAAATTGCTGCATCTTTATGTGTATTTACATGTACTGTCATATTCTCGCCACGTTGTTGTCCTCAAGGTTCCTCCGTCAGAGCCAAAACGTCACCTTTGACCTGGTAACTATAGCAGCTGACCAGGATTACATGAACAGATGGTGACAGATGGGTGAAAATACAAGACCGGAAAAAATGCAAGTAAGCAGGAAAAAGGTAAAAGGTGGTGGCTGAGGAAATAAGGTGTGAGAGGAGAGGAAAGGAGGCAATGATGTGAAAGACAGGAAGAGCAGATGGTGTGAGGGGAGAGAGAAAAAAACAGATGATGGGAGGTGTACAGGAGGAGAGGGAGCAGGAACAAGGTCTTTCCTGTTTCTGTGTCAGGCTCTGAATGAGGGGCACTTCACTCTGAAAGGCAGTGAGTGTATCAGAGCGACTGACATAAAAAATCAGAGGAAAAAGTCACGTGAACATGAATATGTTCAGATGAAAAACTCCTCTTGAAGTGGATATACTGACTCTGAAACATGAGCTGAACTAAGTAAGGCAGAAAGGCTGATAATAGAGATCCTGAGGAATCTAAATGACATGAAGCAAAAATGTCAAGGTCTTTACACACCGGGGCCGACACGAATATAGAACGCGAAATTACGAAATATTCGGAGGCGAATTTTGACGATGCGATTTTGCGACTTTCCGGAGGGAAAAAGACGCATCTCGGGTGGAAGCGAGAAGACTGACACATCAGCAGACTGACTGTTTTTCAGTTCTGATTAGACTCTAGAGTTGAGATGTCTGTCTGTCATGATAGCATGTACTGAGTCGGGGTCAGTACCAGATAAGCACATTAAACTATAATCCATAAACGTAAGGTAACAACTGAGACCTAATGGTGCTGTGACAGCAACGTGATTGAGTTTGAGACAGTGAAAAAAACATATGGTATGTTGTATCTGAACAGGTTAGCTTACGAGCTAAAGTTACTTAGCACAGATGAATGAAAGATAGACGAAAGACGTTTAGCAAACTGTTAAAGCACACAAACCATCGTCATATGAGAAATCCGACGCTATGACTCTCCACAAGTTGTCCTTCGGGTCGTTATCTTTGTTTTGTTTGTGTCTTTTATCAAAAAGTACTCTGTTCTCCGACACGGAAACAATCCGCCAGTCGACCGTGTTGGATATTCCTGTGAATCAGACGTCGCAACAACACGCAATCTGAACCGATAATACTGGCCGATATTCGTCAAGTTTACAATAATCGGCATCGGCTGTTTTTTTTACACTGATAGCCGATAATATAAGTTTATTTTAAAACACGCGTATTCAGCTCTTACACAGCCGCCTCTTTCGGCTGTGTAACAATGTCCCGCCTACAGTCCCCATCGATTGGCCACTCAATACTCAAGCTTCTAGTTAGTTTCAGTTAGATTTGATCATAAATGCTGCTATAAAATCCCAGCACTTCTTGCTGTTTTTGTTGTTAGGATGATAAAACAATTGTTTAAATCTTTTCAACAAAGATTTTCACCTTATTATACAACAGTGAAAGTTGTTTTTTTTTTAAATCAGATTTTCACATTATTATATGATAGTTTAAGTTGTTTTTTTATCAGATTTTTACAGTGCACAAAACAAACTAACAAACAAAAAGTGTACTGTGTTCAGTCTAATCCCAGGTGTGTCATCTAAAATTTTGACTCCAAAATATGCCATTTTACTGCAAAGAAACATCGGTTCAAAATATTGGTTAATGTTTTCCTTGGTTAATAATAATCCTTAGTTAGAAGTGGACTTTTGGAGTTGGAAAATCCATTATTTATATCCTCTAGTTTGGGGAAACCCAGCTAGAGCATTAAGACCTTCAGTAGTAAAGAGACCAAGAATAGGCGTTAACACCGACTTTAAAGTCTATCTAAAGTATTTACCTGGACTAATTGATGGTGGCAGCAGGAAAGGAAATAGACGTTAATTGACCGATCCAAGACAGGAGTGCAGTCGGTCAAAAGGTTAAGGTTAACTGTTAAATGAGAGTGAGACGTTGACTTGAGTCTGGAAAATAGAGGGATTTCATGTGATGTAACACACTTAGCAGACGTGCTACTACCTGACTGTGATGTAATATTACAGTCATCTACTGTGATTACAGCTCCATGCTAGTTAAGAGTCAAAAACAACCCTGTACAAAACTATTAATACATACAGAAAGTTACATATGTTGGACATAATAGTTTATTTTCCCCTATAAATGAGGAGTTGAATCATTACGCTGCAGCTTTTTCGATTTTAGTACACTAAAAACGTTTCAATAATACAAAACTACAGGATTTTACCATCAAAATGAGACATAAACTTAATAGTCTAGATGATAAAATAATATTTCAGTGCAGCACCACCAGAGAAAAGTGGTATTTTTCGTCTCTCCAGACCAGAGTTGGCAGACAGATCACAGCAGCAGCAGACACATACAGTAGATGATCAGATAATCTGCCGACACCAGGCTGTAAACAGTCACTGTTGTGTAATCCACAGCCACGACTTCCACCTCAGCTTGACTGAAATCTTTCCAATACTGATGCCAAACCTCCAGAACATCTTCTCCTCTTATGTAAGAAGCAGCAGTCACCTCTCACAGGAGGTTAGTAGAGCACCCCTGGGTGAGCATCGAGCCACCCTGCTCCTCTCTCTGGAGCTGACCATTAAAGCAGAGATGTTCCTGATGTACTGCACAACAACAGAGGCCGTGTAACCGTGTGTGTGTGTGTAGGAGGATGGGTGGGCTTTTTGTGTGTTTGTGTTTCTATGTGTGTGCGATGTTGTCATCTCAGTAATGCTGTCATTGCAGAGAAAGTGTGCATGTGTTTGTGTGTGTGCTTGTGTTGGCGTGGGTGAGCAGAAGAATAAGATTACACATGCGAGGTAGGGTTTAATGAATTTTTGGCTCGTGTAGTGTGTATTATGAATATCTCAAGGAAAATTTTGACAAAGGAAAAAAAATCTCTCTGCAAACTACCACCTGTTGAAATGAAAATGGGTTCACATGCAAATTCACGTCCTTATTTTTCATACATAAGATATAATTCACATAGAGGCTGCTCTCCACGTTTGGTACTGACATTTCTGGGCAACTTTATCCTTGAACGTAACAAAATTCAACCCTAAGGCAAAAAAAGATGAAATATGGTAAAATAACAAGCATATCTGCACGTGTTTACACTCCAAGAGCATGTTAGGGGTCACATCAGAGAGTCTCTTAGGTTGCATCTGATCCCTGAAACCTTGCTGCTCACTTCTTTGTGATGTTAAAAATACACATTACAAGACATCTCTAGAGCTGTTACCAGTATATTTAACTTTTGCAGAGGGTCCTTGTGAAAAGTAAATCAGTTTCAGCACAGAGCTCACTATCTCGACAGGCCCATAAATGCTTTTAGAGTCTGTTTAAAACAGAGCACTAATCCTGTCGAGAAAGATGTTTCTTTGCATGACGAGAAGGAGAAGGAAAAGGAGGAGAGGAAACTCAAACTTCCAGAGTCAGAGTCAGTGACGTGCATTCAGGCTGTTTGTTTTTATCCAAAATTTGAGCCTTTATTCGAACTCTGGGGTAAAAGTTCATATTTGAACTGTTATAAGCATCATAATGATTCAGTACACCACTGCGTAAAACAGCTTGTTGTGATGTGATCCAGCAGAGGGCGCTCTCATAGTCACCAGGCCAATCCATGCACTCTTAACCTCTAACTAAAACAGTTTAGTTTTCTACAAAAATGGAGGGCATGGTCGAGCAAAGCCGCACTGAGTGGCAACCACGATACCTATTTCACTTTAACCTGATAATTCGTTTGCAGTTTTCTGACCAGTATCTTCTCCACAGATATCACACAGAAAACAAACAAACAAAGAAAAGAAAACTCACAGCTGCATAATCAGGTAGAGGTGGTCCGGACTCTCGTAGATGTCCTCAAGCGCCACGATGTTTTCGTGCTTAATCCTGCAAAACAAAAACAAAAAAAAATCAGCCTTTTATTCGGAGGCCGCAGCATTTCTTACATCACAGTGACCCATCAGTCAAACAAATAAAGTTTAATCCCAATGACTGCAGCAGGATTGAGGCTTACCAATTAATACCCATGAGTGAACTTTACTGATAATCCAGATTGTTGGAGGCTGTTTTTTCTCCCAAAATGGCTTTATAATCTAGACCGGGGAAATCAACAGCTCTTGTTTTTCGATCGTCTTTGCTGTTCTGCAGGAAAAAGTGACTCAAATCTGTGTTTTTCTCTCATTTATGACAGTCTGGATACAAAACCTTTTCAAATTATAGCAGGGACCCTGAATCAGATACAGGTCAGATCATTTGCAGTGCATTCTTCTTCTCTGGATTATTTGTTTGCAGTTATTTACAGGAATTTAATGAACGCCACAAACTCACATCTGAGCATTAAATCTGAATATGATGTTGGAGCTGCTGCTAATCTACTCAGTGTGATCAATCATCTCAATCAAACCTGAATGGAGATTTTCAGAGGTCTTGTCCTCCCCCAAACAATTTAAAATGGAGACAAATAAACATTAATCATGGATGCACACTGTTAGGTTTTATCCTCAGACTCATTTCAGCTTGACATTTGTACCAGTACCAACCCCAGCGCATCATGACCCTGCAGAAGCCTGCAAACATCTTCTTCCACACTGAAGGATTAGGTGGAGTTATAAGGGCAATAATCTGTAGTTTTTTTTTCAGCTCCTTGACCTTTGGGTGATCACTTCTCTATGAGCTTTGGTGGTTGCAGTGGAGAAACTATCGACAGCTTTTTTGGCAGCAGATCCTTTTTCATTTTTACTTTTCAGAAACTCTTGGTGATGTTCAGGTTGACAGCTCTTGACATGTTACAGTTATATTGGTACACAGGGAGAGAGTTGTTTCGCTGCTCCCTGCAATCACAAGCAAATACGTGCTTCGGTGTTTCTCACACTTCAAAATACCTCCGTACAGAAATATCGCATAAATTTTTGGGTATTTTAGATATTAGACACACAAGGAGAATTTCCATCTTCTTTTCACAATGATGCTCGTTCCTGTCAGCTCTCTCTTGATTTCTCCATGGTTACAGTGGTGAGATCAAGGTGTTTCATTGGTTCATCGGTGTGTGTGTTTGGGTGTCTGTGAGTAGGTGTACATTCCTTATCCTTACACCTCATACCTCGTAGAAACAAGATTGATTCTGTGTGTGGGTTAATCATCTTTTGCATCCTGAAAAGAAGTAATTCCCTTAGGTCTGTCTGTCTCTCTCTCCTGCACACACACATGCACACACATACAGGTCTCCACAACAGGTGCGCAGGTGAGCATCAAACACTTATTATAGAGCATGCGACCTCAGCGATGGCATGCAGGCGATGAACCACAGGGCTGAGAAATGACTCATACACACACGGCAACACGGAAAACCAGAGAGTCGTGCAGGTTGAAGAGGGATAATGTGAGTGTATTTAAGCCCTGCCTGGGATAATGAAGAGCTGGCAGCAAACAGTCTGATTATAATGGCAGAGGATGAGCCAGCGTGCATTCAGAAAAGCCCTATTATTCATCACAGGAATTATGCTGCAGTTAGATTCTCATTCATGGTTTGTCCTGAATGTGTCCTTGATTACTGCTGTACACTGACAGATGTAATATGTGGTAATTTATTCTATTTTTTTCCCCTCATATTTTAAAATGGTTTTCATGCCTCATTAGCTCTAAAGTATACTGAAGTCACAAATACATCATTTGATGCGATAATAAACAGGACATTGACGAGCAATGACGTGGAAGTCAACAGTCATTTACACGGAACAGAAACATGGCATTCTCCAGGAGCAAGACGAAAATCATACTATTGGTTGTCATGGATACCATTTTTACAATGCAATTGGACAAAGCATCGCAATAGGTTCAGTTCTACATAACATAATTGGATCGGGTTCAATTCAATGTGATATGAGGCCGAACAATACAAAACAATAAGAGATGATTCAGTGCTGTTCAGGTCATTTCAGTTCAAGACAATATGACATTGTAACGATACGGAATTATATGCTAGGATAAGATAGAACTTGATAATATGAGATGATTTGATATGATTCAACATGATTCCACATGGTATAACACAACATGATACAATATAATGGAATTCAATATGTTTAGATCCTATTTGATAAAATACGATATGAGAGGAAGTGATGTGATACAATACAAAACGTTACGATACGAAGCAATCAATACAATACGAAAGGATAATACGACAGGATACTTACGAAGTGATGCAATGTGATACCACAGAAGTGATGCCATGAGATACGATATGAATCTAAGCGATGTGACACAATACGAAATGATACAATACCAAGTAATGAGATACGGTACAAAACAATAGGATACAGTGCGAAGCGATGTGACACAATAAGAAACGATACATAATAACACAATATGAAGTAATGTGATATGATACGAAACTATACGAAACCATACAAAGCAACCTGATCCAATATGATACAATACGAAAGGATTCATATGAAGTGATGCGATACAAAGCAATACAAAACGATGCGATGTGATACAATACCAAAAAATACGTTATAATGATACCATAAGAAGCGATGTGATGTGATACGACACAAAGGGGTGTGATACGATACATAGAGATATGATACGATACGAAGCGATATGAAGCGGTTACATTAATAGATAACCCAATATGATATGATACACTCCAATACAAGATGCTTCGATAGGGTTTGGATTAATTAAGTTCAAAACAATACAGCATTTTACGATATGATGGAAGACGATGTGATTCTGTATGATGTATGATAGATACAACATGACATGATATGATGTGATTTAACCTGTTTCAATATCATTCAATATGATATGATACAATATGTTTTCATTTCATGTAACCTGATATGAAACATCAACACAATACCATGGATACAATATAGCACTATATGATTATATGACAACATATGATAGGGTCAGGTCAGGTACAATACGATAGAACTACATATGATAAGGTTTGGTTCAGTACAGTAACAAGATAAACGATACAGTATGATATGATTCCACACGATAAGATTAGATGTTTCTGTTTGATTCAATACGATTAGATTTATGTGTGTCTGAATAACACAATAGGGCGTGATATGATTAGATAGGACACAACATGACACCGTCTTGCTTTTACATTTTACTTGACGTCTATTTGCCGCTAAAGGACATCACCCTCTGTCTTTACATAATGTCATACAGTCGATGGGCAGGACATTTTCATACAGAGCATTCTTGTCAAAGTGTCACATACAGCTAGATCCAGATCTTTCTCCCCTTTTTTCCTTTTTTATCGAGTAGTCGAACCTGCCCATAATTCATACTTCTGAAACGGTGAAAGTAGCCAATCACAGCTAATCAGAGGTCTTGAAATGATGCTAATACAAGAATGCAGTAATCAGTAATCACACAGCAGAGAATTCTCATTTCCTGCCTGCAGTTCATCTCTATACTGTGACTACTTTACAGGCTCATGGACCATTTCTACTGGCACAGAGCGCTCATAATTTATTCATGATTTGCACCAGTATTTATCAATATCCTCATTTCAAATTTATTATTTATACATTCAGAGTTTGATTATGGTTTCTTTGAGCACCCTAAATTATTAACTAGACTAAATGTTTCGGGAAGACTGAAATAATGCAAGTCATAATAAAGGCAACACTCAGCAGTGATTAACCCGAATGGAAATGAAGATAAATGATGTACAAAGTTCTGCTTACTAATGGAGCCACCGCTTTATAACTTTAATAGTATCCATTACAAAAGGTAACACGACACAGAAAGCTGTTTGTGTCGCTTTTGTTTAATTGACATAAGATAAAAACAAGAGACTTTGTGTTTATGGTTATCCCTCAATGATATCCTGGCAATGTAGACCTGCTGAGTCTGGACCTGCTGTCCAGGTAACACCTGACAAAGGTAATTTATTTTTTTTCACTCCAATTTGAGAAAAAAAGTACTTCCTGTCTAAAGGTTAAAGGGATATTCCGGCGTAAAATTAATTTAGCATCAAACACACCACAACACCGAGTTAGACACCACGTTGAGAGATGAATGTTGCCGACTGCTTGCTACCATAGTTATACCAACTTTAGTAACGACCGCACGATAGCAATACACAACGGTCTGAGAAGCCATAAACAAACCTCAACCAAAACGCCACTTTATAGCCACAAATAATGCTCAGAACAGCACCTAACTTCATCATTAGTACATGTAGGGTCCCAGCCGCAGTACTAGCCACCAAACATCTTTTTAACTTTGCCTGATTTCTTTAGCAAAGAGACTAAACACAACTCACCTACTCTCTTCCAGCAGCCACTTGTTTGTACGGAGACCTCTGGGCAAGTCCTCTGACTACAGCGGGGTGACACAGCTCAAGGAAGAACATTTATGATAATTTCTTTATCATTTCCTTAAAGTAATTATCATCATATTAATCATTTTGCACTGCAGACGCCGTAGTTCTTCTGATTTAGCGTTTCGGTCTGATTGCATTTCCACCCACTCTCTTCTGGCAGCTGCTGGAAGAGAGTAGGTGAGTTGTGTTTTGTCTCTTTGCTAAAGAAATCAGACAAAGCTAAAAAGATGTTTGGTGGTTGATACAGTTAGGTGCTGTTCTGAGCATTATTTGTGGCTATAGGGTGGTGTTCTGGTTGAGCGCGTGGCTCTCTGTATTGCTATCCTGTCGGTGCTAAAGTTGGTATAACTAGAGAAGCAAGCGGTTGGCAACATTCATCTCTCGACAGGGTGTCTAACTCTGCATTATCGTGTGTTTGACCCTAACTTAATTTTATGCCAGAATATCCCTTTAACCAGCGGGCTCTGAGGGCTCATCACGTCTATGCCTTTTTACTGACGTGAGTGCCCTCATGAGTGTTTCATCCTTTAGGTCTCTCTTACCTGTAAACCTGCTCATAAGCAGACAGGATGAACGCTCTATAAGAAGAAACTAATACACCTCTAAAATGGCCTGAATAGAGGTGATTTTTGCCTGTTTCTTTTTTTCAAATTACCTGACTTCCTGTTGACATCTCACCACAGTATTGGGAGACTCTTTGGTGAGTCACAGGAAGCCGGATGTGTGAATGAAAAAATCATCTTTCCAGGTGAAACTGTTAGAAGGGGCTGTACTTTCAGAAACTGTAAGTGAGCCAGTTCTTCCTGGCCATGTTCGAAACCCCATCAAATATCTGTTTTTGACTCTTATTTCGCTCGCATTAACCCCGAGTCTGCGCCCTCTGTTTTGGTCTTATCCTGTTCTCGGAAACACTATCGGCTTTTCCTCTGAAGCAGGCGTAGTGTTTCACTCTGCAGGCTGCTGGTCTGCTCACTTACTCTCACTTGTTTACGCTAATGACACTCATTTGTCTGAATGATTGTCTGAATCTCTCTCTCATTACTGAAAGCAATTCTAATTTTCCTCTAATGTAGCACGGCAGCGCCACATTAATACATCTGCTGTATTTAATAGCATATAACATCTGTATTACTGCAGCAGAGGCCCAGATGTCTTTAGTTGTTAGGTTACACGTTTCTTCATTAGAGGTAGACAAAGAGAGTTTCTGTTCATAATTTGTCTTTTACTCTGAAAGGCCTCTAAAGGAAGTACAATTTGCTTCCTATCACATTACTTAAAGGGATATTCCGGCATAATATGAAAAATTTCGGGAAAATAGTCTGCTTCGTTTGTGCCGTTAAAATTTTCGTTTGTGCTGCTTTGGTTTTGAAGTTATTAAATATTGTTTTATAGGACGTCCGGAGGTCACCCAGCCCTCCATTGGCTCCGAATGGACCCGAATTGGTGCTGTTCGTTAGTGCTGTTAAAATGTTCGTTTGTGCTGCTTTGGTTTTAAAGTTATTACACACTTTTGTTTTCGGCGATGACGTCATCCAGCCCCCCATTTGCTCCAAATGGACCTGAAATGGCAACGTTCATTTGTGCTTCGTTTGTGCCGAGAAACGCGCACCTGCCGAGAAGTATATGCTCCTCGCAAAAACGCGCATAACAGAGTGGTCCATGGAAATCTACAGTTTAAAACCCATACAGTTCTTATTTGTGGGGCTAAACATCGATCGGTAATGATCCGAAAGTGAAGTTTAACTTATTTGTCATCTATGTTGAATAGACTTTGAGATGAGACGATTTATCAGCCCAAATGTTTCACTGCTGTGACTTTATTTCAATGATGAAAACGCAAACCCCATGATGACAATGAATTAAGATTATCATGATGATAAATTTAATTGGGGTGGGGGGCCAGCTTTACGCAGGTTGCTTCTCTAGTTATACCAACTTTAGTAACAACCACAGGATAGCGTTACACAGCAGTTTGAGGAGCCATAAACAAACCTCAACCAAAACACCACAAACAATGTTCAGAAAAGCACCTAATTTCATCAACAGTACATTTAGGGTCCTAGCCACAGCACTTGCTAAATTCCTTTAGCAAAGAGACTATACACAACTCACCTACTCCCTTCCAGCAGCCCATTGTTTGTATGGAGACCTCAGGCCAGTCCATTGTGAACTACAGCGGGGTGACGCAGCTCAAGGAAGAACATTTCTGATCATTTCTTCACGGAAATGCAAACAGACCGAGACGCTAAGGCAGAAGAACTACCATGTCTGCAGAGCAAAATGATTAATATGATGATTATTACTTCAAGGAAATGATAAAGAAATGTTTGACCTTAAATTAATTATGAGCCGGAATATCCCTTTAAGCTGCTTGTGCTGCGTTAGCATCTCGTTGTTTCCATGGATCTGTGTCAAACACTGAATGAAGTATCTAAACATGGCAGCTCATTCATGAATCTGCTTCACTGCTGTGTCTCTGCCTGGCAGATAGACGGCACATATTGTGCTTATTGTACACACGCATTATGAACTGAGTCCTCAAATGATGGAGATTTACTTCCCCAAACACCAATGTAGCCATGGTGGTGAATAAAATCAGGGGTGTCATGAAGTGATTTGTTACTGATAACAGTGAGTCTTCACATTTTTGTAACCCAGTTGGGAGTAAATCGATCAAAGAAACCCTCTTTTGTGATTTCTTTCTCCTCATCGTGATTTCCTTTCTAACAGCAGTTAGAAATCAACACTTCCTCTTTGCTCGGACTGGTCTTGAGCTTTTCAAACTCACACACTGAGCACATTATTCAAAAAGAATTTACTGCATTATTCACCGGGTTTTATTTCATGCTGCTGTTTTTTCTTTTTTCCAGACAGACAGAAGTTTCAGTCATGGTGTGGTTCTGTGTGGTGGGTGGGCTGTGGATCGTGACCTGGGGGTGGATGAGAGGTTGGGAGGGAGGGTTTTGTGATGTGTGGAAAAGAGAGGAGAGATGCACAGTTGCCCCGGTAACCAGGAATTAGGAGGCTGATGTGTGTGTGTGTGTGCGCGTGTCTAACAGGACTCACTTCCTCAGCACGGCGATCTCGTTCTCGATGCTGCTCTCCTTCCCCTTCAGGGCCTTTTTAGGGATGCACTTCACCGCAAACATCCGGCCGGTCAGCTTCTCCTGCGCCAGGACCACCTCTGAAAAGGCTCCTCTGTAAACACACAGAGGAAAAGTCACATGAGTCAAAAGCAGATCATTTGCTGGGAAAATGTGACCTTTTATCTTCTGGTGTCCCACTGGTTTGCACCATAAATGTGTTTTATAGACCGAGCTGAGACAGAAATTGCTTTCTGTCAACTGTGGAGAGAAGACATACACCCTGCAGGAGCTACTCCACAAGAAATTCATCTGCAATACATCAGAGAAACTCTGCGCTCAATCTTCACATCAGAATACAGAAGAGGAACAGAGATAAGGCGTGAGTTCACAGTTTATAGCCTGATATTTCAGCATTAGCAGAGGGCTTTCTGGGTAGAAAGGCATATAATCCACAGACGCAAGCTAACCATTACGCTAAGGTTTTAATATTCAGATCCTTTTCTTTTTTAATCAAACTGTTCCCATAATACGAAGTCAATAATTGGTGATTCTTATTAATTTTGCTTTGTGCATTAACACTGAAATAACAGAATCACTACAGCTTTATCTAAGATCATTCTTAGAAAGTAGTAGTTATAGTAGTTAATGCAAATCAAAGCCGCTGTGAGGAACTTTTGGTTTGTGTTGACCTTAGCGCCCCCTGTGGACAATTTGACACATCTTATTTACTGTCCCATACGTGGGTTTTTTTTCAGACCTCGTATTTTTGTTTCTCACTGAATAAAAGGTGTATACGAAAGGATTTGGGCCACAAGAAGAGAAAAAATATAATTACAGAAGGAAGATTTTTTTGATTTCCATTTCAAGAATAAAGCAGATATTTTGAGATTAAAGTCAAAATTTAAAAAATGTAGAAATTTCGACTTCATTCATGTCGACTTTAATCTTGAAATGTCGACTCTAATCTCAAAATTGTAATTTTTTTAATCTTGAAATTTTGACTTCAATCTCGAAATTTCAATTTTGAATCTTGAAATTTTAACTTTGAGTCACGAAGTTTTGACTTTATTGACATAATTTTGATTTTTTTACTTTCGAAATTTCAACTTAAATCTTGAAATTTTGACTTTAATCTTGAAATTTCGACTTTGATTTAAAAATTTCAAATTTTAATCTCGAAATTTCAACTTTAATCTCAAAATTTCATTTTTGAATCACAAAGTTTCAAAATTTATTGACATAATTTTGATTTTTTTACTTTCGAAATTTCAACTTAAATCTTGAAATTTTGACTTTAATTTCAAAATTTCAAATTTTAATCTTGAAATTTCAATTTTGAATCAAGAAGTTTCGACTTTATTGACATAATTTAGATTTTTTTACACATTAAATTTCTACTTTAATCTTGAAATTTTAATTTTTGATCTCGAAGTTTCGACCTTAATCTCAAAACTTTAATCTCCTTCCTGTAATCCTTTTTCGTAGGACTGACACACACCCCTTTGTGGTGTTTTGAATCATTAAGAGTCATAACAGTGAAACTTTCAAACTTTTTCTGAGGTTTGATTTGGTTTTGAAGGTCATAAAGACGCATCAGTACCAGTTTCTGTCTGTTCCTTTACCAGCCAAAATTCCTCACGAGGCCTTAAATCAATTAATCATTTCATTCTTTCATAATGATTGTAAATCAGGCCCTCAGTGTGTAAAAAGTATTAGTATCTGTAACTGCTTTATTATGTTGGATTACTGTGACTCTTATGGTAGGGAATGAACAGCTCTTTCTGCTCCACACAGAACAACAGAGTCAGTTTAATTTTCCATTTAACACTGTGTGAATTCACTTATTTTGCTTCAGGGATTCTGTTTATAATAGGTACAGGTAAGTGATCGCCGTAATTTGCAGAAAATTACACTGCAGAGGTAATGGGATTGGATCTGTCGAGTGTAACACTGGAGCAGAAGTAATCTTTGTATTTATTCACGCAAAGACGGGGCTGTGGCTGAAAATATGACGAAGTTTGAGTTTGAGACAAAGTGATAATCTGTAAGATACTTGGAGATCCATGTCTCTGGTGTGTATGTTTGTGTAGCAGGACATACAGAGTCTTGACTCCTGTGTTGATCTGCCTTCAGCTTCACCAGAGTCACATGAACATCTCTTTTCTCATTTTCTCTCTCTCTCTTTATTGCCCTCCTCCTCCTCCTCCTTCTTTCTCTGAACAACATTTACAGGACCTGCGGCAGACACAAATCTAGATGTATTTTGTTATTTCGCCTGCTAAAGAGGCTACAATATCAAATTTAAGACCACAAGAAGGCAGTTTTGAGCCTCTTCATGGTCTGGATATCGGCTGTCTCTCTCTCTTACCCTCCTGCAGTCTCATATGAACACTTTCATGAAGGAGTTTAAAGCATTTGTGGTTTTGCTTGGAGGAAAGCGAGACAGTGGATCAAAAGGTCTGCTCAATCTTGGGGCCATCACCTTATAAAGTTGTTGTGCTGGACTTGAAAGGGACTCCAGATCTGATCCTGATATCAGAAACAGATCTGACACAGGTCAGAATTGGAAAATTGGGTATTTGTGACTGTGGGCTGATCTATTCAATGCTGTTCTATGCTACTCTCTGTTTCTTGCAGCAGCATTCACATTGAAAAAGCCAATGACAAGGGCTGGACATGATGGTTTCTTGCACTGTTGGTAATGGTAATGCTTCAAGGGGTGGAAGTGAAACGAAGACCTTTATTCCACATGTTGCTGCTGGGCCCTGTGTTATGACTGCAATCACATCCGTTATGCATGAATACAGACTGACTTCCAATAATTGACCGGGACACTTTCATGAGGCTTTCAAACACACACCCGCCACATGTCTGATACCATTACAACAGATGTCAGATTTCGAGTTTACTGAATCACAAACCATCTCTGTGCAGTTTGCTCTAGTTTTGCAGTTTCAAGAGCTGTTAGCATCTCTGTGTGCACTCCCATCCTCATGGCAATTAAAGGAATATTCCAGCGTGAAATTATGTTAGGGTCAAACACACCTTAGCACAGAGTTAGACACTCCGTCGAGAGATGAATGTTGGCGACCGCTTGCGTCTCTAGTTTTACCAACTTCAGTAACAACCGCATGATAGGAATACATGGCGGTCTGAGGAGCCACACGCTCAACCAAAACGCCACTCTATAGCCACAAATAATGCTCAGAACAGCACCTAACTTCATCAACAGGACATATAGGGTCCAGGCCATACTCTCTTCCAGCAGCCGCTTGTTTGTATGGAGACCTCGGACCAGCCCATTACGGACTGCAGCGGGGTGTCGCAGCTCAAGGAAGAACATTTATGATCATTTCTTCATGGAAATGCAATCAGACTGAGACGCTAAGGCAGAAGAACTACCGCGTCTGCAGTACAAAAGGATTAATATGATGATTATTAGTGCAAGGAAATGATAAAGAAATGATCATAAATGTTCTTCCTTTAGCTGCGTCACCCCACTGCAGCCAGTTTGGACTCACCTGAGGTCTTGCTACAAACAAGCGGCTGCTGGAAGAGAGACACTGACTTGTGTTTAGTCTCTTTGCTAAAGAAATTAGGCAAAGTTAAAAAGATGTTTGGTGGCTAATACTATGGCTAGGACCCTATATGTACTGTTGATGAAGTTAGGTGCTGTTCTGAGCATTATTTGAGCAACATTCATCTCTCGACGGGGTGTCTATTTAGTGTTATGGTGTGTTTGACCCTAACTTAATTGTACGTTGGAATATCCCTTTAATTCTATACAACTAGATAATAAAACGACCACAACTTTCCTAGTTTGTATACAGTTTACTCCATAGAGCTAAAAGCAGCAAACATGGCTTTATCTCACGAACCTTCCTGCCTCTGAAAATCCGGTTTACTTCCATATAGTCAACTGCTTGACTGTGTGTGTGCAAGTTTTGCATTCACTGTTTCATTTGTGTGCACTGTCTTGAGTGCAGTTGTGATGTGTTCAAGTCTCCTTCAGGGGAGCTGTGAATGACTTTTTTTTATCACGCCAATATGCATGTGCAGCCATGCAGAAAGCCCTCGAGTCCTCCAAAGTGAAGCACATTTGACAGGCCGCCTATCTGCCACAAGTCCGCCCGGCCTTAAGAGCTCAATCGCACCGTCACGGCTGTAAAGGCGGTGAGAAAAAGAGTCTGTCTCTGTCTTCCCTCTGCGGTTTTCTCCTGGTGTTTCCTCCCCTCACTCAGAAGGTATTTCTATTTATTCTCACTCCCCCTTCTCCCCCCCAGTCAGTCTCTCTTTGTCTCCCATCTCGGGCTCCGCACATCTTTTACAGTGACAAGTGTTCATAGTGCCGGTTGCCCCTGGAGATCAAGGTGGGCTGTGCCGTACAAGATCAGATCACTTCAATTGCAACACACGCGCACACGGATCTGACACCTGCTTGCACTGATAGCGGCTGTTAGAGGGGTTTTGTGACGTCAATGGAAGGCAAAACAAGGCTGCTCTCTTTGCATTGTTGCTCGACTTTACTACATGCACACACACACACAGCTGGAGTTTTCCATTCATGTTTCTCAGGGGGAAATGATACGTACATGATTTTTTTAATATCCAGCTGCCATTACATAAACCCAGCTTTCATTATAACTACACTCCTCTCCCGCGTAAACCTAATTATCCTTTAGTTGTAGCTTTGGAAAACAAACACATTATGTCTGGTGGAAAAACATCAAACACAGAAACTATCCGATGATTTCACTGCGACCGCCAACAAGCATCCGCACTCTATAGGAGACAACTGTTCGGCTATAACGGCAGCAGAATTGTGATTACGGCACGCAGAGGCGCCGCATTTTCACAGCTTCGGCTCTTATTCATTATCACAGGTGGGCAGATTGCAGCTGTGGTTGCTTTTGTTTTTTTGACAGTAAATTGGGGATTTTAATTAGAGGTGTGAAATAATGTAGCGATAATGCATCATGAAGCGGTAAGAGGAACAACTGCTAAACGCTTTTGTATCTTGAGTCAGTGAAAGGATGTTTAAACTTATTATTCATGCAACTTTAAGGAGATATCTCTTGCGTCAGGGCTGATCATACTACTGAGATCGTATTCAGTCTATTTTCTGAGATTTATGAGGTGGACCTGGTTGCTAACAAGATTTCTCCTTTGTCTCATGGTGTTTAACATCGCTGCTTCTGAGAATGACCACAACATCAGGACATAAGAGGCACACTGGTTTAAAGCAGCGCGCAGGAACAATAACAAATGAGTGTTTCCGTCTGTGACTAAAAGCTGTTTTTGCTTTCTTCGTTTAAAAACATAACGTCTTATTTCTGCTGATGGACTCATTTTCACCCGCTGTGTCTCAGTAGGTTTAAAAAAATCAATTTAGACTGAAACTTGACTTGCATGTAAACACATCAGCTTGCCTTAACTGTGCATGTGAATGCACTGCGTGTAGCTTAGGGCTGGGCGATATGGCCTCAAATCAGTATCACGATGTATTGAGCGGTTCACCTCGATAACGATAAATGGACAATAACTACTCCACAAGCTGCTCACCCCCTCCCACATTAACTTTGTCTACTTCAGCCGCCGCTCCAGCTGATACAACTTCAGAGTCGTCCTCCATCTCCTCACCTGTCTTTCCCTCTTTGTTACGGACTGGATGGGGACATGAGACCATAGCCTACCTACACACATCCAAAACCAACTTTTATTTATTTATTTGACACTGAATATATTGACATGGGCAAAATGACAATGGTTTTTGTCATAAATTTCAGTATCAGTAAATTTTCAGTTTATCTTCCAGCCCTTGGTATTATGCAAAAGTTCAAACTTGATTTCCAGGCAATTATTTTCATATAAAAAAGAATAATCTGTCGACTTTACAGGATGAATCTGCAGTATTTCTAGTGTGACATTTAGTAACCCTGTCCGGTGCGGTCAGTCTCCATGTTAACTGTGTCATAAATTTCAGTAACTTTAAATTTTCAGTTTATCGCCCAGCCCTATTTCTTTGTTTAAAAATGGAACGTCTAATATCTGCTGACGGACCTATTTTAACCTGCTGTGTCTCAGTAGGTTTTAGAAAAATCAATTTCGACTGAAACTGGACTTTTAAAATGCACATAAACACATCAGCTTGACTTAACCCTGCATTTGAACGCTTTGTGTGTCGCTGCTTTCTCACACACACACTCACAAGGCCAGTCTAGGTTACACGTTGGTGTGGCTGAGGAGCATTTCATGTGAAGATTTCCACTCTCCTGAGCCCATGAAAAGAAAGAAAAGCAGCTCACCTTACCGCCTCACTGCTGCACTCTCAGAATATCTGTAAAATTCGCCACTGGCTTCAGACTTTCGACCAAGTGTCTCCAGATCCAAGGTGCAGATCCGCCGCTTTTGCACCTGACCACACTGCATCGAAGAAATCCTGACAATCCACAGCAGCTGTGTATTTAAACCACCACAGACAAACAAGACAAATGCTCCACATGATCCACAGCAGCTGTCGTCAACGTCCTCCCAGTCTGCATGTCAATAATTGTATAGCAACAATTGTTGAACAATAAGTAAACACATACAGGAAAAAAGCATTTTCACACAAACACAAATGAATACACACTGTTCATTCATGCTGAATAAAAACGTCTGAATGGTGGGAAGAGGCGAAGGGAAAAAATGAAGCTGAGCAGTTCTGAATTGGAGAAAAAGGTCAGAAGAGAGCGAGCGAGATAGCGTGTGTTCGTGTGTGCGTATGTGAGTGTCTGTGTGAAACGCAAATGTGAATGGAGGCAAAGTGGATCTCATAAGAACACTTATGCAGATCCACAAATACACAAACAGGCTCAGACAAACACACACACAGCAACAGCAGGAACAAAGCACGGCTCACTTCACAATTCATCGAACCTGAATTTCTTTACCTGCCATGGACACACACACAAACACACACACACACAGAGACCTGAGGGGGGCTTGTATAACATCTGGCAGCTGACTTCACAAACTGCACAGTTTTGCGTGCATGTGTGCGCACGTTGGGGTTGACTTGCTGTTACCCACGGCAACAATGATTGTGCTTCCTCCCGTAAGAAGCGCCGTTATTGTGTCAGTCACGCTCCTGATGGTGCGCCGCGCACAAAGCATATTGGCAGCAGTGGTGTTTGCATGTGTGTGTTTTTCTCCATCAAGAGCATATCCAGCAGTGATGCAGTCTGTCTCACACATACACACACACACACACACATTCACACACGCATACTGCATGAGAGAGATAGAAAGGCAGAGACTAGAATAGGCTGACAAGGTGACAGTGACACATTTAACATGGAGACTGACAGTACCCGACAAGGTTACTCAGTGTCATAGAAATACTGCAGATTCATCCTGTAAAGTTGACGGATTATTCTTTTTTATATGAAAATATTTATTTGAAGTCAAGGTTAAACTTTTGAATAATACGCCATATTTATAATGGTGGACGGCATATGAGAAAAGCTACTTTCACCAACTTTTAACTTCTCTAAATAACAGTTTTCAGTCAAATTTTCTGATTCTTTGGCTTTCATTTACGGTACACTTATTACCAGGTATTTAACAGGTAATTACCTAGTAACAACATGATTATTACATGGTAATTACACGATAACTACTAAATCAATACTGTCTAGCTACCAGGTAGGTAACCTTCCATCATCATACAAATTTGAAAGCCGAATTGCTCTGGTATTTCCAGGATTTTCTCCGCTTCCTTAAACCACCACTTGCGCGGTAGCATTGTACGCATTAGGCGGGTGAGTCGCTGTGATAATGCTCGGCTCAAACAGCGTATCGCTACACAATCTTCGCACGCCCATAGGCTGTATCAAATGTCGATCATAGAAAATAAGAACCCCAAATAGCTTTTGAAAATGGAGCTGCACAGAGAAAAGAGAAAAAAAGACAAACTAGACAGTATTGACTTTGTAGTTATCATGTAATTACCAGATAATTTCATCTTGTTACTAAGTAATTACCTGTTAATTACCTGGTAATAAGGGTACCGTAAAAGAAAGGGTTACCGCACTTCCTCTACTGGCCTCATAGATAGATAGATGTATTTACTGGCCCCCGTGGGGAAATTCATTGTCACTGATTGTACATTACAAGGAGACAACGCTGGACACCACAGACAATAACAGTATTCAGCCGACATGACAGTAAACAACAGTGACAATAACAATACAGTGACAGGCAGACAGATCAGCGGGGCCTGCTGTTCAGGGCGGCTACTAAACTTAATCGATCTGTACCTGCACCCTGAGGGCAGTGGGATGATGTACTGGTGTAGTGGGTAGGGGATGTCCTGTACTATGGTGTTTGCTAGGCGAGTGATGGACCTGTTGTTTAGTTCTGTGAGGTTGGGTGCGTGGAGACCAATGATTTTTGCAGCTGTGTTTGTGATTCTTGTGAGTTTGGCCCAGTTTGTTTGATGCTGATGATACCACAGCCTTTACTTCTGGGTAGGGGTGTCCCGATACGATATTGATATCGGATATTGGATATTGGATATTGGATATCGGTCCGATATCAGCAAAAAAACAAATACTGGATTATATCGGCCTGCATTTAAAATCTCCAGTATCAGCACTCCAATTTCAAGCAGTCCATTCCAGACTCAACTCCTGCACCTCTAGCTAGCAGCGCCCTGATCCAGCATGCAGAGCAAAGTAGCAAGGAGTAGGAGTTATGTCGGCTGTGTGGCAGTATTTTTTCGTTAAAGTCCGAAAAAGACATTGCAGCTGAGTGAAAAACTTGTCATGCCCAAGTTTGTGCCAGTATCGGACCAATATCGGTATCGGTCAATATTGAAGGCTACAATGTTGGTATAGTATCGGTAGTCAAAAAGTTGTTCCAGGACACCCCTACTTCTGGGGTTGATTTTTAATCTGTTATCTGCTCTCACTGTGGTTACAATTAGGCATTAGGTGTCACCCATACACTGTTCATAAGGACTTAGTTTTAATGCATCCTTTCTGTTAGCGTCTTACCGTTTTGAAGGTATTGGCACATGTCTAAGTGCGAAAATCTTCAACTTTGCAATTTCTCATATCACTGCTATGCAGATGATACCCAGCTTTTTTTCTCATTATCTCCAACACACTCATGCACAAAAAGCCAACCCAGAGAACACGTGCCATGATTGATGACCGGCTAATCTTTACGGTTCATGTGTTCTGATTGCTCATTATGCTGATTTGCTCTGTATTAGGAATAATAATATCATGAGGACCAGGTTTGGGCCCCGGTAATATCACAACTGCAACTCCTTCATGCAAACCTCGACAGATGATCTAGTTAAATAAAAGCTTATAAACGGACATTGTTTAGTAGTTTATATCTCTGTTTAGCTGAGAAAGTGACAAAATGAGGGGTTTTAAAGAGGTCACGTTTTCATTTAACTGCATCTATCTACACCAGAGTCCATTCACACTCAACTGTTGGCTCAGACAGTAGTCAGGTACTGAGGAATTGACATTAATTAAGTCTGTGAAATGACAGGATCAACCGTAAATATCCTTCCTGCAAGTGTAATCTTTAACCCAGCATTAACCACTTGTTTAACTTGAATTACATAAGATACTCTAAGTCTTAATCTTACAAAGGGCTCTTCTTCAGGGTTTGAGGGTTTTACGAAGGGAGTGAAGATTACACACGTCTTATTTTGGCGATAAAAGCGTTTATCCTTCTTATATATCATAATTATAATGATGGAAATGAACCCCAAACTAAAATCATCCAGGAACTTAAAGCTGAGTTGAATGAGCTGTTATTAAAAAAAGGAAAGCTCTCTGAATACCTTTGAGTTACACACACACAGACACACACGCGTGCATGCAGATAGCAATAATGTCAGCTCTGTAGGTCTGCCCCTGTGAGATCAATAACCGGCAGTTTAATCAAAGCGCCTGGGTCTGAATGGACTCTCGCACACAGGCGCACACACCACACACACGTCCACGCGGCAGAGCAGCTGATTATCACAGATCATGGACAAAGACGATTATCTTTCACCAAACTGCCGGCATCTCCGAGCTGAAAAGGCACGGACCCTTCGACACGCATGCACCACTATCGTTATGTGCTAAGAATGAAAAGATCTTTCTCTTGAATGCCGTGTCTTTTTCTCTAAGCCAGTGGAGAGATGGACCAGTTTCTGAAACACAGTCGATTGACCGGGAGACATAAAAAGAAGAAGCCAGAGGGGAGAGGAAACGCAAAGACAGAAAGAAATAATAACAGTACAATGCATAGAGAAGAGGAGATAGGAGACGCTGTGACTGGGTTTAACAGGCGCTAACCTTAAAGGTACGCCTGTTCGCACTGCTGGGCAGCGGTCTAGCATGCTGCAGGCAACACATCCAATTTTTGAACACATTTGAAGCGACATTACTGCTGCATCGCTGTTCAAACGCAGCTGCCTCTGGTGTTGATACAACCTTTGCCTGGTAATTCTGAGCCGGCTACAGAGATCATAAAACGCTGTTGGCGTTTTTATGGCAGTGGATCTACGAGCAGAGGGAACACAGGATTTAAACATGTTAAAGGTGATCGAGTCCTGATATAAAATTCCCTCGTGCACATTTCAGCATAAAGTCAAACCAATAACACCCTTTCTGAACAAACATAAGCTGCTGCTGTAGAGAAAGCTCAACGATCACTGAATATGTTGACTACCAATCCTGTACTTGAGTGTCTTACCACCACGACCTCAAATCCCTCAGATAACCATCTGGAGAGCAGGACAAACAAGGTAGCTAGTACGCATCACAACCCCAATACTCCGGCCTTCAGCCAAAGCACTGAACCAGACTGTGAAGGACGGGACACTCTTCTTTCACCGTCCTTCATATTCTCACACCATCTCCTCCAGAATCATCTCAGGACATGTTGTTTTACCTGCAGTTGGGACACCACTAATCTGAATCACCATAGCAACGGGAGACAAGTCAAAACAGGTAAGGATTTTTATTGCAGCTGCTGTGTTAAAAGCACTGGACTGTTGTCACACACACAGTGAAATCTCACTCAGCATAACTAGTCTGCATACAAAAGGTGGGAAAACATTAACACACTCGGAGTGAAATCAGAGAAAGAGAGCTAAGACCCCTTTTTCTCTGTGGGTCATCTTTCCTCTTTCTGTGAATGTGTGTGTGTGCATGCGCTATATGCCTTTGTATCACAGCACGTAGGTTTAAATAGCACTGTTGCTACGGCAGCAATTAAGTGCCAATTATAGTCCGTATTCTCACCATGGCTCTGACAGGAGAAGATGACAACGCGAGGGAGAGAGAGAGAGAGAGAGGGAGAGATAGGGCTCTAAAAAGAAATAAAAATGCCTGTGCAATTTTCCGTGCTTTTAACCTCAACAACCCCTCAAAACAGACACCAGACCAGAATACGGTGTCGGGGATCAGGTCTCTGTAATCCAACCCATTGTCCATATGGTGAGAAGAATGGGCTCAACTCCACCAGCGAGACAGCAACAGATGGAACACGCACGCAGAGCTCCGTAGGACGACATTAAACATTAACAGAAAAACATGAACCAGAGCTTGTAGGTTGAGATTTCTTCAGGTCACATCTCAGTGATTGCAAACATTCAAAGAGATGAATCAAGATGAGCGCTGTAAGCCCTCAAAAAGAAACTGACGTCCATGTCACCGTTCAAGAAACCAAAAAAAAAAGACCTGCTTCTCTTTGGGGCTGCTGTCACATGTAGGTTTTGTTTGCAAAGGTGCAAAAACGCATACTGGTGGCAACGAAAACAGTGGGGAGCATCGAATGGGTTAAATGTGTGGGACTGACTTCAAATTTGCAGACATATATGCAACATTTGCAGGGGTTAGGAGCGAGTGGTGGTTTCATAGCGGTGTCATATCAATCAATAAAACTTTATTTTTAAAGCGCTTTTCATACATATTACGCTGTCCAGGATATTAAAAACAATGAAATAAAATCAATGAAATTACAAATACCAAACCCCACCTGCCCTCTCAACCCCCATTCAACACATACAGCACTCACACACCCACAGATGCATACACAAAAGACCAGGTTAGGCCTCCTCAACTTGCCACAAATGACTGAGGAATCGCTATCTTGAGTTAAAAGAAATGAGGAAACACTGAATCTATGACTAAAACGATAAAACCATGATAAAATATAATAAAGGTGATCAAGCCTTAAAAGTTAATTGAATAAAACAGTCTTAAAATCAAACAATAGAAGAAAGTAAATTAAAAAAAGAGGTAATAAAATTCAAAATAGTTACTCTAGGACTAAAATAGGGTAAGATCACATAATGCAGATTAAAAAATTAAAACAAAATTCAACTAAAAGCCAGACTAAAGAGGTAGGTCTTTAGTTTACTTTTAAAAATATGGTGTCACTCTCAGGTCTGCAGGTAGGCTGTTCCACAAATAGGGAGTGTAATGTTTGAATAATGATTCACTGTATGTTTTTGTTTTTACTTTAAGAACAATTAAAAGACCACTACTTGAAGACCTGAGGGCTCTACCAGGCTCATGTGGTAAAAGCAAATCAGACAAATAAGAAAGACCAAGACCATTAAGAGCTTTAAAAACTAATAAAAGAACCTTAAAATCTACTCTAAAAGACACAGGTAGCCAGTGCAGAGATTTTAAAATTGCCATGATGTGGGCTCTCTTCCTGGTCTTCGTCAGCATGCGTGCAGCTGAATTTTGTAGGAGCTGAAGCTGTGAAATGTTCTTAAACGAATGATTAAAGACTGTGTAATTACACCTGAGCAGCCTTCTTAGTCATGCAGCTGGATGGGAACTTGCAACAAATAGATCGTATGTGTCAGCATGATTGAGCTGAAGTCAGGCCATTTGAAAAACGTTCACATCTCCACAGACCAAAAACATCTATATATAAAAACTGTCAATATAAATGCATGCATCCTCTAATCAAGACCATAGCAACAACAGACCTGATGAGTGACAATCCATTAACCAAACGACCAACCCCCATTGACTGGCAACCATTAGATAAAACCACCTCCAAACAGTCAAGACAATTAGGTGGTAAAAGGAAATGCAAAAGAGTAGCAGATTTGCATCAATTATAGTAAAAATGTGACCATTCAAGAACCAGACGTCAGTATGCTGTGGAAGTAAAATCTCTCTTAAGTGATGGTCAACATAAGGCTGGTTCTTCAAAGTGTACTAACTGCAAAAATCGTCCTAAAAATGAGTCTGGTGACAAGATGCTGCTTGTTTGTTTTTTTCATCAACAGAGATACGTGCCTTAAAATCTAATATACTCTGTTTGCAGAACTGCTCTTACAGCGATCTGTACAACTAAACAAACCGGCGTCTGTGTGCGTTTGTGTATAATTCAGTGGAAAATGGGAGGGGCTGCAGGGCAAAGAAGGGAAGGATGATGATGATTTCTGTCCGCTTTGTGTGCTCACATCACACGGACACATAAACACGGCCACCGAGGTATGGATTTACCATGGCAACAGCCCTGACCACTACAAGGATATCAGGAGACTTCCCTTCTGTTTACATTTATCTCCATGGAAACAGCTTGGGTTAGATGAGCATCAGCGTATGCATGGTGGGGGGAATACTTGGTAATCCAGTGTTGTGCATGTGTGTGTTTTTTGATTGTTATCTGTGCAGAATGTATTATTCTATTTTACTCAATATGTAGGCTTGTTTGTGAGATTATGCAGCCCTTCACTGACAACAATTAATGCAATGGTAGCTTCTTATTGGATGGTTTGTAATAACCAGTTTGGGGATGCCACAGTCTTCCAAATCTATAACTTCACTGGATATTGAGTTAAGACAAATCATCGACACCGTTTCATGAATTAGGTGTCTAATTGACCTGTCTTATTTTCCTGCTGAGGCACAAATTCTCTCCATCTTTCATTCCTTTGATTTTGTTGTTGTGAGTGACAGCTGGCTATTATTATTCATTTAAAGGTGGGATAGGCAGGAATCTGTTAAAGGAGCATCTTTTTTTGTGGTGTATATACAAAAAAGCTTTTAATATCAGTCAATAGCTATTAGTCATTGATGACATTTTGGGAATATAACGATATTGCTGTGTTTTGTTGTGTCTGTGTAGTCAACATTTCTCTTTCTCTTTCTGACTGTAAACAAAGTGCTACAATATCAGACAGTACAATCCAACCAGAAAGTAGAGAAAATTGTCCAAATCCTCCTTTGGCCACGACTGCCAACACAAGCAAGAAAACTAAGTAAATACCGGAGACTCTGGAGGAATAACGGGTGCTTAAAAGGACGTAGACCACCCGGACAAGAGCTAAGAAGCCGGGTCAACAATGACGGGGGACGCTTCAGGATCTTACGGACCCTGTAGCCTTTCTGCTGGACAGGTAAACTGCTTTAACAAAGTAAGTCAAGTGTCTGTAACAGAAGTGTTTTTGTCAAACGGGACCTGCTGCGTGTTGTAGCCTCGGGTCCTGGACTATGTCACTTTATCCTAGTCTGTTGGCATCTACAGTCGCACCAATGCTGTTTACTTTCAGGTTGACTGGGCCCCATTTGTAATTATCTGAAGTATTTATCTGCATTATATCTGAATTTAATTGAAACGATACGAGCGAGCAGGAGCGTCTGTTTGTGGGCGGGGCCTGATCGTGTTTATGTTCAAGATTTCTCCCCAAAACTGTCCCTTCTTCAGATCCTGCCTACCCCACCTTTAAGTGGATTTAATTGTTATTTTTCTTGTTGATCTAACTCTAATAAAAAAGAGAAATGTAAAAAGAAAGGTCTCTTACAGTCAACGTTTCACTTAACAATAACGGCAGGCTTTTTCTCTGTTTGTGAAGTACTTGTCCTTTTTTTTTTACTCTCCAAATATAATAGGACTGGAATCAAGGATAAAGTGGCACCATTCGCTCTTGTGAACAAATGTTGGTGTTCGAAGGTCTACGTCCTCAAACTGGATGATCCCGTTTTTTTCAAATGCACTCAAAGGGAGAAGTGAACATCTTGTTTCAGGGTCAGTACAGTAAAAGATGAAATGTTGAATGAGAAACCGTGGCTTGTTAGAGATCATATCCAGTGGATTCTCACATCACATCTTTAACAACTCTGGACTCATCTTCAGCTTTAGTTCGTTCTTTACTGTGTGTGTGTATCATAAAATCACATAAACAGTTTAATTAAACAGCAGAGCATTACTCTGACAATGATGGAGCAGGAGGTGACTCAGCAGATTTCTTCTGCATCCTTAGAAATTCCCCTAGCTGTTCAAACACACACACTCACACACACTCGAACATAATGGATGACCTACTATAGATTCAACTAGGGCAAAAACAAAACACACAAGCTTGACTTAGATAAAGCTGAGCTACACAAACCAAACTCCACCTGCAAAGTCAGTCTAAATCCTCCTCCGTACATCGTTGGTGAATATCGTCTGTACAGCAGAGTGTTAAAAAACTAATACCAGATGTAAGAGAAAGTGAGACCAAATGAAAATGAATTCCCTCACTCTTCTTTTTCTGTTCAAAAGCTGAAGATTATAAGACATGACCTGATAAGCTAAAGGCCATGTTGGAGGTCCGAGGCTCTAATACCTGGAGTGGAAGGACTGATGTGAGCTGAGAATTGGATTTGATGAAATGAAGAGCTCCTACAGGATATATCAGGCCAGAGAGAAAAGGTTACATGTCCAGAGGGAGAGCAAGAATATGAGGTTTTCAGGTAAATCTAGCATTTATATATACTGTCTATATTTCATATTACCCATCTTTTCTCACTGAATGGTCAAAACCCAATAACAACAGTTACAACCAGCCGGATCAGACCAGTCATATCAAATTAAAGGGCAGAATAAACCCAGTCAGTGATTTCACCTCCTCCTGCTGACAGGTTACCATAGCACAGGTAAAACACACGGGAGGTATTTTAGTATCAATTTCACAAAACTAATCAGGCAAAAAAACATTATCATGATGTGTTTCAATGTCAGATTCTGGCAAAAAGTCTGTAAACAATTGTGTAAAGAAAAGACTCAATAATGGTATTGATAAGGACTTGGATCATTAAGGAGTCTCAATAATGGAATCAGAATTGATAAGAATTAACTATCCCCTGAATTGGCTATATTTGAAATGGATTTGGTTGAGTAACTGGACACTTCGTTCCTTTTTTTGTAGAGTTTTTGTGAAGTCGTAAGGTACAAAGAAAAGACAGGTGATTTGTTGTCCTGCACTCTGATACATCAAATTCACTCCAGGAGCAGCTGTCGCACCCTGAGCAATCAGACCCCAAAACTAATGGAAAATACTGCAGAAAGACTGAAGAAGCTTTTGAAGAAGCTGACTTGAATCAGCGTTTTCATACATTCACCTGCCTGCATATGCGTTTTGACCAATCAAATTCATGCTGGTTAAAGCGGGGTACACACATAAAGATAATCAAGTGTTTTTCCCCCTTCCGACCAAGGACGACAATCAGAAGATTATCTTATGTCTTCTAAGATTATCCTATAAGATAATCCTGTGGTCTGAGGTGTATTAAGAGTGAATTTATTCCGATGATTGGGTCTGAAACGTGCCGCGGCCAACAATCGAAAATATTAAACTTGTTTAATATTTCCGACCAAAAATCTTCACGTGTGTGGGGAAAGCCGACGACTCCAGAGTCATGACTCTGTGAATTGTCACGTGAAATGGAATATAGCCAATCAAGAAGCGAGCTGACTGAGGAACAAGGAACCAAATAAAGCGAACAAAAATAAAGCATGGCCTACAGGAGTACGGAATTTAGAACAGGATTTTCCTGTCAAAAATACTCCCAAAACCACCATCATTCCCTCCTCTTGTGTGTCCTCTTCCATGTTGCGTCTTTTGTTTCCCAGTTGTTGCTATGTTTCTTCTTCATTTGAAGATAGATCACATTTTATCACGCGAGATTCTCGGTCTTCGAGGACTAGATCCTAGATCAGTGGTGGAACAGAATCATTTCGTGTGTGGTGTGCTGTGTTGAGATTATCGGAGCAAAACTGTTCAATGTCTGATTTTTTATCTTCATGTGTGGGGTCTGTAACAGATCAAAAATCCTTATGTGTGTACCCCACTTTATCGAACAGCCAATCAAAACTAACATTAGTATAGAGACTTATCACCTGAATTTACCTTCACAGTCCTTTTATTGAGAGCTGAGTGGATCATACTGAAGAGCCTTGGAGCTCCACTGTCCAAAGATGTAGCTCTTTGTTCCCAGTGTGGCTCACAGACAGAAAAACAAGTAATTAGCGAGCAAATCTTCTTCCATGACGGAGATTTGGATGTTTGTTTTAGAAAGTCGGGATAAATCTGCAGCTGTTGTTTTCACTGTATCACTACAAACAAGCCTCTTGCGAGTATTAGAGAGCATGTTTTTGTGCTGCTGCTGCCTCTATAGGTTCTTTTGTTGATGGTTATTGGCAATGCTACAATTTCCATCATCATCACACACACAGATGAACACGCTCATACTTGTTTGTCCTTCTACTGAAACTTTCCCAGCGGCTCTATCTCTTTCACGCACAGAAAAAATACACGTCATGCCCAGGAGAGCAGGTGTTAGCAGGGCTGTGAAACAACAAAACAGTCATTCAATAGACTGCAAAATCATTTAATCACGGCTCACGTCATCATAGATGAACGTACACAAACACTGAATGAGTGTGTGAATGAAAGCAGCAGGTCAGTGACAGTGCAGCAGGACTTAAGGTTACAGGGAGTGAATGGATCACATCAGTCAAACCAGTCGGCTCTGTATGAATAACTTTAAGTATGAGGTCGAGGAAACGTTTCATGCCAAGAGTAAAGACAAGGAGTGGTGGAACAGAGGTGCTTAACTGTTTTTAAAGTTGTGGTTATGATGTCAGTGCGAGGTTGCCAGGCAACCACAGGAAATACAAAGAAGTCTATGCACACAGCTACTTTGCTTTGTATGGTGCATCCTTTTATGTGTATACATTATCCCATCAAAACAGACCCACAATGGGCCGTCAGTTAAGTAGTTATCCTGAGTTCCTTCATTCACATGTATGTATGTATGTCTGCTGTTTATGTTTGACCTCATTACATAGCCTTGTGCTGCGTTTCAGTTAGGGTTGGGCGATATGGGAACAAGTTTATCACAATATATTTTTTCACATCATTCGATATCAATATATGTAACGATACTAAAAAAAATCACTTGTCAATCTTAAATTTTCCGTTGTTACTCTTAAATGAAATTTAACATGTAATCGGCATAATTTGCAGTGCACATTACTCTGATTCATGTCTGACCTCAGGAAACCAAAATACCTCCACACCACCAACGTTTTAGTGCCAGTTTTGTCAACGATGTCATCATCTGTTGAGCATTCATCTGCATTTCTGCCGGGGGTAGCACTCATTTTCTTTTTTTCTCACCAACAGTGCTGTCGGCTTCACGTGTTAAATTGCATGGTTGCATGTAGCTGCAGCCTGCTACTACGCAGTTGTTTGCTACTTGGTTCTAATTCAGCACATGAATGGTTCAATGCGACGCGATTCGGAGCAACTCCCCTTTATTGGCTATTCGTAAAGTTTACCAACACATGGCAGAATGCCGGTTATCAAAAAGCATATTGACTATGTTTTATATTGATATCGATAGAAATACATTTTTAAAATACATATCACTGTCATTTTAACACCCAGCCCTAGTTCCTTGTTGTCGGAAAGTTCCTGACTCGATGCGCAGCGCAGTGCATCAACAGTAAAGAGTAACAGTGAAAGCTCTCGTAATGTTTTATTTATTAGCACTTCTGTTTTGTTTTTGTGAAATTAAACAAGTGGTTTATGTTGTACTGCCCAACGTCTAACTGTAAACACGGTGCTATGGTGGTTGTTAGAGTAAAATACTGTGTTATACGTTGTTTACAACTGGTAAAGCTAACAACAACTAACAACAGCTGACAACAGCTAACGACAGCTGACAATTGTAAACAGCAGCTAACCAAGGCCAACAGTAGGCGTCCATCTTGGTTTTCTGACTTGTTAACTAGAACACCGTCAACTCAGATGTAACGTCATTTCCCCCCCGGGAAGTCCGACTTCCAAGGTAACTGGAACGCAGCATTATATATATATGTCATGTATGGGTTATTTTAAGGTAAGGTACCTTTTAAGGTAAATAGGTGGTTATGAAAAATAGGATACTGACAGGGTGAGCAGGACCCTAAATCTTCTCTATGTTGCCATTTAGACAAAAGTTAGACTTCATTCAGTGGATCAATCACATATGAAGTAAGTGATCAGGCTGATATGGCGTTTTGACCAATCAGAATCAAGTATTTACTTGTACTTTGATAACAGAGCTGCACACTGTATTTTCCCATTTGCACCTTTGTTAATCAGATCAAACTGGTTGTATTGAACGCAGCTTGACTTCTACCAATTTGCCACACAATCATACTGCATATGTTGCGAGGGGCTGTCGGATCGTTTTAGCTCTCTGGTTAGAAATATTTTCACACTGCTGACGTTTCAGCCACAGGGTTGCTATTACCAAGTTTGTGCGTTTGCACCCTGCTGAAAATTGAGGCCCGTTTATAACAGCTGACGTTTAATTATGTGGGTCAGATTGCTGATTCCCTATCAGCCCGGATCAGCTCCCTCTCAGTGTTTGAGATCAGTATTGGAGCAGATAGAAAGGCATGATAATCACATTTTAAGAGCGTATAATCACACAGGGCATGCTGACTTTGTCTGGTATAATTTCCTGCAGATTTTACATCAAATCAGCAATGTTTTTTTTTCCCAATATGCAGCAGGGTTTATGCAACATTTGGGTACATCAGTTTTCCATAATATAGGATTTTCTGTAAGCCGAAAGTCCTAAAGTGAGTTAAGATTGGATGTCAGACTAAGCAAATTTCTGTAATGAGGCCGCTGAGCTGAACTGTAAGCCCTGATCCGTCCTTTTCTCCCCACTGTGTGAGGAATGAAACCAATTTTGACGAATCAGGGTCATTTCAGAAATTACAGAACGACCTTGTGACCGGGACAACACGGGGGTAAGATTGAGGCCCCCTGCTGCAGACATGTGAGAGACTGACTCCAAAATCGCAATGATGTCATTGCATCAAAGTCCAAATTACATGATGCCAAGAAGCTTTGATTAAATCTTTTACTCTGTGTTTGTGTGTGCGTGGCAATCCGACAAATGGCTGAGAAGCAGACAGAGCTGCCACATAACAGTGCTGCTGTGACTAGACTGATGACGCATGAAACATTTCTCACACAAGCTGGCACATCAACACACACAGTTGGGCGTGACCAAATGGTAGTGCAGTTTTGCATACAAATCAAACGGCAACTGTGTCACACAAACTCACTCTCTATCACTCTCTCTCTCTTTAAAGCTGTTTTCAGAGTCTGAGACATAACAAAACTTTGGCACCTCAGGATTGTGTGCGTGTGTGTGTAACATTGTTTTCTGCTCAAGGACGATCAGAGTGAAACTGGGCCAAACTGAACCAGATAAACACACACACACACACACACACACACACACACACACACACACACACGATGATCTAAGTACAGTAGTGGGACTCAGTGAAAGTAGGTCTGCGATAATACAGAAAAAGCCTTCAAGGTGCAAAGCAGTGTGTGTGTGTGTGTGTGCGTGCGCCACCCTTGTGAAGTGTAAAGCCTAGTAGTGCTAAGAGAGTGTGCATTTGTGTGTGTTAAAATCATTTAACAGTATCATTATGCGAGTGTGTAAGTTTTGGTGACATTTTGCGATACCGTGTGAGTCCGTGTGGGTTTCTAGAGTGTGTACTTTCCAATGCATATGTGTACATGGGTGTGAATGAGTGTGCATTCTGCCCTTACATTACCTGTCCGTAACACTGAGTTTGTGTGTGTGTGTGTGTGTGTGTGTGTGTGTGTGTGTGTGTGTGTTGCTGGCCATTAGTTGAGCCGCCGCGGCCCCGCTTCCATTAACGGCGGCGATCATTCACAATCTGATGGGCAACGGCAAGCCGTAACCATAGCAACCTGCTGCGTGCCGGCCAAATACTTCTTGGGAACATGTTGCACTAATCTCAGCAATCTGACTGCTGTAGGATAAATAAAGGTTATGTCGGTGGACGAAATGCTAAACGATGACAAGAAGGAGGTGAGTTACGAGCAAATAAAAGTTATCACAACGATGATGCTGTTTGATAGAACTAATTAATACTGGAAAAAACAAGTCTGATTAAAAGGTCTTGGGCAAGTTCCCATCCGATCTGTATTTACTAGTTACATAAAATGTTACTGATAAGCTGGTGTTGGCAAAGATTTGGGGACTTTGTACAAAAATAAACAACACAAAATGTCAAGTTTGTTGACTCATGGCAGCTTTAGATTTACAACTAAAACAATCATGCTGTTGTAGAAAAAAAAAATGATGGATTTTTTTTAGATGGGTTTTCCTTTCTGCCTCTTTATTCACATACAAAAAAAAAACTTGCTGGATGAGCTCTTGGTAATATTTGTTATTCTTTTTTCTCATACTATTTCTGTTTGACCTAAAACAAACAGACAAGCCTGAGGGAGAATAACACTTTCATATTCACATCTGGTCTTCAAAACTCCCCACTAACGCCCCTCAGATGACTCATCTCCATGTAATATGACACAATCGAACACATACAGCCAAACATGCTCCTACATGCCTGTTTACAGTCTGAATCTTATCACACAGGAAACCCCATTAGTGATGGGCACGGCAGTTCTTTCAGATGTACTGAATTACTAGAATCGGTTCACTAGAAAGATTCGTTCAAAAGGTTCGTTCACCAAATCACTGAATCATTTAGCGGGAGGAGCCTGTGGCTCCGACCTCCTGAACTGATACACAGCTGAACGTTTCAGGATTCAGTTCAATTCATAGCTTCAGGGACCAGGAGACGGGAATGTTTGGCTGTGTTGCTCTGGCAAACAGGTTTGTAAGAATTAACTTGTTCATAAGTCATGATGTTTTAAGTGTATTGTCCTATGGTATGCTTTTACCAGGTCTGCTTGGTAAATTAGGGTCAGAGAGTGATTCGTTCACTGAACGTTTGGAAGAATTCAAACTGAACATGCACTGTTCCCTCGCAAACCGCTGCAATGATAGGATGCTGCAGGTTTAATGCACCACTTGTTACATGCTGTGTTCTACTGTATGCAAGATGTTGTGGTGGCAATTTGCTGGTCTAGCAATTATGTTTCTCACTTCAGCTCAACTGAAGAAACAAACGAATCACTCGAAGAAGTGATTCGGTTCAGTACGTTCACTTAAAAAGATTGGGTTCTTTTGAACAAATCGTTCGCAAACAACATAAGACTAAACCTCATGCACCTCTGTCTTGGAAAATGTGTCAATCATGTTAGATAATGTATGCTAAAAAGAGAGACAGATGAAGTGTATTGCACTTTAGAAATGCATAATAAGTGTTATATTGTGTATGTTCCATGACAGATTATGTAAAGATAATGGTAAAAGGTTTATAGGTCGTGGTAGTGATTGCATATAATGCAAGATAATGTATATGACGCTATAAAAATTAGATTCTTTTGTTGGATAATGTTCATCACAGAGCTAAATAATATGCATGTTGGCTAATGTACATTGCATGATACAGTATGTACGTTTCTTGGCTAATAATGTACGTTTCTTGGTAAAAAATTGTCAGTTGCATGGTAGATAATACATGTTGCATGGTTGATGGTGCATATGGCACCACAGTAGGGACTGTATAATTCTTGGCAGATAATGCAAGTTTCATGGTGGATTATGTCTTTTGCAGGAAAACAATGCACGCTGCATGATAGATAATGTATGCTACATGGAAGATTATGTGTATTGCAGAGTACAAATTACAAAGAGGGTTAAAACTGTATTTTGCATCTAAGACTATATCTATTGCACATCTAAATGCATATATCACAGTAGATAATGCATCACATTGGAAGAATATAGTGCACCAGAATAAATACAATTATTTGTTTTATTTATTTTTGGGTTGAATCTGAAATTCAAAATCTAAGAACATGAAAAGAGAATCTTTCTGGGAACAACGCTCCCCACTTTCCGTGATGGCAGATGGCAAAAGGAGAGAAAGGCTGATTGGAAAAAAATTATTTGCAACATATTTCTCCTTCAGCAATGGCACAGGACACCCCTCAAGCCCCCTGAGGCCACTCCTCGAGGCTTTAATGTGCTTCTATTCCCCATCCTCATCCCATTTCCTCATTCCCACTCTGTTATCTCCTTCTCCTCCTTCTCTGTGCTGATATTTTGTTATATTCTGCGCTGCCATTGTCAGAAGCAGGAAGGCCTCCAGGGTAATGTACTAAGCTACTTTCTGACTTTAACTTTCTGTTCAGGTAGGGGCTTTCCAAAATCCTGCCGCTCAAGTTCCTTAATAATGAATGACCTTCTACACATTTGTATGCACTCATGGATTTTCTGTTTCTCCATGGGTGTCTAGTTCACACTGCACTTTTCTTTTCACTGATTCAGATTTTTGCTTTTTCTTACAGCCAATTATAGAGCAATCAACTTTGTTATTCATTAACCATTGCTGGACTTTAAATTTCTGCTTAATTGACAAAGAAATTGGTTGTTTCAGAACATCCCTAGTCCTGTCTGAACAGGATCCAACAGTCAGACTCCAACGCACCGTTAAAACATGGCGTTTATATGCAGTGTAGCTCCTCATCGTTACTTATATCAAACTTATTTTGGCACAGATTACTACATGTTGTCCTTTGTTGACTTCTAATTATGTTTTGAGAGACCCGTGGCCTTCAGGAAGACAGTTATTAACGCCGCTCACGTCGCCACCACTCTTTCGACCTCCGGCACCCTGTCACCCTTGATCACCAAACTGCGGACACCCTCCTGCTCTCTAACTCGATCACAACAAGCAACATTTGTCTCCCAGCAGGCTGTGGCCCTGATTTCCCTCTCAAACAGCAGATGTTGTTGTCTGGAACCCTTTAGGATTGCACAACAGGCGTGCACAAACTGAATCCCCCACTCGGGAACATCACCGCTGAGTGTCTCATTTCCACAGCTGCCCCAAAGCACCTGCATCTATCGCTTTCCTCATGTGTGAGTTTAAAAGACATCATGGAGTCAGCATCAAGAGATTCATAGGTGTGTGTGTTTGTGTTTCACTCTTCACCACATCGGTTTCTTTACACGGTTTATAAATAGTCAAATAATGGGTTAAGTGGAAACAGTGTTTTTGTCTTGCTTATATAAGCGGCAAAGATGAAGTCACGGCAGGATGTCAGGGCAAGTTGCCTTGAGAAAAAAAACAGTGTGAAATGTTTTGATGTGTAATCCCACACAAATAACTGACTGATAACTGACACTTAACAGAATAAATGTTTAAGAGTGGGGTGGATGTTTCTGAGAGAAAAGAGGGATACAGCTCTGTAGTTGGCTGCAGTTTGTAGATGGGAATATAAATTGGTGGTGTCACAATACAATTTTTTTTTTTTACTTCCGATCTGATACCGATATTGTAGCCTTCAGTATTGGCCGATACTGATATTGATCCGATATTGGCATAAACTTGTGGATGACAAGTTTTGCACTCAGATGCAACATCTTTTTTGGACTTCAACGAAAAACACTGACATCATTCCTACTAGTGATGCACGATATGAAAAATTTCAACCGATACCGATAACCGATAATTTTTCTTCTTCTCATGGCCGATACCGATACCGATAACCAATAAATTCATATTTTTACGTTTATTATAATCTTCATATAATCTGCAGTTTGTGCAGGATGCAGCGATTGAAAACTGATATTTTTGTTGCTCTGGCCTATCTAGAACAACAAACAAAAGTTTTTGGCTCTTCAAATGTGGTCATTTGCTATAAATAACAATAACAGAGCAAAAAGCAGAACTTCATTTGATCCCCTGAACTGTTCAACAGAACTGTAAACTGTAAAGGAGCTATTATGAGACGTTAGGCTTAGCATGCTGACCGGACTAACATCTGACGTCCATATGTCTGTGGTAAAACTCACGTGTAGTCCGTTCTTGTCGATCAGGTTGTGAATGTATGTGGCGACAATATCATAGAGTGCAGGAAGAGACACATCCGAGAAGAAGCGGCGGCTTGGGAGAGTGTAACGTGGCTCCAAGTGTGCTAATAACTTACGAAAACCCGGGTTCTCAACGACGGAAAAAGGCTGGTCGTCGACCGCTATGAACTCCATCACTTTGTCGTTAATGCCTTTAGCCTTTTTTGCTGTCTCTTGAGAAGCTTTTGCAGTTTTTAAACGCCTGCTGAATGGGGACATCGATCCTCCGTAGTGTTGTTGTCTTAGCTTTAGTACCGCTAGCAGCTTCGGCGGCTGTCTCATATCCTTTTACTACCGCTTCGCCGCGATGGCGACTTTTCAGATGAGCTATCAGATTCGTTGTGTTAAAACTTGACGTCTTCTTTCCTCCTCTCGGAATCCTCGCTGAACAGGTTTTGTATATAGCAATGCTGTTGTCATCTTCTGCCACTGAGAGAAACGACCATGCTGGTGAAGACATTTTATTATCTGTCAGGCAGTGATGGGGTCAGGCTTGGGACCTGTGAGTAAGGCGCGATAGATGACTTAACCAGCGCGTCCCGGACGGGCGGCTACTCCGCCTGCAAACGTTACTCGTAATTTCATTAATATATCGGATCTTTCTATCGGAAAAATGCACCTATCGGACCGATAAAAAATGACGTAATTTCTCCCCAAATCGGCCGATATTTTATCGGTCCGATAAATATCGTGCATCCCTAATTCCTACTCCTTGCCACTTTGTTAGCACCTTAGTACTAGGGCTGGACGATATGGGAAAAGGTTTATCACAATATATTTTTTTCACATCAGTCAATATTGATGTACAGTATATCACAATATAAAAAAACACTTGTCAATCTTAAATGTTCCCTGTTACTCTGAAATGAAATTTAACAGCATGTCTACCAACAGACATGCTGTTAGATTTCATTTTTTACATCGTGATATATCGATATCAGCTGCTATGAAAAAAATATTGTGATAAACTTGCTTCCACATCGCCCAGCCCTACAAAAGGCAGATTGACAATGTTTCATATTGATATTGAGGAAAATTAATTTTCAATATATCGTTATTGTTTTATTGCTCGGCCCTACTCAGTACACACTGTTGTTGTGATCATGTGGGCTCTGCATGCTGGATCCGGGTGCTGCTAGATAGAGGTGCTGGAGCGGAGTCTGGAATGGACTGCTTGAATTGGAGTACTGATATTGGAGGTTTTAGATGCAGGCAGAAATAATCCGATATTCAATATCAATATCGGATCGGGACACCCCTAATATAAATGCAATATTCATTTCAGCAACTATGTAAACAGGACAGTGTCTTTTTCAACCTTTTAGGACTGCCCCAAAAATAAGACTCTTCCTGCACATATAGCCATTACGTTTCTGTTCGGACTATCAAACCTTATGGGGACTTAGAGTTGACTTTGGGGAGGCAGAACGATATTTCAGCTCTGTTAAACTGTCTATAATTATCAACTATGGCAGTGACCACACAGTCTGAAGATGCAGCTGTGTTGTCTCTAAAGTGTTTTATTTCCTTCATATGGGAACAGATTCAGCAAAATCTGTTTATTTTTTTTTATATGTGAAAAAATCTGAAATCACATTTTGGTCTTTTATTTGAATCTGCAAGTGAAAATATAACATCCCTACACACTGAATGATTCGTTGGCACTGACAGTATCGCTTTCATTCATCGCTCTATTTTAGCTTCTGAATGATTTTTTTGAACATGTGGTTGTGTTTACATACATGAGCAGCAGCTCCACTGCACGCACACAGCTGTCACACAAACACAGCAACCCTTCAGCTGGGGGCTGTTATAAGCTGGATGTGATCACCCGAGAGCTTAAAATAGAGCACTGATCCGATAATGGACTAAAGTTTATGATCATTAATACTCAGAGGTCTGGACACATGCATCAACCAGTGCAGAGGGTTAGACAGTCCCTCTCCCCTCCCCCCTTTTCTCACACTCTCACACACACACAGATGCAGAAATTCACTCATTTAGTGATGAGGGAGGACTTGACAGCTGGCAAGTGTAAGTGTTTTATTTGCTGCGTGTCCAGAGAAGAGAATCGACGTTGTTGCTTTAAATCGTCCTCCTGTTTGTGTGTGTTTGTGTGTGTGTGTGTGTGTGTGTGTGTGTGTGGGAGGGTTGTGTGACATGACTGTGGCTCAAGTTTAGTAGCACTGAGATAGCAAAATGAGAAACAGCATATTCAGTGTTTTGAAATCCTCAGCTCATCCAAAACTAAAAGAACAGACGTCAACAGTGATGTCAATAGCAATAGCATCACCGGCGCAGTCACAGTCATCAACAACTCAACAATGACAGCAGCAAAAACCATTAGAGCAGGGGTTCCCAACCTTTGGACTACACACACTGTCCTGTTTCTCAGGGAATGGTGTGTTAAGGGGATTATTACACACACAGCTGCAGTAGAAAACTCGCCATTGGTGGGATGTGGGGCCTTCTTTCGGTAACAACATCTTGATGCTGCCAAAACCTGCACTGATGTACACAATCAGTCGCCTGAGCTTGTTGACATCTAAATATGTTAGCCACACACAGCTAACCAATTTGACACTGTCTAGTTCAGTGGTTCTCAACTGGTGGGTCCCGACCCAAAAGTGGGTCGCGGATACGTTCTGGATGGGTCACGAACAGCTGGTCAAAAAAGTAAATATTTAATGCGATATTTATCAGATATTTGATATTTTCTGTATATGCAACTTCAGTAGTTGCCGTCCTCATGTTGTCCACTTCATCTGCTCTGAAATGCCCCTTACTCAATAAAACAAGTGGATTTATATTAAAGATTAGAGTCTTTAAAGGTTTTTTTCTAATAAAAAACAAATTCGCTTGGTTTGAATTCTATAAAAGTTGGTCGCGACTTAAGGACCATGGGAAAATGTGGGTCCCGGAGTGAGACCAGTCGAGAACCACTGGTCTAGATGTCTTAAATAAATTATCTTCAATTTCAACGTTTTTCTTCAACCGCCCAGAAATCAGTCACTTCGCAGCATCCCCAGGGGCTACAGACACAGCTCTTGGCAGATGGCTGAGCTTTAGCTAAGACACAACATATGGCTGGCACCTCACACCAACATTAAGAAAAAATGATGATTAGTTTAACGAGGGCGCTGGTTTGGCCTAATGGTTACATCGCACGCTACATATGTAGAGATTATAGACCTCAAGCAGGCCGCTTGTATTGTATCCCAACCTGCGGCCCCTGACCTCCCCACCTTCTCCCAGTTTCCAGCCCGATCTACTGTCCTATCCTCTATGTGAGAGAAGATGAGAAAGCAGGAATATAGAAAATAACTTAACCCCTAATTTCCACCGCATCCAGAACGGCTATGAAAAGGCCACATCCAGTTAATGTCTCAATTTCCAACGGCTTCTTTCCATTCCGCTGCGGATCGCCAGACTCCGCAGCTGATCGCAAGAGTTCTATTTTTTCCGGACGCTGGATCATGCCAGATAAATTCAGCAGAGATTAACCCGTGCTGGAAAGGAAGTCGGGCACAGACACAAAGTAAAACATCCAGCTTCTTTTCAAAATAAAACACTCCGTGTTTCAGGCGGATCATATTTCACACCATGCAAACGGGCGGGGATGAACAAGTGAAAAGTTTATAGAAGGAATTTCATCCTGATGACACCGTGGATGAGAGGATGATGTTTTTATAAATCTAGAAGTAGATTTTCTCCTCTGGAAGGACACAATCTACTGCTTATATGGTTAGCCTCTGTGGCTAAAGACAACTTGTTATGGCGCAATTACACGTGATCCGCGGGTTCTTGTGAGTTTGATTCCTGCTGTTCGTAATCCGCCACGAAATTTGCCTCACAAACGGATCCGGTAGGAATTGTCGCAAGGCGAAAATTGCTGCAGTTCCGGATCGGAGCCGTTAAAAATTAGCTTGACCGATGTGTCTAATGATGACTAGCTAGACTAACAGCACTCAGCATCATGTAGGGTCCCTACGAATCCAGTCCAGTATGCAGATCAAATTATAACACATTATATTCGTAAACATCCGAGGATTAAATCTAAATCTACGATATGCGAGGGCAGGGTTTCCTTCTCAGGTTAGCAACCTCAACATAATGGTCCCAAATGGCACTCGGACGCTGGCTATTGGAGTTTGGTCCTTTGCGACTGACACATATTTCCTATATCAGGTTAGATACCGTCTACTGTCACAATCAGCCTGTTTACAGTTTAGTTTAGAGTTAAGTCAAATTAAGATAATTCAAGCTACCTTTATAGCACGACTTGTTCAAGTTCACATGCACTGGGTACGAATCGAATCATTGACCGAAGCATGTTTGCGATATGCCCCTTGTTAAATTGCCTTAAGCTTGTTCCTATCAGGTAGTATCCCTGTTGACGAATCACCTCTCAAAACAGTCTGTGTTCACAAAAGGCTAATGGGCTGTTTGTCAAATGATGAATAAACGTCGTCACTTTTCCAGCTCTGTACTGTCTTTTAGGGAAGTTTCATCTTCTTTGTCTGCTAAGGTTTTGTTTACTACCTAGTTTCCTAGCAACACGTCAACACTGTTCAATTTCCATCCCCGTTATCAAGGTATGTTACTCAGACGGTGAGAAGTTTGATTCACATCTGCATCACCCAGCCTCACTCGGTAGATCTTGTCGAAAGCAATGATCATTTATTTCCAGATGACTCGGCGAATCCATCTGCCGATCGAGACTGCGAAGTGAGTTTGGAAGCCCGCAGGAGTCGCTCAGAAAGAAAACATGAATAAACAAGATGAGAAACGACAATCAATTACAGTGGAGCTGGTCAGCCTGAGAGGAGAGCTGCGCAACACAAAACCTGGCAGAGAAAGGGAAGAGGAGGGAACAGATGGATGCATGAAGAGAGAATAAGCTCGTCGACATACTGAGAGTATTGAGAATTTCACTGCAGCCTGGTCGCATTTTTGTGTGAATGTAGACATGGTCGCACACTTTCACAAACACACACACTATTAAAAGCCTGGGCAGGCAGTCCACTTGTAGTTGGAAGTTTGTCACATTGCAAACAATCATCTTTTGTTCTATTTATGGTCAGCTATTTATACTTCAAAAACTGCACCATGTCCTCTACTACACTCTGTGAAAAAAGCTGAAAAAAGGGAAAGCGGCCACACGGGGAGCTGAGTGGCAGAAAGACAGAGCGGTAAAGAGGGAGGTGTACTGTAGAGAGACATGAAGGGAGAGGAAAAAAGAGGAAGAGGAGGAGGAGGGACGGGGGGGTCTGCAGTCCCAGAAAGAGTGAGCAGAACAGTGCCAGCAGCAGGGAAGTGGAGCATCAATTAAGGGCAGAGTGCCCTAGATGGCACAGTGACATTCCCACAATGCATCACTGTCATGGCCACCACATGCACGCACGCTTTCTTTAGAGGGAGCATTTATCCCTGACCTCCAGCCTTAAAGAGGAATTGTAGTTTGTTTAGACCTGGCCTTATTTTTACAAGTTTAGCCGGTCTGCTGACAGTTCTGTTATTCTGAGTCTGACGATATTACAGAAAGGATCCCAACTGGGGCGAGACCTGAACTCACGCCCTGATTTTTAAGATTTGAACTTAGGTAATTGGAACTCAGATTTGACTCTTATTCTTCTTAGCAGAGTGGGACTGAACACCAAGGACTCAGGACTGGACTCAGAGTCAAGGTGACTCCACAACACTCACTTTCACATCACTCTGTCGACGACAACCTTTAGCTCGGCAAAGACGGTAGAGGTGGTGGCGGTTCTTTGCGTCGGTTCTTATCGCCATAAAACAAAAAAGGATGAAGAAAAGTTGACAGGCTTTTTAAAATAGATGGGTGTTTACGGACACAGTAAAAAAGACCTGAACTCAAGTCCTGATTTTTAGGATTCAAGACTAGAACTTGGGTAATTGGAACTCAGATTCGACTCTTATTTTTCTTAGCAGAGTGAGCCTGAACACCAAGGACTCAGAGTCAAGGTGACTCAATAACACTCGCTTTCACATCGCTCTGTCGACGACAACCACACTCCTTCGGCTTTGCAAAGACGGTAGAGGGGTTGGTGGTTCTTTGGGTTGGTTCTTATCGCCATAAAACAAAAAAGGATGAAGAAAAGTTGACAGACTTTTTAAAATAGATGGGTGTTTATGGACACAGTAAAAAAGACCTGAACTCAAGTCCTGATTTTTAGGATTCAAGACTAGAACTTGGGTAATTAGAACTCAGATTTGACTCTTATTCTTCTTAGCAGTGTGAGCCTGAACACCAAGGACTCAGGACTGGACTCAGAGTCAAGGTGACTCGATAAAACTCACTTTCACATCACTCTGTCGACGACAACCTTTAGCTCGGCAAAGACGGTAGAGGTGGTGGCGGTTCTTTGCGTCGGTTCTTATCACCATAAAACAAAAAATGGATGAAGAAGAAGTTGACGGACTTTGTAAAACAGGCAGGTGTTTATGGACACAGTCTAAAGCAGAATCCCACACAGAAAGTCACTGAGCGTTCATTAACAGATGGTGCCTTTATGGCGGTTTCTCGCATCTTCTGACCACTCAAAGCCTTTTTCCATTAAATGTCACATTCACCCATCGTGAATGCTATTTAGAGCGCCATCAGCTTTAACTAATCTCATTCAGAAAACACTAGATGCAGCCAGTGGGGTCAGGCTGGGGTCAGATGTATTGCCCACGTAGACTTTAGGAGCTAAGAGTTGTTGAAAGTATGATTTTTGTGGTTTTGGTTTTGGGATGTTTGGCGGTGTAGTCAGACAATGGGTTGTGGTGAGCTCTGATGATTTTCTGTTGACCGTTTCAATCGTCCTGTTTTAACCTCATTTTCATCATGTCACTTTTTCATTCAAAGGCAAAAGATTTGGACCTGGATCAATTTCTTTTCTTTTCTTTTTTGGAACAACAAACCACCTTTTAACACTCAAACCGGACCGACAATTAAACAAGTCAAGGATGCAAGCGAACCTAAACCCCAGTGTCCTTTTTGTTGAAGGAAAGCAGTCGCTACAGAGACTTTGGCGTGTGGACAACGATATTCGAACTTACAAACAAGAGACGACTGACTCAGCCACTGAGCTACGTAACTTTTGAACATCATTAAAAGTGTATTAAGTGGACTGTTGCTCCACCCTTGTGTTGCCTCCCCCAAATTTACAACAGCTCTTTTTTTTTTCTTAATTATCATGATTATATCTTGGCCACAATAATCCTGAGGAAAAAACCTGTTACGGTAGTTTTATCTTGCCAGGTGAGGAAGTCGCACTTGCTCTCACTTTGACCCCTCCTGCGGACAACCAATTCACACACACGCACAAAGCACACACCTCTGTTGGTGCTGAATTATTGAATACAGAGACGGGGCCACCCACTGCATACACACCAGGAGAGTGTAATCAGACACCGAGGAGTGCCTCATGGACATGCTTGCAAACACACACTAACTCACAGCGACACACCTGTCAGCGTTCGATAAAACCGACAACTTTAATCCAGCAGTAAAGCGCACAAAACGGTGTGTCATCTCACTAAGGAAGGATATTAATAGACGGAATACCAAAACCAGAGCATGCAAGGTCAAGCCAGAGCAAGGAGACGGAATACGATAGGTCGGTGTCCAAGTTTATGACATCACATCCTGTTAGTGCAGACGCAGCTCAGAAACGCTGATGCAGAAACATCCAACACTGCAGTGACATGCGGAATAGCCTGGAGGTTTAATTTTCCCCGCTTGTGCTGCTGCACCTGAACACATCTGTTATAATCTGTATTTCTGTTTTTTTTTCATGGTGGTGTTTGCTGATGACAGCTTATCTGTTAGTGTCTGACAACAACGAATCACTCCCTCTTCCATTTATTTAATCCTCCTCTCCTTCATCCTCGTCTTTCTTTCTTTTCTGCTGATGCATCAGGTTCAAGGACCCGTCAGCAGCTTTGGTTAATGTTTGGCAGCAACATGGCCGACTCGCATCAGTAAGTCCTGTGCCAGTCTGCATCCTGAGTGTGTAATTCACATCCAGTCTGAGATGTACATTCTTGTTTCAACATGACTGAACTTCCTTCCACTAAGAGGAACTTTTCCTAATCCCTACGCAGTTAATCCCAATCTGCATCCTTGCCTGTGTGTCCCCCCTCTCCGGGCTTCCATCCAAACAGACGCAGCTCATTCCTCACAGCAGGAGAGCGGGCGGACAGACGCTCACAGGGACTGGCTGTCAGAGATTCAAGGGGGCGTCACCTGTGATCTATCACTATTTGAACGAGAGGAATGGGAGAGGATGGACAAAGGGTGGAGAAGAGAAAGGCGAGAGGAGACGTTTCCCTTCCTAACAAGGACGCTGAGGAGTAAAACCTCCTTGTGACCCACGTGGATGTGAATACTCGAAAAAGACTAAGAGTGTAACGGTGATAGGGCTGCTGCTTGCTGAGAGATCAAAATTCCTGCGAGCTGTTAAAGCCTCCCTGTCATCAACAAGAAAATCCCCTGGAGGACTATTACAGAGTATGCCAAAGGGATAAACCAGAAAATAAATCAGTTATAAGCACCACCGTCTCTTTCAAGTCCCTGCATAAACACTGCATACAGAAGACCGGACTCCACTAAATCAACATCAACTTTAAAGGGATAGTAGTCATAGCATGAGGGTCACCCGCCATATAGACCTGATTTAGCAACAAATCAACACCTAACATGAATACGGCTGCATGGTGTTTGTTGGAAAAAGAGTCATTTTCTTCCAGTAGGATATGGACACCTGAAATATTTTATAATAAAGAGATGAATGCAAAGACCAAATCAATTTTGCATTTTCTGTATAAGCCAAATAATCCTTAAAACGTGTGTTAAAAGCTACATTTTTGTTAAACGCTAACAATTTGAGTTGTTTTCATCCATCACAACACATTCAATTAGCTTGTTATCTTATTGTCAAATGTATTAGAAAAAAATAAGATAACAAGATAAACATGTCAAGATTCAATAAAGGGGAAACTGTGTAAATATGGATGCACTTTGCTCAGGATTTCCCCTTTAATACAAGCTGAGAGAGTAAACCTTGGTAGTTTTAGGAAGTTGTGAAAGCCTGACTAATAACAATAACATGAATTATGATAAATGAATGACAGCCAACCTGAAAGGCTGAATAAAATAGTTTCCTAAGTGGTTGGCGTATAGTTTTATGCTTTAAAGTAGAGTCACCAGAATAATTTAATATACAAGTACAGTTCAGTGTAAACTCTCTCTATGGAGCCCCATTGTTTTAAAGATAGACTCAGTGAAAGCCACATGCTGCAGGTACTTACGTGCCCAGGACTTCTTTAAAATCAAAAATCTTCTTGATATCGTCGACTTGTTTCTTCCACGTCTCTCCTCTGCCGGTGTCTCCGTTCTCCCGAGCCATGGCGCAGCGTTACCGGCCCGAGTCTGACCGACACTGGGCAGCGGGAGGAAGGATGCGAGGAAAACAATGGAATTAAATTAAAATGTATTTTCTTCTTCTTCTTCTTTTTCCTAAAATTAAGAAGGTTGAAGCCAAACTGGATTGAGGAAGAGGTGCGGGGGACTCCTGGGGGTCTGGGCTCCGCTGCAGCAGGACCATGTGAGTTGGTCCTTCTGCAGGTTACCGTGTCTCTCTGCTCTCTCTGCTCTCTCTCTTTCGCTCTCTCTCTCTCTCCCCCCCTCTGTAGTATTGACGGCAGCTGTCAAGTGAAAGGAGAAGTATGAGCACTTCCTGTGTAAAGTTTCAAAATAAAACAGATAGTAATTGAGCACATAAATAACTGTACCGTCTTTTAAAGAAGTAACCTTGACTACAGTGGCCCATAAGGTCAACTGCACCTTATTTTAATACATTTTAAAACATTGCAGTAAATGCCAAAAAAAATAAAAAAGGGAGAAAATATGTTAACGTAAGGCCAAAAAAATAAATAAATAATACAATTCAGCTGGTTTTTTAAAATGTATTTTGCATTTAACAGCATTTTGTAAAACAAACAAACAAACAAACAAACAAAAAAAGATAATTTGGGAAAATCGTTGCATTTGATTAAGCAATTTTGCATTTGATGACATATTTCTGTGTGCTACTGCTTGGCTTTCTTGAAGGGATATTCCAGCTTAAAATTAAATTAAATTTAAGGTCAAACACACCATAATACCGAGTTAGACACCCGGTTGAGAGATGAATGTTGCTGACAGCTTGCTTCTGCAGATAACTGCAGACAGCAATAAATTGTTCTTCCTTGAGCTTTGTCCCCCCGTTGCAGTTGATGCACTCACCCAGAGGTCTGAAACAAGCGGCTGCTGGTAGGTGAGTTGTGTTTAGTCTCTTTGCTAAAGAAATTAGGCAAAGTTAAAAAGATGTCTGGTAGCTAGGACCCTGTATGTACTGTTGATGGAGTTAGGTGCTGTTCTGAGCATTATTTGTGGCTATAGAGTGGCGTTTTGGTTGAGTGTGTGGGTCTCTGTATTGCTATTGTACGGTCGTTACTAAAGTTAGATTTTGTGATTAAAAGTTATCAAAGCCAAGAAAAAAACATCATATATATGCAAACATTTTTTCAGAAAGACAGATAAAAAATAAGCTTTTTCCTATTCACCTCACAGTCTCATAAATTAGAAATCTGCTGTTGTTAAGGTTACTTGACATGTTTCATTGTGCTTTAATTTTGAAGGTGGCATCCTTAACTTCCTGTTTCATGCTGGTTACAAGTTTCTAACTTGAAAAAAAAAGACCTGCTGCAACCTGCAATTGTCAAAACGTGGTTAATAACTACGCTTCCTGCACGTCTTGGGGATTTCCACTCTTTTAAACCCAAATGTATTAGTCCAAAATCCCCTGTACAGCCCCATTAACTTACAATCTCCACCGTATGAGTATCTGTAAACTGAGCTTTATCCTAGAACCGCATGTCTTTGTGGCATTAAGGGGGAACTGATGCTGCTCATGCACCTTGTCCGCCTGAGACAGAGATGTGTACGCGAGTCTGGTCAGGACGAGGCAGCAGTAAATTCGCATTGCGCCAACCTGCTGACAACAACCATCATCACCATTTGGGATCCCTAAAGCCGTCGAGCTGGCCGGGGATCAGCGGTGACCCCGGCTGCAGCTGCTCCACCTTCACCTGGGTTCAACCTGCCCGCATAATACCTGGATTACAGCGTCTCAGTCTGCAGAGGAGCGTTGATCCCCCCGACATCGACAGCTGCAGGCGCTGGGGTCAACCCAGGCCGGGTTACTGCCCACAACACACACACAAACATGCATATTCCCGGACTTCTGGCCTCTGTACTAGTGTGTGTGTGTGTGGGGTGTGTGTGAAGGGAGACAGTAAGGAAGGAGGGAGAGAGAGAGAGGGAGGGAGGACAATGTGTTGCAGCCTCATCTGCTCATGAGTATTCCGGCTGCAAACTACTGCAGCCCTTCCACAGTAGCAAGCGAGGAAAGCACCTCTCCCTCCTCCTCCCCCTGTTTCCCTCCCTCTCTCCACCTCATCCTCATCTTTTACACTGAGTCAGCATGCCCCCCCACCTACCCCCACACCATCCCCATGAAAGATGATTACCCGGCTGCAAAGGAAGGAGGAGGAGGAGGAGGAGGAAGAGAGGAGAGGAGAGCATCAGTCAGAGAGGATGAAGGTCAAAGGAGATGAAGGTGCAGACTCCCTGTTTGCAGTTAAAGGCTGCCATGAAATGCAGCTGTGCACACATCTATATTTGTTATTCACCCTAGATTAACTACATATTGAATTTATTTTTTTGATCAGTCCCTGTCACAGCAGGCTTTGTCTGTCTGTTTCTAAACAAAGGAGGATGTGAATTCAACAGACCAGAGAGGCACGTAGCTATAGGGGAGAGTGGGGTAAGATGAGCCATTTTTCATATTTCAGATCACTACATCAAGACAATCATAGTTTGGTCTCTAACTAGTGTATCTGCATATTTTTCAAGATGTTGTGCATCCCTGCAAACCAACAGAATGAGTGTAAAAATAACTGTCTTGATAATATAGCATGACAAAAAAAGTGGTCAACTTACCCCGTGTATGGGGGTCACTTTACGTTCACATTAGATGCCGCATTCGTTGTTGTAATTTGAACGACTGCACAAAAAGATCGGCTTTAACAAAAAATCCCAATTGTGCATCATGACCTGCAGTGTGAACGTAGCCATAGATACCACAATTGATGTATAAAACAAATTTAAAATGATCTTTTTTGGTCGGAACACAATTCTAATAAAACTTACGTGAAGAATGTTTTTTGGGAAATAAATGTCTAACCCCTTCAGACTCCATGAATTGATGCCCATCTCCAAAATATTTGGTCACATGATCAATTTCTTTTACTATTTCCAAGCAACAGGGGGTGGCTCAACTTACCCCACTCTCCCCTATAGCAGAATGCGAGCTCTTGCACCATTAACTTGCAAACACTGTCTTTATTCTGATATATCGCTGTTAGGAAAGCACAGATGTGCTTAATCAAATAGGCTGTATTCCTGGTACTGTGCACACTGGCTCACTGCCACAGATTGCTGGGACACTTGAATAGACGTGAGTCATCGGTAATGATATTAGTGACACCTGTGCTTTTCTTTCTCTGACAAGTCAAAATGTCTGCTGGGAAATAAGGCCTTTTTATTCAACATGTTCCTGCAGAGAATAAACGATGTAGATGGTTAAATTAAATCCCTGTGGGAGGTGCAGAAAAACGCAATTTACTCATTTGATTCACATTGTCATCCTTTATAAAACAACCTGCCAAATTGTGATGTATGTTTCAAAGCTTTATGCTAAAAGGACCGTCTAACCTCTGAGATCATTTCTGCCCCACATGAAGCTCAAAGATAGCCTAGATCTGGTCTTGAAAGAAATCAGTCCTCATAAGAAAGGCTACCATGATCAATTAGTTTAAAATTTTTCTGGCCATTTGTTGTCTGTCACTGAATTAGTCTAAAACCAGAAACTGAACAAATCATATTTACCCAAGTCTCTTTAAATGGGTTGCCAAGTGTATAAATAAAGTTGTTTATACTTTGAGTAGTTAAAACCAGTCGCTATTTGTACTTTAAAGTAATTTCTGTATGCATCAACTTCTTTTGTTTAGTTGCTAACTAAAAAATACCTTATAACAAGCTTTTCATCAACTACCTGACAGCCAGCTGACATAATGAATTTGTCCACTTTCTAGTAAAAGTAGTAAGACTGTTGAACTAAGAGGTTATGCACACTTCTTTTTTTTTAGGGTATATTATTAACTCATGTGATGTGAAAAAATAAGAAACAGTGCATTATTACCTGATTTAATGCACGGTTGCACTACACTAAATTAGTTTTACAACGTATCCAATAAAAGCTCCTGTGTGGAACTTTTAGTTTGCACGTTGGCGCCCTGTAGACAAAGCAGTCTTTGCTTTCACTGTCCTCTACATGCTGAAGTAGTGTCACCTTACGTTAAAAAAAAGTAATCATGACGACTTTTGACATTCAAATTGTAAAAACAGGGTTGGTTCTGAAGCTAAATGTGACTCCTACCCCCTTACACCAGTTTGTGATATTAAAAACACCAATACAGAAACTGTCAACCTTGTTACTGATGGTCTTCATTGACTGTATATAGAATGGACGCCGCCTGCCTCCTTGCTGGGTGAAGCCACCGCAAGAACAGCACCCTCTGGTGACGGGCTGCAGTATAGGTTATAAATCCCGCCTCCTCCAGCAATCCCTATGGAACTGTGGACAAACTTTATACATTTATTACACAGAATGTAAATTTTTCTCCCCCCTGATTGTGATGTTGACATGTAGTTATTGTAAGACTGGTTTGTGTTCAAGTCCTCTTTTTTTCTGTGAAGCTCCGTTATTAAAAGTTATGAGGGGGGTTCATGTTTTCTATGATTGACACTTGATACAGCCTATGGGCGTATGAAGATTGTGTAGCTCACCCAGGGGATACGCTGTTTGAGCCAAGCCTCATCACAGCAACTCTTCTGTGTTGCCAACTCCTCAGTAAGGAAAGTTGCTAGTGGCTGTCTTAAAAGTCACTAGATGACGTCATTGGCTAATTTGCATAATTTCTCCTTTAAACCCACTGTTGCCACTGAGCCCCTCACCCCCTGGAGAAGAAGGAGAAGGAGTCTGACTGTCTGTGACTGTGTTTTATAAGCACACCAGCCACCCATTGAGAAGAGTAACATCTATTCCTGCGTTTATGTCGGAGTCTCTAAACTCCAGAAAAAGTCGCTAAATGTAGCAACAAAGTGGCTAGGTTGGCAACACTGCTCCCGCCGAAAGGGTACAACGCTACTGCGCAAGTGGTGGAGCGCGTACAACGCTACTGCACACTGTTGGTTTCAGGAGGTGGAGAAAAAAAACGCAGAATTACTGAGAGCTTTTCGGCTTCAAAGCCATACACTGGTGGAAGGCGGAACCAAGTTGTCCATAGTATATACAGTCTATGATGGTCTTGTTTACTTTTGTAAGTCATAAAACTGGTACTCTGACTAGACAGTGGCAAAATTCCAAGGTTTGAATCAGATGCAACAAATCCTCTTGGAGAAACTCTACTGGGACCAGACGGTGAAACCCCCCTTAAGGTCTGCACAGTCTCCATGTTTCACATCCTAATGATGATTTACTGCGTGTGCAACATGCTACACAATATGCACCTTGTATACAGTTCCTGTCTGCAATGTTTCACCCAGGGAGCTGTAACCCTCACCACACCGCCTCTTTCCATCTCTGTGTAATTGCTCTATCAATCGAGCAGAGGGAGGAAAAAAAAAAAAAAACGACAATCCAAAATGAACTGCCTCGTGCCGTGCATGCACAGCTCATTTAGCTCCCGGCGTAATGAGGGCTGTTGTGTAAAAGCGCAATCAATTTTCTAATGTGCTAGACTTACAGCACCCACTGGACTGACAGCCGAGCCGATACACGACAACAAGTTTAATGGTGTTTTTTTTGGAGTAACAGTCTACAGCAATGCATGATGGGAAAAGAAACAGGACCCAAAATGAGTGCCCGGAGCGGCTTGGAGAAATGAGAGTGTCAAAAGTGCTCAGAGGAAATTGGCAGGGAGAGATGAAGGGGGCAGAGATGGCTGGGGAGAAAAATTTAAAGTTGGTCAGTGATGAAGCGCTTTAGTGTTGAATAGACTCACAGCCTTAAAGCACAAATGTTAAATCCAGGGACAATAATCGTCTTACTGGGACTATACAATCAACTATGATACACACTTATTCCAACATATAAAAGCAGGTATTTTTACAGTATTAGCGAGAACATATTCTTGCAGTGAAACAAATTTTTCCCCTATAAAAAAAATATTAATAACCTCCCCAAAAATGAGACAATCAGCACTGTTGAGTCATTACAGTGCGTAACGGTGTCAGAGGCAAATAACGACTCAACAGAAAATGAATCCTCTAAGAGCTGTTAACATGATCCGCTAATTTAACATGTTCCATTAGAGAGAAATCCAGGAAACCCTGGGTACACGGCGTACAGCTCTCAGAGGAATGAGAGGGAGAGAACGGGCTGAAATGAAAAATAATTTCAATACAGGACAGAAGGTTAAGAGTCACTTCATGCAGAAAAAAACATCATATGGAGAGCTGTTGACATTAGCAGCTTTTTTTTTTTCCTTCAGGAGTCCACTGTGTCACTGTGGAGCGCTCTCCTCCTCCTCTTCTTCCTCCTCTTCAGAGTCTTCTTGTTGGCTTTTCTTCTGCAGAGAGGTGGAGAGGGGAAGAAGAGGAGGTTAAATTCAAAGATGTGCAGTCTGCTTGTTTAATTAAGTTTAATTAAGTTCACTTTGGGTTGAGAGAAGCAAAATGGGTTTTATTTACAAATGTATGTTCTGTTATTGGAGCTCATATCACTGCTTTTCTATGTATTGATTAAGACGAGGGCCCGACCAATATGGATTTTTGGGGGCTGATGCTGAAAATTGGGGGGGATTCAATTACTGATTAATCAGCCGATTTTTAATTTTTTTTATTAAGCTATAAAAAACATATATATACTGTAGATATCTACAGTATACTATATACTGTAGGCTACTGCTCTTCATGCCGACAGGAAGACCGACCGGTGAAACTCGGACCAGAAAAGCGTTTTCAACAACCCTTCCCCGCGCCAATCGGTGCCTCCACGTCTTAACGTCACGTTACTCATTTCCGATCCGGTCTCATCTGGAGACATGCAGCTGCCTCAGTAAGAGAAGTAGCTTGATCACGTACTGTGTACTGTTGTTTATTCTACCGTTACTAGCACGGCTAACAGTGTAGCAAGGCTAATAGCAGGTGGCTAACTCTAACTAGCTTGCATATTACATGGTGCTTCACCGTTAACTCGGCGTGACCGAGACCAGCACAGCGGGGAACATCGTGAAGTGGGTTGAACTGAAACTCGTTGACTTATTGTGTTCTCCACAAACTGGTTTGTTTACCGATGTACCAGGGCGGAACATTTTTATTCTCCACATTTTATTTCTGAAAATATCAGCGAAAATCGGCGAGTTTTGGCCGATTAACAATTAGTCTCAAACGGGCTAAAATTGGACCATTTAATCGGCTCGCCGATAAATCGGTCAGGCCCTAATTAAGACTAGTAAAAATCCTGTCAAATAAACAGTAACATGCTTCAAAGGTGTAGACTATATCATTGCTTTACTGATGTGCAATGTCCTGATTTGATCTGTAAATTTTATCTAACGTGCATGTCCTCTTTCCATCAATTTTTTATACCTGACACACACTTGAAACACCAATAAACAAAAATGGCAACTCTAGTTTTATTACAAACCCCAATACCAATGAGGAAAAGGATCTACAAAACATGGTATAGTGTTTTTATTCACGCTTCAAACAAAATCTATAGAGATTATTTCTAAGTACTTCTTTTTAATGAGTCACAGCAGCCTACCAGTTTGAGGAAGTCAATGAGCTTGTAGGCGTCTTCTCCAGTAGAGAGGTCGACGAAGTCTCGGGGGATCCTGTAGCTCAGGCAGGGACTGGGCTGAACCGTCACCTCGCTGGTGGTGCAACGAAACGCCGGGCCTTCCTGCACATGGAGAAATCACGTGGAAACATTTCTGGTTTCTCACAAGTTTACGGTTCAAATATGTTCATTGTTTTATCAAAACATTGAAATCTGTGCTCATAAGTTTGCCATGATGGCTGACCTGCTGATCAGCGATTTCCCCACTGGACACCAGCTCCTCCCAGGTGAACAGAAGAGAGTCGGTCACCTCCCCGAATGGATTCAGGTCTATTAGCCACACCCTCCCCTGCAACACAAACACACACAAAACACTGAATCACATCTCAGTGCCTTCGAGGCATACAAAAATACATCAAAAGTTTTTAATGTGCTTACCAGACTGTCTCTGTAGACATCGAACACAACTACAAAACAGAGACAAATCACAGTATTTAACAACGTCTTATGCAGTCATTTACTCGCATTAATTATGTATCTGCTTGACTTGTAGGAAATACATTTTTCTTCTGGCTAAATACTTAATTTTCAATCATTTTGACTATAAATATTTGATCACTTGCAGATGCAGGCCGAGGCTTCATAAAGGGTGGAGAAAAAAAAGGTAGCTGATGCTTACAGTCTTCGTCTGGGAAGTTGTACTGGACGTGCTGGTGGAAGAACTCCAGCACGTCCTGACAGATCGGCTTCTCCTGCTTCAGGACGTGCGGGTAGTACTGAGTGTAGTCCCTCTGGGAGATGGCTGGAAAGACACATGGACACCGTCAGCGGAGCTCAAATTGAATTCTATAATTGTATCTAAATTAGCCTGCTGAGGAAAAGGCGAGCTCAAATATCATTATATCACTGTTGGAGTTGAATTTTTTTAAACAACTCCCGTAGCAGGGGGGTTTGCGGCTCAGTTTGCAGCTCCCTTTTGCTCTTACGTGCTGTAAAGAAACCCAGCTTGACACTTGTTAATCCAATTCTTATTACCTCTGATGCTCAAGAAAATTACAAGCAGTATGAGAGCCACTTCAGAGTAATCAGACGATAGATTTTCCATTAGACTTCAGATCTCAGCGCGAGCACAAAATTCTTACCAATCAGTTTGTTTTCTTTGACAAAGCAGCGATACTCTCCACCGGGAATCAGCTCACTCCACTTCCTCAAGACCAGCTGAGAATACAAACACACACAGTGAGAAGTGGACCATTTTCTGTCTCAGTTTGAATACTGAAGGAGTAAAAAGTCCAGCAGAGAAGTATTTTAGAGAAAACATGAGTCTCTGGAACCCTTAAAACTCATCTACAACACAAGTTAGCAGCAGAAAATAAAAACAGTCTGAATGACCAGTTGAAAAAAAAATACTAATACAAGTTCAGGTTCTTGTTTTGAGATTTTAATACCTCATAGTTTATAGCTGGATCTGGCGAGTCTTGATCGCTGCATTGAATGAATCTGTCGAAAGAAATGATAGTTAAAACAACTTTTTATAACCACAAAGCTTCTGCAGCCTCTCCAGGGTTAAAAGTTTCTTTTTTAAGCGTAAAGAAAGTATATATCAACATCTATTAAGTTTTAGAGACAGATATAACAGAAAAGACTTTTTACATGGAAGAAAAATGGGATTTGGGAGCTAATGCTGTGAGAGAGGAGAATAAATGGTGGGGGAAAGAGTCTGAAAAGACCGACTGGGAGCCCCACAAGGAGTGGACTGAAGTCAATACAGCCGTCTATCAGGAGATCTTTAAGAAATTCGTGTTTTTAACTTTTCATTTATCATTATTCTTCTAACCCAGACCTGGGCATTTTACGGCCCGAGGGCCACATCCGGCCCTTTGGATGTCCCTGCCCAACCCTTCGTAAGGTCCGTCAATCAAATCATCAACATGCTACACAAGTGTGTTGCTTTTATTTTGAAAACCTAGCCATCCTAGATCTGCATTCATGAACAGAGACAAGTTTAAACATCAGCATAATATACGTAGGCGCCTTAGAGTTGCCATGTCCGCTTATTATAAAAGACTTTAAGCCTGTTTCTCTCAGAAGTCGCTTGTGAAACTCGTGAGTCGTGGGTGCGCTTTTTGGGGGCCTGTTTTTAACTAGTAGTTGCTTTTTTGGGCTTGCTTTTCTGTATGTGTGAACCTCTCACCCTCCTGATTTGAAGTTGAAATTATTGTTGGTTCGGCCCTTAAACGCAGTTCAGGTTTCTCATGTAGCCCCATGTAAAAATTAATTGCCCACCCCTGTTCTAACCCAAACCTTGAGGTACACTTTTGTGAAATATTTTGTCATCTTGTCTAATAAAACAGGAGATTTATTCAAGAACTCCCAAAGGTAAAAATAAGTTTGTTCTTATTCTAATTTTTTCTCTATAACCAGACTGTCACTCTGCAAACAGCTTAGCTCATGTGTTTCTCTCAGAAAGTTTGAGAGAGAAGTTTTTCAAGTGTCTGACAAGAAAGCATCCATCACCCTCACAAACAGCTTTCCTGAGGCAGTACGCGGTTGAAAATCACTCACTTCAATAAATGTTTCTCATCCAGAATGGAAAAAGCTGGCGCTATAAATCTTAAACCCGATTGAGAACCTGTGTTTTACTGCAGATTGAGATCAGCCTGTGCATACCAAAGCCTGGTGAGTTTTCTTTACATTTTGAATCGGTTGGCGGCTGAATGAGAGATGGATGTGTTTGTGTGTTGATGCTGATTGATGAGGAGGCTTACGGCTGAGTGAGATCGTGGGTGATGAAGTCTGAACTTTTGAAAAGCAGAAATATATCACTGAGGCTGTGACACTGCAGGGAGCTGTTCAGAGCAATCCAGTTAGCATCCTGAAAGACACAAACAAACACACACAAATGTAAACAATGCTTCAGTCATTCATATTCATGCAGGCAGCGTACAAAAGCATTTATTCATAACACTGAAGAGTGAAGCCGTTTGTCCAAAACTGGTTTTCTTTTGCAAAAACAGATAAACACTTTTTTTTTCTTTTATCCGAGGGATGCTGAATTTTACCCGTGGAGCGCTCCAGTTGAGTTTAGGAAAAACACGCCCACCCAAAGCATTTATGGCCTCCAGCACTTTAGAGGTGAATTCTGGGAACTCAGGAGCCTGTGAGACAGAACACAACGTCATCAGACAGAGATCATAACCCATGTAATAAAACAATAACTGTTATTGTGGGGAAAAAAATCTGTTTATGTCATCCTGGTTCTCTTTAAAATAAAACAGGACTAGGATTTTTTTCATTGTGGTTTGAATAAGTGGAGAAACTCTGATGCTGATGTTCACATTTTCAAGTAGGATTATCATCAAATATAAGTACCTTGATTTCTCATGCATTGATAAAAAGCTGATGTTATGCTTTACATGAGCTAGGCTGTGGTCAAGTGGCTGCAGGGTCACGTAATAACATTTAATACCCACCCCAGAAAAACACTGATTACTCTTTCAGCCACTTACAAACATTTCTTTAGGGTTTATTGTAAAACTAAAGAGTATTTAATTATGTATTTGAGTCATAGACTTAACTACAGACTGTGTTTTGGGTGTCTGCTGTATCTAACAAGAACAAAAAAACGTTTACTAAAGGACAGAGGAACAAGATAACATGTTTCACAACACCAGGATATAATAATGCATGAGAAATTTAAGGAGAAATTTTAGGCAAACATTTATGAGAGTGAATGTGCTTACAGTGACAGTGGTGGTTGTTTCATCATCTGACCACTAGAGGGGAGCAGAGAAGAAGAAACACAAGTTATAAACAACAGATATACAGTTAAATTTCAATGTTGATGCTGTGAGTCTGTTACTCTTCCCTGCAAAACAGTCATAATATCGGTAAGAAGACTGATGATAAATCAAAATCGTACGTTGACAGATTCGATTCAGATAATGTTTCATCAGTCACCTGTACCAGAGGATGTCTGGGTCGATGTTAGGTGACAAAACAAAGGTGAGTGTTATTGCCCTATGAGTCAAAATCCAAAAGTGTTAGATAATTTTATAACAAATATTACCAACAAATACAAATGAGTGGTTAATGTCAGTGCATGTTCTCTTTGAAAACTATACCATTTTGAGACTTACATTTCCCAAATTGTATTTTAAAAGTTTAAACATTTTAAGTAACAATAAGGACTCAGTTCCTTCCAAAAGATTAGCTCAGACAAGTTTTGGAGGGAGCCTCCCAGTTAACAAACAACCCTAGTCCCTGATCCTTACCTGGATGTCTTCCTCTGCATTCAAGTCACTGTTTTCAGAGTGTGTCGGTTGCGTGTTATGGTCACTAACAAAGAGAGAAACAAAAGATTGGTCAGTAGGGATGCATGATATCATTGGCATAGCATCAGTATGGCCTGATAAAAGCTTCAAAAGTTAATTATGGGTCAACAACACACATATGAAAACCTCTGCTGATGTGTATTATACAAACTAACAATAGCCTCTAATAAATCGGTATCGGCATCAGCCCCGAAAAATCCATATCGGTTAGGCCCTATAAACAAGTTCATTTTTACAAAACCGTTTGCCAAAGCAACACAGCCGAACACTTGTGTCTCCCGGTCCCAGAAACTATGAATTGAACTGAGTCTTGAACCGTTCAGTTGTGTATCAGTTCAGGAGGTCGGAGTCGCAGGCTTCTTTCACCAAGTGCCAAATGATTCAGTGATTTGGTGAACGAATCTTTTTAGTGAACTGATTCTAGTGATTCAGTACATCCAAAAGAACTGTCGTGCCCATCACTAGATAGCTGGTAATTGCTCTTTCAATAGTTTTGTAGTTCTTAATGTAATAGCTGGTCTGTGTACATGTCTGCTCGTATTAGCAAAGACAATACAGGCAGTGTGTGTGTGTGTGTGTTTCCTCTCACCTTCCAGAGACTACCAGTGTCCCATCGTCCAGTAAATATTCTATTACATTCTGAGGCAGTGGAAGAATCACGCTGGAATAAATGAATCCACAGTAAAATCAGTTTATGAACAGATACTATTCAGACAAAAGGTTTGATCCTAAAATATAAACAAACACGGTTTAGAGGGAAAAATAAGCAGCTTGTTCAGTGTGCTGTCTGTTTTATCTAACAGCTAACGTTAGCTGCGGCTGTAGTGCCTCCATTTAAAGACGAAACATATAAAGAAGAACCGTTTTAGTTTGTGTCTAAGGTGCTGTTGTTTACCTTTTAATTGTATGTTTCTTAAATATCGGATACCAAACCGAAAACTGACAGTTGACAACTTGCTCCTTCTTCATGCTGCAATATCCTGGAACAAAAATGTGTCCATCGGTAAATACCCTCCGTACTCCTGGTAATTTTTTACAATTTCAGAGCTAAAATAAAAATCAGCTAATTCGAATTTTCCTCAACAGTTGCCTCATATTTTAACATTCGTGTGAGTACTGTTTTTCTATATATATATTAAAAGGTATTTAGTTATTATGTGCTGCAATACGGGACGTCTTTTTGAGGTGCACACGTAGGCGTGGTTATGTGAACCCGCTGAGTTGAGACAAAGATCGTTTATTAGGAAAGAGCGTCACTCACTACACAGATAAAACTCACTTGCTTAAAGACTTACTAGTTATATTTCATGAATTTGTCTGCTTAGAATTAGTATTTTCAATCTTATTGACATAGTTATAGACTATGGTCTATTATTTTGTTGCCAATATTCAAGATACATGTCAGTGCATATTTCTTGTTGTCAACTAACCGCCTTCAATTGGGTACACGAGACAATAAAACAGTCTTAACCCGACAATATTTTAAATGTTCCATATGCTATTGTTCTATTTGTCATTCTTCGTTCAAATGTAGAAAAAAATCACACAAAAGCCCTAATAGAGAGCATTTTTTCCCATTTCCCCATATTCCCTTGGCATTGTCTTTGCCTGGAAATTGTGTCGGAGTGACCCATTTTCGTGAATAAACTATCCACACGATCACTTACAGACGGTCTGGATTTCACGTGAGTTTAGTTTATTTGCTCTTCCTTTCAAATAAATGTTTACAGGTTTTTAATGCACAAACTTCAAACCACTGACGCTTTGTTTGGCTTAAAGCTAAAGGCCATCGGGGAATAAACTTTGAAACGAAAAGAAAAGCTAAATGTGGAGATTTTAGAGGGGGGAGAGGTGGAACTTGTTAGCTCTGACTTCTGCTGTAGCTAATGGAGAAACTCATGATCAGACACGATGAGGTCCAGTTTGTAAATGCTTATTAGAAATTTGAGGTTTGTATTTGAAGTCTTTCAATGATCTTTTTGACTCCTGGCTATCCTCTTTGTCCTCAGTTGTCAATATATTGAAAATGAGCAACCCTGAGAAGCCCAAAGCGAGCACTACTCCACACATAGTGAAGGAGGAGGTATGTTTCTCTGTTTGTTTTTAACGGAATTTCTCTTACTAATGATGTTTACCTTTATCCGGTCTTTGTCATGAAGATAGTCTACTCTTTTCTGTCAATGTACACTGGAGATCACAATTAGAGAACAACCCACAATTTCCTAAATGTCAAGTTCGCTGCATTGTTCTGTTATAAAATAATCCAAACCTAAGTATAAAAGCAGAATTTTATGCATAATGCATGAGTTAGATATATTATGAGGCACAGTATGAAAAGCTTAAATGAGATACTTTTCAAAAAGCACTGAAATTAGAGAACTAGAGTGCTAGTCTGTCACCTGACAGAAAGACAAATGAAAGAGAGGACAGGATAATACAGAGAACCTCAATGGACAGTCACTTCAACACTGCAGCTGGAATTGTCCCCCAGTCCAGTGCTGAACAAGGTAAGACTCTGTCACATCATACAGTGTCTCGATGTTTGAGATTATGTGGACTGAAAGCCCACTCTGCAGTGAGAAAGAAGGAGAAAAGAATCAAAGCTAGACTAACTTTTACTGAGGAACATGTTGTGTGGACAGAGGGAAACTGATCAAAAGTTCATTTCAGTGATGAAAGAAAGTTTAATTTATTTCGGTCAGATGGAAAATGCTATGTTAGTCATCAAACCTGACGACTGTTATGGTTTAGGGAATATTTTCCACAGCAGGAGTTGGGCCTCTTTTACAGCTATGTAGCAGAGTGAATGCAAATGTTTATCAGAACCTTCCTTGACAACATATGATTCCATCCCTGCGTTCATCATCCAATCAGACAGTCATTTTAATGCGGGACAAAGCCCCCTATCACACAGCAAAACAAACAAAGCAGTTCCTTGAAACTAAAAACATTAAATAATGAAATGGCCAGCCCAGAGTCCTGATCTAAACCCAATAGAAAACCTCTGTTGAAACACAGTTGTGGCCAAGAAACCCACAACAGTCACCCAACTGTGGAAGAGACTTAAAAAAGAGTGGACCAAAATCTCACCAGAGCACTGTGAGGGACTGGTGATGTCTTGTGGCTGTAGATGTGCTCAAGTCATTCAAAACAAAGGCCTGTACACTTACTAATGTGTGACTGTCCTAACTTTTAGAATATTTTGTTGTAGTCTTTCTTTGTGCTACAGACATTGCTGTTCTTTCATTTTGATCATGTTCTCTGCAAAATGAAGGTTTTTGTTGTTGAAATTCCTTGTTTTGTTGTATAATAGTATTGCTAAACAATGAAAACAATCCTTAAAATGTTGAGCAATGAAGATTTTAATAATTATTATAAGATTATTATAATGTAATATTTTGGAATAAGTCAAGTGTTCCTTAGTTGTTCTCTAATTTTGATCTCCAGTGTACATCTGGCATGCTTGTATACCTAACTTCAGATTGAGTTTGTTTTGAGCAGAAGTTAAAGATCAGACAAAGTTCGGTGTGTTTTCATATTAAAAAAGTGAGTAACATGTTGCTAACAGGGCCATTTGGATCATTTAAGCGTTGTGTGTAAAATGTCTGCGTTGCAGCTCATTGCAGCAGGAAAATGGGTGAAGCTTGAGAAGACAACATATGTGGATCCTGCGGGAAACGTCAGGTATGCTCCCGTCTGTTTAACATCACTTGGTTTCATGTGCGCAGTTACAATCTCTGGTTTTATCCTTCAGGACTTGGGAGACGGCGAAGAGAACGACGAGACAAGCCAACACAGAGGCAGATGGTGTTGGAATAATCGCCCTGCTGAAACGGACCCTCCACAAAGACTGCGTTGTGATGGTTAAGCAGTTCCGTCCTCCGCTGGGATGCCACTCTCTGGAGTTTCCTGCAGGTTAATAGATCTCTAGAAGAGTCAATTTTGCCATTTTTATCCTGCGATCAACCAAAACAAATCAAACAATCCCTTAATTTGTCCTCTAGCCTTTTTAGAAACATTTTCACCTTCTTGCTGTTCTCAGGGTTGATTGATGAGGGGGAAACTGCAGAAGCTGCAGCACTGAGGGAGCTGAAAGAAGAAACCGGCTACCAGGGGGAAGTAGTTGGAGTCACTCCAGGTATCATCACACAAAGACCTTCTGTTGTCTAGATTGCATTAGCTCCCTCTCTCTTTCTCTTTGCAGGATGTTTCCCCCGTGTGCATCGGATTACTTAAGTGAAAATAAGTTAAACTCAATTTTGATCCTGGGACAGTAAATTACATGAAGCTCTGTTGTTTTGATGGCAGTGACCTGCCTGGACCCTGGTCTGTCAAATTGCACCACCCAGATCGTCCTGGTCAACATCAACGGAGATGAAGGAGAGAATATCAACCCAACGCAACAGCTCGGTGAGAAAACACCCACACACACTCTGAAAAGTAGATAATCTCATTTACTTTTTCTCAGCTCCTTTTAAAGGGATATTCCGGTGTAAAATTAATTTAGTGATCGTACACATGATGTTTGATGGTTTTTGCCCTAAATGACGTTTTTTTGTTTGTTCTTCCACAGGTGATGGAGGTCAGTAACGTTTCTTCTTAAAACAGAAATAATCCTTCCTTTGTAATTCAAGTTCTCAACCACACTTTTATCCTCTTCGTCCAGAGTTTGTCGAAGTCGTCCTTTTACCTCTCGACGAGTTCCAGAGGAACATGGACGGTGAGGCTTCGACTTGTCCTGTATGAATGTTTGTACAAGAACACACACACTCTGACACTGAATTTGCTTGATCCTGCAGACCTGCTGAAGAAAGAAAAAATCATGGTGGATGCCAAAGTGTACATCTTCGCCATGGGGATGGTTCAGGCCTTCTTTAAGCCCCGAGAGCTGCCGGTCCTGAAACAGTGATTCTCAAAACATTCAGGATGTCTCTGTTACAGCCCTCCTGCTACTGCACAGGACTGTACCAATAGTATTAGGAAAGGTAATTCTTCCAAACGTTGATAAGAATCGGTATGAAAAGTTGTTGCACTGTGCTTTTAGACTGGATGTAACCTGATATTTTGATGTTGTTTCGATGAAGTGCAATGACCAATCGCAGGGCAGTCAGACGACGCAACACTGCTCTGTGTGTGACGACGTAGATCTGAATCTGATACTGGAAATGAACTCTTAAAAAAGCAACAAAAAACAATCTTATGAAGAAGCACTACACATTACACACTCAACTGTACTATCATGAAGGCCTGTAGCAGACTGCAGTGGCTGATTTCAGGCCTCAGCTGAAGTTTTATGCCTTAAGTAGCAGAACCTTGATTCCATTTTTATGAGGTTATAAGTAGTGTTGTATGTTGCAGTTTGTTTAGTCATTGTAACACATTCACCTTAATTTTCTAACAGTTTTTTTTTTACTTATATGACTACTGTATATAACATTCATTTTTACAGTAGCAGTTTTTTTACACTTGTCATAAATCATCTGTTAATAGGAGTACTTAAACACACTGGAGTTTTTACATCGTTTCGGAGTCAACCTGAAAATTTTGCAAGGATACAGAATTAAAAATGTGTTTCGATTCAAAACTTTAGAAAGGTTTCCAAGGGCACTAAAGGAGTCCAAGTCCTGACAAGTTTCAAATTGGATCTCTGTGTAGAAGTCCTACATTTAGGTTCAAAATCAGGATTATTAGAATAAAGCCAGAATGATATTGTGAGTTCATGTCACTCATTTTAAAGCCAAGTTTCTGAGACTAAAATTGAAAGTTTAGGTCTGACTTCTGTATTCATCATTTGAATTCTGGGACTACAGCTTGACTCTGACCAAAACCCTTATGCTCTTCCATAATAGAGGTCAATTCATCCCCAGAAAACCAGACCACAGTCAACAGTCGTCACTTCCTGGCTCACTTTCCTCCTTTAACTTTTGTCGAGACTAATCTTAGGACCAAAATCATAAACTCACAAGTTAAGAGGATGGAAACGAGCTGATAGTCACGTACAGAGTTACTTATGAGATCAGTCATTTTTTTGGTATATGAATAACAGTTGTACATGTGTAGTAATTTTTGGGGATCTTACTTAATTGTAATGTACTAAAGAGATACTGTAACATAAAGAAATTAACTGTTAAAAGGAAGTAATTCATGCTGTGCCTCCAACCTTGTTATGGTGCAATAACTGGTTATGGATGTTGTTGAGTTAGAAATAATGGACCAATGAATAAATGTAAGAGAACCAGTGCTTTTACCTGAATCTGCTCTGTCTCTGTTTGTCAAAACACCTGAGGAAATGAAAGAAGAGAGAACTAACTTTTTTAAGCTCACGCTGGAGCAGATAGATTCTCATCCTATCCTGGAGGTATCAAAACAGAGTTAAGGAAAGGTTAACTCTTAAAAAACATTACAGTATTTTCTGCCTTTCTTTCTTTTTAGTTTTAGTTATAGAATTTGTATAGCCATTTGTTTGTATGGTCCCCGGGCGGGTCCATTAACTGCAGCGGAGGGACGCAGCTGAAGGAAGAACAATTATGATCATTTCTGTATTATTTCCTTGAAGTAATAATCAACATATTAATCATTTTGCACTGCAGACGCAGTAGTTCTTCTGTCTTAGCGTCTCAGTCTGATTGCATTTCCAAGAAGAAATGATCATAAATGTTGTTCCTTGAGCTGCGTCACCCCGCTGCAGTCTGTGATGGACTGTTCCAAGGTCTCAACAAGCGGCTGCTGGAAGAGAGTAGGTAAGTTGTGTTTAGTCCCTTTTCTAAAGAAATTAGGCAAAGCTAAAAATATGTTCGGTGGATAGTGCTATGGCTGGGACCCAATATGTGCTGTTGATGAAGTTAGGTGCTTTTCTGAGCATTATTTATGGCTATAAAGTGGCGTTTTGTTTATGGCTCCTCAGACCGCTGTGTATTGCTATCGTGCGGTCGTCACTAAAGTTGGTATAACTAGAGAAGCAAGCGGTCGCAACATTCATCTCTCAAGGGGGTGTCTAACTCGGTGTTAGAGCGTGTTTGACTCAAAATAAGTTTACGCCAGAATATCCCTTTAACTGTAAGTGAGGGCAGCATTTTCTTTCTCGCTCACATGAAAAGTCCCTGTTCTGGATTTGAACCCTGAATCTCTCTTCATTAAGAGGCAGCAGCCTTGAACACCACAGGTGAGCCTTGCTGAATTTGCTTTTCAGGTGTTTTAACTTGGAAGGATGGAAAAAGGCAGCTGAAGTCTGGAAAAGGAGGAAGAAGAAGACGCGCAGAAGACAGAAACAAATTTTGACCCTTTCGGCGTCCCTTACACTCATGCGTTGCCTCCCTGACTCCGCCCCCCGGCGCTCCACTCATGTTATGAAAGCAGAGCAGTGGGTGTGTTACATACGTACTCCACCGCCTGTTAGACTTGTAAACAGGTAAGATAAACCGATTTATTATTTATGTAACATAAACATTAAATCATTTTCTAATTTGCGCTGAACTTACTTGATAAATTGTGTGTTTTTCCCTCGTGCTCTGTGCGGTTGTAGTCTTTGGTGTTAGGCTGCTCACCGTCTGTTCCACACAACTCACACATGTAACACCATCACATGCTGCTGTCAGGACAGAGTGTTCTCTCGTTTTGTTCCAGCTGAGGACAATCGTTATTCATGCATTTTAGGAAAACACCTGATGCTTTTGAAACACTGAAGTGTAATCTAAGTAGGTCTGTTACTCAAATGCTGAATTAAAGTTCAGCTGGAAGGTTATTTCACTTTATTTCACATTGTCTCTCCATGTACTTGTGTTGCTTCACATGAAATCAGTCTTTTAGATGACCAAAGGAAAAATCTGACTGTTTAACAAAAACATGTTTGATATTTTATGTTTTTAAAATAAAACCTAATTATTTTAGGAAAATTGCAATCCGATGTTTTAATGAGGAGGTGCAAATTCAATACTAGTAATTAACAGCATTCTTAAAATTGCACTAAATGCATATAAGACAAGACTGTTTCTATGTCTTTAGTAAAGTCTGAATACTATTTGCATCTCTGCGTACAAATCCCGTACAAATCCTCCATTGTAAGTGTGTTGCAACCTGACTGTGCAGCTTTACGCCGTGACAGCTGCTGTCAGTAACACATTACCTTGCAAAATCCCTCGTGCAAAGAAAGACTATTAAAATAATGTATTTAAGTGAAAGTCCAGTTAATTTAATGACATTTTACCCACAATTAAGTAAAACTACCAGTCTGGTGATCTCCTTAAGTGAATTAAAATAGTTATAAATGAGTCTTAATACATGGTGGTGAGAGTAGGAAAAGTAAAACATCCCCTCAGATTCTTTAAAAGCTTATTAATGTGTTGTTGACACTGGCCTGCACCCATTTAGAGTGAAGTGGAGTGGATATTTTTGCCGTATCTTTTGGCCAGTATTGTGCTTCTTAGACAGTCCCTGTACTCTCAAGCCATGGCTGGCTGTGCAGAGAGGAGTTTGTTGACTGGAATCAAACAAAGGCAACAAGCAAGATTTCCTTGAAACTAGATGTAATGCATGTTTCGACAAATTTGTGAGGAAAAATTTGGGCTAAAATTCCCAGAAACCAGATCTTTATTGGGGCCTTTAGTAAATGTAGTTTAAGTGCAATGAGATTTGCAGAGAGTTTTTGCAGTTAAGACATCAACCAGTCAGCCGTCTGTCAGGAAATTGGTGGAAAACTTGTCTGTTTTTAGCATTTTATTCCTGTGCTACTGTAGCAGAATTAAATACTTTCCATTTATAATACTCAAGTTAATCTGAAATATTGGTTTAAACATTTACAGCAGCTAAATAAGTAATTTGCTCCACCCCTGAGAAAGAGGTAGTATGAAGTCAGACTTTTTGTTCTCTTGAGCCAGTTTTAACTCACACAAGTGTCCCGGTGTTAATCTGGGACGCTTGGAGAGATACTGTAGAGAGGAGCGGAGCAGGTGCAAAACAAGTTTGCCTGCAGTGCCAACTTGTCACTCGTTAAAAACATTTGGCACATCATGACACAAAAATACAGCTGACCCTGAACTGTTAAGCAGCTGAAAAGTGTTGACACATTCTCAGGATCCCAAATATTTCATATCAAGTTTATGGAGAAATGAAAACTTCACGGTCCTCACAGTACTTTGTTTTCCCTGCAGATTCACTCCTGTCCACAATGCTTCGAGTCACCACCGCCTCTCTATGCACCTACTGTCAGAGGATGAGGCTCTTCCTGCCTCCCTCTGTGTCCGCCTCCACGGTGCCGTCTCCAAACAAACGCCTGGAAAACCAGCACATCGTGGACTCCCTCTACGAACTGTCCGTGGACGTCCGGAAGGTGCGCAAGTTTAAGGGCTGGGTTCTGTCTGAGAACTCTGCCTATGTCTCTGAAACTGCTGACCTGCTGAGGGACATGGGTGCAGACTCTATGGTGATTGCCCGCATCCTGGAGAGTCATCCTGAAGCTGTTTTATGTCTTCCCGAGGATGTGGCCGCCCAGCGAGACCTTTGGGTGACCATCTGCCCCAACAAGCGTGAGCTGGTGGGCATCATCGAGAAGTTCCCTGGGTCTTTCTTCACCGTAACTCACCACAGTAACCAGCGGGCAAACATCCTCTACCTGCAGCGCCTCCGCCTCAGCAAGAGGATCATCGGGAAGCTCATGGCGAGCGCCCCGCAGAGCTTCAGCCGGCCTGTGGAGAGGAACCAGGAGGTGATCCACACTCTGAGGGAGACATACCTGGACCTGGGCGGGGATGAGGGGAACCTGCGGCTCTGGCTGCAGAAGCTCCTGAGTCAGAATCCGTACATCCTGCTGCGCCCGGCTGAAGCTTGGAGGGACAGTCTGGGCTTCCTGAGGGAGCAGGGGTTCACCACAGAGGAGCTCCTCAACTTGGTCTCCAGTCTCAGAGCTTCCATCGCTGAGCTGCAGCCGGAGAGCATGCAGCATGCACTGGCGTACATCGAAGACGCCCTTTCCTGCACTAAAGACGAACTCAAAGAAATTGTAATCCTCTGCCCGGCGGTTTTGTACTACTCCTTGCCAACTTTAGCCGGGCGCTTCCAGGGGCTGATGGATGCAGGGATGACCATGGAGCAAGTGAAGGAGTCTCCAAACGTACTGGAGCTCACCACACAAATCGTGCTTTACCGCATCCAGAAGTTGGCGTCTTACGGATACGACGTGCGCTTTGGCAGCCTGGATGTTATCGTGGGGACTAAGAAGGACTTTGAGATGACTTACGGGAAGCTGCAGCTGAGGCAGCAGCGACCACTTTTCAACCCTGTCGCTCCCCTCAGATCTGCAGAGGAGTAACTGTCTGAATTTCTCCATGTGCTGCTGTTTTACTAGTTTTTTTGAAAGGAGGAATAAAAAGGCTGTAAGCTGATATTGAGAAAGGGTTTACAGCTGATGCAAGAAATGTGAAGAGAAAAGCCAGTTTGAATACTACTAAAGAAGGAGTTTGAGCCTTTTGCGCTCATTTTGGGTCCTTTTTAGTTGAATATTAAGGCACAGCTAAGGGCTCAGTAAGGTGACTGATGAGAGCTGACACTGCAACAGCCTGAACAATCTTCACTAGAAGGACCATGCTGCAATTTCTTCTCTTGTGAAGATTGTTCAGGCTGTTGCAGATCAGCAACTCTTACCGGCCACCGTAGTTCAAGCCAAACTAGGACTACGACTGTTATGGAAACAGCTACAGTACTGTATTTTACATTAAAAAAAGGAGGAGGTGCAATCTGAGTTTTCATAGTTTTTGGAAGAGATGCAACAGAGAATGGCTGCAACTTCTGAATGAATGAATGAATGAATGTATCATCTGAGTAATAGACGATTAGGGATGCAGCAACACTGATATTTCCCACAATTTTCAGACACTTGAGAAACTTAAAGGTACAGTGTGTCGTTTTTTAGCAGCATTTCGTGAAATACAACACAAAGATTGTTTAAATTGGTGTCTAATCAGGTGACTATAAAAATGCTTTTGTTTGACTTCCTTAGAGTTGGGCTGTTGTACCTATTCACTGCCACGTTTCCACAGCAGCTTACAATGGACAAACAAGTGCTAGATCATAGCAGTATTTATTGTAATATGTGACAAAGTGGTTGAAACTGAGGGAAAATTTGGATGCAGGTTTATTAAGCATATCTTAGTATTGTTATTTTTTTATCCTGAGTGGATAAAATGTTTAGTTGATCAATCTCTAGAGGCAAAAATTGGTGAATATTTCAAGGATGTGAAGTACTGTTAAATCCTCAGGTATAAAAGTCACAGTCAGTAGGAAACATTCAAGTTGTCTTCCTTACACTTCCTTCAATTAAGTGAATTGACAGTGAAGTCCACAATGGACATTTTATGTGCAACTGTGTAGCTCTTTCTAGCTTCATCTTTTTTTTCGCTATCCTGCGAAAAATGTACATGTGGTAAGACAGAATAGAGGAGAGAAGATATTTTTGATGGTCAAAACTTGGCAAATGGTGAACCATGCTTACCATGCAGTGTTACAGCAGCTTCTTGTCCTTGAAGGGCACCATCACTACACTAGCAGGGGTGAGCGGGGGAGTTGTTCAGTGTCAAATCTAACAGCTCGATAAATTTCTACACACTGTACCTTTAAAAAGTCGACATGCTGATATATTCTGTAGTTGCAGCCTATAAACTCCTCCATAATATGACTCCAGTTTTTCATTGCCATTGTTTTAAATTGACTTTTGCACAAAACCAAAAAGAACAACCAACTTCACATGGTAACAGACATCTTTGTACATAAGATATGAACATAGATATAAGAACAATAATCAAAAAAATTACACTTACAGTCAGTTAATCAGGAGTGTAATAATCCAGAGTGCAAATGGTGCAATGTTTGGTGACATGTTTGGTGTAATGTGACAGATTTTGTATTCACTTGAGTTGAAGATGATGGTAATATCTACATGCAAAAAAAGTTATGTATCGAAACAATGAGTTTCTAATTTACAGATTTGGTGAATGTAAATGATCCTGTGTACCTGGTTTATTCTGGACAGCCACAGGTCTTAAGTGTTACTTTTGGACTCTTGACATGTCAAAGTCCTGAATGTAGGGCATCGATGATTCCCACTACAGACCTGTCTGCTGGTTCCTCTCCGTTTTTGGTCTTCCAAGAAAAACAGACTGAAAAATATCAGTGTCTGAACTTCCTGAGCTTCCATCTCCTCTGTTGGGCCCTCTACACAAACCAATGTTGCAGTAAAGAAGAGTGGGAACGAGAATCAACTTCTGCCTGTTTTTCACTGAATTCTAATTTACTACTGTTCACAAATAAACTCATGTAATGAGAAATAAACGCCACGTTCAATTTGTATTTCTGCTGCGTCTCTTTTTCAGCCGAGGAGTCAAAGAAGAGTGACTCAATAGAATTGGTAGCAAAACTAGGCAGAACACCGGCAAACAAGCTAACGTGTAGTTTACAGATGTTACCGTGAATGGACACGATTTAAAGATAAATTACTAGAAGAGAGAAAAAACGTATATCATACCTGCATCAACATTTGATTTAGTCAATTCAATTTGTTGAGAAATAACTAATTTATGACAGAGATAATTGTCTGGTTGGGCTAACGGTCACATAGTCACATCCACACTCCCTGTAGCTAGCTAACGAAGCTAGCTAGCATCGAATGCGCTCTATGCGCCCGGAGGTCTCTGTACGAACAAGCGGCTGCTGGAAGAGAGTGGGTGAACTGTGTTAAGTCTCTTTGCTAAAGAAATCAGGTAAAGCTGAAAGATTTTTGGTGGCTAGTGCTGTGGCTAGGACCCTATATGTAATGATGAAGTTAGGTGCTGTTCTGAGCATTATTTGTGGCTATAGAGTGGTGTATTTGTTGAGCGCATGGCTTTCTGTATTGCTATTGCAACCTTACACTGCATAAACTTTGGCTCCATGAAAAAGACGCAAACTTCATGTATATTTAAACCAGTTTTAATCAAACAAGCATATTAAGAAGAAACAAGAAGCAAGTGAAGCAGTTCTCTCCAGTGGTACATTTATTGGGGGATTATACAGAGGGGGGCATGATATGGAGTTGCCTTTACTCAATAACCATTAACACGGGCAACAACTGGATAGATAACGTCATACTGATATTGCCTCTACAGTGAGAAGGAACAAAACAAGCACTGAGATAAAGCGAGGAAATGATCAAACACGTCTCTTCATAGATACATCAGATGGCTCAAAAAGAGAAAACTGGGAAGTTGAATAAATGAGCAGACAGGCGACTGTTTTTTATATTAGATACAAGATTATTCACCTTTTTTTTATGGACGGTCTATAAATGCTTTCATATTTTTTTATTGAAAATTCTCCAAAAAGAAAGATCCATCCACAATGATTTGTCATATCAAAAATATATCAATGGGTCTATGGCTACACAAAGAGAGAAAACACACATACAATATCCAAATATGTACACGTTTGTATGTGAGCAGAAGTTAGCAAATTCATTATATACACAAGACTTTTTGTCCCGGCAAAACCACGAGCACAGTGTGGCGGCCCCTGCAGCCGGGGGCCGTGCAGTCCAAATGAGAATATACAGTCCGGATAGTTTGTGTGAGTGTGTTTAATGACGACTCCTTCTTAGAGTGTGTTCATGCAACAGTGCTGTGCTGTAACAAAAAGTCTTTACGTCCATTTTAAGGGGGTCGGCTGAGGAGACAACGTGGCTCACAGTGAGTTTTGCAGAATCACCTGATGGAAACGAAGGAAAGGACACAAATGAGAAAAACTGCTGAGTGTCTGATAAATGCAGTTTGAGCAGTGAAATCCCCCTTTTTTGGCACTTTTATAGGTTAATATTGAAAATTAAAACATCAAATGTAAGCTTCTTCTATTTGGTACTTTTTGTTTCCACACAAGAGAAGAAAATCGACTCCTGGAATCATTTATGCAGAAACACGTCATTTTGGTGCATTTTTGTCTCATGTCTTTTGTCACGAATTACCGTAATTTTTGTAATAAGACTCACACTGGTATACATCATGGTTCGAATTGGAGAAGAAGCATGAACCGAGTATGGCGTGTTCGAATGAACACACTTTCCACAAGTTCAGATTTTTTCTACTTTAAATCATTTTTTGAGTGGTATCTTATTATTTCAGAAAGTGCCTTTTTTGAGTAAAAAACAATAATCATTAAAATTCTGAACAGTAATTTGTAATTTGATTTTCTTTGGACAAACTCTTCATGGTTTTCCAACTCTATAATCATTTGAGGTCTGTGTTTGTTTATTGGTTTTTCGGGGCGTTTAGCAGAATCAAGATGAAAATCAGACTCAGACTTACTGACCTTTTTAGTGGCTGCTCTGTCTCTGGACTTTGGAGCCTTTGCTGTTCCCAGAGTCCTCGCTGTGCCGTTTGCCGCTGGTCTGAGTGCTGCCATGGTGCTCAAGTCCTAAAAGAGGCAAAGAAAACAGTAAATTTAGTGAAAACAAAAACGGCTTCATTGAGCTCAAGATGAAGATAATGGACTTAAATTATGGCTGAGACGGGCTGAAGGTTTCCATCAAGATCCAAACCAAATAACCATTCATTACATTATGTAAGTCTGCTCTGATGCTTTTCTTGTCAAAAGGAAAACAACTGATTACCGGTGTTTACCTTTTTTAATAGCAGGACCAGGAATCTGCTGTGCGCCTTGAGCATAACACATGACTCCAGCACTGGTGCCTGAAAAACCCAGAAGACAAGCGAGATTTAAGGTTAGAGCATGGATTTACACAAACAGAGGAAAAAACAGGTTACATAAAAGGGAAGAGGAAACATTGTATGTTCACGGATGACTCAATGAGACCCACCCTGCTGCTGTGTGGCCATGCTGGTCTGAGGATCACCCTGCAGGTACATCATGACCCCGCTCTGCCAGTCTCCCTCAGGCTGCATCTGCAGCTCAAAGCCTGTAAGAACAAAAACAACAATGCCGTTGTTTTTTTCCCTGCTCAACAGAGAACAACATTTGTACGTATCCAGCTTTGCTGCCGGTGTTTGGTCTCTTACCAGATGAGGCTGTAGCATTGTGTGTGGACTCCACAGCGTATCCGATCACGTCAGAGGACGTCTCGGTGTGACCGTTACCGTTGGCATTGGACGGGACTGTCGCCAGAAGGCCTGAGGAAACAGATGACATTGAACAGCTTTTATCGTGTGTACAGGAACTGATAGTTTTAACAACGAAAAACTGAACCCGTATCAGCCACGGGTTCTTAGGCCATGCTATTTTGAGCCCATACAGTGATTTCCATTACAGAGTCAAATCAGATTTTAAAGCAGGGCCCAAAAATCACATTTCACATGAATATTTAAGACATCTGTTATAAATGATTCTGTCTGTATCCAGTGTCATATTCTTACCGAGGCCTCTGTAACAGGAGAGCTGCTGGTAGATCTGTTTCATCCTTTCGATGTTGAGGCGGCTGGCCTCAGCGTGGTGCACCATGGGTTTGGGGTAATGCACCCCGATAATACATTTGGCCGCTTTCTGCACGCTCTCTGGGGCGTTCCAAGGGTCATAGATGTACTTGGCTGGAAACCCTCTCAGGATGGGCAGGTAGCGCCTGAGAAAAGAGAAGATAAGGAGTGATGAGTGTGTCATTTATTGAGTTCAAGAATATGTGTGTAAAAGGAAGTCTTGCACCTCAGTAAAGGTACAGATTTGAGACGTGACGAGATGTAAACACACCTTATGTAGTCTCCGTTGGGGTCTGTGCGCCGGCCGAAGCCCACAGGGCAGTAGCAGTGGAAGAACTGCTGGAAGAAAGAGCTGCAGGAGAGCCACATCCAGCTGCCTGCGTTCACGCTCCAGTCTGCATCCAGCAGCAGCTCCTCAAACACCTGCAGACACGCAAACACAAACACACACTGGTAAGTTAATCTTTAAATTCAATCTTCACACCTTTATCCCACTATCTCAAAATTAAGGGTTTGTACCTTCATGCCCTCCTCCCAGCTGATCCACAAGTCTCCTCTGGTCAGGAAACAGGCCACAGCGTGACGGGCCAGGTGGTGGATCCAGCCCTCCTGCCTCAGCTGGGTCATGATGGCGTCGATCCAGGGGAAACCGGTGCGGCCCTCCGCCCACTTGGCCAGAGCCTCGGCGTTGCGGTCCCAGGGGATCTGCACGCAGATGGGGTTGCTCTCCATCTTGTCGAAGCAGGGGTTGTTGGTGGCCGCCGTGTAGAAGAACTCGCGCCACAGCAGCTGACCGTAGAGTGAGAGGGGAGGGGAGCTGTTCTTCTTCACCTGGTGGGACGGGACACAGAAGAGATGACAGTGAGATGATTTTCTTAATCTCTGAAGAACCTCAGGTGCTTCAAAAAGTAAGTTGTTGGATGTACCTGATTTTTTAAAAACTTGAGTAGTTTGTTTCAGTGCAAAACTGACAAAAACATGAATTTTAATGGACAAAAATGACAATATAATTATGATTGTTTGTATTTTTATACCATCTACAACAGCAGATCATTAAATATATATTTGTCTTTTTTGAAGTTAAAGAAAAGTGACATTTTTTAAGCAACACTAAATGGGATTATAAAGGACATTGAAGCCTGAAGAAACAGCTACACAACACAAGAGGGAGCCAGCGCTATATCAACCCCGGACTAACACTAGGAACCAGTAGGTGGAGTAACAATAATAGTTAACATGAACCAGTCCTGAACCTGCTGTAGAGGGAGTAAATGAAACTGAATGTCACTGTCCACATAGAGAGAGGATATTTTTCAATTTTCATACAGAGAGAATTAACTCTACTTTAATACTAAGTTTTTAAGAGTTTATGGAAAAAAGCTGTTCAACGTAGATAAAAGTAGATAAAAATGTAACAGTCGTGTTAAATTTAGTAACCAGTGGGGTGTTTTTAGTTTACAGCATGACTCAAAACCAACTGGTTAAAGGTGTGGCACAGAACAGAGACAGTCAGGGGAGCTGCAGACGTGTGCAACATCTCCACTGGCTCATTTTGGCGAGCACTACACGTCAGCTGCTATAGAGATCAGGCACCTTTTACAAAACCATTATTTTGTCTTTGAATAAAAAGCTGACAAACTGTTGAAAAGTCATGCAGAAGAAAGTCCGCATCTGCAAACCTGCAACCTTGTGGACCTGCTGATCAAGAAGATCAAGCATGCAGAAAAGCGGACACAAAGGCTATGTTCACACTGCAGGTCAATTCTGATTTTTTAACCATATATGACACATATCAGACTTTTTCATGTAAGTGTGAACAGTGCAATTCTTAACTTTTCAAATCCGACCCAGACCTCTTTTGTATGTGGATATAAATCAGATATGTATCCGATGTGACTGCAGTGTGGAGTCTAAGTAGTAAGGCTGAGTCTTCATGTGTCCAGAAACTGTTCGACCATTTCTAACAGGTCAGACTCTTTAAGCTCCTCTTCATTACATCAGCCAACCGGTAACTCTTGGCTGCTCTCCAGTCACACTTAAGTCATTAGGAATACTTAGCTTAACAGTTTCACTTGTTTCCTTGAAACCAGGTCACATGCTCTGTCAGGATACTCCACCAAGATAACAAGGACCTGCACTTTTTAAGCTATAATGGTACCAGCATGCTTCATGTTAAACTATCAGTGGTTTTGAGATGGTCTTACCTTCCTGTAGAGGTCGGTGAGTTTGAAGTAGAAGAGGCGACAGGAGAGGCAGCCGAATCGCAGGTACGGGCTGAGGCCTGTCGGGCTGGCCAGCAGAGAGTTGGCGTTCATTCTTGGACGCTCAAAGTTGGCCACCCACGCCTGATGGTGACACAGATACAGAGATATTAGATATGAAAGAGAGCAATGATGTGGAGTTACATCACAAGGTTGTGTCGCTGGGAAAGAAGCAAAAGTGTCAGAGGGTTTATTTTTGTCTCCTCTGAATGGACTGACCTTCCTCTCCAAATGCCGCTCTAACCGAGTGAGCGCTTCGGTCTCTCCCCCCGGCCACACAGCTGAAGACAGACCTTCAGTATCGAACCCTGTGGGGGCCACATTAATACAACACATTATAACATCAGTCTGGATTATTATCCTGTTTAATCTGAACACCCTCAGTTTGTCTGGTTTCACTCACCCAGCTCCTCCAAAGATGGGACCCCGAACTTATCATCGTGGTCCTCAAACAGCGGCGTAGTGCACTTCCCCATGATTTCAGCCGTGATGGACTCTGCGGGCATCTCCACCGCCTCCATACGACTGATGAGGGTCTGGAACCGCTTGTAGGTGAGTGGGGACTGACCCCCATTTAACTCTATGATCCTGCACAGCAACACAGACAAGAGTCAAAGACCTGGTCGACACACAGATCCACAAACCTGACGATACGGAAAGAGGAGATGTTTACTCACTTGTCCAGGTCATAGAGTGTGTGGGAGATGCGAACTGTCACCTCCACTCCGGCCTCAGAGGCCAGTTTCTTAATAGCTGCATCTCGCTCCTTCCCGAACGGCTCAGAGTCGTACTCATAGGACAAACGAGAGATCTTCCATTCCTGCAGAAAAGAGAAGTTTTGTTAGTAAGTGTGCTACAGATTGGAAAAAACAGGGTTCGCACCTCGTGTTTGACGCGCATAATAACTGTGTCACCTTGAAAAGTCTGGGAAAGACATCAGTGGGTTGGCCTCTTATCACAAACAGTCGAGAGTTGAGCTTACGGAGGCTGGAGTCCAAGTCCTCAAGACTCTGCAGTAAGAACCTGGAGGAGGACGGAAAGAAAGACAGAATGGTTACACAAGCTGAAGTGGAAGCTTTAAAAGATTGTATGTCAACTGTAGTTAAAGCGGCAGAGAGGGGAAGGAGTACTCCTCCTTCCCTTATTTTGATAGGAAGGAGGAATAATAGTCATTTTAGGTTGTGCTGAGGCTGACAAAACATGAATCATCATCTTGAAATGCTAATTTTATGCAGATAAGTATAGCAAAGTCTCCTCAGATCAGCTTTTTCAGCTGACAGCTCTCTTTCTGAAACTATGCGGTACAGTATCCGAACCTCGGGCCCACATACAGAACATCTTTGGAGAGTTTAAACATGTGAAGCATTTGACCTTGTTGAACAAATTCACTTACTTTCATTGAGAGGAAACCAGTAAACGTTTGTTCCTATTAGAGAACAGTTCCTGTTTTTGACCTAGTTTCAAACACATGAATATGCAGATTTGATTTCCCTGTTATTCCTACTTAATAACTGCCCTCACCACAAGAGGAGACTTACTTTCACTGGATCGAAGAATACAGTATTTTCTATTTAACAGAACATGACAAAGTATGGAGCTTTGATTTTCTATTCTATACTGAAGATTCAGGGACAAAGGGATGTCATTTCACAAGTGGCAAGGTGCATCTGTGCCTCCTATTGAGAAACATGTTTCAATTCATGGCCTGTCAGGTGGATGAAAAGCAACAAAGGTGTAACAAGCTGTGTGGAGCAGGTGTGTGTGAGTCAGCAGGAACTTCTGATATCAGTTAACAGAGGGAGATCAGAGGGCGAACAGTACAAGAGGAAGCCAATGCCTGCTCAAATGTGTCTGTGATGGTTTGATAATGACGCCACAGGTAGAATGACCGACATTACAGCACCTGCAAACCCATCAGGGGCATGTTGAAAAAGGGTGTGTACTTTCTGGATCTTCCGACATGAGGTTCTGCATCAAAAACTGTTAATTTTTCCAACACTCTTGCTAATACAGGATCTCATTATGGAGGGGCTGTGAGCCGAGCTGCTGTGAACTTTCATTAGGCTCGTTTCAGAAATAAGTGCAGATCCAGACTCCAATGACTGTGATCTTAAATCGCATAAAAAAGTACAACTCTTTTGGGTACAAACAGAGTATTATGTATGGGAGGGTGTGAGCTGAGCTGTTGTGAACTTTCATCAGACTTGTTTCAAAAATAAGTGCAGATCCAGACACCTATGACTGTGATCTTAAATCGCATCAAAAAAAGAAAAAGAATACCTCTTTTGGGTAAATACAGCGTATTATATATGGGAGGCTGTGAGCTGAGCTGCTGCTAAATATTTTTCAAGTGAGGATTCTTTCCTACTGTTTAGCTAAATTATCTGCACAAGTAGCCTCCTCTAAATATACATTTAAGCTTTCCTGAAGACACTTGTTTGCAGAGCTCACAGGGGCTGCGAGCTGAGCAGCCACTCACTTCAAAGCCTGAAATTTTAAAATGTAATCTGTGTTTCAGAGCATTTTACAAGTGAAAATAATTGTTATGGGGAAATCTCAGGTTTCTATATTTGTATGTTTGCTGATGTAATAACTGTAACACCTGCTGCCAGGATGCTGCTGGTCGTTCCGCTAAATTAAAGCTGAAAATTGGAACTTGTCGTCATCTTAACTTTTGTTGTGGCAATCTCAGATTTTGGCTGGTGCTCCCAGCTTTTTGAAGTTGGCAGAATGAGTGCTACCACAGAAAAAGAACAATAGTTTCTGTTTAGCAATGTAATTACAAAGAGGATAGCGGTAAAGAAAAGTGAGACTGTTTGGGTTTAATTGACCACAAAATATGGAGCTTTGCATGCTTTTTTTTTTGTCCTTGTAGCTTAAATGTTCCTGTTACATAAAGTCTGCGTAAGACCTCTTGACCCAAGTTTTCTCCGTTGTTATGACATTTATCCCTGTTGACAAATAACCTGAAACCACCAGTGCTACAAAGTGAAATGAGACCATTATCCCCATTGGCACCAATTTTCCTCTTTGTAATCCTGACAGCATAATTCCACTTGAAATAGCCCAATTTAACCTCCAGAGCTTGAATGAAAAAGCAGGTTTTTGTGCTTAGGCAATGGAAGAGTGTACGGTATCTTTCACTGGCCCTTCTCCCTCTGACATAACTGACGGGGATACATCATTAACTTCACAAAGACTGGCCTTGGACACATCCTTAAGGCTGAATCATACGGACAGTGGGTGAGTCAACCAACCCGCATCCACATGAGTTTAATCATCTCTGAATGTGACGTCAGTGAGGAGAAGCGAGCCAAGCATAGTGACCCTGCGGAGGAAAATATGCCCAGCAGAAAGATTTATTTCTTTTTTGAACAAAGACTGTCTCATTGTTTGTTTTTAACTTTCAAGTCTGCACTGTGCTGATGTTTTCCCTTTTTCCTGTGAAATACAAAGTGTAAACATCAGAGTGCACACCCACTGCCACAGGTCCACACATGCGTACAGGCGGAGCGGCAGTAATGTGGCGCTTCCCGTGCTGTTGCTATAGGTACTTTAAGTTTGTGGGTGGAAGCTTCCTGTATTATCAAAGTCTAATCATGTCTGGTATGAAAACCAGATGGAAGCCACTGTGAGAACGGTAGAGCAAATCTCCCTGCTGTATTATTAATTCACACTGTTTAATGTTGCTTGTTTAATTTAGGAACCTATAATTGTAAATGAAACAATTGAGTGTGTTAATAGGCAACGACTTTTGAGAGTGATTTTCAGCCCGTGCGGTGACTTCCATTACAGAGTCATGGCTGGTTCTGATGCAGTGCTGCCAGTAATGATAATAAAAAATGCATACGGTGAAATCTCAGAGCTCTTTGGAGTTTTAAGTGGGGGAACATCATTTTGAAACTGTTGAACGTTTTGCTCACACAGTCTCTCACAGAGACTCCACCTCTCCAGTATGTCGCTCCTGCTGGTTTAATTAAAGGATTACACAACTTTTTGAGTCTTTTTTTAATCAAATAAAAAATTTTTTTTCTTCCATAAAACAATTAAAACATTCAGTTTTGGCACTATTTTCAGATAGGCTTTAAACAATTTGAGAACCATCAACATTTGTTTATTCTTATACTCATTTTAGACAGTTTACCAACTTTTTATGGGATTGGACTTGTTAAAAGCAGGGCTCTGCTGACACCTACCTGATCACAGCTGTTTCAGACATTAAAAATAAAAGTATTAATATAGTCGGTCTTTTAGTACATCATAAAAAAAGCACATAATATCTTTATATATAACTCCTGTAGCACTCTAATGATCTTAGTTTAGATAAACAAACACAAAAAAGTTTCTCTCTGATATTTATATTCAGGAAACCATGTTAAAATAAGTCTGTTTTAAAGTTCTGTTGGCATGAACTCTTTTACAATATTTCTTATCAAGCCTTTGTGTGAAAAATACTTCAAATGAACCAATTTAGACCTCTGAATTATGACTTTTCTGTCAGATTCTGTGGATGACTTAAATAGTGTCCCATTACTTTGAATTACAGTTAAAAAAAAAAAAAAAGCACAGCAACACCTCTAAAAGCTGACATTTACCCGCAGCGCTGCACAATAAGGCTACAGAGAACATTTTAAGTGGCGGTGTACTATTTCCAGGACCCTATGGGACGTGGTTACTTTTTTTTATACGTATTTCTACTTTCTGTCATCTTTCCAGTAACACCCTGTACAGTAACACAGTGTACCTTCACGTCTGGGAGCTACTAAAACAACAGTCTCCTCTGATGGAAACTGAGACGCCTTCTGGCTTCACAACTGCCAATCCATAAAGGGTCACTTCAAAACAGCTGTTTCCTGTTGCTCTGACCTCTAAGGTTACCAGGACGACAAACTCAGACCATGTGACTCAAACAGAAAAGAAGCCTAATCTTTGTGTCGATGGAGGGAGTAAAACAAACAAACATTCATCCCTGTCTGTCTGTTTCTCATAATGCTGTTTGTTCAATCTTATTATAAAGACTTGGATGAAGCGGTACATCATAATCACATCCTCATGAACCTCTTTCTCTTGAAGAAAAGGACTGTCATGCTCGCAGCTGCCCTGCAACTCTGTTAACATTTTATGGAAACTGTTCAGCTTGCAGACAGATATCAGATGAAGCAGCTTTGTTGGGATTAAACCGACGGTTTCACTGCTCACTCCAGATAGTCAGGGTCTCTCGGAGGAGCAGAAGTAGGTCAAAAAGACGAGAAGGGTGAGACCACTGCTACTAACACACTGACCTACTTGCGCCAGGCGGTGAGGTGGGGAGGGCAGGGAAAGTAATTGTGATTATGTCGTTTGGCATGGAGCCAGCATGTACACGGGGGGATTACTCCCCTGCAATGTAAGGACAAGGCTGCACACTGCTCACTTCTCCACCAGCAAATAAAGTGATAACCCATGCAGGCTGTAAGTGCACATACAAGAGGAGCGGGTTATATAAGCCTAGTCTGCTGCAAACTTTGCATGACCTGAAGCTAAATCTCTCTGTTGCATTAGAGTCAGTTTGTGACAATCAGTATTTAAAGCCTTGAGTGTGTTTAAACTTTAGATTAGAGCTTCTTGAGTAACACGTTTACAGGCTATGTTCTTTGTTATGTAAAATTATGACCAGAAGCTTTGAAAAACAATTTGGTCTCCTCAAGCGTTCTTGCATCCTGACATCCTGTTCTCATATTTGTCAACTTTTCTTCTTCTTCTTCTTAAGAGGAAAACAAGAGGTGATACAACCAAACAATGCTGTGCAGCATCAAGTGGCCATGTGCTCAAACATGTGCCTCAAATGTAAATTAACACACTGACTGACTCACTGGCTGTGGCTCTATATTGCTGTATGATTGGCTGTTTGATTTATCCACACAGGAGAAAGTATCAAGTTCATTCTTCTTATTAATCACATCCAGAGAATGCAATCAAATCCAGCTGTGTTTGCAGCATTTTCAGTCATACAGAGCTTCGGAGACCAAGATTATTTTCCACACTAAAGAAAGATACTGAACTTGCTGAAAGCTAAATGTAAGCAGCAGATCCAGAAAAGTTGGAGGCTGTGTAAATGTTGGTAAAACTAGATTTTGATGGTTTAGGAATCAATTAAACCCTATAATTAACTGAAAAGAGCACAGAAACGAATCAAATGTTGAAAGTGGAGATGATCTGTTGTTTTGGGGAAAATATAACCGAGAATATTGCTGTCGCAGACTGTGGTTTTGCTGAAGTGCGCGACGTCTCGAGTTTCTGAATCACAGTTTCATGAGAACCATGTTAACCTGCATTTGTGGTCGCAGTGATGACCTGTTTTCACAGATGTCTGTTTTCAATGCAATGTGCCTGAGAGTTCCAGGATCACCCTTTCTTTTTTGTACATTGATTCCTTCAGATGCTGTGAAGTCCATTTTTAATAAGCCCTGTTTATATTTGGTTTCATCTCGACATTTTACAGCTTTAACCTACATTTGTGGATGCAGTAAAGTACTTGGTTTACGGACAGTGGTTATAAGAAGTGATGTTGAACCCATGCAGTGATTCCTTCTACAGAGTCATGTCTGTTTGAAACGCAGTAGCATCTAAGGGCCCAAAAATGTAGGCCACAAAGTACTGGTAATCACTCTCTTAGAGGGGTGGGAATCACCATTGACCCCACAATACAATATTTTCACGATACTTGGGCCACGATACGATATTATTGCGATTTTTAACATTTTGCAATACACTGAGTATTGCGATACAATATTTTGCGATCTATACAATATTTCAACTCTTTAGCTACTTTAGCATTTGTCTTTTCTTTATGTTTGTCTTATTTACACTGGGGCTGAAACGATTCCTTGAATACCTTGAGTACCTTGAGTACCTCCATTACAAATAATGATCGAGGAATTTTCTCTGCCTCCCGTACTCGTTTCTAAGCTCAAATCATCACTGTTTCGCATGGATTCTTTTGAAGGTGACACGATGCGCTTACATCACCACGGTAGAAGGAAGAGTAAGTGCTGTTTAGGTTTTGCGGGGCGCAAAAAATGAATGATGAGAGGGACTTTTCTTGCAGTGTTGCCAACCTAGCAACTCTGCACACTTCTCTTCACGCTAGCTCGTAGCCTAACATTGATGGTGTCGTAGCAGAACCAGGTAACATAGGAGCTATTGAGCTCTCGGACACTAATGTCTTTAGGGGCATGGTGAAAGTTAATACCATATTTAGCTTTCTTACGAGCATTGCAATCCGCTAACGCACACGCTTGTTCCGCGGTTGTCCTCTATTTCTTCGAACCTGACTGGACAAACAGTTGATTTAATTTTTCACTATCACAGATTTGACTTTATATTCACAATTAATTTGAAAAATAGTGATACTATGCTGTATTGGTTTTTTCTCCCACCCCTACTCTTTCCCTCTCTGGAATGTCTTTTTGTACCGGGTCAGGTTACCAACCTACCACAACCTTTTTGGTGTTTTGTTGTCCCATACTGTCTTTGTCTTAAAATTGGGATTGTACAACAGTTCTGCAGAAACTCATAAAGCTGTACCGCAGTCTAAGTTTTCTATTCCACTGTTATTAAGAGGTGTTAGTTTAGCTTTGTTACCCTTTTTCCAGACTGGATTTGCGGCTATGTCAGTCCTAACAGCTCGCACTGACAGGTGTTTTTATCCTGTTTTTGTCCACTGTGGACTGTGGGCTGTATACCAGAAATACTCCTCTGTATGCTGCAGCTGCTGTTATGCAAGCATGTCAAAGAATGAAAAAAAAGTGTAGGAACTCTGTCAAATCTGGCCAGCTGTTTGCTTACAGGCTTTACATAAATTAAACAGGTTACTTGTGGTAAGAAGTGACTAAGATAATGAAAATGTGTGCTAAGAGATGTTTATCTTTTAGAGGTCTCCTTCCTGTGTGCGTCTGCTGAGTTAGAGGTGAGGAGTTTTTCTTTAAGCACATGTCTGATAAAGTCAAATGAATCAAAGCGGACTGAGAGTTCAGTGTGTGAGCGCTACGTCACTCCAGGCTGCTGTTACATAACCACGGAAGCATAACATGGATGCTCCACAAACAGGCGCGCCTGCTGCTGCTGCTGCCGCTACCGCTGCTGCTGCCCTACTCTTCCAGTGACGACATGGGATCAAACCAGAGTGCACAGCAGGAGAGGAAACAAAAACATCCACAGAGACTCCGACTGTACCGGGCAGTAGACCTAAGCAGCTACATGTGCAAACTGTGAAGTGTCCTAGCTGGCAGCTTTGAGTTTCCAAACAGAAGCAGCTAGTTGAGTCTGATAAATCAAAGTCTGGGTCACAGATCACACAGGGTAAAGAAAAGCTTTCTGTTTGTTTGGAGCTTTCCGTGCGCTCTCAGTGTCTGCTATGTTTTTTAAAGGTGGAATTGAAAATACGGGATGATCTACGACAGTCTTTGCTCTCGTCTCTGTCACATGAACATGAAAACCCTGAGTGCTCATTCTCTCACTCGACTCAAACAGCCCGTCTTTATCTTGCATTCAGACGGGCACATGCACACTCACTCACTGTCTGAACTTCAGAGAATGTCAGTTATGTAAAATCTTAAATATTAAATGATCCGTTTCGTTGTTTCCACCAATGAAATGCGGGGAATACATTTTGGATATGCAAACTGGGAAAAGCTGGGAAAAAAAAGATAAAGAGAATCCACTCCCAGCGTTTGAAATGCAAAGTGATTTTTCATTTTTAACATCCAAACAAGTCATTACTCTGAGCTCTGACAAATATGGAAGACTAATCATGCCGGGAAATGTGGAAATCTCGCTATTTTCATCCCAGGGAGACAGAATATATACATATTCGTCATTAAGGATTTGGAAATCTCCTCTATCCTTCTGCCAAAGTCTGTAATCCCAAAAGGAAGAACTAATTAATCTTGTGAATGCTGCAGCAATAAAGAAAAACAGAGCGCAATGTGGTCTGTGCTGAAACTGAGATCCTGCTCTGTGAGGAACATGTGCGGTGATATAACCTGTTAGAGAAAAAAAAAGAAAACTCTCCATGCGGAGAAAACGTGCAGAGTGCAGCGTTTTTATACAATAATTACAGTCTAGAGGAGAGTCGGGGAACCTCACTGCAAAGTGCTGTTTACCAGTTTCACTTCTTACGCACCGTTTCAAGAGAAGGAGACGTTATATCATAAATGATACCTTCTGACTCTGTGATTATGAATCTGCGGGATACTTGAGGTTTGGTTTGATGATGATAACAGAGTGAAGGTTGCTGTTTTGTCCACAATATTAACTTGTGATGTACTGAAGGAAGCGCTATGACAGAGATGCTCAGATTATCTGTCAGTCATTTTACCGACATGGTTCACAATGTAATAATCCAAATAATACACTACAAAACTATTTTCTATCATAAGGTGGCTTTTTTTCTGTTTTTATATACATATTAAGTTATTTCAAAGTGATTGTTTCTCTTCCAAATGCTAGAATATGATCTTAACTATCTGATTTTTTAAGTGTGATATAAAAACACAGCAAAGTACATTTTATTAATTATTTTCAACTCTTGACATTAAAGCTCTTGTGGGCAGTTTTAGCAGCTTAAGAAAAAGACTTAAATTATCAGTGATACTGTTTTCTAACGCGGACCACAACAAAATGAGACCATCTTTTGTATGCTTTGTATCTTTAAGAGTCCATATATACTGTGAGGGGGTTTATGAACTTTTTCAGCAGCTGATATTTACAGTAATAAATATATTTGTTAAAAGAAGTGTGTAGAGATCTTATGTCAGGAAACATGACTAGCATATTAATAAGCAAGGAGATAAGAGGGTCACTTTCCTCATAGGAGCTTTAAGTTAGGGTGTAATGCCATCCACTTATTTGACCAGGATCAGTTATTCATTGGCTGAATCTGAAACTGATAATAAAGGAGCAGGTTGGCCAAGGTGAGAGTAGAGCTGGGCAGTATTTAACTACACTGCCTAGGATTAGTGATGTCAAGATGGCAAACACTGGCCACAAAGTGGGATACTGAGGGATGATTTAGTTTTCCTGTGTCAAGAAATGCGAATGGAAGAAAAGCAGCAAACAAACAAAAAGAAATACGCTGATAACGTCAGACTGCGGCAACCCGCATATGATGGGTTTACGAGTAAATATGGGAAGCAAGAACATTGCTTTTGTCAGGAAAAAGAAAAGAAGCAAGACACTCGTGATATCTGTCATTATTACGAATCCACTGTTTCTGAGTGAGACAACCCAAGACACTTGGATGTAAGGGTTACAGGCCGGGTCAGTAAATTAAATTACTTTTCAAGTCTTGATTTGCCTGTTTCTTTTGAATATCACAACAAATATTGTATCAGAGGTATCATCATATTATAAGGGTTAGAAACTGTTACAGCCCTAGTGTTTAGTGCTCTTGAACAAGTGTCTTTGCACAAAAAGCATCAAAGCTACTCTGCAAAACATGCGGCATGACTTATTCAAACAGAACAGGAACTATTATTAAGGAGTTTGAGGAGTGAGGAGACAAATTCTGCAATCACAGAATGTTTGATTACTTGTGTATGACTAAATGTAAAGTCTAGGTTTCCCAGTTTTCCTCAGGAGACAAACTGCCACAGAAAGTCAAAATTATGTAATTCAAGGCTGACAATGTCAAGTTTTTTGGCTAAAACTGAACCAAAAGAGAACAAAGCTATCTAAGACAGGTCAAAAACAGCATCATTTCATGATCCAACACCAGCATGTGAGGAGGACAATGTGAAGTTTTTTGGCTAAAAAGCGTCTGAAATAGTCAACTATCAGACACAGCAAACAATTAATAATTCTAACATTCAATACAACAGGTTTACAGCAGATTTAAGCTGGATAAAAAGCAGTTTTGGGTGTCAGTAACCTTTGAAAAAGCCTTAATTGCATACAACTGAACCAAAAAAGAACAAATCTATGTAAGAAAGGTCAAAAACAGCATCATTTCATCCCCTAACAGCAGCATGTGAGGAGGACAGGTCAGAGAAATGAAAGTAAAAACCCACAAGGAGGTCAGAGATGCATGAGAGTTATTCACAGAGATGTCTCGAACCCGTGTTTGGACACTCACCTCCACCTGTTGATCCCAACGTTGGAAGATCCCGCGAACCAGGGGTCGAGGATGTAGACGCAGCGGACGGTATCCGCTCCCAGCAGAGATTCCTTGAGCGACGGGTTGTCGTGGAGCCGCAAGCCCTTCCTGAACCAGTGGATCGTATTAATGACCATTACTCAACTGGACGAGTCCTTATTGGTGGGTTTTTGAACAATGAAACAAGTCTGTTTGTGGTCACTCCGCTCTTATTCCGACTCTTTCTCAATGATTAAAAAAGTATGTCCAAGAAAAAAAGAAGACGCTAGTCCACAGGGAATCCAAATATATGAAGAAAAAAACAGCCTGTGAGGCTTTGGCGCGTACAACCTGTTCGTTTGACGCACTGCAGTCCAGTAGAATTAGCCTTGCTCTAATAGGACTTTTTCCATTATGTCGAAGAATTCAGAGACCGCTGGTTGCTGAACCATCTGGGCCGCAGATAGCGCGCTCTCACCGGCAATGTGACCGCCCCGAACGCGGCGGGCTTTAGGACCTGGCTGATACACGGGCACTCGTGTGGCTTGTTGTATAACTTGTTTTTCTGAGCAGTGAAAAATGCATTAATAACTGTAAATAGACGAGAAAGCTATGGTGGGCACACATACAAAAGACAATATTAGCGCGTTATTCAGTGACAGAGCGAGTAACTCGACTGTTATATGTAGTAGTCGGTGCTGCTAACGGCTACAGACGCGGTGGCAGAACCCGACTACAGTGAATACCGAGAAAGCTGGTTATGTAAATACAGCTTCTGACTGCAATACCGTCAAATTCACCGACTTTAAATCACCGAAACGATCACTTAGCTGTTTTAATCCGTCTCTGCTTCGTGTGTATCGTCTTCCTCACGTCCGGGCGCTTGTTTTGAGCCGCTAGATTAGAAAAATTTTCCTCAACGACCACGAATAGCCTTCAACCTCCTCGCCGCACCTACAGCTGTGACTCCGCCCAAACAAGACGCACGTAGCTCTAAGCGTTCTGATTGGTGTAGAAGGCTGAGAACGTTTCCCAGCGTGGTCACGTTTCTGCAGCGTGCTCTCCCTGACCTAAAACAGGCGAGAGAGATAACCGTGTTCTTCTGTGAGCAAAGCGACTGAAGTGTGACCTCTTATGGTTGACGGTTGGCACATTTAGCATGTTTGTACGCTGATTCATAATAGTTATGTCTATAAGTGCAACAGTAATGAACGTTAGCGGCGCTATAACGACTTATTTTGGGGTTTTCTCAATATTTACGACAAGTTCAAAACACAAAAGAGGTTTACAGTGAGTTGTTATAAACTATATGCGCATACAGAGAGAAAACATACTGATTATAGTGATAAAATGGAGAGAGTAATTAAAATAATCGAGTCTGATCCAGCCTACAGATCCCAACGGCTTGTTTACGATGAAAAGAACCCGGATGATCACATGAAGTCTGGCATGAGTGTTCGGACTTCACCTCACGCGTCACCCTGCGTGCTTGTGTGTGTGTGTGTGTGTGTGTGTGCGCGTGTGTGGTGCAGTGTAGTACTGTAGTACAGTGGCTGACGCACTTGTCATTAGAAATCATGCAATGTTGTAAAGACTGGTAAAAACGTTTGAATTGCGAGGTTAGATTCAACAAAAAGGGGTTAGACTGCGGCATATGTGCAGTTTCATGTCTGCATGTGCTCAATAATAAGTTTTAGTGGAGTCTTAGTTGACGCTTTTCTACATCAAAGTCTTTCCACAACAAAGTTAAGGACTGATATTCATATTTTGCACTACTTTCCCTCTCTAAAACCACATTCTTTTTAATCTAAGACCTTATTGGGTTGGCATACAAATACTTAATGTAATTCTTACAACTTTAAAGCAGCAACTAAATACAATTATTTGTAATTCTAATACAACTTTAAAATTTACCTACTGTATGAAAGCAATTTGTATGTATTTATGTCATAAATATATGACACTAACCTACTTTATCAATTTAATTACATCACTCTATCATATTTCCCCTCATACTGGATGTTATTTAATGTAAAAATAAAAATAAAAAATGCGTCACAATGTTCTCTTACATAAAATGGTTTGTAATTATGCAAGAGACAAAATGCAACCTTGGACCGTAGGAGCAGTACAGCCTTTTGGACACTAAGTGGCAGTGCAACATCATACCAATAAAGCCTTCCTTGGAAAACTAAATGTAATAGTAAATCCAGATATGAGAATAAGCTGCTCGTGTATTTGGTGCCTCAGTCTTTTGCACTAATGGCCAAATAGGAATCCCCTTGTTACTCAGTTTTTCTTGGTTATGGTGATTGTCATATATACAGATTTGGAAAAATACAGTGCCTTGTGAAGTGTAAAAGACTTCAATTTCTCCTCATTTTTCATCCTAGAGTGGTTTCAAAAAAGTAAAACTCAATTAAACTGGTGTTAAAAGAGGGGGAAAAAAGGCTTTTCTCTGCATATGGATCGCTCATTACAAAGTGATAGCAAAACAAAAGATCAAAACCACATTTGAAACCACACGGTGCATAAAAATGTCTAAATGAAAATGTGATGGCACAGCACGACTAAAAAAGCATCCTTACATGGCACACTAATTCTGCTGGCAAAACACACAATCTTTCATCTTGCCAGGAAAATCATTATCATTTTTTTTGCTGTTACCAAGCAACTAAAGCTTAATACGTGAGGACAAGCTTTGGAGGACCACAGAGCATGTAGAGAAGCAGCTGACAGCTGCCCACCTCCACCCGCTCTCACCTTAGTTAGTCAGCAAGATGTGCTGCAATGCAGACTGCAGGAGATAAAGTCGGTCACTGTCACAAGAGGGGAGGATGGGATTGACAAACTGTTCCAAACGCCAGCTTTAATAAGTCTTCATACATGTTATTGTTATGTTAATCATTTTATTCAAATGTTTTCCATCATTCAGACTCTCCATATTGTGAACAGAACATTATTCAGTTAGTCACGATGTTAGTTAAGGCACAGTTGCCAAGGAAATGTTTGAGTTTTAAAGCCAGCATTGTCAGACAGCAGCTACTTTGGCATCAGACACTTGCCAATTACATTATAAACATCTGACAGAAAGTGGCTAAAAGCTACTATTAATATAAGTGGTGTAACATGTTACTTTACAAAAAGGTGTAGCCGAATAGTTCACACCAGTGGTGGCCGCCCTTCCTGAAAAATGTATCTAAAAATATATTTTTACAATAAAGATGTTTTTACCAACTATTGTGGGGCCACTTGCAATACTAATCATTTAAACTACATTTCCCATCTGCTATCATTCATTTAATATGGAATTTCCACTGGCAGACTCGTATTGATTCTTTCACGGGGCGCTCTGTCAGATCGCCCCAACACTGCGACGAAATAACCAATTGTGTACAGTTGCCAGGTAAAATTAATAAATATATGACCAATCAGCACAGCAGAAATTTATGGTCTTGAGGTGCTGAAAATATCGCCCATGAGGCCAAAAGTGTCGTGAGATTTTTAGAGGTGGGCAAAGGAGGGAGAGAGCCTGTGCGTGCACCCAATTAAGCTAGCGCAGTTGTTACGGTGATGGCAAACTTAATGAGCGAGGAGCAGCTTCCACCAAATTCAGTGCAATCATTATTGGTCTATCCGTTTGCTAGACGTACAAAGGAGGAGAAAATCTGGATTAAAGTGCTTGGACCGGACAAGCCCAAGGAGAAGAATTAATCCTACAACAGGAGTTTTTGCAGGAGTTGGTTCAAGCGCAAGTCATGGCTGACAGGATGTGGAACAGTAAATGCACTTTTCTGAAAATCTTGCTGTAAGGTCTCTCAGGAACTAGAAAACTATATTATCCTTCATTTCTAGAGCATGAATGGAAGTGTATACAACTGAAAATTGTTCTTGACTTGATTTATGAAACTGGCAAATTTAAAGGAGATTAAATCATTATTGCTGAATTGAGGTCGCCTGACTGTTGATTTGAATTCTTATGATGGACAAGGCAGAGAAATGTGTTTACCTCAGCCCCACAAAAAATATTTCCCACCTGCCTCCACTGGTTCACACCTTTGTATTATTTAGGAGTAGGTTGAATCATAGCATGGTCCAACATTAGCATTGGCAAAAACCACTGGCCAATAAGTGGTAATGGCCAAATAAGACATTACAACAGCTAACATTCTAGTACCAAGTGGATTTGTACCAGGCTGTGTGGTAGTGCTATTTTTAACATTTGTCAGTCAAACAATAGCTCGAAAACTCTGGCTCTACTTGTTTTACACTTCTGCCTGTCAATCACTTTTCAACAGAGGGTGTTACATCGCTCCTCAGTAAATTCCAATGTAGTGAATTTTTCTATCGTTGACATGTGGAGTGCTGTGTCATGTTTTCAAAATATGAAAGGGCCCCCAGCGTGGCAGGCGGTGCAGACAGATGGTTGGTCCAGCACTGACGTATAAGGAGGAGCCCCAGCAGAATGGATGAATCATGATTCCACCAACTGTTCCTCTCAGCACGTCCTCAGCATTCAGCTCACTCACTCTTTGTTTTTATAACCTGCAAAAAAACAAATAAGTGTTGTAATGCTAAAAACAAAAATGATCGAATCACAGTATTGTAAAGGGATGTTAAACCTTGAGGCTGCTTTGCTGTATCTCCGGATGTTTGATGTATCTGTGATCTTTAAAAGCTTCGACTCTGTGCAATGAATAATGAAATATTTATAAGGATCCAACAGTAAAGCTTATGATAAACCTCAGAGGAGCCACTTTTGATGCAGACTCACTATCATTTAGGATCATGATGGCATAGCTTTTAGCCGCAGGATCAAGGACTTTCCCAAAATCTCTGTGCAATTCAGAAAAACTTAATTCTCGGTATGAAAGCCCAATTCAAAAGAGGTTATTCCAACTCAAAACACAATGAGATTTAAGTAGAACTATAGTGTTTTATCATTATAAAATGGGGGGAAACACAGTAAGTTGCGTTTTTAATTTTTGGGAACATTTTAGTATAAATTTACCCATAAGGACCCCTTTCAAACATCAAGGGCAGGTCTTCAAATTGCTTAAATCTGTATTTTTTACACATAAAGTCCCTAAGTGACATCTACTTTACATCCTGGTGCAGTCATGTGACTGTGCCTCTACTGGTGTACCAGTGACCTTACTTCCAATATGGCTGTGCACCAGGTTAAGTCGTGAGGCAAATCCAGCTACTTTTGGAAAGCTGTGTTTGTGTGACAAAGGTATGTTTCAACCCCAATAATGATGATTTTGTTTAAATAATATGTTATTTCATAGATTACACCTGTTCTTAATACATTTTTCTGGAAAACTTGTTTTTTGTTTTTCACTCAAACCCAAAGTTACCACACCAGAATTGCAAGACTATATGGCCTCTACGACTATACTTATATGGACTCTAACGAATCAAAAAGCAAACAAAACTAAAATAGTCATGTTAAGTTGCAGTCTGAGTCTGAATTCTAAGCTAATCCATAACGTTAAAATCAAAAGGTGATCATTTGTGTCACTAGGCCACAGTTTTCCCCACACTACCTTCACATTTCAACCCTGTATGTCCTCACCTCTCATTCCAGCACTGCAGTGATCGCTTCACTGCAGCAACAGGACCGCAAATCACAGACTGGTTGGTACAACAGCTTACTCTGTGTTTCTGTTTCTGCAGTTACGTTTTACCAGCTCCAGGTAGTCTCTGCTAAAAGGTAGCACACAGGTTGTCTATGTCAATCACAGCTCGTGATCATGTGTGGATTGGTTTGTGTCAGCCCGCGGGCACAAGACTCCACCTCTCTGTCAGAAAGTATGGAAAGCTCAACGTGTCATTATTTAGATGACTTGTTGAATGCGAAAGTGTTGTTGCGACGTCAGATTCACCGGTATATCCAACATGGCCGACCGGCTGATTGTTTACATGTCGGAGAACAGAGTGCTTTTTGATAAAAGACACAAACATTACAAAGATAACAACCTGAAGACAACTTGTGGAGAGTCACAGCGTTGGATTTCTCATATGACGATGGTTTGTGTGCTTTAACAGTTTGCTAAACGTTTTTGTTTTAACTTTCATCTGTGGTAACGTAAGCTAACGGTTGTTACCATAGTTTCATGTGCTTATCTGGTACTGGCCCCGACTCAGTACATGCGATCATGACAGAAAGCCACCTCAACACTAGTGTCAAATCAGAACTGAAAACAGTCAGCGACTGTGCTACAGTTTCATCTCCTGAACCAAGCAGTGAAACTCACCAAGTTCTCTTCTTTTTTGTAATATTAGATGCACTCATGTGCTACATTTCTTTTTCATTTGAGAAAGCAAAACGAGTACCAATTAGCCATCACTTGAAGTTGAAGTAGACTCCATTTTTGTCTTCTCGCTTCAACCCGGGACGCTGTAGGTTGGTAAGGGAAGGTGCCGCTCTCCTTCGCCTCTGATTGGCTATAAGTGCTGACCATTTGGCTTGAGCGTGTGATGACATTTCCAGCATTTCTAGCCAATCAGAGGCGAAGGAGGCGGGACTTTGCAAAATCGCATTGCGCTTGATGTGTATAGTCATGCATGTCAAAATTCTCCTTCGAATATTTCATAATTTCGTGTCGTATATTTGCATCATTCCCGGTGTGTAAGGATCTTTACTCGTGTTTAATAAAGTAAACTATGTTCCTTTATGCTGTGCTGTTACCTTCAGACAGAGTTAGCAGTTTAAAGTCCTGATGGGGTCCGCATGGATCAGGGATTGACCATCGGATTGTTCTGTGTTACTGATAAATCCAGAACCAGGAAGTATGTCTCATCTCCATGACCTGATATACAGTTGGGAGTTCATATATGGTGTTTTATTTTGAAATATCGGATGACATGCACGGTTTTTGTGATTGACTTCCTGTCTAGAACAATCTTCTCTGTGTGGATTGACGTGCATTGGAAGCATAGAGCAGCAAAAATAGACTCGTCGCGTATCTTTAGCAGTGCTGCTCTCAATTTGACGTTGCGACGGAGCTGATACGCATCCTGTATGCTTTGCTGGATTGATTAGAATGGCAACCTATTTGCTGAGTGATATGTGATGCTGCTGCTACACTCCAAATATGTTTAAGCTTTAAGTTTAAGCTTGTTAATTTTTCTTATAAATACTGCTGCTTTGGAAAAGTATAGTTAAATTACTCTCATAAATACTTAATTTTCCTTATTGATATCCAAATCTATATAGCCTGCATTGACAATTCCTCCTAATATTTTGAGAACACCCCATGAAATCAGAGTGCAATACTCAATAATTTGCTGGGAGCAGCAGCAGGGGATGCCAATATATCAATTTAGAGCGAGATAGTGCTTATTTTAACCCTCCATATACTGGTGAATTATGACACTTTTGGCTTTCCATACAGCTGCGCTTGTTGCAGTGAGCGCGGAGGGTTTGTGCGCTCTCAGGTTACGCGTCTGAAGTTGTGGACAAGAGGATACTGAAGACATCCAGACACTTCGAGAAGGTGGAAAGTGAAGGCTGACTTCTGTGGCTTCATTCTGAGAGCCGGGAAATACAACTGAGCCCACGGACCGAGGGTGAGGGAAACACGAGGAAGACGAGTTTGTGGCATTTAACTGGGTGACCAAGCATACCTAACAGTATGCGGTGCAGTTATGGCAGGCAAGGGTAAGACAGTCGTGAGGACGCTGGAGGATTTAACGCTTGATTCTGGTTATGGTGGAGCCGCGGACTCGGTCAGGTCGTCCAGCGTGTCGCTGTGCTGCTCTGACACGCATCAGTCCGTCTCACATGGGGGCAACTGCTGGCATCTGACCGAATCCATGCACAGCAGACAAAACAGTTTGGACACAGTGAACACCGTCCTGGCGGAGGACACGGAGATACTGGAGTGCTCGGGTCAGTGCGCCAAGCTTCCCGAGCTGGAGGACGTGCCATGGAGCCTCGGCGAGGTGGAGGGCGCACTGAGGAAAGATGAGGATCTCATGGTGGGAGACCCGCCACCGGAGGTTCTGGCGCGGCTCTCGGCTCTCATCAGCCGCGCACTGGTGAGGGTGTCTCGGGAGGCGCAGCGACTGTCTCTGCGCTATGCCAAATGCACCAGACACGAGATCCAGAGCGCCATAAAGGTGGTGCTCTCATGGACCATCTCCGTCAACTGCATCACGGCGGCTCTGAGCGCCCTGTCCCTCTACAACATGAGCACCGGGGACAAGTTCAGCCGAGGCAAGTCGGAGCGCTGCGGGCTGGTCTTCTCTGTGGGGAAGTTCTTCAGGTGGATGGTGGATAGCCGGGTGGCCTTGAGGATCCACGAGCACGCGGCCATTTACCTGACCGCCTGCATGGAGAGTCTGTTTAGGGAGGTGTTCAGCCGCGTCCTGCGCAGCGCGCTGGTGGAGAGGGACAACGGGATCCCCAAGTTTACGCTGGAGTCACTAGAGCAAGCCATCAGCAACGACTCGGAGATCTGGGGGCTGCTGCAGCCCTACCAGCACCTGATCTGCGGGAAGAATTCAAGCGGTAAGGAACGTCTCAAAACAGTAAATTCTAGTGTGCCATGTAATGATTGACACGCTTGTAACCCATGCTTTTGGACCTTGAAATGTGTGCCCCTCGTCCACTGTTTAATCCAACACGTGCCAAATCATGTCCCTCTTTTAAGGATACTCTTCAGTCATCTGGATATTTATCCTTAAGACAAACCTACAGCCCCAATCTGTGGGAAATGTTCATTAAAACAGATTTGGATCATATAGAAATTACATGAGCTCTATAGTTGATTGAAAAATGATACAGCACAGACAACATATCAGGCAGGCTAAACACCAAGACCCTTCTTCTATGGGGCCATGCTGTTTTGATATGTGCAAAATATAGCTCAGTATCTCCTTGCTGTATTATGCAAAGTGCTCCCTGAAAAGACGTCATCATGAGGGTGCATATGTTGATGCAAAACCTGTAAGATATATTGGTCATGATTAATGGAGCCTTCCCATATGTGCTGGCTTTTGAATGGTGCCCGACAGTAAGCCAGGTGGTCCCTCCCTTCTATGTGGAGTCCATGATTTCCAAAAAGAATGACAACTTTTGGTTCATCGGATCAAAAGCGTACTTCAGTCCATCTTAAATCAGCTCAGGTTTAGATTTCCAGACTGGTGAGGATGTTTCCCTTTTTGCATAACAGAGTTTTAACTGCATTTGTAGCTGCAGCAATGCAATGTGTTGAACTCATGCAGTGATTTCCACTATTGGGTAATGTCCGTTTTTTAAAGCGGTGCCACCTGAGGGCCCACACAGGCCACTGGTTATTGGCGTCAAATCCCCAAATTCTTGACAGCTGTATGTTTGAAGACATAATTCTGGAGTTGTTGACCTATTCTCTCACAAAGTGGTTAATCTCTCAAACTCTCAGTCCCTCTGGTAGGCCTTGATTATGCCCAGGCATGTTACTCACCTGTTGCAAATTAACCTAATTGATTGGGAGATGTTCCCTCAGGTGTTTCTTTTAGAATTGCTCATTTTTTTCAGTGTTTTGTTGCCCTCTTCCCCACTTTTTTGAGACATCGCAGGTATGCGTGCGCAGCCAGGGGGCAGAAAGCGGGACATTTCTTATTTGTTTACTCCCAGAGTCAAGGGAGAAAGAAAATGACAAAGAGCTGTTGTGCTGTAAACTGCATGAATCGGCAAAACAAACAATTGGCAAACATTACGACCCTGCTCCCGATATTAGAAACATCTAAAACAACGTCACAACCTTGTAAATTGAGTGAAATTCATGGATATTTCAGCAAGTGTTTCTCTGATTTTGATTCAGTGAAAGACAAAGGGATTTTTCGATGAATGACAGTTTATTGCAATTGTGTCAGGGAGAACTTGCAAACAGGCTTTTGCCCCATGGTTGCGCGCCCACCAAGTATTGTTTGTACACAAGAAACCCATCTATTGCTGGCATCAGATTCAAGACGAGTTTATATTTTTGGAAAACAAATGAAGTTTTTAAATTTCGACATTGTCTTTTCATTATTCTCAGTCTTAAAAACAGCTTTTGATCATGTGCAGACACACAGCCTTTGAACTTTATTGAAACAGGGGTTGTAGTTTTCACAGAGCACACAGTTATGATTGTCTAATTTGGAAAAGCAATATGAGTATGAACGGTGTAATTATGCTGCTTATCTCTCTCCCTGCCAAACAGAAAGACCTGACAGCTTGTTGAATATTTATTACCCCCGGCTTAGACCTCCAGGCCCACCTCTGAAACGGGAACTGTCTAGGTTGTCGAAGCCCCGCAGCAACAAAAGTCAGAAAATGTGTTAATGCTGGAAAAAGATCAAACAGGCTCCACTTTCTCATTCTTTGAAGCTATTATGTCCTCAGACTTCCATTAGAGGCTCCTATGTTAATGTAAATGATCGTTTCTGACTCTGTGTAGGAGTGCGGAGTGTGGTTTGTGAGTCGTGATTTTGCAGAAGCAGGATTTGTGTTTATATTGTGTGCTGCCCTTGTTGCTAATGCTATTACTGTCTCACTCCAGAAGGTGTAAGCTGTCAGTGTGGGCCGGCCTTCGCAGCCAAAGCCCTGAATGAGTTGGCTGAAACTATAAAGCAGAAGGGATTTGAAATGTTATTCTTTAACTCTCAGCCAAACTGGGCCACGCATTATTGACCCACAAAAAAAAAATCATGTTGCAGTTTTTTTTTGTGCTAATTGTTGCACTGTGATTGTTTTTCTTTCAGCACTTGTAGGAAAACTTAGTTGAGGTGAAAAAAAAAGATGAGTTTTGTGGCCTACGTGTCTTGGTGATGAGCCATTCCTCCGCGTAGCAGGAGCAGGAGAGATGGTTCCAGGAGAAAAATGGAGCTGAAATTGCTCTCATAGATTCCCTGGTGATGTGGTGTGATTGGAAATTCAATAACATGGATGCAGGCTTTCTCATACACCCTATAATCTGAGCCCTTTAGCCTCTGTTATGTACAACCTATACATAACCACTTACTCCTAATACACAGGGATGCAAATAAATGTCAAAATAGAAGTCAATTAATCTACAGCTACATCGAATAATTTCCTAGTTTGACCTACTAAAGTGCGGCTGTTTGCTGCTTTTTCCCATCTAGCCTCAGAAAAAAATTAGATCTGTATCTTGCGGAAGAAAATTTCATGTGACGGACATCAGGAATGAAAAAGAGTATCTGCAATCGCTCCTGCTTGTTTATCAGTGAAAGAGCATGATTGGAAATTCAATACCATGGCATCATGTTTTTCTTGTATACATCCGTGAAATCCAGACTCTTATGGCTGTGACAGATACGATTCAAACAACATAAATAGCCCATCAAACATCAGGACGAGAATAAACGAAGAGCAAAAAGTCAAATTAATCGACAATGACATTTTGTAAGAACAATTTACTTGAACTAGCTCCTGTGGTGTTGGTTGGTTTGGAAGTTCAATAGCAAGGC